CTTGAGTACCCTCCCCTTAACTCTCCTTCAGGGATATACAGTGCCCCTTTGTAATACAAAGCTCCATTTCTTTCCTCGAAACCCCCTGGTTCCTCTCCATCACCCCTAAGACCTCTGAGCTTATTCTGGGCGTATTCATCATTCTCTGTTTCCTCTACCAGTTCTTCTTGTCCCACCAATGCCGCCCCACAGACCCAGCGGTTTTCTGGAATGACATGTCTCTCTTCGGGTGCCCCCCTCCCCCTCCAAATATTCAGGTTTGCGTGAGAGAGCGTCCGCCCTAATGTTCTCTGGGCCTGGCACGTAACTAATCTCAAAGTTAAATTTGGAGAACTCCTGGGCCCATCTCACTTGCCGTTGGTTGAGCACTCGTGCCGTCCTCCAATACTCTAGGTTCTTGTGGTCGGTGCACACTTGCACCTTATGTTGTGCGCCAATTAGCAGGTGCCTCCATCTCCGGAACGCCTCATAAATGGCTAGTAGTTCTCGGTCATACACCGTGTAGTTCCTCTCGGATTTGTTCAGCTTTCGCGAAAAAAGGCACACGGTCTCCACTCTGACCCCTTCTTGCCTGGCTGCAGAAGCACCGCCCCAATCGCTCTGTCTGATGCGTCAGTTTCCACTCTCATCGGTTTTTGTAAATCCACATGCAGGAGTTGTTGTTCCGAGGCGAAGTCCCTTTTAGTTCCTCAAATGCTCGCTCCGCCTCCTCAGTCCACACGAACTTCTTCTTACTGCTGAGACAGTCCGTAATGGGCGCCGTCAGGTGGGCAAAGTTTCGGATGAACTTACGATAGAAGTTCCCAAATCCTAGGAACCTCTGCACATCCTTCTTTGTTTTGGGTGTTTTCCATTCCAGTACCGCCTGGACCTTGCCGGGATCCATGGCCAATCCCTTGTCTGACAGGCGATACCCCAGGAATTCCACCTCCTTGGTATGAAACTGACACTTCTCCAGTTTCACCCACAGCTGGTTGGCTTGCAGCCTGCTCAACACTTCTCTGACGTCTCTCACATGCTGCTCCTCATTCTCAGAATACACCAACACGTCGTCTAAAAAGGCCACACAATTCTTGTAAAGCAAAGGCCCCAGGACGTGGTTCATAAACGATTGAAATGTTGCGGAGCCTGCTTGTAGGCCGAAGGGCATAACCAAATATTCAAATGCCCCTAAAGGGGTGAACATAGTGGTTTTCCATTCATCCCCCTTCCTTATTCGTACCAGGTTGTACGAATAAGGTCCAGCTTACCCTTAGCGTACCCTTAGGTCCAGCTTTGTGAAAATCTTTCCCTTCCGCACCCTTGTCAAAATGTCGTCAATCCTGGGCATAGGGAAGGCTACTGGTTCTGACACTGCATTTAAGGCCCTGAAGTCACACACCAGCCTCGGCTTGTTCGTGTTTTTCTTATCCACAAAAACACTGGGCTGCCCCCACCGCCCTGGACTCTCTGATGAACCCTCTCTTCAGGTTCTTGTCAATGAACTCTCTTAACTCCTGCATCTCTCTGTCTGACATGGCGTACAGCTTGCCTACAGGGAGCTGTGCTCCAGGGAGTAAGTTGATTTGACAGTCAAAGGGTCTATGCGGGGTTAGTTGGTCAGCTTCCCTTTCGCTGAAGACGTCACGGAGATCTGCATATTGTCGTGGTACCTTCACGTTCTCTGTTACTTCAGTCCCTGCTAGGGCGGCTTGGACCCCTGCCAAACCCTTTCCCTCTTTGCAGTGTTCTAAGCAATGTGCTGAACCAAAAGAAACCACTCTCTGATGCCAGCCCACCAGCGGATCATGTAACGCTAGCCAGCTCATCCCCAATATAATGGGAGCTCCTCCCAAGGTGGCCACATTAAAAGCTATCAGTTCGGTGTGCCTTGCTACCTTCATTATCATTGGGACGGTCTGCAAGCTGACTTCTCCACCCAACAGCTCCCTGCCATCGATCGTGGTAACCTGCAGGGGGCTGCTTAAAGGGATTGTCTGTATCTGGTGTTCAGCTGCAAACTCTTTGCTCATGAAATTGCAGGAGCTGCCTGAGTCCAACAGCGCCTTTATCTTTAGAGGGTGTCCGTTTGGCAGCTCTAGCGTCACTTCTATCACTAGGGCGGGTTTAGGAGGTTCTGGCGTGGGCACTCTCACTGCTCTTTGGCCTGGCTGCTGTGCCCTGACAGTGGCAGCCAGGCGTTGGCTTTTACTTGCTCCGGTATTTTTCCTCTCTTCCATCCACAGCTCCTACCATCCCTTGCCATTCTTTCCTCTGGGGGCAGACTCTGGCAAAGTGACCTGGCTGTTGGCAGAGATAGCATTTCCGGGCGCCTTTTCCCTCCTTCTTTGCCCCCTCACTGGGCTTTGAAACTGGCGCGCGCTGTTCCGATTTCCATCGGCTCTGCCGGTGGGAAAGTTGGCTCTGGAATGTCTGGAATGCGGAACTCCTTCCAACGTTCCCCTTTCCCTTCCCGCCTCTCCAATGCTCTCGCCTCCTGGCGCGCTCCTATGGCCAGCGCTGATTTGGTCAGCTGGTCCATAGACTCCGCCCTGGGCGCCCGGGAAAGTTCGTCTTTCACAGCCGAAGAAAGCCCTTCTTCAAAGAGCATTTGAATGGGTTCCGCCGATAAGTCCCACCCCAATCTGTGAACAAGCATGGTGAACTCAGTCCAGTACTCACGGACAGATCGGCTCCCCTGTTTGCAACCCATTAACTGTCTGCGCACCACTCCCTTTTCAATATCGCTGGAAAACATCAGATCCATGGCGCGAAAGAACTTCATCGTGTCCTTTAAGACGTCACTATTCGCTGCCATCAGGGGTCTAACCCAGTCTCTCGCCCCTTTTCAAGATGCTCAATCACGAAAGCCACTCGTGATTCCTCGTCAGGAATTCATCAAACTGCAGATTGAGGGCATATTGCATTTCTGTCCGAAAACCATGATAGTTTTTGGGCTCCCCCCCAAACTTCTGCACCAATCCTGGTACCTTTCTGGCGAACTGGGTGGCTTTCCCCTTTTGTCTGCATCCTGAGCCCTCCTCTCCTCAAGCCTCGCCGTCTGCATCGCTAGCTGGACCTCCAACATCTGGTACCTTTCTTCCAGGCTTGGACCCGCTCCAGCTCCTGCTTCTCCGGTTCCGGCTGGGTTGCTCATGATGCCTTCTCCTGCACAAGCTGCTTTCAAAGACTGTCGGAATGCTGTGATGGGATGATGAGCTGCTTGTGCGTAAAATCGTATCCCCTCAGAGTTTGTTCAAGTCCACAAACCTCTGTCTGTGACGGAGCCCCTCAGACATGGCTGCTCTAGTCACTAGCAGATTCCGACAGTGGTTGCTTTCGTAATCGCTTCCAACATAAAAGCTCCTTAACGGAAACACGTCTTCTGGAATCTCTGCGTGACAGTTTCCGGCGAGGAGTGGGTGTTCTTACAGGAGGTTCTGAAACCTCCCCACTGTTTTCGCTGGAAGTGTCTCTGAGCCATCCCTCCAGCTCAGCTCCTCTCCCCTGCTGGTTCCTTCTTCAGCTGCTGCGTCTCTCCCAACCTGTGTGAGCCCTTTCACCTCCCTGTTGGTTCCCTCTTCAGCTGCTGCGTCTCTCCCAACCTGTGTGAGCCCTTTCACCTCCCTTCCGTCCGATGGCAGTTCCCTGACAATATATATATATATATATATATATATATATATATATATATATAACGAACCCATATCATTAAGATAACACAATTGCCAATAGGCCTCATTCCAAAAGGAATGAAGAACCCTGGGAAACGCCTGGAAACCCTGGAACCCCCCACCACTTGGAGATTGGGGTGGTGTGGAGAAATAGGCTTTGTGCCTGCAGTTGCAGTCAAATCCAACTTCTTCTGCCTAGAACTTGTAAGAGAGAAAGAGCACATTTGAAGACCACCCCCTCCTGCTGCAGAGCAGGAGCAGGGACCTCCCAGCCCAGTCCTCTGTCATGTCTGTGCTCAGAGTCAGGACCACCACCTGGGCTGAATGGATGAAGGAAGCCAAGCAGATGGGGGCACTTAATCCCATCCACACTCTTGTTCCAGGCTTCTGGAGATTCATAGGGCTTGTCCACATTTCAGCTTATCCCATTCCTGGAAAGCACAGATACAAGCTGATTTATGCTTTGCCCCTGCTTTCTAAACATGAGTCTGGCTGGTTTTGCCTTGGCCCCACTGCTTCCCCCTGGAAAACCCGCTCTTCAACCCTAAATGGAAACAACCAGCAATCTGGAGAATCCGGCTGCCATTTCTGCCATTCAGAAGTAAACTGGGGAAAGAGGCAGGGGAAATGGAGCTGTGTCCTTCCGTTTGGATCCAAGTGGTTGGTTTGGAAAGGCTCGTGAATTTATATCCATTTATATCCATTTTATGAAATGTGAAATATTACAAACAGGCATACTAATTCCTACACAGTCCTCTGTCTCTCCCACCCATATTAGGAATGGCCGCAAGTGAGATGTTCCACAGTAGAAATGCCGTGTTCCCAGGAGCCTTCCTGATAGATGTCTTACTGCAAAGAGTTCCTTCATGGCTGTCTCATCACATCCTGGCTGAACTAAGGGCCAGTCCTGCTGCTTTGAAAAATCTCCTTTATGCATATCTGCCCTTGGGCCCTTTAATTGAATGTCCCATAATGCTCTACAGGATCTCCAAACCCCAATAGAGGCAATCGATGATCGCAGGAGATATTTGCATGAAGGGGCAGCTCTTCAGCTCTGGGGGATTTAAGAGAGGAGTGAGGAAGTTTCCTCCAGAAGTTCAAAGTCCTCTGGAGAGCTCACCATCATGTCTTCATTTCTGTTTCTACTTGCTCTTTTTATTTACTCCTCAGGTAAAGCTGTGGAGAATATCTCATGGTCCATTGGCCAACCCAAAAGCTAATTGCATTTATCATATTTATTGATATGAGAACATTAAAAATATTCCATTTTCTCCATATTTTTTAAACAGGTGTCACCTGCTAGTCAGCTTGGATGCAGCCGGCCTCTCAGTCTGTGGCGCTGGGTCAAACGGTTAAAATCTCCTGTAGAACTAGTGATACTAACGACTATGTTCGCTGGTATCATCAGAGATCAGGACAGGCCCCTCGCTTTGTGCACTGTGAGAGTTGCAGCAAGGGAGAAGGGATCCCAGATCGATTCACAGCTTCTCGCTCAGGGACCGTTGGCTATTTAACCATCACCAACATCCAGGTTGAAGACGAGGCTGTTTATTACTGTGGCAGATGGTACAGTGGCAAGTTCCACAGTGATGCAACGTAATGGGGAACTGAGACAAAAACCTTTCCTCTTCCACCAATGAGCAGTGAGATGTGAATACTGAAAACGAACTTCATCTAATCTGTGTCTACATATGTTGTCAAGTCTATCCTACTCTGGATAACCAGAAGAGACAGAAAACTCTGAAGTCCCACCTCCTTCCTCACAGCAGGACCTTGGAACTGCCAGCCCAGCACACCCTCAAGTCAGCCCTTCCTTGTGGATCAAAGAGCTGCTTTGGGAAAGTCAGGCTGCAGACTTCCTTTTTCATTGCCAAATGGATGTCTGTTTTAGGAATTGTGAGCTATAAGAGAAATGCCACCTGCTGACTGCTAGATTGGGTCTTCATTGAGCCTATTATAATGTTCTTATTATTTTCTGAGCATTATTATTATTATTATTAGTAGTAGTAGTAGTAGTAGTAGTATAGTGGTACCTCGGGTTACATACACTTCAGGTTACAGACTCCCGTAACCCAGAAACAGTACCTCGGGTTAAGAACCTTGCTTCAGGATGAGGACAGAAATCGTGCTCCGGCAGCATGGCAGCAACAATTAGCTAAAGTGGTGCTTCAGGTTAAGAACAGTTTCAGGTTAAGAACGGACCTACGGAATGAATTAAGTACGTAACCAGAGGTACCACTGTAGCAGTAGTAGTAGTACAGGCTCACGGTGTGTGTGTGTGTGTGTGTATATATATATATATATATGTATAAGTAACCCATATGATAAAGATAACACAATTGCCAATAGGCCTCATTCCAAAAGGAATGACGAACCCTGGGAAATGCCTGGAACCCCTAGAACCCCTCACCACTTGGAGATTTGGGTGGCATGGAAAAATAGGCATTGTGCCTGCAGTTGCTGTCAAATCCAACTTCTTTTGCCTAGAACTTCTAAGAGTGAAAGAACACATTTGAAGACCCCCCTCCTGCTGCAGAGCAGGACCAGGGACCTCCCAGCCCAGCCCTCCATCCCATCCACACCAGGAGTGCCAGGCTTCTGCAGATTCCTAGGGCTTGTCCACATTTCTGCTTGCCCAATTTCTGGAAAGCACAGCTACGAGGACTTTTACGCTTTGCCGCTGCTTTCTAGACAGGAGTCTGGCTGGTTTTGCCTTTGCCTCACTGCTTTCCCCTGGAAAACCTGCTCTTCAGCCCTAAATTGAACAACCGGCAATCCGTGGAGAATCTGACTGCCCTTTGCTGCCATTCAGAAGGAAACTGCAGGTTTTCCCTTTGGAAAGAAGCAGGGGAAACTGAGCAGTGTCCTTCCTTTTGGATCAAAGTGGTCATTTTGGAAAGTTCTGAGTTTATATCCATTTAGATCCTTTTTAGGAAATGTGAAATATTACAGACAGGTGCACCAACTGGGGTTGGGGGTGCAGCCTTCTAAAATATATTGTCAAGGAAGGTGCCAGGACCCTCCAAACACCCCAACACATGTGCGTACCTGCCGCGGGGCATGCTTGCATCACTTGTGCAAGTCGCAGGGTATGCACACAAAATACATACAAGCACACCTCGTGATGTCTGTGTGTGACGTCAGAACTGAGTTTGTGCAGCCCCATCCCCCCTCAATTATGGAGGCAAGGCGGCACCCTTGATGGAAGAGATGTTGTTGTTTAGTCGTTTAGTCGTGTCCGACTCTTCGTGACCCCCTGGACCAGAGCATGCCAGGCACCCCTGTCTTCCACTGCCTCCCGCAGTTTGGTCAAACTCATGCTGGTAGCTTCAAGAACACTGTCCAACCATCTTGTCCTCTGTCATCCCCTTCTCCTTGTGCCCTCAATCTTTCCCAACATCAGGGTCTTTTCCAGGGAGTCTTCTCTTCTCATGAGGTGGCCAAAGTATTGGAGGCTCAGCTTCAGGATCTGTCCTTCCAGTGAGCACTCAGGGCTAATTTTCTTAGGAATGGATGTGTTTGATCTTCTTGCAGTCCATGGGACTCTCAAGAGTCTCCTCCAGCACCATAATTCAAAAGCATCAATTCTTCAGCGATCAGCCTTCTTTATGGTCCAGCTCTCACTTCCATACATCACTACTGGGAAAACCATAGCTTTAACTATATGGACCTTTGTTGGCAAGGTGATGTCTCTGCTTTTTAAGATGCTGTCTTTTTAAGATGCTGCTTAGGTTTGTCATTGCAGAGATGCTGTTTCCCAAATAATACTTTGCCAGACAGTAGGAAGTGGCTGTCACCATCCCTACCACTTGGGAATATCCCTTGGATCTTGTCCCTGCTGCAGGCCGAGTGCCTTTTGTTCACAATCTCTGCTCCTCAGAAGTAGGCAGCAGAGAGAGTCTCATTGGAAATGTTCTCTGTCCCAATATGTTCTGCAATACAGTAACGTGAGCCTTAATACAGCAGGTGAGGTGGCCTTTCAGAAACGCTTGGACTCCCATCAGCCCCAGTCAGCACTGTGAATGGCCACACACATTTGGTCCTTTCTCCAAGGTGTTGCTAAACTCTGAAGCTGCCTCTTGCTTGTCTGGAGGGACGATAGAAAGAGATGTGTGAAGACACTTCCACAGTAGAGAGAAATAAAATTCAGAACTATAGCGCCACCCACTTTTTCCTCTGGTCTCTCCTACCATTGGCAGGTGCCTTGTTCAGTCTTTGGCTTTAACCACCCGCCATACCTGAACAGATTCTGAAACTAGCATTTTTTCTCACCAATAGCTTACAAACCTTTACCTTTCGTAACTAAGCAACATTTTTCATCTTTCCTGACTGGTGATTTACTGTTGGCTCACTCCTGTCACTAACCCATTCCTATTTTATTTTTTTAAAAAAGAAAATCTGTCCTATTCTCCTCTGTTTGAATGTCCCACAATGCTTTGCAGGAACATGAAGCTCTAGGAGAGGTGATTGGATGTCCACAGAACACATTTGCATGAGGGGAAAGCCTTCAGATCTAGGAAATTTAAGAGAGGAGAGGGCAAGATCCACTCAGAAAGGCAAACTCCCCTGGAGAGCTCACCATGGCTCTCCCTCAATTCATCCTTGCTATTTTTGTTTACTGTTCAGGTAAGGCTGTGGAGGTGATCTCTTGTTCAAGAGGCCAAGCCAAAGATATTTGAATCTATCCCAGAAACATAGTGCTTTGTGGGTGTTTGTGAATGCTGAAAATGAAACGAGGTCCTCATCTTTGTTTTTTCTGTTGTTGCTTCCTCCTACAAAGGTGTCTCTTCACAGTCAGATCCGACTCAGCCTGCCTCTGAATCCGTGACCCTGGGACAAACGGTCAAACTCTCCTGTACTTCCAGTAACCGTGGCAGCAACTACATTCATTGGTATCAACAGAGATCAGGAAAGGCCCCTCGCCTGGTGCAGTAGGATGGTAGCAGCAGGGGAGAAGGGATCCCGGATCGATTCACCGCTTCTCGCTCAGGGAACATTGGCTATTTAACCATCACCAACCCCCAGGCTGGAGATGAGGCTGTTTATTACTGTGGCAGATGGTATGGTCCCACATCCCACAGTAATACAAACTGATGGGGAAGTGTGACAAAAACTTTTCTTCTTCCACCAAAGAGCAGTGAGATGTGAATGCTTAAAAAGAACTTCCTATGCTTTGTGCTTGCAGCTGCTGTCAACTCATGGGTAGATTTGCTTTACTGGCCATGATCGGCCATACAGACAGCTTAATCAACACAGATCCCACCACTGCAGGGCACAAACAGAGAGTGAACAGACCCCAAACAAGTTCTTGGTAGATCAGGACAGACCCTCCAAGTGTCTGTATTTTGAAGGGACAGTCCTGGATTTACAGAAGCCGTCCTGGTTTCTGATTTGATCCCAGATTAGATTAGATTAGATTTAGATTTATTGCGGCCATTGGCCCATATCGATTTGATCCCAGAAAGTCCTGCTTTTCCTCAGGACATCCCTATGTCCATAGTAGAAATGTTGGAGGGTGTGGAGTTATTTCACCTCCGAGCCATCTGAAGATAGCCTTGTATAGGGTGTGGAGTTATTCGACTCCCAAACCATCAAAAGGCAGCCATGTATGGGAAAGTTTTTAATGTTTAGTGTTTTATTATGCTTTTATATATGTTGGAAGACAGCCAGAGTTGCAACGCAGTCAAATGGACAGGGTATAAATGGTAGAATTATTATTATGGGATAGGACTTCTCTGTTTTCATTGGTGAAATATTGGAGGGTATGTTGACAAACATCAGCTCCACAGTCACATTCCCCACCTGGCAACTTTCCATGGGTCCCATGTCACTGGTGGGCGGGGCCAGAGGCAAAGGTGCGATGAATGGATATTTTACCTCTCTACTGTAGGCTCCCTGATCCTCAGGTCTGCACCGAGTATCCAGATTGGCCCAGCTGGGTGAGACCAACTGCACTCTGCTCTCAGAGGTGGTTCAACTGGTTTCGTCGAATTGGGCATTGTGCTACAGGGGGTCCCACACCAATGCTGTGGAACGGAGCATGAGGGGGAGGGGCATGCGCCAAATTTTAGCATCGCACAGGGCGCTGCTGAAATCTGGGAGCCCAAAGACCGCCATTTCTGCTCTCCCAGGCAGGTCTCAGGGAGCCTGTTCTTGTCACTGTTGCAGGCTGTGTGTCTGTTCATCCCAATCTCTGCTCCTCATATGCCAGAAGGTGGCAGCAGAGACTGTGCCATTGAAAAACCGAGAAAGACTGTTTTCTTCAATAAGTTTAAGAAAGAACTTAAAGCTTAATAATTCTGTACAGTGGGGGTAGGGAAACTCTGGCCTTTCAGAAGTTGCTGGACTCCAACTCCCATCAGCCCCTACCAGCAAGAGCAATAGAAGGATGCAAAGAGCAGGCGGACCAATCGGCCCCTTTCTGTGCAGGAGGACATAGACAAGGCTGCCCGGAGTGCGCAGCTTGGTTTGTGCAGTCCTGATTAGTGGGTGTTCTTCCCCTCTTTTGAACTTCACAGTTATTTGTTTCATCGATTCATTTCATAATATTTCTACACCACTTGATTGTATTAAAAAAGCCTCTAGCAAGTTACAAAAAGATAAGAAAAGAAAAGAAAATGAAGAAGAATTCACAACATTACTTTAAAAGATAAAAAGTAAAAATACGAAGACAGACAGAACTTTCTAAGACATTTTAGGAATTATGAGCTTTATTTGTTCCTACACAGTCATCTGTCTATCCAGCCCGGGTTAGGAATGGTCCCAAGTGAGATGTTCCACACAATAAAAACCAACCTATTAAAAGCAGTGTTCCCAGGACCCTTCCTGATAGATGTCTTGCTGCAAAGAGTTCCTTCATGGCTGTCTCATAAGACTCTGCCTGAACTAAGGGCCAGTCTTGCTGCTTTGAGAAATCTCATTTATGCAAAATCTGCCCTTGGGCCCTTGGACTGAATGTCCTATGATGCTCTGCAGGATTTCCAAATCCCAATAGAGGCAATCGATGATCGCAGGAGATATTTGCATGAAGGGGCAGCTCTTCAGCTCTGGGGGATTTAAGACAGGAGTGAGGAAGTTTCCTTCAGAAGTTCAAACTCCTCTGGAGAGCTCACCATCATGTCTTCCTTTCTATTTCTCCTTGCTCTTCTTATTTACTGCTTAGGTAAAGCTGGGGAGGAGATCTCATGTTCCATTGGCCAACCAAAAGCTTTTATCATATTTACTTATTTGAGAACACTGAAAACGTTCCTTTTCTCAATTCTCTTAAAACAGGTGTCAACTCTCAGCCAACTTGCACTCAGCCTGCCTCTGAGTCTGTGGCGCCAGGTCAAACAGTTAAACTCTCCTGTACAACTAGTGATACAGGTGAGCGTGTTAGCTGGTATCAACAGAGATCAGGGCAGGCCCCTCGATTTGTGCAGCATGAGAGTAGCAGCAGGGGAGAAGGGATCCCGGATCGATTCACCGCTTCTCGCTCTGGGAACATTGGCTATTTAACCATCACCAACGTCCAGGCTGGAGACGAGGCAGTTTATTACTGTGGCAGATGGTATAGCAGTGCTAGTGGGTTCCACAGTGATGCAAACTGATGGGGAACTGAGACAAAAACCTTTCCTCTTCCACCAAAGAGCAGTGAGATGTGAATACCAAAAACAAACATCATCTAATCTGTGTCTACATCTGTTGTCAAGTCCATCCTACTCTGGATGGAACCAGAAGAGACAGAAAACTCTGCAGTCCCACCTCCTTCCTCACAGCAGGACCTTGGAGCTGCCAGCCCAGCACACCCTCAAGTCAGCCCTTCCTTGTGGATCAAAGAGCTGCTTTGAGAGAGTCAGGCTTCAGACTTCATATCGTTGCCAGATGGAAGTCTCTTTTAGGAATTGTGAGCTATAAGAGAAATGCCACCTGCTGACGGCTAGGTTGGGTCTTCATTGAGCCTATTATAATGTTCTTCTCATTTTCTGAGGAGTATTATTATTATTATTTTTAGTAGTAGTACAGGCTCAAGTTTTGTGTGTGTGTGTGTGTGTGTGTGTGTATATATATGTGTGTGTGTATATATATATATATATATATATATATATATATATGTATAACGGACCCATATCATAAAGATAACACAATCGCTAATAGGCCTCATTCCAAAAGGAAAGATGAACCCTGGAAAATGCCTGGAACCCCTGAAACCTCCCACCCCTTGGAGATTGGGGTGGCATGAAAAAAAAAGACCTTGTGCCTGCAATTGCTATCAAATCCAAGTTCTTCTGCCTCAAACTTGTAAGAGAGAAAGGACACATTTGAAGTCCCCCCTCCTCCTGGACAGCAGTACCCTGGACCTCTCAACCCAGCCCTCCATCACGTCTGTGCTCACAATCATCACCACCCCCTGGGCTGGATGGAAGCAGGAAGGCCGACAGGTGGGGGCTGGCTGGGCATTGTCTAATCTCATCATAAGCATCCTGCCTGCAAATCAAGATGTGCTCCATAGATTTTCTGGAAGAGCCATTTAGGCTCATTTGCTACCTTAATTTACAAAAGAAGCATCTGTTAGGACGTGGGTTGCATCTTGGATAGAGGAACATATCCCTTGACATATCTTCTAAATTTTCTGCCCAATCTCATGTCCTGGGAAGCAAGGAAAAGATTTTAACAGCCAAAGTCGGTTGCTTCCAGGTAGATGCAAGCTTTTATAGGTGGTTTTGCCTCATGCCTCCAACAGCAGCCAGGTGTATCATTTTCTATCTGTGTCTCTCCATGCCTGACTTCACCTGCCAGGAGCTTGCTGTGAAAGGTACAGAAGCAGCAGCACTAAAATAAATGGAGGCATCTTCTTCTATCTTCTTCTGGTAGTATTATGGAGGTTGTTGATGGCTTCCTGCAAATGTCGTTCAGAAGCATTGGTGTCGCTGTGGAGGAAGAGCATAGAAGAGCTCTGTCTACCCTAAGACCAGTTCATGTCAGGGACTGGGCAGTGAGTGGAGGAATGGTGGAGACCGCCTCCCCAGCCTGACCCTTTCAGAGAAGAAGAAGACAGTTCAGAATTACAGCAGGGGTTTGAGGGAGGTCACAGCTCAGAGGAAGATGAGGGGGCGGGGGAGTTGGGAAATGATGGGAGAAGAGGAGGGGGAAGCAGAGCCTGAGCAGCTGGTTGACATGTTATCACTAGAAAGCATTCCAGACCCACCATCTCCCAGAACCCGGCGAGCCTTAAAAGTAGGAGAGCAAAGGACTCAGAAGCAAAGGGCCCTCAGCGCCACCCGTAGAAGGGATGATGAATGAAGAAGGGGAGGGGAGATACACTTGGGGCAACACCATTATTCCAAGAGGCTGCATTCCCTCTCTCTGTAAATATTGAATAAAAAGCAGATGATAAGGAGTTTTACTTGTCTTTTCCGTTCCTGGCAACCTGCCCTGGGGATTGGTTCCTCTGCCACCTGAAAGTTCATGAGCTTGATGGCATTCTAGGACTTCTCACAGTCCTTGTGACAGGGAAAGCCAAAAGCAGCTCGAGATATTTGCATACAGGCCCAGGAATTTGCCTCCAAGTGAGAGATATAAGAGAAGAGATGATGGGATAGCAGGATGAGAAGCAAGTCATGGGTGTCCTTGCTGCAATGTTCTGGGTTCCTGTGGTTTTGTTCCTGGAGACACTTCTCTCAGGTGAGGTTACTTCAGCGAGACAGAGAAGAGTTGTATCAGTTCTCACTCAGGTGGTCAGGTAGGAAAAGGAGAGAAATTCAGTTTTGTTTGTTTTGTAATGATGAACTACCTAACGGACACTTCTCAAACCGATAGACAGCTATCTTTTGAAAGGCACGCTTCTCTGATTTGTGCAACGCAGTTCCGCAGCCAAAGAACACATGTACCAAGCTGCATATATTTGGGAGAACTGTATATCAAAATATTGACAAAAATAACATGAAAAAAATGCATCATGTATTTGTCCATGTTAGGCAAAACCATGTACAAAAATGTTCATATCGAGAGAAATTAAAATGGTGGTGAATTGAATTTTTGCAAAGATTACACACACACACACACACACACACACACACACAACAGCTAATTGTTTTCACAATATCTTTTCTTAAATATGAAATTGCTGTGGAAATGTGGAGATCTGAATTTAAGAAAAGAAAGGCAGAAAGAAAAGTGACCGATGAGTCCATCTCCAGTGGTCAGTAACATTCCCTATTATTTTCTTGCAGGTTCAGAGTCTCAGGTTATTGTTGTGACTCAACCAGCCTCAATGTCCGTATCCCTGGGATCAACAGTGAAGCTCGCATGTGCTGTGAGCAGCGATTTAAAAATCAGCAGCGAGAGGGTGAGATGGTATCAGCAGAAAACGGGTACCCCACGCCTTCTCTATCATTATTACACCAGTAGTGACCAGGGCAGGGGCTCTGGGGTCCCAGAGAGATTCAGTGTCTCCCCTGATTCCTCCAAGAACCTCTGGAATCTAGTGATCACTGGAGTTCAAGCTGAAGACGAGGCCAGTTATTACTGCTGTATATGGGATGGCAGGCCAATAGCGCAGCACTGTGATCCATCTCTATGGGGAACTGAGACAAAAACCTCTTAATGTCTCGCAGGGCACCAGCAGGCAACTCTGAATACAAGGCTGTGCAGCTGTCTAATGCCTTCCTGAATGACTAGTGATTTGATGGTTGTTCTGCACTGTTTTTGAAGAGTGTTTTTATTATTATTATTATTATTGTGCGTCGAGACCCCACAGTCACCCCCTCGTTGGGAAATAACTCACACCAGGACACAGATATTAGGTTTATGTTACTGGGCAAATTTTGGCCACAACTTTATTGAATTACAGAATGTGATCGGTATTGGCTTAGGCATTGATTGAACCCGACTATATCTGACTCCTGCCCACTGTGCAGGAAGTCCAGTAAGGGTAAGCCACTGGTAGGGGAGCCCTGTCGATGAGAACCAACGCAAGCTCCTTGGTGTTCCCGTCGGGGTCATGTCAAGGCCCTACCCCCCAGCCGGGTTTCAGACAAGATCAACACCCCCAGATTCCTTTAACGGAATACCCTTAAGCATGGAGGGGCAGGTGATGGCTACACCTCCCCCACACAAGGTCACATAATGCCTAACTGCAACCCTAATAAAGTTGTGACGATTGCTACGAGGTAGGCGAAAACCAAGTGGCCAGTGCCAATCTGCCAAGTGGAAAAATTCCTACCAGGACCCTTGGACAATCAAGGCGACCAACTGATGTCCATAGCAAGGCCAGTGCCTAACCTGCGAATAGGGAGGGAGGGTGAGTGATTGAGGATGCGAGCCAAAGGTTTAAACTCGCTCCTCGGTTTAAACTGTCCCAGCCACGCCCCCCGGCCAGCGGATTGGCTGGCCAGGCTCTGACGTGGCCGGGATCCCCCGGGCAATGGGGGACAAAGTCCCCCGCCCCGGTGGGGAGTGGGTGGCCATGCGGTCCACCACAACTCCTCCCCACTGGGAAGTGGAGCGGATTTATTATAAAAAATGTTGCTCTTCTACACCATCCTTTGCAAGAGGATAGCATACTTTTATAAATGTTTTTGCCTTTGTCCCCACCACTCCACGCTTGAAAAAGTTTTGTTAGACCAAGGAGCAATTAGAAGAACCCAAAGTTGTGAATATTCTGTCTGAGATGAAATCAGGAACACTCTTGGTTTAAGCCCACAAGTGAGCAATGATGCTTAAACAACAGCTGAAGAATAGGAAGCCTATTTGCATGCATTTGAATTTTCCTCTTTGCTGTCTTAAGTGCGAAGAGGAGAACTTTGTTTTCAGAGAAGCCTTTATCTCAAGAAGCCAGTTTTCTCCCCATTTCCCAATCATGGCCTGGGCTCTTTTCCTTCTGATCCTCTTCAGTCACTGCACAGGTAAAGGAAACTGATTTCCTAATGTAATCTTTTTCTGTATATATCCTTTCTATCTCCCAGGGAGCAGGCTTTCCCCCCTAGGCCAGTGTTGCCCAAAATTGGGTCTCCAGCTACTTTTGGACTAGAATTCCCATCAGAAAATATTCCTCTATGCCACAGGAGCAGCAAGGATCCTAATTGCTAAAAACTGGAAGAAAGAAACAAAGGAATGGCAAGACAAACTGTTAGAGTAAAATGAACTGGCTAGATTAACAGAGGCAATTAGAGATCACACTAGACAAGAGTTTCACAAAGCATGGGGGAAATGCAGAGAATACTTCACAAAACAGTGCCCTAAAATACATACCTGGACTTGTTTCGATTAATGTCTGCAGGAGCCTTTGTGGATATTTAAGTTATAATTAGAAAAATCTTAATAACTATTCATAAAGGAAACAGTTTATAAGGAGTAAATAAGGAGGCCAGATACAGGACAAAGGAAGTCTTTTATTTGGTTGTTTGTATTGTTGTATGTTATGCTCACTGTATGTTATGTTCACATTTAATGAGGGTGGCTTTGTGTATTGGGGGTGGGGCGGTTTGTGTTATGTTGTAAATAAAATTTCAATAAAATTGAATTTTAAAAAAATAGAATTCCCATCACCCCTGACTGCTCTTTCTAGCTAGGGGTGATGGGGGTTGTAGTCCAAAAACATCTGGAAACCCAAGTTTGGGAAACACTGGGCTAGGTCTTAGAGCAGTGGCGGGGAACCAGTGGCACTCCAGATGTTGCTAGACTCCAGCTCCTCTAAGCCCCAGCCAGCATGGTCAATAACAAGGGATGATGGGAGTTGTAGTCCAGCAGCTTCTGGATAGCCACCAGTTCCCTATCCCTGCTCTAGGTCCTAGAGTGCCTAGCCCATCATTCCTGACCACTGACCATACTGATGAGAGTCCAGCAACATCTAGAGCAGCGGTTCTCAACCTGTGGGTCCCCAGATGTTGTTGGACTACAACTCCCATCATTCCTGAGCTCTGGCCTTGCTAACTAGGGGTGATGGGAGTTGTAGTTCAACAACATCTGGAGACCCAAGGTTGAGAAAGGCTGATCTAGAGGGCCACAAGGTTCCCCATCCATTATCTAGACCAGTGTTTCCCACACATGGGTCTCCAGCTGTTTTTGGACTACAACTCCTGAAATATACTCGGAGTCGAGTGTGGATTTCATGCTCTTTATTCAGCTCATAGTAGTGAGGAATGAAGATTCCTCCAAAATATCTGCTTTATATACATTATTTACACAATGGGCCGCACGTGATTGGCTAATTCCGGGATTCTCCCGTGGGCCAATCAGGTTGTGGATTCACTTCCACCTGGAGCTGGATTGGGTGGCTCCTGCGGACCAATCATACTACTGCATTGTTCTAGGACCAATCAGACTGCTGCATTGTTCTAGGACCAATCAGACTGCTGCATTGTTCTAGGACCAATCAGACTGCTGCATTCTGAATCCTACTGTTCTAGGACCAATCAGACTGCTGCCTTTTGGATCCTATTGTTCTAGGACCAATCACACTGCTGCCTTTTGGATCCTATTCAACTCAGTACATAACAACTCCCATCATCCCTAGCTTGCAGGACCAGTGGTCAGGGATGATGGGAACTGTAGTCCAAAAACAGCTGGAGACCCAAGTCTGGGAAACCCTGACCAAGGCCGCCTTCTTTCCCCTTGGCTTTCTACCCCTTTGTCTTAGCTTGAAGTGAAAACCTGCATGGTGCCTATGCTTTCTTTCAGGGGGTTTGGCCCAGTTCGTGTTGACTCAGCCACTGCTCTTATCAGCATCCCCTGGAGAAACCATCAACATCTCTTGCACCAGGAGCAGTGGAAACATTGCGAGCTACGCTGTCTCCTGGTATCAGCAGAAGCCTGGCAGTTCCCCCAAGCCACTGATATTTGGCTTCAGCAGCAGATCCTCCGGAATCCCAGAGCGATTCTCCGGTTCCTTCGACGAGTCATCCAATTCTGCCACCTTAACCATCTCCAACCTTCAAGCAGAAGATGAGGCTGTGTATTATTGCTTGTCGTACGACACCACTGAACAGCCTACCATGTTTGCGATACAACCGTACACAGGAGTGGGAGAAGAACTTCCCGAGAACGGATTTTGCACTTTCGATTAAGGCTTGCTGACTTACAATTGCAGGAATGGGAAATATTTTAAAGGTGTTCCCACCCTCCCACCCCAGCTTATGAAAAGCTTTGTGTTTTTGCTTGTAATCTGATTGTACCTTTCTCTGGTTTCTCAACACATCTTTCTGTCTGCATGTTGTAAAATTGCAAAGATCCTCAAATTATCTATCTATATATTGCAATAAAGAGTTTGTGAATGTTTATTCAAAACCTGCCAAAGAGTCCAGTTCATTTTGTTGCTTCTTCAAATATTTTGTAAAAGGTTCCCATTCATCTTTAAAATCACAGTTATCCTTGTCACGTAGTTTGTGTGTCATAATGTTTTACTATGTTTTTATGTATGTGAGAAGCTGCCCAGAGTGGCTGGGACAAACCAGTAAGATGTGTAGGTTATAAATAGTAAAAATTATCATGATGGAATGGGACGTCCCTATTTTCATTGGAGAAATGTTGGGGGGTCTGCCATTGCTGCTACATGGGTGATGGATTGAAGAAAAGGAAATATGAATTGTCCCTGCCCCATAGCTTGACCAATCATGGCTAGGAGTGGCTAGGAGCTAGGTGGAGTCATAGATATAAATAAAAGTGTAGACATGTATTCACTGGGCAGCTTCTGTTTTGACTTGAAATGTTCATTTTGGACTTCTCAGAAGTAAAGGTAAAGGGACCCCTGACCATTAGGACCAGTCGTGGCTGACTCTGGGGTTGCGGCGCTCATCTCGCTTTATTGGCCGAGGGAGCCGGCGTACAGCTTCCGGGTCATGTGGCCAGCATGACTAAGCCGCATCTGGCGAACCAGAGCAGCGCACGGAAACGCTGTTTACCTTCCCGCCAGAGTGGTACCTATTTATCTACTTGCACTTTGACGTGTTTTCAAACTGCTAGGTTGGCAGGAGCAGGGACCGAGCAACGAGAGCTCACCCCGTTGCGGGGATTCAAACCGCCGAACTTCGGATTGGCAAGTCCTAGGGTCTGTGGTTTAACCCACAGCGCCACCCGCGTCCCTCTTCTCAGAAGTACATAATGGCAAGAAGCAGGCATTGCCAGCCCACAATGTCTCCCCCCCGGAGATGTGCCAAAACTGCTCTCCAGCTAAAACAAAGAAGCAAAGAAGCAAAGAAGCAAAGAAGCAAAGAAGCAAAGAAGCAAAGATGCAAAGATGCAAAGAAGCAAAGAAACAAAGAAGCAAAGAAACAAAGAAACAAAGAAACAAAGAAAGAAAGAAACCACTGCTAACTACTCAGAACACCAAAGGCTTCTGCACTGCTCTTTTTGCATTGCTCAATGTCATGGGTAGGCAAACTAAGGCCCGGGGGCCGGATCTGGCCCCATCGCCTTCTAAATCCGGCCCGCGGATGGTCCGGGAATCAGCATGTTTTTACATGAGTAGAATGTGTGCTTTTATTTAAAATGCATCTCTGGGTTATTTGTGGGGCATAGGAATTCATTCATTCCCCCCCCCAAAAAGTCCCCCCCCCCCCAGGTCTGAGGGACAGTGGACTGGCCCCCTGCTGAAAAAGCTTGCTGACCCCTGCTCAATGTCATATTTTGATCCTTGGTGCATTGACACCCCACCAGGTGGCCACTTTGAAATCATGGCACAAAATTAGAACTTTTTGTCTCCAACGCTGTAGTTGGCGATTCACATACACAAACCTCTGTGCGCATGGCTAGCTAGGTGTCCCAACTACATTTCACTGCACTCTCGGTTCTGAAATCCCTTGGGCCACCCCTTCTACACCTGCATATTTGTCCTGAACACCTGTAGCGTGATATCCTGTGCAGATACAGTGTGGTTTCCCTTTTAACATAGCGCATCTTGAACTTTTTCAGGCCTCCACCTTGTGGTTTCCCCATAACCAAATACCAAAAAATCTACTCTGACAGGCAAACGTGTGACATTTCTTAAACCTCTGTTGCTGTAGAAATGTTGAAGATATGGCAATAAATAAATGAACAAGTAAGTAAGCAAGTAAGCAAGTAAATAAATAGAAAGAAATTAATACATACAGTACATACATAAATATCGGGAAGTTTTTAATGTTTGATGCTTTTCTATGTTTTACATATGCTGTCAGCTGCTCAGAGTGGCTGAGGAAACCCATCCAGATGGGTGGGGTATAAATAATAATAATAATAATAATAATAATAATAATAATAAATCAAATTATTATTATTATTTAATGATGATGATGATGATGATAATAATAATAATAATAATAATAATAATAATAATAATAATAATAATTTGACCAAACTGCAAGAGGCAGTGGAAGATAGGAGTGCCTGGCGTGCTCTGGTCCATGGGGGTCACGAAGAGTTGGACACAACTATATAACAAATAATAATAATAATAATAATAATAATAATAATAATAAACGTAGTGGCAGTGGCATCATGTAGCCAGTAGGTGGCAATGTTGTCCCATATACATTTGCTTAAGTGGCAGTGGCATCATGTAGCCAGTAGGTGGCAATGTTGTCCCATACACATTTGCTTAGACACTGCTGTTCCACTCAACTATCTGTGCTATAACAGGTTCTTGCCTTGAACCGCCCCACTTCTGCGTTTTCCTGCAAATTGCAGAATAGTTCATTGCCATCCTTTTCTATTGCATGCATTTACTCCTCAAAAGCTTCTCTGTGATGGAATTGTTTTAAAAGTCTTTGTAATTCTGATTAAAGACACACTAGAAAAAGAAACACATACGCTTGCCCTACGTTTTGCTGTCAAATGAGCCCCATCAGCCGGTGACCCAACTCAGGTCTTGCTCATGCCTACTCAGAAGCAAAGGAACCCCCCCAAGCTGTCACTGTTTTGGGGGGTGAGACGAAACCACATGCTGGGAAAATTCAGGCTGTGCGATTATAATGGATCGGCTGGTCTTCTCCTGTATACCTGAAGGAGCGTCTCCACCCCCATTGTTCAGCCCGGACACTGAGATCCAGCGCTGAGGGCCTTTTGGCGGTTCCCTCGCTGTGAGAAGCGAAGTTGCAGTGAACCAGGCAGAGGGCCTTCTCGGTAGTGGCGCCCACCCTGTGGAACACCCTCCCACCAGATGTGAAGGAAATTAGCAGCTATCCTATCTTTGAAAGACATCTGAAGGCAGCCCTGTTTAGGGAAGTTTTTAATATTTAACGCTGTACTGTTTTTAACACTTGATTGGGAGCCGCCCAGAGTGGCTGGGGAAACTCAGCCAGATGGGCGGGGTATAAATAAATTATTATTATTATTATTATTATTATTATTATTATTATTATTATCATTATTATCCCATTTCACCCACAAGACTGGACTTTTTGATAAGGAATTGATGGGGAAGTGTACTGCATAACGCTTGTTTAAATCACCTAGCCTCCAAATCAGGAAGCTATGCAGAACTGGCAAAATTAACAGCAAAATTAAGAGAATCTAATGATAAATGTTTTCTGGAAGAATAGGTGCCTTTTCCGAAGTACTTAAAGAAATATTATAGTATGATGAACCCGAGAGCAGGATTTGAGCTAAGAGCAACAGAAGTAATTAGATTATAATACTGTGGTTACGATTTAAAAGACAGAAGGGTGCGGCCGAAGGGGAGAAACCACAACTCCTTGGAAAACAGGGTGGGAAGTTAATAAAAGTAAGAGAAAAGACAAAATTGTGATTCGATTGTAAATGTTAAAAATGTTGAAATTTACTAAAATATAATTGGGGGAGAATAATCACCTAACTTTCCTGCAAACCAATTTGAATGAATGAGTTTGTTGACACCCAGGAAAGTGGGTGCTGGTTTGCTTTCCCGCTGGTAGCTATGTTACCCTGCTATGTTCCAGGGACATTAGTTAAAGGGCAGGACATTTGCATGAAGAGGAAGCTCCCTTCTCGTCTGTGGGTTTAAGAGAGTTCTGAGAGGGTGCCAATCAGAATCTGTTTTGCTTCAGGAAGAATCTCTGCTTCCCCCCCAAGATGCTTCGAGCAATTCTTCTCCTTTTCATCCTTGAGTCTTTAGGTGAGGACATGACATTGATGCAAGGAAGAGAGATCCCCTATAGAAACCTTGAGTTGTCTAATGCATGGGTGGGGCACATTTTTCAGCTTGAGGGCCACATTGCCTTCTGCAGAACCTTTCAGGGGCCACATGGCTGTGGTAGGTTAAGCCAGAGGTATAAGTGGATGTGAACTCTGAAAGCTTTGTATAGGAAAGACCAGAGGCCATCCAGTGAAGCGAGAACACATTCCAGCCAAGCAAAAGTATTCAAGGTGGACGGGGATCAGGACTGGCTTGGGAAGAGCTCCATAGGCAAGAAAGAGTGGCATTGAGGTCCACCTTCATCCCCCAGTCCTGAAGTTTCTCTTCCTTCCACTAATGCAATGCTTGCAAATGTTTGGTGTCACCGTTTACTAAGTTCTCCCCTGCCTCATTCTCTTCCAGGTTCCAGTGCCCAGCAGCTGCAGCCCTTGAAGCCCTCAGAGACTGTGCCTCAAGGTGGGACCATCACCTTGTCTTGCAGACACAGTAGTGGGACGATCATGGATGCCTTCTACCCGCAGTGGTTCCAGCAGAAACAAGGGCAGGTTCCACGCCTGATACTTTACCAAACCAGCTCCAGGCCGTCCGGCATCCCAGCCCGTTTCTCCGGGTCCAAGTCAGGAAACGCAATGTCCCTGACCATCACAGGAGCCCAGGCAGAAGATGAAGCTACGTATTACTGCTGCGTGCTGCATCCAGGGGTGTCTTGCACAGCTGTTCATTCAGATGGGGAAGTGAGGCAAAAACCCTTTTAGCAGAAGCTATCTAGAGTTACTGGGACATGGGTGGCGCTGTGGGTTAAACCACAGAGCCTAGGGCTTGCTGATCAGAAGGTTGGTGGTTTGAATCCCTGCAATGGGGTGATCTCCCGTTGCTCAGTCCCAGCTCCTGCCAACCTAGCAGTTTGAAAGCACATCAAATTGCAAGTAGATAAATAGGTACCACTCCGGCGGGAAGGTAAACGGCGTTTCCCTGTGCTGCTCTGGTTCGCCAGAAGCATAGTCGATGCTTCTGACCTGGAAGCTGTACGCTGGCACCCTCGGCCAATAAAGCGAGATAAGCGCCGCAACCCCAGAGTCATTCGCGACTGGACCTAATGGTCAGGGGTCCCTTTACCTTTTATCTAGAGTTACTGCTGCACTCAAGTTCAGATTACTGGCTCCCCACGGTCATAGAATCATGGAATAATGGAATTGTAGCATTGGAAGGGATCCCAAGGATCATCTAGCTCAACACCCTGTAATGCAGGAATGTGCAGATTGAACCTGCAACCTTGATGTTACCAGCAGCACCCTCTAATCAACTGAACTATCCAGTCATCTGGTTAAAGGTAAAGGTAAAGGGACCCCTGACAATTAAGTCCAGTTGTGAATGACTCTGGGGTTGAATTCAGCTCACACTTAAGGGCAGACCTACCCAATTTGCTCTTCCCAAAAACAACACATGAACTGCGACACGGTCTTCCTTTGAAATTTGCTGCTCTCTGAATTTCACAATGCAGTTCTCCAGCTGAGTATAACTGCAAGAAAATGCATTTGCTAGGGCAAAGTGTGCATTTTTAAAATGGCAGATATTCGCGAACACAACATTAGCATCGCATTATGTGAGGGGAAATGCAAATATTATTATTTTTTGCATATTAGGGAAAGTGCAAACAGAGAAATTCATGGATGAATTTTCACAGGGACTTTTTAAAAAGTCAGAACGATGTGGAAATAAAGAGAATTGAATTGAAAAATGGAAAAATGAGAAAGTGAGACTGACAAATTTGTCTGTTCCCACTGCAAAGTGGGAGTAATATCTACCTAGGGTTGCCATATTTCAAAAAGGAAACGTTGTTGAGCTTTTTTTTAAGGAATACCCAGAAATTGTTGGGATGCAGAACCTCCTTTAAATATTAAAGTGGGTGTAGGGAATCTGGCCCTGTGGATGTTGCTGAACTACAACTCCCATCATCCCTGGCCATTGCCTATGCTTGCTGGGGCTGATGGGAGTTGTAGTTCCTCAACATCCCAAGGGCCAAATATTCCCCACACCCACCTTAATATGTAAAGCAGGTTCTGGATCTCAGCCCCAGCAACAGCTGGCTGCTCCTTTAAATGAAGCCCTGTATCAAATAACCTTCAGGACCGGGACCCCCAGCTCAGAAGTGTTTTTAAAAAGGGAGATGAATGCAAAAGGGCAGTAAGGGCAAGGGCAGTAGCTTCAGGGCTTGCACTGCACATGTGTCAGGAGCTCCACAAACCTACTAATTTGGCAGCTGCTGTGGGCAGCTTTCATTTGTGATTCAGTGTCTTTGCTGTCTGCTGGGATACCAGGAAGGAGGTGGAAGTCTTACAAGATGGTGAGCAAGGGGCAGGGACTAAGGGGGACTTTTGCATAGGGTTGGAGGGATGCTGCTGATTTAAGGCCCCCTTTTCCTTAAGGAGGGGAGCGTGGTTTTCGTGTTCACAGCTGTGCCAAGATTCTAGGGAGAACTCTTATTCTGAGGCCAGAGGAGGTTCCAGGGCTCTGGCTGGGAAAGCCCTTTTCCAGTGCCAAAGTTTAGCTCTTCCTAAATAATACCTTTGAGTGCAGAGAGAATCTCTCTCCTACAGAAGAAATCAACTGCATACTTACCTTAACACAGAGCATTTAAAGTGGTGCTTAAGGGTCTATGTAAAATGGACTTCTTGATCTGGAAGCCTCACTTCCAAATGCATTGATGGGCTGCGGTTGCGAGCAGGCTGTAGCTATAGGGGTGTGTGCATGTATACTCTGCACATGCCCAGAGACTTGTTTCCTCTTCCTCCTGTGTCGCATTCAAAACAGGCTCTAAAGTCAAGCAAGAGAAGGCTGAGATTATGGAGAAGGAATTCGAGGTTGTAACGTGTGTTATTATTCTCAGATAATACCAGAGTCCCAGCTAGCTGCAGAAGTGACTGCCTCCGTTTTCTCTTCCTTGCAAAGAGGCAATGAGAAAATTATGCACAGTTTCTGGGTCGATACCTTAGATCAGGGATGTGTTCTTCCAGATCCCACCAGACCACTGGGCATGCGAGCCGGGACTGATGGGCGCTGGAGTCCAATAACATGTAGACCTCGCCCTTCAGCCTGAGGGCCAGATGTGGCCCTCTAGACATCTTTAGGTGGCCCTTGGGCCACACCCCTCACTGGTCCTGCCCTGCGTCCTCCTCTAGTGATTACCTATCTGTCTGGGGTGTGTTCTTGAAGGGCAACCATGCCTTTGGTTTGCCTGTATGGAGAGTGGGGTGGGTTTGGCCACACCCACTTCTGCCACTCTCACCCATTGGAGGCCAACAGTAGGGGGCGCCAGAGCCAATGACAGAAGGAGCCAACTAATTCTTGTTTAGTCCCCATCTTCCTCCCTGCGGAGTTGTACAACGCCATTACTGAGACTGAGGGGAAAGGTGGCAGGGAGAACCACCCCTTGGACTGGTTGAAAGTAAAAAGTGTTATAAGAAAAATACCTCTAATTCCCTTGTGGAGTATCTAGAGGCCGTATAGAGTCCCTCAGGAGATCTCTATCAGTCGGAGAGAAAGCAGAGGCCAACCGGAGTACATTGGAAGCAAAGCGGCCACTAAGCCTGATTAAGGAAAATAAACTGTTGCAACAGGGTCCCCACTCCACCACACGCAGGAGGGAGGAGAACCCCCAAAAATTGTGCGCAAGCTCCTATACAGTGGTACCTCGGGTTAAGAATTCGTTCTGGAGGTCCGTTCTTAACCTGAAACTGTTCTTAACCTGAAGCACCACTTTAGCTAATGGGGCCTCCTGCTGCCGCTGCGCCGCCGGAGCACGATTTCTGTTCTCATCCTGAAGCAAAGTTCTTAACCTGAGGTACTATTTCTGGGTTAGCGGAATCTGTAACCTGAAGCGTATGTAACCTGAAGCGTATGTAACCCGAGGTACCACTGTAAAGACTTGAAATTGCCCACCTTGTAACCCAAGACCACCCCCCAAAACATCATACATGCATCACAGAAGGAGGCTGTCTCCAGCAGAAATTTGAGTGTGTTGCTTCTCTCCTGTCTGCCAGGATACCTGATAATGCCTTAAGGTAAAGGGTAAAGGGACCCTGACCTTTAGGTCCAATTACAGACGACTCTGGGGTTGCGTCACTCATCTCGCTTTACTGGCCGAGGGAGGTGGCATACAGCTTCTGGGTCATGTGGCCAGCATGACTAAGCCGCTTCTGGCAAACCAGAGCAGCACACGGAAATGCCTTTCACCTTCCTGCTGGAGCGGTACCTATTTATCTACTTGCACTTCGTGCATTCGAACTGCAAGGTTGGCAGGAGCAGGGACCGAGCAATGGGAGCTCACCCCGTTGCGGGGATTTGAACTGCCGACCTTCTGAACGGCAAGCCCTAGGCTCTGTGGTTTAACCCACAGCGACACCCGTGTCCCTGATAATGCCTTACATGACTGCATTTTCTGGGTAGCCTGGCCATTCCTTTGAGATGGTAAATACTTTAGTTCCTGAATCTTTTACACATATTAATAGTGTGCTCAGTTTAACAGATACTTGCTAGACTGTATTTGCAGGGAGGTGCAGAGGCCCCTCCAGTCCAAAGACAATTGGAAAGCGTTTCCCATTTCCTTCCTCCTTGCAGATAAATATTTGAGTTCAATTTGGGAGAGTCAAAATGGCTTGCTCTCCTATACTATTTCGGACACGTGGTTTATATACTTATGTATGTTTGTTTGCCTTGTACAATTATGAACATTTATTCTATATTTGAGACCTTAGAATTCTTATAACGAAAGACAGGCAGGGGATGATAGGCTGAGGTTAGTGGAGCAGCGCCCCAAAGTTTAAACCTCTATTGCATTAGAATGACGTTCTTTTGGGGTTCCCCCCAAGCCAGGCATAATAATAATAATAATAATAATAATAATAATAATAATAATAATAATATTTATATCCCACCCTCCCCGGCCGGAGCTGGGCGGCTAACACCAGTAAAATTACAGTAAAAACATAATAGGAAAAAAAACCCCCAATTTAAAATACAGGCTAAAATGCAATTTAAAATGCAGCCTCATTTTAAAAGTAGCCCATGGATCAAAACCATAAGGGGAGGGAAACATAAGGGTCAGACTGAGTCCAAACCAAAGGCCAGGCGGAACAGCTCTGTCTTTCAGGCCCTGTGGAAAGATGTCAAGTCCTGCAGGGCCCTAGTCTCTTGGGACAGAGCATTCCACCAAGTTGGGGCCAGTACTGAAAAGGCCCTGGCCCTAGTTGGGACCAATCTAACCACCTTATGACTTGGGACCTCCCTCCAAAATGTTGTCATTTGTAGACTTTAAGGTCCTCTGTGGGGCACACCAGGAGAGGCGGTCCCATAGGTACGAGGGTCCTAGGCTGCACGTGTCTTTTGAGCTGCAAAAGGTTCCTTTCCCCTGCCCTAGAGGCTGTCACATATACAGGGAAAGGGAGAAAATCTATGAAATTCTGTGTCCCTCGAGGGGTGCTGCTAATATCCGCAACTAATAAACCACAGGCCTCTGAAATTCAGAGCTGCAATCATAGTCTGCAATCTTAAACCCACTCACTGGAGAGACAACTCTCATGGCGCTGATTGAGACGTCCCTCTGTGCCACGAACACTCATAGGAACCCAGTTAAGAGAGTCTTTCTTGAGTACATAGTTGACTAGACTCAGTTAAGATTGCACACATTCCTTTCATTGTCATGTGATAAACTCACAAGATTTTGGCAAGTCTTTCCTGGTAAGTGCATATGTGTTTGCAGAACTGGGGCGATTAGAAAGATAAAGCGTTGATGGAACAATGCCCCAGATTTTGCCATTTCTTTGGTTTTTGTTCCAAGAAATAGTTTGTACTAGGACCAGATCACTATCTCTGTGAAAGGTTAGGGTGGAGGGTGATGTTGTGAAATGTTACATAGTCCCTTCATTAAAAGGTGGGGGGAGAACCTAGACTTTTGCCCATCTTGAAGTTTATGATAAATGTCCTTTTCTGTTTATTTACTAAAGCCTTTCTACCTGCTCTTCATCCGAAAAAGGCTCCCGGAGCCACTTTCGTAAGATCCATATCAGGTGAGATAGATACACAAGGAAGTGGGAATGGGGAGGGAAGAGGAAAGCAAGCAAGCTCTTGAGGTTATCAGATTCTTACAATGACTGTCCCCAGCACTGTGGAGACTACTTGTACCTGGGATCACGTGTGAACAAGCCTAAAGTCTAACATTTTTTGTTGGCGTTTTCGTTTCTACTCTTCCCTCACCGGGCTTGAAAAAAACAAAACAGTTGGTGCTGGTGATTGGAGACCTTCACATTCCTCACCGATGCAACGCTCTCCCCGCCAAGTTCCGGAAACTCCTGGTTCCTGGAAAGATCCAGCATATCCTCTGCACGGGGAATCTCTGTACCAAGGAGACCTACGATTATCTACGGACGTTGGCCGGGGACGTCCATGTGGTCAGAGGGGACTTTGATGAGGTAGGGGCACAGCTTCAAAACTTTGTTACTGGCTGCTGTCGCAGGAAAACCCCCCCCCATCATTCAGTTTGTACAAACTCGGCACACACACACACTCACACACGACATACGCTACGTGTCTGTTATAAATTCATAGAAAATCAACCATACATCGGATCTGCACCGTTCCACTTTTATTTTACTCCATGAAGGAAGGACTACAAAATGGGAAAGGTTTGATACAGGGCAGCCATAATTCCTTGAGCATACCAGCACATACACAGGAGCCCTACTGAGTTGGCAACGCAACCTTGATGGTCCCAGACAGAAGACCATCAAGGTCACAAAGGACTTGCATATGGGAGTGGATTCAACATGGACTGGAACAAAGGACAATGATCAGGTCTTCCCTCTGGGGGCAGGAAACTGCCAGCTCCCCTTTGTCCTCTGGAAATGACTCATGGGGAGGGGGAAAGGAGGGACCAGCCAGGTGACAAGATACTCAGGTTACCTCCACAACTCCTCCCTCAACCCCTCCTTTTTGTGATGTGTCAATGATGTAGTCATGATGTAGTTGTGATGTAGTTCTAGGGGTGTAGTTTGGGGGTTTAGTAACTAATAAAAGTTGGGGTCTTCTTTTGTACTGGGCTTCCATTTTGTTTCACCTGGTGGCAGGTGGGAGTCCTGTCGCGACAGTCTTCAATAAAGACCAAGCCTACTGGCGGCTGTTTTGCTCTGGTATTCCTGGCTGGTGTCCTTGTTTTTTTTGACCAAGGGAGCCCTCGGATTTCTCCGTTAACACTGCCAGTCTGGGAAGATGTAAATGGGCAGCTCCTTGCAAGTCACATTTCCACCATATGTCTAAAGCACTGTGATACCCCTTTAAACAGTTATGGTTTCTCCCAAAGAATCCTGGGAGCTGTAGTTTCAGAGTGTCGAGAGTTGTAAGGAGGTCCCCTTTGCCCGAACTACAATTTTCAGAGTTACCTGGGAAAAACCACTTTGGGAATTGCAAGGGGAATAGGGGAGTCTCCTAAAACTCACCCTGAACAAACTAAAGCTCCCAGAATTCTTTGGGGAAAGCCATGACTGTTTAAATGTACAGTGTGGCCTATATAATAATGTGTACCCCCTCCTGGAGAATTATACCTGGGGGTGGGAGAAGAGACTGCTTCCTCCATGTACCTGTGCGGGCAGCCACCCCCCACCCTTGGTACAATGGACAGAATCTTTCCCAATCCTAGTAAGTTAGTGTAGTGTTCAATGGTGATGAGACAACAGTTTCTCTGGTTGGAGATGCAAGATGCCTTTTTCTTTTCTTTTCTTCTAAAAATTATATTAAATTTCTGTTTTACATTTTAGAATATTCAGTTAAGCAACCTTAATATCAATGACTTCCCTTCTCTTTCCATGGTACATTTTGCAGATCACAAATCCCTGCATATTTTACAAAAACCAAACCATTCCGTATTCCATTATTACATCCATCAACACTTATTTGTGCTCTTGAATTTATCTTAAAGCTGCCCATGTTTTTAAAATACACACAATTCCCCCCCATATAGTCAATAAACATTTTCCAATCTTCTTTAAATGTATGTTCTTCTTGTTCTCTTATTCTATATATTAAGTCCGCAAGCTATGCATATTACATCAATTTAAGTTGCCGTTCTTCTTTAGTTGGTACTTCGCTTGTTTTACATTTTGGGGCGAACAAAACATGGGCCGCAGTAGTGGCATACATAAATAACCTTTCCTGACACCTGGGAATTTACGTCTGAATTATCCCCAACAGAAAGGACTCTGGGTTGTTTTTTTAAAGTACTTTTAAACATTTTTTTTCCAATTCATTATGAATTATTTCCCAATATGCTTTTTCTCAAGATTTAGCCCAGAAATAAATGCCATATTTTTTGCTCTTTAAAAAATGCACCAGACCATAAGACGCACCTAGTTTTTGGAGGAGGAAAATAAGAAAAAATATATTCTGAATCTTAGAAGCCAGAACAACAAGAGGGATCGCTGCGCAGTGAAAGCAATGATCCCTCTTGCTGTTCTGGCTTCTGGGATAGCTGCGCAGCCTGCATTCACTCCATAAGATGCACACACATTTTCCCTTACTTTTTAGGAGGGAAAAAGTGAGTCTTATAGAGCAAAAAATACGGTACACTAGAAGGAACCTGTGTGTATTTATTTAAAAATGAAGGGGTCTGACCTTGTATTGTTGATTCTGACCTGTGCATCAGTTAACAATTAACCACCTCCTCCTTTTCTTTTTCTTTCTTCAGGGAACAAGTTACCCGCTGCAGAAAATAATCCTGGTCGGGCCATTCAGAATCGGCTTGATCCATGGCCATCAAGTTATTCCCTGGGGCGATCTGGACAGCTTGGCCATTTTACGCAGGCAGCTCGATGTGGATATATTAATTTCAGGACATACGCACAAATTTGAGGCTTTGGAGCACGAAAACAAGTTATACATCAACCCAGGATCAGCCACAGGAGCTTACAATGCCTTGGACAGGTGAGACGGTAGATCTTTCAGCTGGGGTCTGACCTTTGATCCATCTAGCTGGCAGCAACTTTCCAGGGTTTCAGGCAAGGTGTCTCTCTCAGTCTTACCTAGAGATGCCAGGAATTGAACCCAAGACTTTCTGCATGCAGAGCAGATGCTCTATCCTTGAGCTAGGGCTCAGGGCAGAGGAATCCATGAGGGAATGCATAATATGTGCATTTGTGAAATATACAGTAGTACCCTGATTCCCGAACAGCTTGGTTCTCGAAGAAATTGGCTACTGTTAACGGAAAAATCCGAGGGCTCCCTTGGACAAAAACAAAGACACCAACCAGGATAACTTGAAGTAAAACAGCAGCCTTTATTGAAGACTGCCGCGACAGGACTCCCACCTGCAACAAGATGGAGCAAAATGGAAGCTCCGAACAAAAGAAGACCCCAACTTTTATTAGTTACTAATCCCCCAAACTACACCCCTAAGATTACATCACAAAAAGGAGGGGTTGAGGGAGGAGTTGTGGTGGTAACCTGAGTGTCCTGTCACCTGGCTGGTTCCTCCTTTCCCCCCTCCCCATGAGTACTTTCCAGGTGACAAAGGGCAGCTTGCAGTTTCCTGCCCCCAGAGGGAAGAGCTGATCATTGTCCTTTGTTCCAGTCTGTGCTGAATCCGCTCTCATATGCAAGTTCTTTGTGATCTTGATGGTCTTCTGTCTAGGACCATCAGGGGTGGCATAGCAACTGGGCAGGGCCTCGTATGTATGTGCTGGTATGCTCAAGGGATTATGGCTGCCCTGTATCAAACCTTCACCATTTTGTAGTCCTTCCTTCATGGAGTAAAATAAAAGTGGAACAGTGCAGATCCAATGTATGGTTGATTTTCTATGAATTTATAACAGAAGTGTAGCGTATGTTGTGTGTGTGTGTGTGTGTGTGTGTGTGTGTGTGTGTGTGTGAAGTTTGTACAAACTGAATGATGGGGGGGGGGGTTCCTGCGACACTACCGAATGCCGCAAACTCAGAAGTAAGTGTTCCTGTTTGTGAACGTTTTTTGGAAGTCGAACATCCGTTTTGGCTGTTGGCATTGTTTCCAGGGCCAACCAGAAGCCATGCCTTGCTTTGTGAACATTTTGGAAGTCGAACGGACTTCCAGAATGGATTGAGTTCGGGAACCAAGGTACCCCTGTACAGTCGTATCTTGGGTCTCAAACGCCTTGACTCCCGAACGAATCAACTCCCAAACAATTGAAACCCGGAAGTGAGTGTTCTGGGTTTTGGAAGCCAAACATCTGACAGGGCATCCGTGACTTCTGATAGGCTGCAAGAGCTTCCTGCAGCCAACCAGAAGCCGCGCTTTGGTTTCTGAACGTTTTGGAAGTCAAATGGATTTCCGGAACGGATTCCGCTCGACTTCCAAGGTATGACACTATTCTATAACCTGCCTATAACCTTCTTGTTTAGACATTCCTTCTGAGATGTTTAGGAAGCTGAAGTGATTTTAATCTGTTTTAGTATTTTAACTTTCGTATGTTTCAAAGTATGGTTGTGAATTTTAATTGATTTATTGTTTTATCTTTTTGTAAACCGCTTTGAGGGTTTTGTTTTGTTTTTTTACAATCAAGCATTGTATAATTTTTTTATGAAATAAAAGAAAACAAATATGCTGCATACAGAAAATTCTGCAACCCTAGAATTCTGCAACTGAATATCTGAACGCAGAATTTTAGGGCATTATTCCCTCCCTGCTTGGCTCAGACTGACCATGTACTTGGAAGAAAATCTGCAATGTCCTCTATTAATTATCCATTAGCTGGTGCTGGTAATTTTTTTTTTTGAGAACTGCTGCAACATTTCTAACACAAATTATTTTGTGACTTCCAGAAACATCACTCCTTCCTTTGTACTGATGGATATCCAGTCCACCGTAGTTGTGACTTATGTGTACCAGCTCATTGGAGGCGATGTGAGGGTGGAAAGGATTGAATACAAGAAGCCTTAAATCAAGCTGCCTCTTCCTCTCATATGCTTCTTGCCACCGACGGTTTTGACCATTCATAAATGCCAAGCGGCTGGATATTATTGGAGCATTTCAGTGGGAATTTTGTGCTTGTAACTGCTTGTGATCTCTTTCAACTGAAACACGTAGGAGCAATAAACCTGTTGCAAAATGAACTATATTCCATATTTTTTTAAAAAAAAAAGAAGAGGAAAAAAAAGAGGAGGATAGGTTTGGAAATGTCATACAGTGGAGTCTGGACCATTTGGGCAAATGATTCCCTGTTCCACCATCCTCAATCTGTTCTCTGCCAGCCTCTACTCTCTTGCCTTCTTACAATATCCAGTCCGGTGTGTGTGTGTGTGTGTGTGTGTGTGTGTGTTCCTGGCTATCACCCTCCTTTCCCCCCTCTGTGTTAAGCTTGTACAACTCAGCAAGGGGGGAGGAACAGTGGGACAAAACTAGAATAGGTTGGCTCTGCCTGCCGCTGGCTCTGGCTCCCTCTACTGTTGGACTCCCTGCCTTCTACCCTACCAGTCTCTGAGGACCAGCCACTGCATAGCATTCCATGAATATTTGCTTAGGATTAGGAAGTAGGAAGGTCTGAAGGGTGACAGGAGCACAGAAACGTAATATAGGCAGGAGAAATACTCATGTGTATCTGATTTTTCCCCATATGCATGCACACGCACCTATAAAAAGACCATGTGAAGTGCATAAGTATTGATCAAGGTCATTGGGTTGCAGCTAATGCTAGTCCTACTTACAGTATTAATAATTGATAATTGATAATTGATGATAATTGATAATTATACCCAGTGCTTTTTTTCTTAAAACTGTTTAGAGGTACTCTCATTTTGACTCAAGAAAACCACCATTTTATAGTTCAAATCAGGAAAAATAAATGGACAAAAGTACGAAGATTCACAAAATGTTTAGGGGGAAAAAACACTGTTTATACCCCACCCATCTGGCTGGGTCCCCCCAGCACAGAAAATATTGTAAAACATTAGACATTAAAAATTTCGCGATACAGGGTTGCCTTCGGATGTCTTCTAAAAGTCAGATAGTTGTTTATTTCCTTGACATCTGATGGGAGAGCGTTCCACAGGGTGGGCGCCACTACTGAGAAGGCCTTCTTAGGACCTAAGTTAGTCATGTCCATTAATTTCAGTGGGTCTGTTCTAGGTCGGACTAGTACTGGAGACAACACTATGAACAGAATCAGGTTTGCCCTCCCACTTCTAATAGCACAATGCATCTGGTCACGTTTGCATCCAACCAGACTTCTGTAGTTCAGATGTCATGAGTGGATGGGGCCAAATGGAAAAGTGGACTGAGTATAGCAAGAAGTGAGGTTGCAGGGAACCAAGCAGAGGGCCTTCTCTGTAGTGAGTTTTCAATTTTATATGTGCTGTAAGTCACTCAGAGTGGCTGGGGAAACCCAGCCAGATAGGCGGGGTATTAATGTTGTTGTTGTTGTTATTTATGATCAACATCTTTTACCTTTTTGTAGTAGACTAGTTTTGCACCCCTCTCTGACCTCCATCCAGTAAAATGAGAGGCTATAGCTGGAGCTTGTTGTAAGCTGTTCAAAAAGATGCATAAATTCTTTGCAAAAACAAGAGTTAGCTACCCCTGGACTTAGACCAAGCCAAACTTTTTTCAAAGAGGGCCAGATTTGATGAAGCGAACATGCATGAGGGCCAACCGGAGTTGTTGACCTTTTTTTAGGAAGATTTTTCACCCCAGGAGATAAACTGCCACAAGGGCTGGATTAAACCGACTGGCAGGCTGGATTAGGCCCCCAAAACGGACTTTGGACATGCCTGATTTAGAGGAACTATCTGTTGCCTTTATAGCATTTGTGAACCAGGATGGTTAAGGCATTGAGGACAGACAGGAGAGATGTATTTGCATATCTTTGCATTCACCACCTCACAGGGTTTAAGTCAAATCAGAAAGGCTCTTTTCAGAGAAACCTTTTGCTTCAGAGGAAGCCCAACTTCCTTGCATTCCTCCACCATGGCTAACATTCCTCTCCTCCTCGTCCTCCTTTTCGCTTTTTGCAGTGGTAATGTAGTGAATTTGTTGTTTGTGTTTTGAAATGTTCCACCTCTTTTTTCCTCCTCCTAGAAATATACTTTGAGAAGAGGACTTCCTCTATTACCTTGCTCTCTGTTGGGTTTTCTTCCCTTTTCTCGTGGCTTGGATGGAACAAATGTTTCTCTCTATTTTCTCTGCTTTCTTTCAGGGGTCTTTAGCCAGTTTGTATTGACTCAGACACCTTCGCTGTCAGTACCCCCTGGAGAAACGGCCACGATCCCCTGTACCAGGAGCACTGGGAAAATTGCAGACTACTATGTATCCTGGTACCAGCAAAAGCCAGGCAGTGCCCCCAAACTGATTATATATCAGCACAGCACCAGACCCTCTGGAATCCCAGACAGATTCTCTGGTTCCTATGACACCTCAGCCAACTCTGCCACCTTAACTGTCTCCAACCTTCAAGCAGAAGATGAGGCTGTTTATTACTGTTTATCGTATGACAGCAGCAGCAAGTGCACAGTGATAGAACCACATAGGGAAGTGTGACAAAAACCTCCTTGCAGATGATGGGCTTCTTTTGGCACTGGCTGCAGCTGATACTGAACTATGTCAAAAACCACTCCTTTGGGGGACTGTTCTCAATGAGAAGAGATTTGGTGAAATTATCACAGTGGGGTGCATGGTAAAAAATGAAGCAAAATACTATTTTAACACAGTACAATATGATCAGGATCCTTCACATAATGAAGCCGACAGCAAATTTCTCTCTCTCTCTCTCTCTCTCTCTCTCTCTCCAAAGTCCATGTGGAGCAGGCCCAGAGGTGGTCTCTGCCTGCCTCCCTCTCTCCAGGAATCCTTTCCCACCTGTTTATATACCTGTTTGGCAGGAACTCGTGATCCAAAACACTGTTCCGGTATGATCACATCTTATCAGCCTCTTAGAAATCCTGTGGAACCTCACATTTATCTAGCCCTATCTGAGAACCCATTTCATTTATCAAATGGGTCCTTTGTTAGCTGGGATTTGTTTTTGTTTGTTTTTGAATTTATTTATTTGGTTTTTCAGGCTAAAGTTTTACAATCACATATCCAACATACAACATAAAAACAAGATTCCAAAGAATCTCCTGGACTTCCCCCTCCTCCCATTTGTGGGTCCTATTGTTAGTCATTTCCTCCTGCATCTTTTATAATAATCCAAATCCTTTACATCTCCATTATGTCCAAAATTCACCATTAAACTACAAGTGATATTCCAATCCTACTAATGATTTTTGCTGTTTACATTGGTTTTTAAGATAAGTTATAAATTTCCCCCATTCCCTATTGAAAGTTTGGTCTTCCTGAGTTTTGATTCTTGCAGTCATTTTGGCCATTTTGGCATAATCCATCAACTTGATCTGCCATTCTTCTCTGGCAGGGACTTTATCTTCTTTCCATGTCTGAGCCAATAACATCCGCACAACCATGGTCATATACATAAATAGTTTTTTCTGTTCCCTTGAGATTTCGGCACCTTGAATTCCAAAAAGAAAGGCTTCGGGTTGTTCTGTGTTTTTTTTAAGAAAAAGTTATTTTAAACATTGTTAGTTGGAATTTGAATCTTCTCATCCAGGTGATCGTCTTTATTTCAAGGCTCCCCAGTCTCAGTGCTTCTGGATGTAGAAGGATTCTGATGCCTTTGTTGGAGTCTTGCCATCTTTCTAACGGGTCACTGGAAGCCAGTGTGGCGTAGTGGTTAAGAGCAGTAGTCTCGTAATCTGGGGAACCGGGTTCGCGTCTCCGCTCCTCCACATGCAGTGCTGGGTGACCTTGGGCCAGTCACACTTCTTTGAAGTCTCTCAGCCCCACTCATCTCACAGAGTGTTTGTTTTGGGGGAGGAAGGGAAGGGAAGAATGTTTCCTCTTTGAGACTCCTTCGGGTAGTGATAAAGCGGGATATCAAATCAAATCCAAACTCTTCATGTGCTTGTGCCTTCAATAACAGCACTTAAGCTGGTGAACTTTATCCTGTCACTCGCCCCCATTTTGAGAGAAGTTTTGCCCTGGAAATGTCAGTGTGCCAGGCTGCTTTTAGAACTGTGATACCTGATACCTGCCATCCTGTCTTGAATCTTTAGGGGTTGCTGTCAGACCACTTTCACCAGATTTAGCAGCAATGTATGTTCTTGTAAATTCCCTGCACCTGCGGTGCCAAGTGAAGCAGAAGAGTGCACAATATTTGTGAATAAATCTCTTGGGTCTTCCAGCTCCTTCCTGCACAGAGATCAGGTGCTGATAATCTGCATCTCTCTCTAATTTCAAATTTGTTACACTGGGCTGACCCTAAGAGATATTTACACATTACATTTAAGAATTACATTACATTACAGTGGTACCTCGGGTTACAGACGCTTCAGGTTACAGATGCTTCAGGTTACAGACTCTGCTAACCCAGAAATAGTACCTCGGGTTAAGAACTTTGCTTCAGGATGAGAACAGAAATCATGCAGTGGCAGCGCAGCGGCAGTGGGAGGCCCCATTAGCTAAAGTGGTGCTTCAGTTTAAGAACAGTTTCAGGTTAAGAACTGACCTCCAGAATGAATTAAGTTCTTAACCTGAAGTACCACTGTACTTATCTTTTTGGTTTTGGCACCTAGATGTGTACAAATATATTTCTTTGTATCCTTACCTGAACAGTAATTGAGAAGCATCAGGAAAAACAGAACCCAGGCCATGGTGAACTCTCAAAAGTGAAGTGGGTTTCTGAAGCTAAGAGGCAAAGGGCAGGGACCCCACTCTTTCCTTTCTTAAAGTTTTTAACCCAAGGTGCCACTGTACATTTAAGATGCATGTGGAGCTGTGGTCTAAAGCCCTGAGCCTCTTGGGCTTGCCACCATCCATCCTCCAACCGCCTCCAGACACTCACATGAAGTTCTAGTTAAGCCAATGAGCTCAAGCTTGATTTGCATGGAGGGACCATTCATTGGCTCTGACAGATTTAAGAAAGGAAAGAGTGAGGTCCCTGCCATTTGCCTCTTAGCTTCAGAAAGCCACATCACTTTTGAGAGCTCACCATGGCCTGGGTTTTGTTTTTCCTGATGCTTCTCAATTACTGTTCAGGTAAGGATACAAAGAAATGTATTTGTACACATCTAGGAGCCAAAGCCAGGGGATGTGGGTGGCGCTGTGGGTTAAACCACAGAGCCTAGGACTTGCTGATCAGAAGGTCGGTGGTTCAAATCCCCGCGACGGCATGAGCTCCCGTTGCTCGGTCCCTGCTCCTGCCAACCTAGCAGTTCGAAAGCACGTCAAAGTGCAAGTAGATAAATAGGTACTGCTCCAGCGGGAAGGTAAACGGCGTTTCCGTGCGCTGCTCTGGTTCCCCAGAAGCAGCTTAGTCATGCTGGCCACATGACCCGGAAACTGTACGCCAGCTCCCTTGGCCAATAAAGCGAGATGAGCGCCGCAACCCCAGAGTCGGTCACGACTGGACCTAATGGTCAGGGGTCCCTTTTCCTTTACCTAGGAGCCAAAACCAAAAAGATATGTACCGTGGTACCTCAGATTAAGAACTTAATTCGTTCCAGAGGTCTGTTCTTAACCTGAAACTGTTCTTACCTGAGGTACCACTTTAGCTAATGGGGCTACTTCTGGGTTAGCGGAGTCTGTAACCTGAAGTGTCTGTAACCTGAAGCGTCTGTAACCTGAGGTACCACTGTAATGTTAGTTTATAACAGAAAACCAACACTCATATAATAACTGAGAACATACAATATAGAGAATCACTTTCTTCTTCTTTCTTCCTTGTAAACAAAGGTGTCATTTCACAGCCAACAATGACTCAGCCATTCTCCCAGTCTGTTCCCCTGGGCCAAACTGCAAAACTCTCCTGCCCTAGAAGTGGTGGCAGAAATTGGAACAGCTATAGCTGGTATCAGCAGAAACCTGGAGAGGCTCCTCTCTTTGTTCTCTTTGGTGCTGACGAGAGGGGAGAAGGGATCCCAGATCAGTTCACTGGCTCCGAATCTGGGAATACTGGCTATCTAACCATCTCCAACATCCAGGCTGAAGACGAAGCAGTTTATTACTGTCATGACTTGGAGGGCACCAGTGATGTGGGCTTCGTAAGTGGTACCAACATCCAGAGTGCTACAGCCTGATGGGGCACCAAGACAAAACCTGCACACTTCCTCCCTAGTGTTAAAACCCAGACTCATTCAAGCATTGAATGGAGCCCGAATGAGTTTTGTTTATTTTTTTTGCCATATATGGGTGATGATCGTTGTTTTGATGCATCCATGCTACTGATGACCAGACTTCACTTGAAACATCTGTTGGTGAAGTGAAAAACTGTGGCTGACAATTTCTGCATTCATTCCTCGCTCCTTTCTGGAATTCCCTGTGTGGGAATGTTGATTCATTCACACTTGGTGTCAGGGATGTGGCTGAATCGAACGCCTGGGAAGAGTCTGGTGGAGATGAAGGAATGTCAGTACAAAGGGAGCCAGAGCCTGACTATGGAGACGAGGGGTTGCAGCCGCAGACAGAGCAGGTTAGTTTGGCCCCCCTTCATCAAGAATTCCCAGACTCAGATAGAGCAGCAGACTTGGAGAGCTCATAGGCAGAGGGAGGGGAGGAAATAGATGACATTGAGGGGTTGCTATGCAACCAGGAGGGAGAGTACATTTAGAGGGGTCTTCGTTTGATGGGGGCGGGGGGAGTTCACTCACCTTCTCCCTGAACCAGGAGAGCTGAAAGGCTTAAAATGCAATGGAAGTACAAGAGAGGAAGGACTGGACTTTGGCGCCCTTTGTGCTGCAAAAGGGGCGGAGACTCAGAGTGACTGACTTGTAGCTAAGAGTGGCAGGTTCGGAGCTGTGCTCTGGATGTAAATTGTAAATAAACATACCATAAAACTGCCAGAGACTCATTAATTCTTATTGGGGCTTGCTTGCCTGCCTGAGAGCATTACACTTGGGTTCTGTTGCCCAGAGAAAGGCCCATTGCTATGTATGAGAGCACCTGTGTCAATCCTTTTCTTTTCTACAGCTTCCCCTACTGTCTTCCTTACATTTCACCTGGTTTTAGGCTCACCACTAAGTCACTTGTTCCTGGACTCTCTAGTGTTTGGTTTCTGTTCCCTTTTCGTTTCCCTGATTTTGAGGGGAGCCCCTCCCCATCCTTTTGCTCAGTTTTTCTACACCTAGAAATGAGGGCACCCCTCCACAATGCCTTCCTTCTCTCTTTGTTTCTTGACCAGTGCAGCGCAGTTGAGGGAGCCATCCTTTCTGCTTGTCTCCTCTGACCCATTTGCAACTGGGACAAATAGCCTTCTGAAGTTCCCTCCTGCTTCTTACATTCCTCTGACAGCCTTATGGTCAAGTCTATACCTCCCTCTCAGTGTATCCTTTTGCCTCTACATGCCAAGATTGCCCCCCCCCCCCATGTCCTGATTGCCAGTATTTTCCCCTGTTATGGCTTTACATATATACAGACAGATGTCAGTGGTGGTTCTGGCTGTCTCCCCCTTTCTGGAAGCATGATTCCCCAACACCAGTTGTTTTTAACCACTGTGCCATGGCACCCTGGGGTGTTTTGAATGATGGTCAGGGGTGCTGCGGGCAACACTGGCCTCCATCCTTCATTTAAAAGCTTTTAGGGAAGCTTTTAATGTTTAATAGACCACTGTATTTTAATACTTTGTTGGAGGCTGCCCAGGGTGGCTGGGGAGACCCAGCCAGATGGTTGGGGTATAAATTATTATTATTATTATTATGTATTATTATTATTATTATTATTCCTCCCTCCTGGGTGTTAGGAATGGTTAAACTTTTCTGGAATTTTGAAGGGAAAAGCTCTGTATATCTGTCTGCCTGCTCCTCTATGTAAATGCAAGGAGATAAAGAAATTCTTGCAGAACCAATGAGAACAGAGCCAATTTGCATGAAGGAGTCATTTGGTATTTCTGGGGGACTTCAAAGAGGATGAAGAGGATCCCATCTAGATCTCTTTTGGAAGGAAGCCAGACTCCTTTAGAAAGCTCACCATGGCCTGGCCTCTGTTTTTCCTGGCACTTCTCAGCTTCTGCTCAAGTAAATCCCCACAACCTTCTATGGATGCTTGTTTTTAATTTCTTGTTGCATTTAACTTGTCTTTAACTTTTTATGAGTTTATTGTTTTTATATTGTTGTAAACCACTGTGACATATTTTTTATGAGACAGAGGAATATAAATATTTTTATAAATAAAAGTATCGAGGACTCAGTGAACACAGGCCAAGATCAAATCTCTTTTCACAATTTACTCATCATAGGAACATAATGTTTTTGTGAACTCTGCATAACTTAACAAAATTATGATATATTTCCTCTTTCTTCCGCAAAGGCATCACTTCACAGCCAGCATTGACCCAGCCTGCTTCTTCATCCGTTGCCCTCGGCCAAACAGCTAAACTCTCCTGCACAGCCAGTAATGGTGGGAGCTGGCACTACTTTCAGTGGCACCAACAGAAACCTGGACAGGCTCCTCGCTTGTTGCTCTATGGGACCAGTAGGGGAGAAGGAATCCCAGATCGGTTCACTGGCTCTTCCTCTGCAATCCCTTACTACTTAACCATCTCCAACACCCAGGCTGAAGATGAGGCAGTTTATTACTGTCTTGCTTGGGAAGGCAACAGTAAAATGTTTCACTGTGGTCCAACCTGTTTGGGTACTGAGACAAAAACCTTTGCTCTACCTCCCTAGAGTGAGAAAACCAGAAGCACCCAAAAGCATGACTAGTCACAGTTGAGCGGTCTTTGTTTTTGACAGGAACGTGTGATGATATCAAGTTATTTAGTCCCATTGATGCTATTAAGTAAATGATCTTCACCCATGAATGGACTCCACATTTTTTGACTGGCAGTCTTGGGCAAAGCAAACTTGTACTGGCAAGCCCCTCACCTGTCATGTGCAGCCTTGCTGGCATCCCCTAAGGAAAAGGCTGCGAGTGTGGACTGTCTTGTGAATAAGGTTGTGCCAACAGATATCAGCAAAATGCAAAATGACCCAAAGAGGGCAGGATGTGGTTCCTTGAAAACCGGAAATCATTTATTTAATTTTCATTTGGAATGACATGAATTCAAATGTGTACTTTAGATGAGTTCTGCTGAAATTATAGGTTTGATGAAAACCCTAGATTCAATAAACAACTGTCTGAAAGCTCAGGGGTGGAGGGTGTTACAATCTAACAACATCTGGATGGAAACAAGATTCCCTCCAGGATTCTCTGCTTTATCTTTGTGTTTTGCCAGGAGTAGGGAAGATCTGTCCTCACTTTTCCATCCACCCCGTCAACCCACCCATGGCCCAGCTGGGTTTACTTCCAGGCAGGCCCCCAACAAAGCAGCATACAGGTGGGGCACCATCACCATGGCTTCCTCCCAACCTCCTTTGTACATATCAGAGCTTTAGGCACTAGGGGGAGATGTTAGTTCTGTTTCTCTACATTTGACAGATTTGCACCTGCAGTAAAAAGTTAAACAGATGAGCATTTTATGTGGGTGTTCTTCATGCATGAAATTCAAATGTCTGCACACAAATTGATCTACCTTAGAATACACTCAGATGATGAATGAGCTATGCAGTCATCTTGATGGGGGCCTGGTTCTGACTTTGTATTCCTCTCTCAGATCTGATCATTGGTGTTTAATGGTTTCAGCCCTTCTTTCTCTATCTGTAGGACGGGTGATGAATCTCAGGCTCATGGGCAAGATGTGGCCCTCCAGGCCTGTTTCTGGCCCTCAGGACTCTCCTCCAACCAATCACCCTTCCCAGGCTACTACACCTCAAATAAGCCCTGCTCTGAGTCCTCCCAAAGTGCTTTATCCTGCCAGGAATATCTCCTTGGATTTTGTGGTGCCCTTTGCTCTCTTTGGTGGAGTATAGAGAGATGTTTGGATAGGCCTGGAAGGTGGTGCTACTGTCTTCATTTTGCTAAACTGGGTTGATTTTATGAAATTGTCTCACAAAATCTACCCACAAATGGAGATGGTTTTGAGAACACATGAAACTGGTGTTAATCCACCTCTCCCTTGTGAGTCAGGGGCATAGCTGTCAACGTTTCCTTTTTTTTAAGGGAAATTACCTTATTCCAAATAGGATTCCTTGCAAGAAAATGGAAAAATAGACAGCTATGGTCAGGAGGTGAACAAGGGATGCTGTACTGGCCCATCCCTCTGGCTGCTTTTGCAATTCTGGCTCCCCACTTTTGCTGCAGTGCAAGGAGAGCGTGGAGAATGAAGACATCTTTGCCTTCAGGTTTTCCTGTGCAGCTTCAGGACATAAATTGAACGCACACATTTTCCCTCCAGACCAGGGCTGGGGGAAAAGGTATTCAGCACAAGGGCCACATTCCCTATTTCAGGGGCCACCTACAAATGGTAAGCATGCAGTAGTCGAAAAGAGGGTGGACAGAATAATCGATGTGAGACTCTTCTCATTGCCCACTAGACCACTTTCCATCCATGCCAAAGTCAGATGCACATGTCTCTCCATCCTCTGCCCAGGCAGGCCAGAAATACAATCACCATTCACGGATGCAGTCTAGGCAGACCAAAGCAATGGAGGAGGCCACAGAGCCATGTCAGTGAACGGCGTGTCCTTGGGAAGGGGGGCATGTCCTGGGAAAAGTCCCAGACCAGATGGACTGCCAGACATTTGGCCCTGAGTCCTGAGGTTCCTCACCCCTGTCCTTCACAAGGCAAATAAATTATGTCCTTGTTTTACATCACCCACTTCAGGCAAAAAAATTCTGTGGTCATTTGTCAGGCATTCATCACATTTCCGCATGACGCCTCTAACAAAGCCAATGGATGCAGACCTATTTGCATGAGAGATCATTTCTCATTTCTGAGGATTTAAGAGAGGAGGAAGAGGAGGAAGGTGCAGCTAGATTGAGGAGCTGTTTGTCTCTGGGACTCTCCTTCCCTTTGACTTCACCATGGCTTGGCTCCTTCTTCTCTTCGCCCTTCTCAGCTACTGCTCAGGTCTGGTTCTGGGTGGTTAATGGGATCAGGTTGGCTTGTGCTGAAATAAACAAACCCATTTACCTCATGTAATTTACCATAAAAACAATATTTTCTGATCTTATAAACACAGTAAATGATGCATTTCTTTTTCTTTTTTCAAAGCTGTCATATCACAGACTTTAACTCAGCCAGCCTCGGAGTCTGTGTCCCTGGGCCAAACTATGAAGCTCTCCTGCTCTAGAAGTAGTGGTGGCTGGGGCAGCTTTGGCTGGTATCAACAGAAACCTGGCCAGGCTCCTCGCTTTGTGTGGTATGGCTCCAGCACCAGGGGAGAAGGGATCCCAGATCGGTTCACAGGTTCTGCCTCTGGGAACAATGGCTATTTAACCATCTCCAACACCCAGACTGAAGATGAGGCAGTTTATTACTGTGGTGCCGTAGAGGGCACTGGTGGCTTGAAGTATCACAGTGGTACAATCTGATGGGGAAGTGAGACAAAAACCTTCACTCTTCCTCCCTATAGTAGGTAACATGAATGATTCAAGAGCTTTTTTGAGTCCAGGTGCAAGTCCCAGTGGAACAGGTCCAGAGCTTTCATAAAAGAGTTGGGAGGGATCATGAGGGTCATCTCGTCCAACCCCTGGCAATGCAGGAATCTTTTGCCCAATATAAGGCATCAGAGTCTCATGCTCTACCATCGGAGCTATCTCTCCCCAGCGATCCTTCCCCTCCTTTTTATATACTTTTTTCATCTTGGACTCATGTTCTCAAACACCGTCCCACAACAATTGCATTTAACTGGTTTCTTAGAAATGCTTTAGAACCTGACATTTTCCGCCTCTGTCTGTAGGGTGAGAAGTTGGACCACCTTCCCCACCTTTCATAGAATTTAACTGCCACGGAGAGTGTGAGCATCGCCAGCACCTGCAGAGCCAGTGAAGCAGGAGGCAGCTCAGAAGGACACACCTGCTCACCTTTCCACCCACCAGCTGCCCTTCCTACTCATTTGTGCACAGAAATCCAACCATAACTGTCAGTGTGCACACAGCAGAGACCGATGCAACCTCACTCCCAACCGATTCACCTTTGTCTCATGCTTTGGAAAGTTTTGTGAATCTGCAAAGCCTGGGAAGGAAGAGGGCGGTCTATGGTTGTTTCCACGAAAAGCTTAGATGCATGTGTGTGTGTGTGTGTGTGCGCGCCCGCCCGTGCTTCTTGTTTGTGTTATTTGGAAATCAGCCCTGTCTTGGCCAGGAAGTGGGAAAATGGAACTATTCACATCTTCAGAAAATTCACTAAGCCTCTCCTTTTAAAAAGTGTTTGGCATGAATGGTGAGAAAGAATAGCCTTACATCTATTCCTCAACAAACGTTACATACATTTCCCACTGAAATTGAGACTTAGCAGGCTTGTGGCAGAGCACCTTCTGCTCCGGAGCTCTGGCACGAGTCAGAAGAGTCAGGAAGGTGCTTTGGAGTCACCCTGCAGACTCACACCAGAGAGAGCATTTTTGGTTCAGTCCTCTGGTGTGAGGACTCATGTCAGAGTGCTGGACTAAAGACAGGCATTCTTGGATGCAAGCAGAAGTGATCCCAGAATGTCCCACTTAAAACAGGACTCTTCACAGTTATGATGTTCGTTCTCTGGGTTTGGCTGCCACTCTTTCCAGTGCTGCTGTTAGTGTGGAGCTGAGAATCCTCTTGGCTGGGCCCCAAATAAAACCTCCCAGGCCTCCTCATATCGCCATGTCATTCCCCTCTTAGGCTGCCCCCTCTCTCCCCAGGCCACCCCCTCTCCCCACTTAGCAGTCTCCTTCAGTGTTTTTGGCCATCCGGAATCATTATCTAAATTTCATTTGGAATGACATGAATTCAAATGTGTACTTCAGATGAGTTCTGCTGAAATTATAGGTTTCATCTGGATGGAACATCTGGATGGAAACAAGCTTCCCTCCAGGATTCTCTGCTTTATCTTTGTGTTTTGCCAGGAGTAGGGGAGCTCTGTCCTCACCTTTCCATCCACCCCGTCAACCCACCCATGGCCCAGCTGGGTTATCATCTAGTCAGGCCCCTGACAAAGCAGCATACAGGTGGGGAACCATCACCATGGCCTCCTCCCAACCTCCTTTGTACATATCAGAGCTTTAGACACCGGGGGAGATGTTAGTTCCGTTTCTCTACATTTGACAGATTTGCACCTGCAGTAAAAAGTTACACAGATGAGCATTTTATCTGGGTGTTCCTCATGCATGAAACTCAAGTGTCTGCACACAAATTGATCTGCCTTAGAATACACTAAGATGACGAATGAGCTAAGCAGTCATCTTGAAGGGGGCCTGGTTCTGACTTTGTATTCTTCTCTCAGTTCTGATCATTGGTGTTTAATGGCTTCAGCCCTTCTTTCTCTGGCTCATGCACAAGATGTGGCCCTCCAGGTCTGTTTCTGGCCCTCGGGAGTCTCCTCAAATCAAGCCCCCTTCCCAGGCTACTACACCCCTAAGAAGCCCTGCTCTGAGTCCTCCCAAAGTGCTTTTTTCCTGCCAGGAATATCTCCTCGAATTTTATAGTGCCTTTTGCTCCACTAGATGGAATGCAGGGAGAGGTTTGGATAGGTCTGGAAGGTGGTGTTACTCTCTTCATTTTGCTAAACTGGGTTGATTTTATGAAATTGTCTCTCAAAATCTACCCACAGATGGAGATGGTTTTGAGAACACCTGAAACTGGTGTTAATCCACCTCTCCCTTGTGAGTCAGGGGGTGAACAAGGGATACTGTACTGGCCCACCCCTCTGGCTGCTTTTGCAATTCTGGGTAGCATTTGCTGCAGCGCAAGGAGCAGCCTGGAGACAGGGATGCAGACAGTGAAGTGATATCATTTTAAATACCACCTGGTCACCCCCCCCCCCAACCAATGCTTTTTAGCCCACACCGGTCAAACCTTTCTGGAATTTTGAAAGGGAAAAGCTCTGTATATCTGTCTGTCTGCACCTCTATGCAAATGCAAGGAGATAAAGAAGTTCTTGCAGAACCAATGAGCACAGAGCCAGTTTGCATGACGGAGTCATTTGGTATTTCTGGGGACTTCATAGAGGATGAAGAGGATCCCATCTAGATCTCTTTCAGAAGGGAAGCCAGACTCCTTTAGAGAGCTCGCCATGGCCTGGCCTCTGTTCTTCCTGGCACTTCTGAGCTACTGCTCAAGTAAATCCCCACAGCTGTCTATGGATGCTTGTTTGTAATTTCTTTTTGTTTTTAACTTGTCTTTAACTTTCTATGATTTTATTGTTTTTATATTGTTGTAAACCATGGTGATCTTCTATTTTATGAGACAGAGGAATATAAATATTTTCATAAATAAAAGTATGGAGGATTCAGTATACACAGCCCAAGATCAAATCTCTTTTCATGATGTACTCATCATGGGGACATTATGCTTTTTGTGAAAGTCATGATTTATTTCCCATTTCTTTGTTCAGGTGTCACTTCACAAGCAACAGTGACGCAGCCTGCTTCTTCATCTGTCGCCCTCGGCCAAACAGCTAAACTCTCCTGCACTGGCAGTCATGGTGGGAGCTGGTCCGACTATCAGTGGCATCAACAGAAACCCGGACAGGCTCCTCGCTTTGTGATCTATAGTACCAGCACCCGGGGAGAAGGGATCCCAGATCGGTTCACTGGCTCTTCCTCTGGGAACACTTACTATTTAACCATCTCCAACACCCAGACTGAAGATGAGGCAGTTTATTACTGTCTTGCTTGGGAAAACAACAGTGAAACGTTTCACAGTGGTACAACCTCATGGGGAACTGAGACAAAAACCTTTGCTCTACCTTCCTAGAGTGAGAAAACAAGAACAACCCAAAAATATGACTAGTCATAGTTGAGCGGTCTTTGTTTTTGACAGGAATGTGTGATGATATCAGGTTATTTAGTCACACTGATGCTATTAAGGAAATGATCTCCACCCATGAATGGTCTCCACAATTATTGACTGACAGTCTTGGGCAAAGCAAAATTCTACTGGCAAGCCCCTCACCTATCATGTGCAGCCTTGCTGGCATCCCCTAAGGAAAAGGCTGTGGGTGTGGACTGTGTTGTGAATAAGGTTGTGCCAACAGATATCAGCAAAATGCAAAATGACCCAATGAGGGCAGGATGTGGTTCCTTGAAAACCGGAAATCATTTATCTCAATTTCATTTGTATTGACATGAATTCGAATGTGTACTTTAGATGAGGAAAAAAACATGAGAAGCTTGGCTGTGTGTGTGTGTTTGGACTAGATGACTTTTGGCATTATTCCAACTCTACAATTCTATGATTCTATTATTTTCAAGGGTCATCTTTCTTTCTGTGTGTCTTTCAAGGTGTCAGTTCACTGCAAACTTCGGCTGCCCCTGAGTCTTTGTCTCTGGGCCAAACAATTAAAGCTTTCTCCCTTTCTAAGTGGTGGTCACTTGTACTTAAAGAAAGCAAGGTAGGTTGTTGGCTTTATGTTGTGCTATATTTTCAGCTGGTGAGAAGGGATTCATTCAGGTGGGAAGCAAAAACATTTCTTCAAACTGTGCAAATCCAGTCCTCCAAAAGTAGTGATGGGAGATGGGTCAGCTTTGCCTGTTATCAACAGAAACCTGGGCAGGCTCTTCAGTCGGATGCCTCTGTTCAGTGGCAGACTACATGTGCTGTATCCACAAGGTCAATCCCCAGTATTTGCTAAATATTATTTGGGCTGTCTGTTGTCTGAAATGCCAGGGACATGCTGTTAGTCTGTGTAGACATTTCAACATAAAATTTGAATTGTGGCCTCACTGAGCACCAGGCAGCTTTCTGTATGCCTTTTAAAGTTCTATTTACACCTTCAAGAAATGCAGTTGAATTCTCCACCCCCAACCTGAACCTTCCCAGTGGAATGCAGGGGTGGCTGGGATCCAGCATGATCTTAAGGCATTGCCTGAAGGGGCTTTGCAGCCCTGTGTTCGGGAACATCCAGTGCTCTCCTCAAGCTTTTTCAGGGAGAGAACATTCAGCAGCCTGTAGGCAGGGGGAGAATATATGCTATCTTGGGAAGGAGAGACCTGGGATCCTCCAGATATTGCAGGTCACACACACCCATCTGAATGGTCAGAGGTGGAAGGTGTTGCAGTCCAAGAACATCTGGATGGAAACAAGATCCCCTTCCATCTTCTCAACGTACCTACGGGACCGCCTCTTCAGGTATGCCCCGCAGAGGACCTTAAGGTCCACAAATGTCAACATTTTGGAGGTCCCAGGTTGCAAGGTGCTTAGATTGGTCTCAACTAGGGTCAGGGCCTTTTCAGTACTGGTCCCTACTTGGTGGAACGCTCTGTCACAAGAGACTAGGGCCCTGCGGGACTTGACATCTTTCCACAGGGCCTGCAAGACAGAGCTGTTCTGCCTGGCCTTTGGTTTGGACTCAGTCTGACCCTTATGTTTCCCCTCGCCTTATGGTTTTGATCTATGGGCTACTTTTAAAATGAGGCTGCATTTTAAATTGCATTTTAACCTGTATTTTAAATTGTTTTTTTTTTTCTCCCTATTTTGATTTTACTGTAATTTTACTGGTGTTAGCCTCCCTGAGCCCGGGGAGGGCGGAGTATAAACAAAACTTCTTCTTCTCCTTCTTCTTCTTCTTCTTCTTACTTTATCTTTGCATGCATTGCCAGGAGGAGGGAAACTCTGTCCTCGCCTTTCCATCCATCACCACGTCCACCAAGCCATGGCCCAGCTGTGTTTACTTCCAGTCAGGCCCCTGACAAAGCAGCATGCAGGTGGGGAACCATCACCACGGCCTCCTCACAGGCTCCTTTATGCATATCAGTTCTGTTGCATTTCTTATGTGGGTTCCTGTATTCCCCATGGGGACGTGAGGTTCTTGAACAACCAACCCTGTCTGGCTGGATTTGCATTCAGGGACCATTCACCAACTCTGGGGATGTAAGAAAGGAAAGGTTGGTTGAGTCTCAGTCTGTTTCCTGTTGCTTCAGGAAGTCCTGCTGCTTTGAAGAGCTCACCATGGCCTCTGCTCTGTTTCTCCTGGCCCTTCTCAATCACTGTTCAGGTAAGGATACAAAGAAATCACTGTGTGAGCCTAAGAGCCAAACCCAAAAGTATAAGTCATGTTTATTTATCATACAATTCTAAAGCTCCTGTGATATTTGACAACACAGACCAACGAGATATATGCTTGCTTATTTTCTATTTTGCCAAGGTGTCATTTCACAGCCAACATTGACTCAGTCTACCTCAGAATCTGTGTCTCTGGGCCAAACAACTAAGCTCTGCTGCTCTTGAATGAGTGGTAGCACCTGGGGCGGCTTTTCTTGGTATCAACTGAAACCTGGAGAGATTCCTTGCTTTGTTCTCTACAGCGATGACCCCAGGGGAGAAGGGATCTCGGATCAGTTCACTGGCTCTTCCTCTGGGAACACTGGCTATTTAAGAATTTCCAACAACCAGGTTGAAGATGAAGCAGTTTATTACTGTGATGACTGGGAGCACACTGATAGTATCATGTTTCCGTGTTATAATCTGATGGGGAACTGAGACAAAAACGTTCACCCTTTGACCACAGTGTAGCAAACCAAGAATCCTTAGAAAGTTTCATTTGTTCTTTCCCCAAGGACTTTGAATCATGTGCTTGGAATGGAGAGAAACCCAAGTGCATTTAATCCCATTTCCCTCGTCAAGGCAGACGCACCTGACTACTCATTGCATAGATCAAACTTGCGCCATACAACTGGGGCATCTCACCGACAGAGTGCCAGACCCCCAAATAAAGTTCCTTCTAGTGCATAACACTAAAGCTTTGGGTCAGACAAGAGACAGTTCAAACTTTATCATATCCCGATGCTAATTAGTTTCAGGGAATCATATATATTGGAGATCATTAGTTATCTTGAGCTCATTCCCCCATCAAGCTGTGGGTTTGAACCTGAGAAAAAGTATTTGTGTGACTCAGTTCATTGTTGCCTATTTTTGAGGGTCTCAGCAATTCTTGTGAATAGTTTAGCTCAGGGGTAGTTTAGAAAGCTCAGAAAAGCCAGTTGGCCTCAAACATTACTCCACTTTTCAGCCACACACAATTCACACACCTGTAGGGATGCAATTTTTGGAAATTCTCAGTTGCAGATTTTTTCTGATTGCCATTTCATTCCCTAATCTCAACAGAACGTGAGCTCCTCCCATTCTGCTAATGTATGAAGAATCATGGAGAAAATTGAAATTGATAAAAGTGAAATTACCAACCTACAGAGATTTGTTACAAAAGCAGAATTTTTGCTATGCCCAGAAACTCTTACAGGGCTTTCTAGTGCAGTTTTGCATGGATAGAAGTTGCGATAAGTGACCTGATTTGCTGTGACCACAGTCTGCAGTGGAAACAAGGGTTTCTTGCAATCTCAACAGAGCTTTGGAGTTGAAAGAGGTTCAGATACTGAAAAAAGTAATTCCTGTCATAAATGTGGGAAGGAAAGGTGATAAGTTGTCTTCCTTTTGCAGGGAGTGCTTAAGTAGGTTTGGCATTCCCTGCTTCTTTTGAGGACAGAAGACCAGCTTTATGTTGGATGTAACCCATATGATTTTACAGTGGCACACTTCCTGGAGCTGTCTGACGTTCAAATGTTCAAAGCTGAGAATATGTATTGGTTTAATAAAGCATCCAAATACTATCTTGAGTCAGAAGAAACTGCTTTATACTAGGTCAGGCTACTGGTTCGTTCAGGGCTCTTCAAGTCTGCTGTTATTTTGGGGTGAGTTTCAATCACAAAGCAGGAAATCCACAATTAAGTTTATTTTGAAGTCTTGTGCAGCAAACTCTCTTCTCTGCAAAATGAAACCATTGAAAGAAGAAAAGTGGTGGGTGAAGGAACCAGAAAGTGTGGGAGAACATTTGCCTGCAGCAACATAACACATCAGAGCAAAAGCTAAGTGAAAAGGCATCCTAATCTGGTGTGGTTAATATGAATTTAGAGTCTCAGAAGGAGGTATTTGCCATCAATTACTACTTAAATCTTTTGTGGGGAAATGGAGATGTCAAGGACAACATAATCATGACCATTATCATTAAGCTATGAGCCATCCTCCTTCCTTTTCCCCTGAGCTATTATCCTACTTCTGCCTCAAATTAATCATGTCCAGGACAAGATCATAGTCAAAATAGAAAAATAAAAATACCCTTATACCCCACAGTTCATATTGCATTTTGTTTCCCTATTGCACCAGCTATTATCAGCGGAGACATGGCCTGAGCCAATGAGCACAGGTTGAATTTGCATGAAGGGACCATTCCTCATCTTCCAGGGACTTAAAAAGGGAAGGGTTCCTTGGGTCCCAGCCAGGTGCCTGTCCAATTAGAAAGACCCTACGCTGCTTTAGAGAGCTCACCATGGCCTGGGCTCTGCTTTTCTTTGCCCTTCTCCATTACTGCTCAGGTAAGGATGCAAAGTGCCCTTACATACGCCTGGGAGACAAAACAGCAAAATGATCTGTAAACTGTATTTGCTTTAGCGACAGAATGCTCTTGTGCTATTTGAAAGCACAGAGGATCAAAGGTAATGACCTTTTTCTTTCTCTTTTCTGTAAAGGGGTCAATTCACAAGCAACAGTGACACAGCCAGCCTCCCAGTCTGTGTCCTTAGGTGAAACAACTAAACTCCCCTGCTCTAAAAGTAGTGGGAGCTGGGTCAGCTTTTACTGGTATCAACAAAAACCTGGCCAGGCTCCTCGCTTTGTGTTCTATGGTACCAGCACCTGGGGAAAAGGGATCCCGGATCGGTTCATTGCCTCTATCTCTGGGAACAATGGCTATTTAACCATCTCCAACACCCAGGCTGAAGATGAGGCCGTTTATTACTGTGCTGACTGGGAGTACACTGGTGGTAGCAAGTTCCACAGTGATACAATCTGATGGGGAACTGAGACAAAAACCTTCACCCTTTCTCCCCAGAGTGAAGAATGAAGCAGAAACTGTAGAAGAGCTCAGAGTCATCTGTGCCCTGAGATTTGTTGATTTGCAGAGCAAGGGGGATCTCCCTGATCATCTGCTCCTAGTCACTTTCCAATGGCTGCTAAGCTTACGCTGGCAATTCAAAAAATATCAAGCACTAAACCTTCCTTCGTAGGGAATGAATCTTAATATATAATACTGATGGAGTGTCTGGTAGCTCTTTTTTCTGTCCCTTCTTTCTTTAGTTTTTCCTTTTTGCTGTTTATGTGCAATAAATAGCAATCCTAGTCCAGTATTCTGATGCTCAGGACAGAGTCTCTTGAACTTATCCACAATCTGCTACTTGATCATTTCATATTTAACTGGGATACAAAGGACTGGACCTTCTTTAGGCCAATCACCCTTTTGTCGCTAAGCTTGTTGCCTCTGCCCAAGCCATTGGTTGTGGAACTATTTGCATGATACATCACCTGTCATTTCCAGGGGATTTAAGAGAGGAGGAGGAGGAGGAGGAGGAGGAGGAGGAGGAGGAGGAAGGTGCAGCTAGATTGAGGAGCTATTTGTCTCTGGGACTCTCCTTCCCTTTGACTTCACCATGGCTTGGCTCCTTCTTCTCTTCGCTGTTTTCAGCTACTGTTCAGGTCTGGTTCTCGGTGGTTAATGGGATCAGGTTGGCTTGTGCTGAGATAGTGGGACAAAAAAAAAACCCATTTCTCTTGTCTAATTTGCCAGGTTGGATGGTCATCTGTCCTGGAAGCTTTAGCTGAGATTCCTGCATTGCAGGGGGTTGGACTAGATGACCTTTGGGGGCGTTCAATTGTACAATTCTATGATTCTCACAGGTCATCGTTCTTTGTTTGTGTCTTTCAAGGTGTCAGTTCACTGCACACTTTGACTCCAGCTGCCTCTGCGTCTTTGTCTATGGGCCAAGCCCAAACCATTCAAGCGTTCTCCGTCTCTAAGCGTGGACACTGGGACAGCTTTTAAGGGTACTAACAGAAACCTGGGTCGCTTGTTGGCTTTATGTTTTATGATCTTTTTAGCTGGGGAGAAGGGATTCATTCAGGTGGGAAGCAAAAACTTTTCTTGAAACTGCAAATCCAGTCCTCTGAAAGGAGCTGTGCAGTCTTGCCAGAGAAAGATTGTATATCTTTGCCCCAGGGACATGGCCACTGCTGTTGTGCACTCAGTTTTTGAGTTCCAATCAAAACATTTATTTTATTTTTTTTTATAATTGATATTTATTAAATTTTCAAAAGGATAACAACGAAAATTTCCAAAAAAAGAAAAAATAAAAAAATTTGAAGATACAAAAAACAAAAATAGTACATAAACAAAAAAGAAAAGAAAACCCAGCCGCAGAAAAAGAAAAAAAAGAAACAGAAAAACAAAAATATGAAGTCCTTTACAATCTCTATTAACTTCCTTTCTAGGCTTCCTCCTCCTCCCCTCTTTTGTTTCTTAATTTTTAATTTTTACAGCAAATCCTTTCTGTTTTTTCATAACAATCTGCCATTACGTTTCCTTATTCTATTTTCCCTCTTGTCATGTAAAACCTTTAAACCTTTTTACAAATCATTTACCAATCCTTACTTAAGCCATGTAATTTCATTCAACATCCTTCAAACATTTATAAGCATTCCCAATATTAAAAAATAAAAAGGAAAGAATAATAAGTCAAATTCAATCCAGTCAGCTTCCAACCTCCCCTCCCCTGGACCCGGGATTGTCAGTCCTTTTAACCTCTTAACCTGGTTGTCTCGTATCCGAGGCCCTCAAGTCTCTGTCTTGCCCCTTTCGCCACTCTTGTTGATGATTCCTTTCCAGTCGTGGATGCTCCAGCAAGAAAATGCTTTTGACCCTTTGCAGCAAGTCCATCCCAAACCCATTGCCCAAGCCAGACAGCAAGTAATACCACTTCAGATTTCCACAAAGCTTGGAGACTTCGGCTACTCCAATCCTCTGATAGCCCATCACCAGACTCGGAAGGTCCAAATAACCATATGGAGGGGGGTCAATCCATCCCCCCATTTCCAAATCTGAGCACATTTCATCTTTCCGAATCTGGTTTGTCCCAAGTTCATTTGTCAAGTTCAAAGACTGATCTTGCCCGTCCAAAGGTCCCTCTATCTCTGAAGCCTCCGTCACTACAGCAGGTTCATATACTTGTATAGCCTTTAACTGAATTTCATTTGTTTGCTGCTGTGCTCTGGTGACTTCCATCATCAAGGTCGTCTCACACATCTGGTCCAGCTGGGCACTTAGTTTTGAAAAACCTTCCATGAACAATTGTTCAAGCCTTTGTACTAGCATTGTTCTTCAAGGTCAAAAAAAATTCTTTCCCACGGCAATAGTCCAATAGTCCTTCTCTTTTAGTCTCTCTGCGTTGCAGTTTCACTGAATTCCACTAGATGGAAATTCTTTTTTTTTTTTTAAAGGAATAAAAGCAACAGCAACAATCTTTCTTTTGCCAGAAAAACTTTATCCAAAATGCCCCCTTCCAAATTCAAGAGGCAACAGTAGAATCAAAATGTTACCCTTCTTTTAACTAACTGTCAAGCTAGATAAACTTCAGAACGTCAATTCTGACAGCCCGCTCCTGGTTCAGGGCGGTGGAAAATTGCTTTATTTTAAACTCACTTCCGCAGGATTAAAGAGTCCAAATACAACCCCCTTCTTCTCCTGCAATCGAAGGGGGGGTTCAGAAATCTTAGATGTTGAATTCTAGTTCTCTTAAAATTTAGTTTTCAAGCTTTAATATATTTTATCTTTGCTTTCTTCACATAACAAAAGAACGGAAGGCGACTTCCTGTTTAGACCTTCTCATTCCGAGTCCCAATTAAGTTCAATTTCAAGTCCAATATTATTATTTTTTTTTTTTTCACCAGTCTTAAAAGTGGTTCAGCTCTTCCAAGATCAGGTACTCACGGATAGATATTTTAGATGCCAAATTGTCCAGGAAAAAGGCAGCGCTCTCCGATAACGGCAGTGCGGCTTTGCTGCACGGAGGAAGCAGACGACTCACAGCACCACGCACCTCCCACTCCGGAGCCCGTTACCGAGCTCCTGTACAAGGGGAGAGCGCTCTCGGTGCCCGCCGAGTCCCACGTCCACAGGCTTCTTCCGCCTGTGGTTTTTGCGGGTCCCCGCTGCGCCGTAGCGGCAGGACCCAAGCCTCCATGCAGCGGGTTCCCTTCAGTCCGAAGGGAATTCCGCCATTTTCCGGAGGCGCCACCCCGGAAGTCCCAATCAAAACATTTAAATGGGATAGAAAATGCCTCATTTCCTGGTTATTTAAGAAAGCAGAAGGTGAAGCTAGATCAAAGAGCTGTTTGCCTCTCAGGCTCACCCTACTTTGGACTTTCCACATGGCCTGGATCCTTGTTCTCTTCGTGTTTCTCAATTATTGCTCAGGTCTGGTTATGGAGGTTTAATGGGCTCAGCTTGGCTTGTGCAGGCATAAAGTGCCTGTCAAAAACAGTTATCTGCTCAGGTTATGGCTGCAAATCCAGATATTTAAGCTGAAGCTCGTGGCCAAGTCTCCATTATTAGGGTACTGTGTACTTTGCAGTGGGGTTAGCAATGGATACTTCACAAGGTTATGAATCTGAATATTTGCCTTGGCAATTATTTTCATTTCTGAACATTCAATGACAGTTGTAGGTCAAATCTTATTTCCTGTGTGTGATGCCTGCTGTCCCAGCTCTCACCTTTAAGGGGAGATGTTGATGCATCTTCTCAACGTTTGGCAGAATAGGATAACAACACAGACTGTTTGCCCCCATTGCACCTGGGGCAGGGCAGGAAAATGTTGGCTATGCATAGGTGCTTTTTCACTGCAACTCACTCATGTATAGAGCTCAAGGGCTGGAAGGTAAGTTTCTCTACCCAAGAATATTAGCTGACACTCTGAGCATGTTTAGGCAAGTTGTGTGTTGCAGGTTCTACTTAGAAGACCCCTTGAAATGAAAAGGCTGAAGGTGAATACAGCCAAAGACCATGTTTGCTGTCAGGCTGATGCCTGGATGGACTGCCTTTGGCAAAGAACATTTTTCTAGGGCAGGGATAACCCACATGTTTCCCTATGGATGCTATAGGGCTGCATGGTTTCAGCGGTTGCTCCCAGTCCCCAGTCTAGCTGCCGTGTTCTGGATTAAGTGCAGTTTATGCGTATATAGCTTGGAGAGAGTCCTGCAGAGCAACAGATGTGAGACTCTTGTCATTGCACAATAGGCCACTTTCTATCCATGCAAAAGTCAGAGAATTCTGCCTCACACACGGATCTCTTGATCCTTCATGAAGACAGGCCAGAAACATGATTCAAGGATTCAAGGATTGAGACTTTTGTGTAAAGGAGAGGGAATTGGAAAGTGTAGAATGACATTTCAAATGTTTCATTGGCTTTCCCTGCAAAAGGTGTGAATGGAGGCCAAATAAACAGTTGACTCGGTTCAATTTTCTTGCAGACTAATCAGCATGAATGTGCAGTAAACAGCAATCCTGGTCCAGTATTCTGATGCTCATGGAGGATTCTCTTGAACTTTCCCACAATCTGCTACTTGATATTTTTCTCTTTAACTGGGATACCAAGGATTGGACCTTCCTTATGCAAATCACCCCCTTTGCCACTAAGCATGATGCCTCTGCCCAAGCCAATGGATGTGGACCTATTTGCATGAGAGATCATTTGTCATTTCCAGGGGATTTAAGAGAGGAGGAGGAGGAAGGTGCAGCTAGATTTAGGAGCTGTTTGGGACTCTCCGTTCCTTTGACTTCACCATGGCTTGGCTCCTTCTTCTCTTCGCACTTCTCAGCTACTGCTCAGGTCTGGTTCTGGGTGTTTAAAGGCTTGTGCTGAGATAACGGGGAGAGCCACAAACCCATTTATCTTGTGTAATTTACCCTACAATGTTTTTCTGATCTTTATAGCCACAGAAAATGATGCATTTTTCTTTTTTCTTTTTGCAAAGGTGTCATTTCACAGACTTTAACTCAGCCAGCCTCGGAGTCTGTGTCCCTGGGTCAAACTGTGAAACTCTCCTGCTCTAAAAGTAGTGGTAACTGGAACTACTTTGGTTGGTATCAACAGAAACCTGGCCAGGCTCCTCGCCTTGTGTTGTATAGTACCAGCACCCGCGGAGAAGGGATCCCAGATCGGTTCACTGGTTCAGCCTCTGGGAACACTGGCTATTTAACCATCTCCAGCATCCAGACTGAAGATGAGGCCTTTTATTACTGTGGTGCCTGGGAGTACACTGGTAGCAGCAAGTTCCACAGTGATACAATCTGATGGGGAACTGAGACAAAAACCTTCACTCTTCCTCCCCAGAGCTAAAAATGAACTAACACTCTGGGGCTTAATTTCCTTGATTCCAGAGGATCTTCCGAACTAAAGCGCTGAAAAGTTTGGTAAGGCCATTTGGTTTCAGTCGCTTCTCAACAAAGATGATCAAGGGGCTGGAAACCAAGCCTTATGAAGAACAGCTGAAGGAGCTGGGTATGTTTAGCCTGGAAAAGACGTGTCTGAGGGGAGATATGATAGCCATCTTCAAATATCCCAAAGGCTGTCACATGGAAGAGGGAACAGGATTGTTTTTTCCTGCTCTGGAGGGTAGGACTCTAGAGGTTGTGGACTCTCCTTCCTTGGAGGGTTTTAAGCAGATGTTGGATGGTCATCTGTCCTGGAAGCTTTAGCTGAAATTCCTGCATTGCAGGGGGCTGGACTAAATGACCTTTGGGGTGTTCCAACTCTACAATTCTATGATTCTCACAGGTCAATGTTCTTTGTTTGTGTCTTTCAATGTGTCAGTTCACTGCACACTTTGACTCCGGCTGCCTCTGCTTCTTTGTCTATGGGCCAAGCCCAAACCATTCAAGCGTTCTCCCTCTCTAAGAGTGGACACTGGGACAGCTTTTAAGGGTACTAACAGAAACCTGGGTCGCTTGTTGGCTTTATGTTTTATGATCTTTTCAGCTGGGGAGAAGGGATTCATTCAAGTGGGAAGCAAAATCTTTTCTTGAAACTTCAAATCCAGTCCTCCGAAAGGTGCAGACTTGTCAGAGAAAGATTGTACATCTCTGCCCCAGGGACATGGCCACTGCTGGTGTGAACTCAGCTTTTCTTCCAATCCAGACATTTAAATAGGATAGAAAATGCCTCATTTCCCGGTTATTTAAGAAAGCAGAAGGAAGGTGAAGCTAGATCAGAGAGCTGTTTGCCTCTCAGGCTCACCCTACTTTTGACTTTCCCCATTGCCTGGATCCTTGTTCTCTTCGTGTTTCTCAATTATTGCTCAGGTCTGGCTATGGAGGTTTAATGGGCTCAGCTTGGCTTGTGCAGGCATAAAGTGCCTGTCAAAAACAGTTATCTGCTCAGGTTATGGCTGCAAATCCAGGTATTTAAACTGAAGCTCCTGGCCAAGTGTCCATCATTAGGGTACTCTGTTCTTTGCAGTGAGGTTTACAAAGGATACTTCACAATGTTATGAATCTGAATATTTGCCTCGCAAATTGTTTCAATTTCTGAACGTTCAGTTACAGTTGCAGGTCAAATCTTCTTTCGTGTGTGTGATGCCTGCTCTTCCAGTTCTCACCTTTAAGGGGAGATGTTGATTCATCTTCTCAACGTTTGGCAGAATAGGATAACAACACAGATTGTTTCCTCCTGTTGCACCTGGGGCACGGCAGGAAAATGTCTGCTATGCATTGTTCACTCCAAACCACTCATGTATAGAGCTCAAGGGCCCCCAAAACCCAAGAATATTACCTAAGACTCTAGGCATGCTTAGGCAAGTTGTGTGTAATGGGTTCGTCTGAAGCTGAACGCAGCCCAAGACCATGTTTGCTGTCAGGCTGATGCCTGGATGGACTGCCTTGGGCAAAGAAAGTTTGTCTAGGGCAGGGATAACCCACACATTTCCCTGTGAATGCTATGGGGCTGCATCTCCCGCCATCCCTGACAATGAGCTGTGCTTGATGGAGCTGATGGGAGCTGAGGTCCCCAAACAGCTGGATGTTTCATTGTCTGTGTGTCTGGACTGCTGGATCAAGGAGGAGGAGGAGGAGGATGGCATGGTAGCCGCTGGCGAGGCTCCACTCTGCGTGATGTGCCACCTCTGAGGTGGAAACAGAAGGCAGGGCTGCCCTGGGCAGGAAGAAAGGGGGAGCCGAGCGCAAGGAGTCTTGTTTTTTTTTTTTTTTAATATAAATGCTTTTGCATCTGCATCTAATCTTGCCCCTTTCTAAAATTCATTTATTGATGTGTGTTTTTATTTTTGCAAATCTACCAAATCATAAAATGTAATAAAATCAATATTACATGTTTTCTTCGGGACTGTGGAGAGCGTGTGCGTTGTGTCCTATTGGTGCAGTGATGGTGCCACACTCAATTCTTCTGAAAGAAGATTCTCTGGGGGGACAACAAAAATGGGGTGTTGAGAAGGGTCCCGAGGGGTGAAATGAGAAATGTGACTTTTGTCCTCTGAGGAATGTTTTAGGAAATGTGTGCTTTGTGCCTTGTTTTCTGAAAGCCCCACATTCAATGACAGACTTCTATCATCCATAGCTAGGAGAGAGTCCTACAGAGCAACAGATGTGAGACTCTCATCATTGTACACTAGGCCACTTTCTATCCATGCAAAAGTCAGAGAATTCTACCTCGCATGCTCACCTATCTCTTGATCCTTCAAAAGACAGGCCAGAAACATGATCACCATTCAAAAATGCAGACTTTTGTGTCAAGGAAAGTGAGAGGGAAATGGAAAGTGTAGAGTGACATTTCCCAGGTGCAACGTCATTTCCCTCCCTGCAAACAGGTGTGAATGGAGGCCAAATAAACAGTTGACTTGGTTCAATTTTCTTGCAGACAAATCAGGATGAATGTGCAATAAGCAGCAATCCTAGTCCAGTATTTTGATGTTCATGACAGAGTCTCTTGAAATTTTCCACAATCTGCGACTTGATATTTTCTTTTTAACTAGCGTACCGAGGATTGGACCTTCCTTATGCAAATCACCCCCTTTGCCCTAAGCAGGATGCTCTCTGCCCAAGCCAAAGGATGTGGACCTATTTGCATGAGAGATCATTTGTCATTTCCAGGCGATTTAAGAGAGGAGGAGGAGGAGGAGGAGGAAGGTGCAGCTAGATTGTGGAGCTGTTTGTCTCTGGGACTCTCCCTTCCTTTGACTTCACCATGGCTTGGCTCCTTTTTCCCTTCGCTGTTCTCAGCTTCTGCTCAGGTCTGGTTCTGGGTGGTTAATGGGATCAGGTCGTCTTGTGCTCAGATAATGGGTCAAGTAACACACCCATTTATAGAAACACAATTCTTTTATGATCCTTATTAACACAGAAAATGATGCTTTTTTCTTTTTCTTTTTGCAAAGGTGTCATTTCACAGACTGTAACTCAGCCTGCCTCAGAGTCTGTGTCCCTGGGCCAAACTGTGAAGCTCCCCTGCTCCAGAAGTAGTGCTCTTAACTGGGGCAGCATTGGCTGGTATCAACAGAAACCTGAACAGGCTCCTCGCTTTCTGCTCTATGGGACCAGCAGGGAGAAGGGATCCCAGATCGGTTCACAGGTTCAGCCTCTGAGAACAATGGCTATTTAACCATCTCCAACATCCAGACTGAAGATGAGGCAGTTTATTACTGTGGTGCCGCAGAGGGCACTGGTGGCTGGAAGTATCACCATGATACAATCTGATGGGGAACTGAGACAAAAACCTTCACTCTTCCTCCCTATAGTAGGTAACTTGAATGATTCAAGAGCTTTTTTGAGTATGAAAGTGCCAACCTGTTAACTCTGCCAGCTGAACCATTTCCTATCTTGAAGCAGAAGAGAAAGCTGTTTATTCCTGTCTGTCTGATGACAGCAGTGAGCAGCACACAGTGACACAACCACAGAGGAATGTTTGGTCTTTATAGGGCTTCAGTTGGCCTTGAGTGTAGCTGTTGTCTTATTTTTTTGAGCCATTCTCCATTAGCGAATGAGAACAGAAACTGCATTCAAAATACATTGAAGGGCAGCAAATGTTTTGGCAAAATTCCTGAGGTGGGATGCATATGAAAAAGTCATCAGGATCCTTCCCCTAGGGCAGTTGTTGATGAAGTCCAGTTGGAACAGGTCCAGAGCTTTCCTAGAAGTGTTGGAAGGGACCATGAGGGTCATCTAGTCCAACCCCCTGCTATGCAGGAATCATTTGCCCCATATGGGGCTTGAAGTGTCAAGATTCAGAGTCTCATGCTCTACCAACTGAGCTATCTGTCTCCAGGAATCTTTCCCCTCGTTTTTTTATACTTTTTTCATCTTGGACTCATCTTCTCAAACACTGTCCCACTACAATTGCATGTACTGGTAATTGGTTTCTTAGAAATGCTTTGGAACCTGACATTTCCTGCCTCTGTCTGCAGGGGGAGAAGTTGGACCACCTTCCTCACATTTCATAGAATTTAACTGCCATGGAGAGTGTGAGCATCGCCAGCACCTGCAGAGCGAGTGAAGCAGGAGGCAGCTCAGAAGGACACACCTGCTCACCTTTCCACCCCCAGCTGCCCTTCCTACTCATTTGTGCGCAGAAATCCAACCGTAACTCTCAGTGTGCACACAACAGAGGCCAGAGTGAGAAACAAACCCCATCACTCTTGGGCAAATGTCTCCTTTGAAGATGTGCTTTGGACAGACGCAAAGAAAGAGTTAAATAAGTTTTTGCAGAACCAATTACTGCAGAGCCTGACAAAGCAGCATATACAGTGGTGCCTCGCAAGACGAAATTAATCCGTTCCGCGAGAGTCTTCGTCTAGCGGTTTTTTCGTCTTGCGAAGCAACCCTATTAGCGGCTTAACGGATTAGCACTATTAGCGGTTTAGCGGCTATTAAAGGCTTAAAGGCTTAGGGGATTAGCTGCTAAAAGGCTATTAAAGGCTATTAAAGGCTTAGCAGATTAGATAAAGGGGGGGGGAAGCGAAAAAAAAATCTCAAGACTTGCAAGACATTTTTGTCTTGCGAAGCAAGCCCATAGGGAAATTCGTCCTGCGAAGCAACTCAAAAACGGAAAACCCTTTCGTCTAGCGGGTTTTCCGTCTTGCGAGGCATTCGTCTTGCGGGGCACCACTGTAGGTAGGTGGGGAACCATCATCATGGCCTCCTCCCAACCTCCTTTGTGCATATCAGAACTTTAGGCACCAGGGGGAGATGTTAGTTCCGTTTCTCTACATTTGACAGATTTGCACCTGCAGTGAAAAGTTACACAGATGAGCATATGATTTGGGTGTTCCTCATGCATGAAACTCAAGTGTCTGCACACAAATTGATCTGCCTTAGAATACACTCAGGTGACGAATGAGCTAAGCAGTCATCTTGAAGGGGGCCTGGTTCTGACTTTGTATTCTTCTCTCAGTTCTGATCATTGGTGTTTAATGGCTTCAGCCCTTCTTTCTCTGTCTGTAGGACGGGTGACGAATCTCAGGCTCATGGGCAAGATGTGGCCCTCCAGGTCTGTTTCTGGCCCTCGGGAGTCTCCTCAAATCAAGCCCCCTTCCCAGGCTACTACACCTCAAATAAGCCCTGCTCTGAGTCCTCCCAAAGTGCTTTTTCCTGCCAGGAATATCTCCTTCGAATTTTATGCTGCCCTTTGCTCTCTTTGGTGGAGTATAGAGAGATGTTTGGATAGGCCTGGAAGGTGGTGTTACTGTCTTCATTTTGCTAAACTGGGTTGATTTTATGAAATGGTCTCCCAAAATCTACTCCCAGTTGGAGCTGGTTTTGAGAACACATGAAACTGGTGTTAATCCACCTCTCCCTTGTGAGTCAGGGGCATAGCTTTCAACGTTTCCTTTTTTAAAAGGGAAATTACCTTATTCCAAATAGGATTCCTTGCAAGAAAATGGAAAAATAGACAACTATGGTCAGGAGGTGAACAAGGGATGCTGTACTGGCCCATCCCTCTGGCTGCTTTTGCAATTCTGGCTCCCCGCTTTTGCTGCAGCGCAAGGAGCAGCCTGGAGAACGAAAATATATTTGCCTTCAGGTTTTCCTCTGCAACTTCAGGACATAAATGAAACACACACATCGTCCCTCCAGACCAGGGCTGGGGGAAAAGGTACTCAGCACAAGGGCCACATTCCCTATTTCAGGGGCCACCTAAAAGTGGTAAACATACAGGAGTCCAAAAGGGGGTGGACAGAGCAATCGATGTGACACTCTTCTCATTGCCCACTAGACCACTTTCCATCCATGCCAAAGTCAGATGCACATGTCTCTCCATCCTCTGTCCAGGCAGGCCAGAAACAGAATCACCATTCATGGATGCAGGCTAGCCAGACCAAAGCAATGGAGACATGTCAGTGAGAGGCGTGTCCTTGGGAAGGTGGGCATGTCCTGGGAAAAGGCCAAGGACCAGGGGGACTGCCAGACGTTTGGCCTTGAGTCCTGAGGTTTCTCACCCCTGTCCTTCACAAGGGAAATAAATTATGTCCTTATTTTGCATCACCCCCTTCAGGCAAAATAAATTCTGTGGTCATTTGTCAGACATTCATCACATTTCCGCATGATGCCTTTAACAAAGCCAATTGATGCAGACCTATTTGCATGAGTTATTATTTCTCATTTCTGGGGATTTAAGAGAGAGGAGGAGGTTGAAGGTGCAGCTAGATTGAGGAGCTGTTTGTCCCTGGGACACTCCCTTCCTTTGACTTCACCATGGCTTGGCTCCTTCTCTTCGCAGTTTTCAGCTACTGCTCAGGTCTGGTTCTGGATGGTTAATGGGATCACGGCATCTTGTGCTGAGATAATGGGTCAAGCAACAAACCCATTTACCTCATGTAATTTATCGTAGAAACACAATGCTTTTCTGATCGTTATAAACACAGAAAATGATGCATAGCCTTTTTTTCTTTTTCTTTTTCTTTTTCCAAAGGTGTCATTTCACAGACTGTAACTCAGCCAGCCTCGGAGTCTGTGTCCCTGGGCCAAACTGTGAAACTCTCCTGCTCTAGAAGTAGTGGTGGTAGCTGGGGCAGCATTGGCTGGTATCAACAGAAACCTGGACAGGCTCCTCGCTTTGTGTGGTCTGGCTCCAGCACCAGGGGAGAAGGGATCCCAGATCGGTTCACAGGTTCTGCCTCTGGGAACAATGGCTATTTAACCATCTCCAACATCCAGACTGAAGATGACGCAGTTTATTACTGTGGTGCCTGGGAGTACACTGGTAGTAGCAAGTTCCACAGTGATACAATCTGATGGGGAACTGAGACAAAAACCTTCACTCTTTCTTCTTATAGTAGGTAACTTGAATGATTCAAGAGCTTTTTTGAGTATGAAAGTGCCAACCTGTTAACTCCGCCAGCTGAACCATTTCCTATCTTGAAGCAGAAGAGAAAGCTGTTTATTCCTGTCTGTCTGATGACAGCAGTGAGCAGCACACAGTGACACAACCACAAAGGAATGTTAGGGCTTTAAAGGGCTTCATCTGGCCTTGAGTGTAGCTGATGCTGTTCCAAGAAGTCTTATTTTTTGAGCCATTCTCCATTAGCAAACGAGAACAGAAACTGCATTCAAAATACATTGAAGGGCAGCAAAATTCCTGAGGTGGGATGCATATTAAAAAGTCATCAGGATCCTTCCCCTAGGGCAGTTGGTGATGACGTCCAGTTGGAACAGGTCCAGAGCTTTCCTAGAAGTGTTGGAAGGAACCATGAGGGTCATCTAGTCCAACCCCCTGCTATGCAGGAATCTTTTGCCCAATATGGGGCTTGAAGTGTCAACTCTGAGATTCCGTGTCTCATGCTCTGCCATCTTAGCTATCTTTCTCCAGGAATCCTTTCCCTCCTTTTTATATACTTTCTTCATCTTGGACTCATGTTCTCAAACACTGTCCCACTACGATTGCATTTAACTGGTTTCTGAGAAATGCTTTAGAACCTGACATTTTCTGCTTCTGTCTGTAGGGGGAGAAGTTGGACCACCTTCCCCACCTTTCATAGAATTTAACTGCCACGGAGAGTGTGAGCATCGCCAGCACCTGCAGAGCCAATGAAGCAGGAGGCAGCTCAGAAGGACACACCTGCTCACCTTTCCACCCCCAGCTGCCCTTCCTACTCATTTGTGCTCAGAAATCCAACCATAACTGTCAGTGTGCACACAACAGAGGCCGAGGCAACATCACTCCCAACTGTTTCACCTTTGCATTGTGCTTTGGAAAGTTTTGTGAATCTGCAAAGCCTGGGAAGGAAGAGGGCGGTCTATGGTTGTTTCCACGAGAAGCTTAGGTGCATGTGTGTGTGTGTTTCTTGTTTGTATTTTTTTTGAAATCAGCTCTTTCTTGGCCAGAAAGTGGAACAATGGAACGATTCACATCTTCAGAAAATTCACCACACCTGCCAAGTCTCTCCTTTTTAAAAAGTGTTTGGTGTTTATGGTGAGAAAGAATAACCTTACACATATTCCTCAACAAATGTTGGATACCCTTCAAGAATTTTTGTCACTGAAACTGAGACATTAGCAGGGTCCTGCCAGAGCACCTTCTGGTCCGGGGCTCTGAGATATGAAAGCTAGGAGCTAAATAGCACTTTACACTTTGGTTAAGGGCACAACAACGGAATGTCTAGGCACACTTTTCTATAACAATACAAAGCTGAAAATGAATGAACTGCTTTTTATATCGGTCCTGGAGGTTTTGCTCAACATGATTAGAAAAGACCAATTGGTTAAAGGTATACAACTCGGAGCTAAACAGTACAAATTGAAAGCTTTCGCTGATGATTTAGTTTTGACATTACAGGAGCCAGAAGCTAGCACAAAAAGAGTTTTACAGTTAATCCAAGAATTTGGTCAAGTAGCAGGTTTCAAATTAAACAAGACGGAAACTAAAGTATTAGAGAAAAACCTTACAGAGATTGAGAAGGAGAGGTTTCAGAAAGAGACAGGATTAACAATAGTTAATAAAGTGAAATATCTAGGGGTGAATATGACTGCCAAAAATGTGAATCTGTTTAAAGATAATTATGAAAAATGTTGGTCAGAAGTGAAGAAGGATTTAGAAATATGGTCAAAATTGAAGTTATCATTGTTGGGCCGAATTGCTGCGATAAAGATGAATGTATTGCCTAGAATGTTGTTTTTGTTTCAAACATTGCAAATTGTGGACAAAATGGACTGTTTCAAGAGGTGGCAAAGAGATATCTCCAAATTTATCTGGCAGGGCAAAAAGCCTAGAATAAAATTTAAGATATTAACAGATGCGAAGGAAAGAGGGGGATTTGCCCTGCCAGATCTTAAACTTTACTATGAATCAGCCGCTTTTTGTTGGCTGAAAGATTGGCTACTTCTTGAAAATGTGGACATTTTAGATCTAGAAGGTTTTGATAATGTGTTTGGATGGCATGCATATTTATGGTATGACAAAGTTAAAGCGCATAAGGCCTTTAAGAATCATATTGTCAGGAAAGCATTGTTTAATGTTTGGGTGAGATATAAGGATCTGTTGGAAAGCAAAACACCAAGGTGGCTGTCACCAATGGAGGCAAAGGCATTGAAAAAAACTAATATGGAGACAAATTGGCCAAAATATGGTGAAATTTTAGAATAAGTTGGAGATAAATTAAAATTGCAGAGTTTTGACAAATTAAAAACTAAAGTTCGAGATTGGCTTCACTATTATCAAATAAGGGAGGTTTGTAACCTAGATAAAAAGATTGGTTTCCAGGAGGAAAAATCTAAACTGGAAACGGAATTGTTAGAACCTAAAACTAAAAATCTGTCAAGAATGTATAATCTGCTGTTGAAATGGAATACACAGGATGAAATGGTTAAGTCTGCTATGATTAAATGGGCACAAGATGTTGGGCATAATATTATGTTTGCTGACTGGGAACGGTTATGGACCACAGGTATGAAGTTTACGGCTTGCAATGTATTAAGAGAAAATATAATGAAAATGATTTATAGGTGGTACTTAACCCCAGTCAAGCTAGCCAAAATCTATCATTTGCCCGATAATAAATGTTGGAAATGCAAAGAAAATGAAGGAACCTTTTTCCACCTTTGGTGGACGTGCCCAAAGATCAAGGCCTTCTGGGAAATGATATATAATGAATTAAAAAAGGTATTGAAATACACTTTTGTGAAGAAACCAGAGGCTTTCCTCTTGGGCATGGTCGGCCAATTGGTGCGAAGGGAAGACAGGAATTTTTTTATGTATGCGACAGCAGCGGCAAGAATACTTATTGGGAAATACTGGAAGACACAAGAATTGCCTACCCGAGAAGAATGGCAGAGGAAAGTGATGGACTATATGGAACTGGCTGAGATGACCGGCAGAATTCGAGATCAGGAAGAAGGGTTGATGGAAGAAGACTGGAAAAAATTTAAAATATATCTTCAGAAACACTGTAATATAAAAGAATGTTAGAAAAAGGTTGGAGAAGAATACTAGACCGTATTGGCAGACAGGGTATAATGGAATAAGTAAATATGAAGTGTAAAATGAGGATAGAGGAGAATTAAATACTTTCGAATGTTAAAATAAGTAAAAGAAAAGAAGGTTAGAAGGATTTGCTGGAGATACGATTTAAACTAGAATACAAAGCAGGGAGGTGAGAGGAAGTCATGGAAACAAGTAAAAGGGAAAATGGTTGTAATGGTCTAATTTGATTTTTGTTATTTTCTACTGTGATGTTTTGTCTTTTTTATTTCTTTTTTACTGTCTGTTTTTTGTAAGATGTATGTGGGTTTTTTTTTGGGGTTTTTTTATATTTTTTTTCTGTAACTTTAAAATTGGAATAAATATTCTTTAAAAAAAAAAAAAAAAAAGGAAGTGAGGAGGCAGGAAAAGGTCCTCCTTTCCATCCACTCTGCAGTTTTATTCTGAAATCTGAGGCGCTGTACTGCGCCCAGATGTCAGAAATTGTTCACGCTAACGAAATTTCTTGTTGCAGAACAAGCCTTGAATAATGGGAGTTTCGAATGCTGCCCCCATCACTCTTGTGCAAATGTCTCCTTAGAATATTGGCTTTGGACAAGGAGTTAAATAAGTTCTTGCAGAAACAATCAATGTAGAACCAATTTGCATGAAGAACCCCTTTGGTATTTATAGGGGGGTTTAGAAAGGAGGAAGAAGAAGATCCCATCTTGATCTCTTTTCCAAAGAAAGGGACACCATTTTGGAGAGTTCACCATGGCACGGCCTCTGTTTTTCCTGGCACTTCTCAGCTTCTGCTCAGGTAAGGGTATGGAGGACTCACTCCAGAAGCCTATTTCCACTATAATGATTTTATTATTAATACCCTGCCCATCTGGCTGGGTTTTCCAAGTGACGCTCAGTGCTTGTCATGGAGGCTGAGTGCCTCTTTGATAGCTGAGAACATGTAAAATGTACCCAATTCATGCTTTCCCCCGTTTTTCTTGATGACAAGGTGTCAGTTCACAGCCAACCTTGACTCAACCTGCCTCTGAGTCTGTCTCCTTGGGCCAAACAGCTAAACTCTCCTGCTCTAGAAATGGTGGCAGTAAGTGGGATGAATTTCACTGGCTTCAGCAGAGACCCGGAGAGGCTCCTCTTTTCCTGTGCTATGGATCTAGCCGGAGAACAGGGATCTCTGATCGGTTCACTGGCTCCGCCTCTGGCAACATGGGCTATTTGATGATCTCCAACATCCAGGCTGAAGATGAGGGAGTTTATCACTGTGCTGATTGGGAGTACACTGGGAGTAACAAGCTCCACCATGATACAATCTGATGGGGAACTGAGACAAAAACCTTCCCTTTTCCTCCTCAAAGCTGAGAATGAGCTAGCACTTTGGGGCTTAATTTTGTTGATGCCAGAGGAGCTTTTAACTAAATAGCTAAAAAGCGTGGAAAGCCCATTTGTCCTCAGTCACTTCTCAACCAAGATGACCAAGGGCCTGGAACCCAAGCCTTATGAGGAACAGTTGAAGGAGTTGGGTATGTTTAGCATGGAAAAGAGGAGACTTGTGGGGAGATATGATAGCCATCTTCAAATATCTCAAAGGCTGTCACATGGAAGAGGGGACAAGCTTGTTTTCTCCTGCTCTGGAGGGTAGGACTCTAGAGGTTGTGGACTCTCTTCCTTGGAGGGTTTTAAGCAGATGTTGGATGGTCATCTGTCATGGAAGCTTTAGCTGAGATTCTTGCATTGAAGGGGGTTGGACTAGATGGCCCTTTGGGATGTTCCAGCTCTACAATTGTACGAGTCTATGATTCTCAAGCGTCATCTTTCATTGTGTGTGTTTTTCAAGGTGTCAGTTCACAGCCAACCTTGACTCAACCTGCCTCTGTGTCTGTCTATTTGGGCCAAACAGCTAAACTTTCCTGTTCAAGAAAAGGTGGTAGTAAGTGGGATGGATATCACTGGTTTCAGCAGAGACCTGGAGAGGCTCCTCTTTTTCTGTGCTATGGATCTAGCCGGAGAACAGGGATCCCTGATCGCTTCACTTGCTCCATCTCTGGCAACATGATGGCTATTTGATGATCTCCAACATCCAGGCTGAAGATGAGGCTGTTTATTACTGTTGTGACTGGGAGCCCAGCATCATTCAAGGGTTCCACAGTGGTACAATCTGAGGGAGAAGTGAGACAAAAACCTTCTCCTTTCCTCTCTAGGCTGAGGCAGGCAGAATCATTCAAGATTTTCCTGGAGCCTTTTTGTGTATTGTCTGTTTTGGACAAGAATCTGACATCAACTTATTTGGAGACAGGGATACAAACAGTGAAGTGATAACACGTTAAATACCACCTGGTCATCCCCCAAACCCATACTTACTAGCTCCAGTCAAACTTTTTTGGAAATTCTGAAGGGGAAAAGCTCTGTATATCTGTCTTTCTGCACCTCTATGCAAATGCAAGGAGATAAAGAAGTACTTGTGGAACCAATGGGCACAGAGCCAGTTTGCATGAAGGAGTCCTTTTTTCCCCTGGAGGACTTCATAGAGGATGAAGAGGATCCCATCTAGATCTCTTTCGGAAGGGAAGCCAGACTCCTTTAGAGAGCTCACCATGGCCTGGCCTCTGGTTTTCCTGGCACTTCTCAGCTACTGTTCAAGTAAATTGTCTATGGATGCTTGATTTTAATTTCTTTTTGCTTTTAACATTTCTTTAACTTTACATGATTTTATTGTTTTTATATTGTTGAAAACCACTCTGATATAATTTTTATGAGACAGAGGGATAAACATATTTAATGAATAAATGAATAAAAGTATGGAAGACTCAATGAACACAAAATAAAAAAATCCCTTCCAGTAGCACCTTAGAGACCAACTAAGTTTGTTATTGGTATGAGCTTCAGATGCAACTGAAGAAATGTGCATGCACACAAAGGTCATACCAATAACAAACTTAGTTGGTCTCTAAGGTGCTACTGGAAGGATTTTTTTATTTTGTTTCGACTACGGCAGACCAACACGGCTACCTACCTGTAACTAAATCAATGAACACAGACCAAGATCAAATCTCTTTTCACTGTGTACTCATCATAGGAACATTATGCTTTTGTGATATTTTTGTGTAACTTAACAAATTCATGATTTATTTCCTATTTCTTTGTACAGGTGTCACTTTGCAACCAACAGTGACCCAGACTGCTTCTTCATCTGTGACCCTCGGCCAAACAGCTAAACTCTCTTGCATGGCCAGTCATGGTGGTAACTGGCACTACTTTCAGTGGCATCATCAGAAACCTGGACACGCTCCTCTCTTGGTGCTCTTTGGGACCATCAGGGGAGAAGGGATCCCAGATCGGTTCACTGCGTCTTCCAGTGGGAACACTTACTATTTAACCCTCTCCAACACCCAGGCTGAAGATGAGGCAGTTTATTACTGTGGTGCCCGGGAGAGCACTGTTGGGTTGAAGTATCACCGTGATACAGCCAGATGGGGAACTGAGACAAAAACCTTTGCTCTTTCTGCCTAGAGTGAGAAACCAGAAGCATCCAAAAACATCACCGGTCATAGTTGAGTGTTCTTTGTTTTCAAAAGAAATGTGTGATGATATGAAGTTATTTAGTCATACTGATGCTATTAAGGAAATGATCTCTACCCATGAATGGTCTCCACAATTATTGACTGGCAGTCTTGGGCAAAGCAAAATTGTACTGGTAAGCCCCTCACCTATCATGTGCAGCCTTGCTGGCATTTCCTAAAGAAAAAGGCTGTGGGTGTGTATTGTGTTGTGACTAAGGTTGTGCTAACAGATATCAGCAAAATGCAAAATGGCCTAAAGTGGGCAGGATGTGGTTCCTTGAAAACCGGAAATCATTATCTAAACTTCCTTTGGAATGACATGAATTCAAATGTGTACTTTAGATGAGCTTTGCTTAAATTATAGATAGGAAGAAAATCCGAGATTCAACAATAATTTCAGCTTGGATTCATGGGAAGTTTTCAGGTTTGGGTTTTCCCATAACTTTGTAAGTAAAACCTTGGTAATCACAGTTGTTGATCTTCCAGTTCTCTTTCCTTTGACCTGTGGGAAGAGATGCTGGACCAAGTTTCCTATATTTGATCAAAAGTGTCACACTCTTTGCACCACATTCACACACATGTATGTTCAGTCCCTATAGGGTCAGGATCCTTGCCCTGCTTCCATGGCCTCATTCATTCATCAAGATCAAACACACAGCAATCTCTTTGAGTGCACCTGATACAGATTCATTTCCAATTTGTTCCCATGAAATAACCATCTATCCAAGCCTTGGAAACGGCTGTGAATTCTCATATTTGGGGGAGGAAGAGCAAATTATTGTATTGTTTCCTCAAGTTGTGTTTATGTTTGAGTGTTTCTGTGTATATTATTTCCAAGAATAAGATCTGCATTGGACCGAATGTAGCCTGCAGAATGTGGTTGTCGTACTATATTCGGAAAAGTTACTACAGATTCCCAACTTTTGGGGGTGGAAAACCTAAAGACCAAGGACAAATTCTGCCTCTCAGTTCTCTGCATTTGGCCCTTCAGATTCTCCCCAGGAGTCCCTGGTGAAGAGGGGTCTCTTTCTATGGTATTATGTTTAACATCCCTTCCCAACGTGGTAAGCCAGTTGTGTTGCATTTGAGACCCCTTCCAGCTCATTCTGCTGGGTTGCCCAATGGGCATCTGCCCCAAGCTCTTGTCCTGATGTCACCATTGCCCTTCTCCTTTGTATCTTGGCCAAAATGCGGACCGCCTACATCACCATTATGAAAATATGTCCTTTCTTCATTGGCTTCACACACTAGCAGCTAAACAAAGAAGTTCTTGCTGACCCAATCAGCACAGAACTAATTTGCATGAAGGATTTGTTTGGTATTTCTTGGGGAATCCAGAAAGGAGAAAGAGGATCCCATCTAAATCTCCCTCTGAACGATAGTCACACTCCTTCAGAGAGCTCACCATGGCCTGGCCCCTGCTTTTCCTGGCGCTTCTCGGCTATTTTTCAGGTAAGGGCACGGAAGATTCAGTTGACCTAAGACAACGTCAAAGCTATTTCCACGATTTACCTATCATAGGAACATCATGCATCTGTGATATCTGAAAGCATAGAAAATGTACTCAAGGCATGATTTCTGTGCTTTTTCTGTTTGTAAAGGTGTCCATTCACAGCCAACGGTGACTCAGCTGGTCTCCCAGTCTGTGTCTCCGGGCCAAACTGTGAAACTCTCCTGCACCCGAAATGGTGGCAGTAGCTGGGGTTCATTTCACTGGTATCAGCAGAAACCTGGAGAGGCACCTCGTTTTCTGTGGTATGGCTCCAGCACCCGGGGAGAAGGGGTCCCAGATCGCTTCACTGGCTCAGAGTCTGGGAATATGGGGTATTTAACGATCTCCAACACCCAGGCTGAAGATGAGGCAGTTTATTACTGCTGTAACTATGAGAGCAGTGTGAAGTTCCACAGTGGTGCAATCTAATGGGGAACTGAGACAAAAACCTGTCACTCCTCTTTCTTACTATAGAGAAGCCTGAATCACTCAAGAGCATAACTTCACATGAGTAGGTTTTGTAGGGAGAAGCCCCCCTCCCCTATCAGACACACCCTTCTAGGTTTGCAGGAGCTGGGACAGAGCAGCGGGAGCTCACCCCATCACATGGATTTGAACCACCGACCTTGTGATCCACAAGCCCCAGAGGCTCAGTCAGCAGCATAGTTCGCCGCTCAGGTGCCTGGTGTGGGGGTGTGTCCTGCAGCCAGGGGCAGAATGATCCACCAATGGGGGTGGGGCGAGCCTCTCTGGTGCTTGCAGCCTCTCTGCCGCCTCCTCCTCAGGTGTAGGGCAGGTGAGGGAGAGGCAGTAGGCAGAGGCAAGTCCCACGCAGTGCGGAACCTGCAGGCGCCTAAGCCACCACGTCACTCCTGAAAAGTTTTGTGAGCCTTATTTTAACCCACCCCCACAAAACTCCTTTTGTCACCCCCACCTTAGTGATGACACCAGGAAGAAGTTGCACACCCCACACCCCGCTTCCTCCGCCACTGAGCTCAGTGGTTTAGACCACAGTGCCACCCACATCCCCGCTTTACATATACAGTGGTACCTTGGGTTACAGACACTTCAGGTTACAGACTCCACTAACCCAGAAATATTACCTCAGGTTAAGAACTTTGCTTCAGGATGAAAACAGAAATCACATGCTTGGCAGCAGGAGGCCCCATTAGCTAAAGTGGTACCTCAGGTTAAGAACAGCTTCAGAATAAGAACAGACCTCCAGAACGAATTAAGTTCTTAACCCGAGGTACAACTGTATACAGAAAGATGTCAGTGGTGGTTCTGGCTGTCTCCCCCTTTCTGGAAGCACGAGTCATCAACACCAGTGGTTTTTAACCACAGTGCCGTGGTACCCTGGGGTGCCTTGAATGATGTCTTAGGGATGCCACGGGCAACACTGGCTCCATCCCTCTTTCCTTCCCTCTCTCCTCTGATGGCCTCTCACGTCTCTCCCTCCCAGACGCTTCCACAGCTGTTTGTTGCAGCTGCCCTGGCTACATGGTTCCCAAGCGAATGTGCCTCTGGGGCTGGCCAGGGGGTGCTTCCCAGGACCCTGTGGGGCAGTGAGAGAAGGCAACTCTTTCTGGGGTGGGGTAGGGGCAGCTCAGAGACCAGTGGCTGCCCAGATGACTCCCAAGAAGAGGAGAGAGGAGAGGAGGCTGAGGGAGAACTCCACAAGAGGGGGGACTTGAAAAGGGGTGAGGGGCTGCCAGCTCTGCTGGCAAGAGTGACCTAACTGGGCTCCTGAGCCCCATAGGGGTGCCGCAGAAAGAATGTAATAGGTCAAGTGAGCTGTGGACTCAAAAAGGTTGAAAAGCTCTGCCCTACACACACCCTGATCCCAAAATATAACTGTTGACAAGGTCCCAGATATTCAGAAGATATCCATTCATAATTGTTATGTACTGTGTTGAATAGGATCCAAAATGCAGCAGTCTGATTGGTCCTAGAACAATGCAGCAGTATGACTGGACCGCAGGAGCCACCCAATCCAGCTCCAGGTGGAAGTGAATCCATAACCTGATTGGCCTACAGGAGAATCCCAGAATAAGAATCCCGGAATAAGCCCGTTGTGTAAATAATGTATATAAAGCAGACATTTCCGGTGGAACTTCCATCCCTCCTCACCACTATGAGCTGAATAAAGAGCATGAAATCCACTCTCGACTCAGAGTATATTTCAGTAATCCTCTCCAAATCCTGGGGAGCACTTTGCAATGCCGTTTGAAAGATGTGAGGCAGAATATTTGAGCGAAAGGGGAGGCAACTCCAGCCTGCAATGAACAAAGAGGCGCCCTGTGTTGGACTGAAGACTGCTTCCTTTGCAAGAAGATTGCTTAAAAGGAAATAGTCAGTTCTGCTCTGGTAAATCTGTTCTTTTTAAAAAGTGAATATTCTACTGTACAATATTATATACATCCTTTGGGATGATCAGAGCTTGAGACACCAGGGGGAGATGTTGGATCAGTTTCTCTACATTTGACAGATTTGCACCTGCAGTAAAATGTTACACAGATGAGCATTTGGTTTTGGTGTTCCTCATGCATGGAACTCCAGTGCCTGCACACAACTTGATCTGCCTTAGAATGCACTCAGGTGACGAAGGAGCTAAGCATTTGTCTTGAAGGGGGTCTGGTTCTGGCTTTGTATTCCTCTCCCAGATTTAGGACCTTCAGCCCTTCTTTCTCTATCTGTAGGACGGGTGACAAACCTCAAGCTCATGGGTGAGATGTGGCCCTTCTGGCCTGTCTCTCTGACCCTCAGGACTCTCCTCCAATCAAGCCCCCTTCCCAAGCTACTGCACCCCTAAGAAGCCCTGCTCCGAGCCCTCCCAAAGTGCTTTTTCCTGCCAGGAATGTCTCCTCGAATTTTATAGTGCCTTTTGCTCCACTAGATGGACTACAGAGAGATGTTTGGATAGGCCTGGAAGGTGGTGTTGCTGTCTTCATCTTGTAAAACTGGGTTGATTTTATGAAATGGTCTCTCAAAATCTGCACCCAGATGGAGCTGGCTTTGAGAACACATGAAACTGGTGTTAATCCACCTCTCCCTTGTGAGTCAGGGGGTGAACAAGGGATGCTGTACTGGCCCATCCCTCTGGCTGCTTTTGCAATTCTGGCTCCCCACTTTTGCTGCAGCGCAAGGAGCAGCCTGGAGAATGAAGATAGTTTTGCCTTCAGGTTCCTGTGCAGCTTCAGGACGTAAGTGAAACACACACATCCTCCCATCCTCCCACATCCCTCCCTCCTCTAACAAAGCCAATGGATGCAGATCTATTTGCATGAGAGATCATTTCTCATTTCTGGGGATTTAAGAGAGGAGGAGGAGGAGGAAGGTGCAGCTAGATTGAGGAGCTGTTTGTCTCTGGGACTCTCCCTTCCTTTGACTTCACCATGGCTTGGCTCCTTCTTCTCTTCGCCCTTCTCAATTACTGCTCAGGTCTGGTTCTGGGTGGTTAATGGGATCAGGTTGGCTTGTGCTGAGATAATGGGTCAAGCAACAAACCCATTTACCTCATGTAATTTACCATAAAAACAGTATTTTCTGATCTTATAAACACAGAAAATGATGCATTTCTTTTCTTTTTGCAAAGGTGTCATTTCACAGACTGTAACTCAGCCAGCCTCGGAGTCTGTGTCCCAGGGCCAAACTGCGAAACTCTCCTGCTCTAGAAGTAGTGGTAGCTGGGAAAGCTTTGGCTGGTATCAACAGAAACCTGGACAGGCTCCTCGCTTTGTGTGGTATGGTTCCAGCACCAGGGGAGAAGGGATCCCAGATCGGTTCACTGGCTCTCAATCCGGGAACACTGGCTCTTTAACCATCTCCAACATCCAGACTGAAGATGAGGCAGTTTATTACTGTGGTGCCTGGGAGGGCACTGGTGGCTGGAAGTATCACCATGATACAATCTGATGGGGAAGTGAGACAAAAACCTTCACTCTTCCTCCCTAGAGTAGGTAACATGAATGATTCAAGAGCGTTTTTGAGTATGAAAGTGCCAACCTGTTAACTCTGCCAGCTGAACCATTTCCTCTCTTGAAGCAGAAGAGAAAGCTGTTTATTACTGTCTGTCTGATGACAGCAGTGAGCAGCACACAGTGACACAACCACAAAGGAATGTTAGGGCTTTAAAGGGCTTCAGTTGCCTTGAGTGTAGCTGATTCTATTCCAAGAAGTCTTATTTTTTGAGCCATTCTCCATTAGTGAATGAGAACAGAAAATGCATTCAAAATACATTGAAGGGCAGCAAAATTCCTGAGGGGGGATGCATATGAAAAAGGCATCAGGATCCTTCCCCTAGGGCAGTTGGTGATGAAGTCCAGTTGGAACAGGTCCAGAACTTTCTTAGAAGTGTTGGAAGGGACCATGAGGGTCATCTAGTCCAACCCCCTGCTATGCAGGAATCTTTTGCCCAATATGGGGCTTGAAGTGTCAACACTGAGTTTCTGAGTCTCATGCTCTACCAACCGAGCTATCTGTCTCCAGGATTCCTTCCCCGCCTTTTTATATACTTTTTTCATCTTGGTCTCATGTTCTCAAACACTGTCCCACTACAATTGCATTTAACTGGTTTCCTAGAGATGCTTTAGAACCTGACATTTTCTGCTTCTGTCTGTAGGGGGAGAAGTTGGACCACCTTCCCCACCTTTCATAGAATTTAACTGCCACGGAGAGTGTGAGCATCGCCAGCACCTGCAGAGCCAATGAAGCAGGAGGCAGCTCAAAAGGACACACCTGCTCATCTTTCCACCCCCAGCTGCCCTTCCTACTCATTTGTGTGCAGAAAACCAGCCATAACTGTCAGTGTGTTTCTTGTTTGTAGTATTTGGAAATCAGCCTTGTCTTAGTCAGGAGCTCTGGCGCGAGTCAGAAGAGTCAGGAAGGTGTTCTGGCAATCACCCTGCTGACTCACAACAGAGAGAGCATTTTTTGGGTTCAGTGCTCTGGTGTGAGGACCCATGGCAGAGCGCTGGACCAAAAGACAGGCATTCTTGGATGCAAGCAGAAGTGATCCCAGAATGTCCCACTTAAAACAGGACTGTTGACAGCTATGAAGTTCGTTCTCTGGGTTTGGCTGCCACTCTTTCCAGTGCTGCTGTTAGTGTGGAGCTGAGAATCCTCTCGGCTGGGCCCCAAATAAAATCTTCCAGGCCTCCCCATTTCCCCAAGTCATTCCTCTCTTAAGCTGCCCCTCTCTCCCCAGGACACCCCCTCTCCACACTTAGCAGTCTCCTTCAGTGTCTTTGGCCATCCAGATTCTGTTTTTGAACTCTGATAATGCCTCTGGATTGCCTGAAAATGAGGACTTGATCGTGGTCTGAGAGTGCAGAAACTATCCTATGGTGCAAGGATGAAAATCTGAAGGTGTTGCTCTGAGCAGTTTTGCCTCATGCCCCACCCAGCCTGGAAAATTGCCCAGGTGGGGATGAACCCCTCTGTCGGAAAAAGGTTCCCCACCCCTGAGCTGAGATAATTCTAAGCTGTGGAATTAATGGACTAATTGGGGACATAGGCTCTTTATATGGGAATGTGCATGAACTTCCCTTCTAAAGGTGTGAAGCCAGTAGACCTGCTGTCTTCAGGGAACCTCCTGCTCACTCTGCTATAGGAACCTTGGTCGTCCGCCCTCAAGTCCTGTCCTGAGAGCTCCATTGCTGGCTCCTGTTTCTTCTGGCCAGAGTGAGAACCAAACCCCATCACTCTTGGGCAAATGTCTCCTTTGAACATGGGCTTTGGACAGACGCAAAGAAGGAGTTAAATAAGTTTTTGCAGAACCAATTACTGCAGAGCCTGACAAAGCAGCATATAGGTAGGTGGGGAACCATCACCATGGCCTCCTCCCAACCTCCTTTGTACATATCAGAACTTTAGGCACCAGGGGGAAATGTTAGTTCCGTTTCTCTACATTTGACAGATTTGCACCTGCAGTGAAAAGTTACACAGATGAGCATTTTATCTGGGTGTTCCTCATGCATGAAACTCAAGTGTCTGCACACAAATTGATCTGCCTTAGAATACACTCAGATGACGAATGAGCTAAGCAGTCATCTTGAAGGGGGCCTGGTTCTGACTTTGTATTCTTCTCTCAGTTCTGATCATTGGTGTTTAATGGCTTCAGCCCTTCTTTCTCTATCTGGAGGAGAGGTGACGAATCTCAGGCTCATGGGCAAGATGTGGCCCTCCAGGTCTGTTTCTGGCCCTCGGGACTCTCCTCAAATCAAGCCCCCTTCCCAGGCTACTACACCCCTAAGAAGCCCTGCTCTGAGTCCTCCCAAAGTGCCTTTCCTGCCAGGAATATCTCCTTCGAATTTTATGCTGCCCTTTGCTTCCCTTGATGGAGAACAGAGAGATGTTTGGATGGGTCTGGAAGGTGGTGTTACTATCTTCATTTTGCTAAACTGGGTTGATTTTATGAACTTGTCTCTCAAAATCTACCCCCAGATGGAGCTGGTTTTGAGAACACATGAAACTGGTGTTAATCCACCTCTCCCTTGTGAGTCAGGGGGTGAACAAGGGATGCTGTACTGGACCATCCCTCTGGCTGCTTTTGCAATTCTGGGGAGCATTTGCTGCAGCGCAAGGAGCAGCCTGGAGAACGAAAATATATTTGCCTTCAGGTTTTCCTGTGAAGCTTCAGGACATAATGAAACACACAAATCCTCCCTCCAGACCAGGGCTGGGGGAAAAGGTATTCAGCATAAGGGCCACATTCCCCCTTTCAGGGGCCACCTACAAGTGGTAAACATACAGGAGTCAAAAAGGGGGCAGACAGAGCAATCAATATGAGACGCTTATCATTGCCCACTAGACCACTTTCCATCCATGCCAAAGTCAGATGCACATGTCTCTCCATCCTCTGCCCAGGCAGGCCAGAAACAGAAGCACCATTCATGGATGCAGTCTAGGCAGGCAAGAGCAATGGAGGAGGGCACAGAGCCATGTCAGTGAGAGGCGTGTCCTTGGGAAAGGGGGCATGTCCTGGGAAAAGGCCAAGGATCAGAGGGACTACCAGAAGTTTGGCCCTCAGTCCTGAGGTTCCCCACCCCTGTCCTTCACAAGGCAAATACATTATGCCCTTGTTTTACATCACCCCCTCCAGGCAAAAAAAATTCTGTGGTCATTTGTAAGGCATTTATCACATTTCCACATGATGCCTCTAACAAAGCCAATGGATGCAGACCTATTTGCATGAGAGACTATTTCTCATTTCTGGGGATTTAAGAGAGGAGGAGGAGGAAGGTGCATCTAGATTGAGGAGCTGTTTGTCTTTGGGACACTCCCTTCCTTTGACTTCACCATGGCCTGGCTCCTTCGTCTCTTTGCTGTTCTCAGCTCCTGCTCAGGTCTGGTTCTGGGTGGTTAATGGGATCAGGTCGTCTTGTGCTGAGATAATTGGTCAAGCAACAAACCCAGTTATCTTGTGTAACTTACCATAGAAACACAATGTTTTTTTGATCCTTATCAAAACAGAAAATGATGCCTTTTCTTTTTCTTTTTGCAAAGGTGTCATTTCACAGTCTGTAACTCAGCCAGCCTCGGAGTCTGTGTCCCTGGGCCAAACTGTGAAGCTCTCCTGCTCCAGAAGTAGTGGTAGCTGGGACAGCTTTGGCTGGTATCAACAGAAACCTGGCCAGGCTCCTCGCTTTGTGTGGTATGGCTACGACAGGGGAGAAGGGATCCCAGATCGGTTCACAGGTTTACCCTCTGGGAACAATGGCTATTTAACCGTCTCCAACATCCGGACTGAAGATGAGGCAGTTTATTACTGTGGTGCCTGGAAGTATGACAGCAACATGTTTCACGGTGGTACAATCTGATGGGGAACTGAGACAAAAACCTTCACTCTTCCTCCCTAGAGTTGGTAACCTGAATGATTCAAGAGCTTTTTTGAGGCCTGGTGGAAGTCCCAATTGGAACAGGTCCAGAGCTTTCATAGAAGAGTGGGAGGGATCATGAGGGTCATCTAGTCCAACCCCCCTGGCAATACAGGAATCTTTTGCCCAATATGAGGCATCAGAGTCTCAAGCTCTACCATTTGAGCTACCGTATCTCTCCCCAGGGATCCTTCCCCGCCTGTTTATTTACATTTTTTATTTTGGACTCATGTTCTCAAACACTGTCCCACTACAATTGCATTTAACTGGTTTCTTAGAAATGCTTTAGAACCTGACATTTTCCGCCTCTGTCTGTAGGGGGAGAAGTTGGACCACCTTCCCCACATTTCATAGAATTTAACTGCCACGGAGAGTGTGAGCATCGCCAGCACCTGCAGAGCCAATGAAGCAGGAGGCAGCTCAGAAGGACACACGTGCTCACCTTTCCACCCCCAGCTGCCCTTCCTACTCATTTGTGCGCAGAAATCCAACCATAACTGTCAGTGTGCACACAACAGAGGCCGAGGCAACATCACTCCCAACCGATTCACCTTCGCCTTGTGCTTTGGAAAGTTTTGTGAATTTGCAAAGCCTTGGAAGGAAGAGGGCAGTCTATGATGGTTTCCATGAGAAGCTCATATGCACGTGTTTGTGTGTGTGCGCCCGTGCTTCTTGTTTGTGTTATTTGGAGATCAGCCCTGTCTTGACCAGGAAGTGGGAAAAGGGAACTATTCACATTTTCAGAAAATTCACTAAACCTCTCCTTTTAAAAAGTGTTTGGCATGAATGGTGAGAAAGAATAGCCTTACATCTATTCCTCAACAAACGTTACATACATTTCTCATTGAAATTGAGACTTAGCAGGGTTGTGGCAGAGCACCTTCTGGTCCGGAGCTCTGGTGCAAGTCAGAAGAGTCAGGAAGGTGTTCTGGCCAGAACATGCCCAGAATGTCCCACTTAAAACAGGACTGTTGACAGCTATGATGTTAGCTCTTTCGGTTTGGCTGCCACTCTTTCCAGTGCTGCTGTTAGTGTGGAGCTGAGAATCCTCTTGGCTGGGCCCCAAATAAAACCTCCCAGGCCTCCCCACTTCCCCATGTCATTCCCCTCTCCCCCCAGAACACCCCCTCACCCCAACCCCCACTTTGCTCTCTCCTTCAGTATTTTCGTCCATCCAGATTCTGTTTTTGAACTTTGATAATGCCTCTGGATTGCCTGAAAATGAGGAATCGATCGTGAGCTGAGAGTGCAGAAACTATCCTATGGTGCAAGGATGAAAATCTATAGGTGTTGCTCTGAACAGTTTTGCCTCACGCCCCACCCAGCCTGGAAAATTGCCCAGGTGGAGATGAACCCCTCTGTCAGAAAAAGGTTCCCCACCCCTGAGCTGAGGTAATTCTATGTTGCGGAATTAATGGACTAATAGGGGACATAGGCTCTTTATATGGGAATGTGCATTAACTTCCCTTCAAATGTGTGAAGCCAGTAGACCTGCTGTCTTCAGGGAACCTCCTGCTCACTCTGCTATAGGAACCTTGGTTGTCCGCCCTCAAGTCCTGTCCTGAGAGCTCCATTGCTGGCTCCTGTTTCTTCTGGCCAGAGTGAGAACCAAACCCCATCTCTTGGGCAAATGGGCAAATGTCTCCTTTGAAGATGTGCTTTGGACAGACGCAAAGAATGAGTTAAATAAGTTTTTGCAGAACCAATTACTGCAGAGCCTATTTGCATGAAGAACCCATTTGGTATTTATAGGGGGATTTAGATAGGAGGAAAAATATCCCATCTTGATCGCTTTCCCAAAGGAAGCCACACCCTTTGGAGAGGTCACCATGGCACGGCCTCTGTTTTTCCTGGCACTTCACAGCTACTACTGCTCAGGTAAATGTATGGAGGACTCACTCAACAAAACTATTTCCACTATAATGATTTAATATTTTTATTATTTATACCCTGCCCATCTGGCTGGGTTGCCCCAGTCACACTCTGTGCTTGTCATGGAGACTGAGCGCCTCTGCGATACCTGAGACCATGCAAAACGTCTCCAACTCATGCTTTCCCCCATTTTTCTTGATGACAAGGTGTCAGTTTACAGCCAACCTTGACTCAACCTGCCTCTGTGTCTGTCTATTTGGGCCAAACAGCTAAACTTTCCTGTTCAAGAAATGGTGGCAGTAAGTGGAATGAATTTCACTGGCTTCAGCAGAGACCAGGAGAGGCTCCTCTTTTTCTGTGCTATGGATCTAGCCGGAGAACAGGCATCTCTGATCGCTTCACTGGCTGCGCCTCTGGCAACATGATGGCTATTTGACGATCTCCAACATCCAGGCTGAAGATGAGGCAGTTTATTACTGTTGTGACTGGGAGCACAGCATTATTCAAGGGTTCCACAGTGGTACAATCTGAGGGAGAAGTGAGACAAAAACCTTCTCCTTTCCTCTCTAGGGTGAGGCAGGCAGAATCATTCTAGAGTCTTTTGGAGCCTTTTTGTGTATTGTCTGTTTTGGACAAGAATCTGTGATGCCATCAACTTATTTGGAGACAGGGATGCAGACAGTGAAGTGATATCATTTTAAATACCACCTGGTCACCCCCCCCCAACCAATGCTTTTTAGCCCACACCGGTCAAACCTTTCTGGAATTTTGAAAGGGAAAAGCTCTGTATATCTGTCTGTCTGCACCTCTATGCAAATGCAAGGAGATAAAGAAGTTCTTGCAGAACCAATGAGCACAGAGCCAGTTTGCATGACGGAGTCATTTGGTATTTCTGGGGGACTTCATAGAGGATGAAGAGGATCCCATCTAGATCTCTTTCAGAAGGGAAGCCAGACTCCTTTAGAGAGCTCGCCATGGCCTGGCCTCTGTTCTTCCTGGCACTTCTGAGCTACTGCTCAAGTAAATCCCCCACAGCTGTCTATGGATGCTTGTTTGTAATTTCTTTTTGTTTTTAACTTGTCTTTAACTTTCTATGATTTTATTGTTTTTATATTGTTGTAAACCATGGTGATCTTCTATTTTATGAGACAGAGGAATATAAATATTTTCATAAATAAAAGTATGGAGGATTCAGTATACACAGCCCAAGATCAAATCTCTTTTCATGATGTACTCATCATGGGGACATTATGCTTTTTGTGAAAGTCATGACTTATTTCCTATTTCTTTGTTCAGGTGTCACTTCACAAGCAACAGTGACGCAGCCTGCTTCTTCATCTGTCGCCCTCGGACAAACAGCTAAACTCTCCTGCACTGGCAGTCATGGTGGGAGCTGGTCCGGCTATCAGTGGCATCAACAGAAACCCGGACAGGCTCCTCGCTTGGTGGTCCGTGGTACCAGCACCCGGGGAGAAGGGATCCCAGATCGGTTCACTGGCTCTTCCTCTGCAAACCCTTACTACTTAACCATCTCCAACACCCAGGCAGAAGATGAGGCCGTTTATTACTGTCTTGCTTGGGAGGACAAAAGTAAAATGTTGCACAGTGGTACAACCTCATGGGGAACTGAGACAAAAACCTTTGCTCTACCTTCCTAGAGTGAGAAAACAAGAACAACCCAAAAATATGACTAGTCATAGTTGAGCGGTCTTTGTTTTTGACAGGAATGTGTGATGATATCAGGTTATTTAGTCACACTGATGCTATTAAGGAAATGATCTCCACCCATGAATGGCCTCCACAATTATTGACTGACAGTCTTGGGCAAAGCAAAATTCTACTGGCAAGCCCCTCACCTATCATGTGCAGCCTTGCTGGCATCCCCTAAGGAAAAGGCTGTGGGTGTGGACTGTGTTGTGAATAAGGTTGTGCCAACAGATATCAGCAAAATGCAAAATGACCCAATAAGGGCAGGATTTGGCTCCTTGAAAACCTGAAATCATTTATCTCAATTTCATTTGTATTGACATGAATCCGAATGTGTACTTTAGATGAGGAAAAAAACATGAGAAGCTTGGCTGTGTGTGTGTGTGTGTGTGTTTGTGTGTGTGTGTGTGTGTGTGTGCGTGCTTCTTGTTGTAGTATTTTGAAATCAGCCCTGTCTTGATCAGGAAGTGGGAAAATGGAACTATTCACATCTTCAGAAAATTCACTACATCTGTCAAGCCTCTCCTTTTAAAAAGTGTTTGGCATTAATGCTGAGAAAGAATAATCTTACGCATGTTCCTCAACAAATGTTAAATGCCCTCCCACAATTTTTCACACTGAAATTGAGACATTAGAAGGGTCGTGCCAGAGCACCTTCTGGTCCTGCACTAGAAGTAGTGGTAGTAGCTGGAGCACTTTTGAATGGTATCAACAGAAACCTGGCCAGGCTCCTCGCTTTGTCTTCTATCACACCAGCACCCGGGGAGAAGGGATCCCAGATCGGTTCACTGCCTCTATCTCTGGGAACACTGGCTATTTAACCGTCTCCAACATCCAGGCTGAAGATGAGGCCGTTTATTACTGTGGTGACTGGGAATTTACTGGTAGTAGCAAGTTCCACAGTGACACAGTCTGATGGGGAACAGAGACAAAAACCTTCACTCTTCTTCCCCAGAGCTAAGAATCAATTTCCTTGATTCCAGAGGAGCTTTTGAACTAAAGAGCTGAAAAGTTTGGTAAGGCCATTTGGCCTCAGTCACTTCTCAACCAAGATGATCAAGGGCCTGGAAACCAAGCCTTATGAAGAACAGTTGAAGGAGCTGGGTATGTTTAGCCTGGAAAAGACGGGTCTGATGGGAGATATGATAGCCATCTTCAAATATCTCAAAGGCTGTCACATGGAAGAGGGAACAAGCTTGTTTTCTCCTGGTCTGGAGGGTAGGACTTTAGAGGTTGTGGACTTTCCCTCCTTGGAGGGTTTTAAGCAGATGTTCGATGGTCATCTGTCATGCAAGTTTTAGCTGAGATTCCTGCATTGCAGGGGGTTGGACTAGATGACCTTTGGTTTTATTCCAACTCTACAATTCTATGATTCTATGATTTTCAAGGGTCATCTTTCTTTCTGTGTGTCTTTCAAGGTGTCAGTTCACTGCAAACTTTGGCTGCCCCTGAGTCTTTGTCTCTGGGCCAAACAATTAAAGCTTTCTCCCTCTCTAAGTGGTGGTCACTGGTACTTAAAGAAAGCAAGGTAGGTTGTTGGCTTTATGTTGTGCTATATTTTCAGCTGGTGAGAAGGGATTCATTCAGGTGGGAAGCAAAAACATTTCTTCAAACTGTGCAAATCCAGTCCTCCAAAAGTAGTGATGGGAGATGGGTCAGCTTTGCCTGTTATCAACAGAAACCTGGGCAGGCTCTTCAGTCTACCTGGTCAACCCCAACCATACTTTTTTAGCCCACGCCGGTCAACCTCTTCTGGAATTTTGAAAGGGAAAAGCTCTGTATGTCTGTCTGTCTACACCTCTATGCAAATGCAAGGAGATAAAGAAGTTCTTGAAGAACCAATGAGCACAGAGTCAATTTGCATGACGGAGTCATTTGGTGTTTCTGGGGGACTTCAAAGAGGATGAAGAGGATCCCATCTAGATCTCTTTCAGAAGGGAAGCCAGACTCCTTTAGAGAGCTCACCATGGCCTGGCCTCTGTTTTTCCTGGCACTTCTCAGCTACTCCTCAAGTAAATCCCCCACAATTGTCTTTGGATGCTTGTTTTTATTTTTTCTGCTTTAACTTTTTGCTTTTGTTTTTATATTGTTGTAAACCAATGTGATTTTTATTATTATTATGATACAGTGGAATATAGTTTTTTATAAATGAATGAATGAATGAATGCATGGAGGACTCGGTGAACATAGGCCAATATCAAGTCCCTTTTAACTATGTACTCATTATAGGAACATAATGTTTTTGTGATATTTTTGTAACTTAACAAAGTCTTGATTTGTTTCCTGTGTCTTTTGTAAAGATATCTCTTCGCAACCAACAGTCACCCAGCCTGCTTCTTCATCTGTCGCCCTCGGCCAAACAGCTAAACTCTCCTGCACAGCCAGTAATGGTGGGAGCTGGTACAACTATCAGTGGCATCAACAGAAACCTGGACAGGCTCCTCGCTTGTTGCTCTATGGGACCAGCAGGGGAGATGGGATCCCAGATCGGTTCACTGCATCTTCCTCTGCAAACCCTTACTACTTAACCATCTCCAACACCCAGGCTGAAGATGAGGCAGTTTATTACTGTCTTGCTTGGGAGAACAGCAATGACATGTTCCACAATGGTACAATCTAATGGGGAACTGAGACAAAAACCTTTCACTCCTCTTTCTTAGTGTGGAGAAGCCTGAATTACTCAAGAGCATAATTTCACATGAGTAAGTTTTGTAGGAGAAGCCCCCTGCCCTATCAAGCAGACCCTTCTTATTCTCCCCCCTTATGTTACCCCCTAACGCTAAGGCTGAAGAGGTAAATAATTTGGAGTGATAGGAATTCTGTTGGATGCCTCTGTTCAGTGGTGGACTACGTGTGCTGTATCCACAAGGTCAATCCCCAGTATTTGCTAAATATTATTTGAGCTGTCTTTTGTCTGAAATGCCAGGGACATGCTGTTAGTCTGTGTAGACATTTCAACATAAAATTTGACTTGTGGCCTCACTGGGCACCGGGCAGCTTTCTGTATGCTCTTTAAAGTTCTATTTACACCTTCAAGAAATGCAGTTGAATTCTCCACCCCCAACCTGAACCTTCCCAGTGGAATGCAGGGGTGGCTGGGATCCAGCATGATCTTAAGGCATTGCCTGAAGGGGCTTTGCAGCCCTGTGTTCGGGAACATCCAGTGCTCTCCTCAAGCTTTTTCAGGGAGAGAACATTCAGCAGCCTGTAGGGGGAGAATATATGCTATCTTGGGAAGGAGACACCTGGGATCCTCCAGATATTGCAGGTCACACACACCCATCTGAATGGTCAGAGGTGGAAGGTGTTGCAGTCCAATAACATCTGGATGGAAGCAAGATCCCTTCCCATCTTCTCAACGTACCTACGGGACCGCCTCTCCAGGTATGCCCTGCAGAGGACCTTAAGGTCCACAAATGACAACATTTTGGAGGTCCCAGGTTGCAAGGTGCTTAGATTGGTCTCAACTAGGGTCAGGGACTTTTCAGTACTGGTCCCTACTTGGTGGAACGCTCTGTCACAAGAGACTAGGGCCCTGCGGGACTTGACATCTTTCCACAGGGCCTGCAAGACAGAGCTGTTCTGCCTGGCCTTTGGTTTGGACTCAGTCTGACCCTTATGTTTCCCTCCCCTTATGGTTTTGATCTATGGGCTACTTTTAAAATGAGGCTGCATTTTAAATTGCATTTTAACCTGTATTTTAAATTGTTTTTTTTCTCCCTATTTTGATTTTACTGTAATTTTACTGGTGTTAGCCTCCCTGAGCCCGGGGAGGGCGGAGTATCAACAAAACTACTTCTTCTTCTTCTTCTTCTTCTTCTTCTTCTTCTTACTTTATCTTTGCATGCATTGCCAGGAGGAGGGAAGGTCTGTCCTCACCTTTCCATCCATCACTACATCAAACCAGCCATGGCCCAGCTGTGTTTACTTCCAGTCAGGCCCCTGACAAAGCAGCATGCAGGTGGGGAACCATCACCACGGCCTCCTCAAAGGCTCCTTTATGTATATCAATTCTGTTGCATTTCTTATGTGGCTTCATGTATGCCCCATGGGGACGTGAAGTTCTTGAACAACCAACCCTGTCTGGCTGGATTTGCATTCAGGGACCATTCACCAACTCTGGGGATGTAAGAAAGGAAAGGTTGGTTGAGTCCCAGTCTGTTTCCTCTTGCTTCAGGAAGTCCTGCTGCTTTGAAGAGCTCACCATGGCCTCTGCTCTGTTTCTCCTGGTCCTTCTCAATCACTGTTCAGGTAAGGATGCAAAGAAATCACTGTGTGAGCCTAAGAGCCAAACCCAAAAGTATAAGTCATGTTTATTTATCATACAATTCTAAAGCTCCTGTGATATTTGACAACACAGACCAACGAGATATATGCTTGCTTATTTTCTATTTTTTATTTTGCCAAGGTGTCATTTCACAGCCAACATTGACTCAGTCTACCTCAGAATCTGTGTCTCTGGGCCAAACAACTAAGCTCTCCTGCTCTTGAATGAGTGGTAGCACCTGGGGCGGCTTTTCTTGGTATCAACAGAAACCTGGAGAGATTCCTTGCTTTGTTCTCTACAGCAATGACACCAGGGGAGAAGGGATCTTGGATCAGTTCACTGGCTCTTCCTATTTAAGAATTTCCAACAACCAGGTTGAAGATGAAGCAGTTTATTACTGTGGTGACTGGGAGCACACTGATAGTATCATGTTTCCATGTTATAATCTGATGGGGAACTGAGACAAAAACGTTCACCCTTTGACCACAGTGCAGCAAACCAAGAATCCTTAGAAAGTTTCATTTGATCTTTCCCCAAGGACTTTGAATCATGTGCTTTGTTATGATTCTGCATTGAAAATAAATAAATAAACAAAATAATAATAATAATAATAAAAAAGAAAAAAAAAGAATCATGTGCTTGGAATGGAGAGAAACCCAAGTGCATTTAATCCCATTTCCCTCGTCAAGGCAGAAGCACCTGACTACTCATTGCATAGATCCAACTTACGCCATACAACTGGGGCATCTCACCGACAGAGTGCCAGACCCCCAAATAAAGTTCCTTCTAGTGCATAACACTAAAGCTTTGGGTCAGACAAGAGACAGTTCAAACTTTATCATATCCCGATGCTAATCAGTTTCAGGGAATCATATATATTGGAGATCATTAGTTATCTTGAGCTCATTCCCCCATCAAGCTGTGGGTTTGAACCTGAGAAAAGTATTTGTGTGACTCAGTTCATTGTTGCCTATTTTTGAGGGTCTCAGCAATTCTTTGGCTGCTTGTGAATAGTTTAGCTCAGGGGTAGTTTAGAAAGCTCAGAAAAGCCAGTTGGCCTCAAACATTACTCCACTTTTCAGCCACACACAATTCACACACCTGTAGGGATGCAATTTTTGGAAATTCTCAGTTGCAGATTTTTTTCTGATTGCCATTTCATTCCCTAATCTCAACAGAACGTGAGCTCCTCCCATTCTGCTAATGTATGAAGAATCATGGAGAAAATTGAAATTGATAAAAGTGAAATTACCAACCTACAGAGATTTGTTACAAAAGCAGAATTTTTGCTATGCCCAGAAACTCTTACAGGGCTTTCTAGTGCAGTTTTGCATGGATAGAAGTTGTGATAAGTGACCTGATTTGCTGTGATCACAGTCTGCAGTGGAAACAAGGGTTTCTTGCAATCTCAACAGAGCTTTGGTGTTCAAAGAGGTTCAGATACTGAAAAAAGTAATTCCTGTCATAAATGTGGGAAGGAAAGGTGATAAGTTGTCTTCCTTCTGCAGGGAGTGCTTAAGTAGGTTTGGCATTCCCTGCTTCTTTTGAGGACAGAAGACCAGCTTTGTGTTGGATGTAGCCCGTAGGATTTTACAGTGGAACACTTCCTGGAGCTGTCTGACGTTCAAATGTTAAAAACAAAATGTATTGTTGTAATAAAGCATCCAAATACTATCTTGGGTCAGAAGAAATTGCTTTATACTAGGTCAGGCTACTGGTTCATTCAGGGCTCTTCAAGCCTGTTGTTATTTTGGGGTGAGTTTCAATCACATACCAGGAAATCCACAATTAAGTTTATTTTGAAGTCTTGTGCAGCAAACTCTCTTCTCTGCAAAAGGAAACCATTGAAAGAAGAAAAGTGGTAGGCAAAGGAACCAGAAAGTGTGGGAGAACATTTGCCTGCAGCAACATAACACATCAGAGCAAAAACTAAGTGAAAAGGCATCCTAATCTGGTGTGGTTATTATGAATTTAGAGTCTCAGAAGGAGGTATTTGCCATCAGTTACTACTTAATTCGTGTGTGTGTGTGTGTGTGTGTGTGTGTGTGGAGATACCAAGGACAACATCTTCTGCAGGCAGATCATGTCCATTATCATTAAGCTATGAGCCTTCCTCCTCCCTTTTCCCCTGAGCTATTACCCTACTTCTGCCTCAAATTAATCATGTACAAGACAAGATCATAGTCAAAATAGAAAAAGAAAAAAATCCCTTTATACACCTCAGTTCTATTGCATTTTGTTTCCCTATTGCACCAGGTATTATCAGTGGAGACATGGCCTGAGCCAATGAGCAGAGGTTGAATTTGCATGAAGGGACCATTCCTCATCTTCCAGGGACTTAAAAAGGGAAGGGTTCCTTGGGTCCCAGCCAGGTGCCTGTCCAATTAGAAAGACTCTACGCTGCTTTAGAGAGCTCACCATGGCCTGGGCTCTGCTTTTCTTTGCCCTTTTCTATTACGGTTCAGGTAAGGATGCAAAGTGCCCTTACATACGCCTGAGAGACAAAACAGCAAAATGATCTGTAACATGTATTTGTTTTAGCGACAGAATGCTCTTGTGCTATTTGAAAGCACAGAGGATCAAAGGTAATGACTTTTTTCTTTCTCTTTTCTGTAAAGGGGTCAATTCACAAGCAACAGTGACACAGCCAGCCTCCCAGTCTGTGTCCTTAGGTGAAACAACTAAACTCCCCTGCTCTAAAAGTAGTGGGAGCTGGCTCAGCTTTTACTGGTATCAACAGAAACCTGGCCAGGCTCCTCGTTTTGTGTTCTATGGTACCAGCACCAGGGGAGAAGGGATCCCGGATCGGTTCACTGCCTCTGTCTCTGGGAACAATGGCTATTTAACCATCTCCAACACCCAGGCTGAAGATGAGGCAGTTTATTACTGTGCTGACTGGGAGTACACTGGTGGTAGCAAGTTCCACAGTGATACAATCTGATGGGGAACTGAGACAAAAACCTTCCCTCTTCCTCCGCAGAGCTGAGAATGAAGCAGAAACTGTAGAAGAGCTCAGAGTCATCTGTGCCCTGAGATCTGTTGAGATGCAGAGCAAGAGGGATCTCCCTGGCCATCTGCTCCTAGTCACTTTCCTATGGCTGCCAAGCTTACACTGGCAATTCAGAAAATATCGAGCCCTAAACCTTCCTTTGTAGGGAATGAATGTTAATATATAATACTGATGGAGCGTCTGGTAGCTCTTTTTTCTGTCCCTTCTTTCTTTAGTTTTTCATTTTTGCTGTTTATGTGCAATAAACAGCAATCCTAGTCCAGTATTCTAATGCTCAGGACAGAGTCTCTTGAACTTTTCCACAATCTGCTACTTGATCATTTCATTTTTAACTGGGATACCAAGGACTGGACCTTCCTTATGCAAATCACCCCCTTTGCCGCCAAGCGTGATGCCTCTGCCCAAGCCAATGGATGTGGAACTTTTTGCCTGAGAGATCACCTGTCATTTCCAGGGGATTTAAGAGAGGAGGAGCAGGAGGAAGGTGCAGCTAGATTGAGGAGCTGTTTGTCTCTGGGACTCTCCCTTCCTTTGACTTCACCATGGCTTGGCTCCTTCTTTTCTCCACCCTTCTCAGCTACTGCTCAGGTCTGGTTCTGTTTGGTTAATGTGATCAGATTGGCTCGTGCAGGGATAATGGGTCAAGCCACAAACCCATTTATCTTGTGTAATTTGTCATAGAAACATTTTTTTTCCTGAACTTTATAAACACAGAAAATGATGCATTTCTTTTTCTTTTTCCAAAGGTGTCAGTTCACAGACTGTTACTCAGACAGCCTCAGAGTCTGTGTCCCTGGGCCAAACTATGAAACTCTCCTGCTCTAGAAGTAGTGGTGGTAACTGGGGTATCTTTAGTTGGCATCAGCAGAAACCTGGCCAGGCTCCTCGCTTGGTGTTCTATAGTACCAGCATCAAGGGAGAAGGGATCCCAGATCGGTTCACTCCCTCTATCTCTGGGAACACTGGCTATTTAACCATCTCCAACACCCAGGCAGAAGATGAGGCCGTTTATTACTGTGGTGCCTGGGAGTTCACTGGTAGTAGCAAGTTCCACAGTGATACAATCTGATGGGGAACTGAGACAAAAACCTTCCCTCTTTCTCCCCAGAGTGAAGAATGGAGCAGCGACTGTAGAAGAGCTCAAAGTCATCTGTGCCCTGAGATCAGTTGAGATGCAGAGCAAGGGGACTCCCCTTGGTCCTCTGCTCCTGGTCACTTCTCTACGGCTGCCAAGTTTTTGACGGCAGTTAAAGAATATATCCAGCCCTAAATCTTCCTTTGTAGGGAATTAAAGTTAAGATATAATACTGAGGAAGTATCTTGTAGCTCTTTTTTTCCTGTTCCTTCTTTCTTTACCCCCCTCTTTATTTATTTCTTGTGGGTTTTTTTATTGAATTGTGAATTTTCTCCCCACAAAATAGAAAAAAATCTTGTGCAGTCATACCTCGGGTTAAATACGCTTCGAGTTGAGTGTGTTCGAGTTGTGCTCCTTGGCAACCCAGAAGAAATGGAACGCATTACTTCTGGGTTTCACCGCTTGCACATGCGCAGACACTCAAAATGACGTCACTCGCATGCGCAGAAGCGGCAAAAAATGACGCGTGAGTGCGCAGACGTGCCGTTGCTAGTTACGTTTACCTCTAGATGCGAACGGGGCTCTGGAACGGATCCCGTTCATATCTAGAGGTATCACTGTACATTGGTACCTCGGGTTATAGACGCTTCAGGTTACATACGCTTCAGGTTACAGATTCTGCTAACCCAGAAATAGTGCTTCAGGTTAAGAACTTTGCTTCAGGTTGAGAACAGAAATCGTGCTCTGGCTGTGCAGCGGCAGCAGGAGGCCCCATTAGCTAAAGTGGTGCTTCAGGTTAAGAACAGTTTCAGGTTAAGAATGGACCTCCGGAACGAATTAAGTCCTTAACCCGAGGTACCACTGTATGTATGTATGTATGTAAGTATGTATGTATGTATGTATGTATGTATGTAAGTATGTATGTATGTATGTATGCATATATGCATATAGCAGCTCTCACCCAAGGATCTCAGGGTGGATCACAAGATAACAGGGGCGCTGACTTATGCCCCAGGTTATGGGCGCCCAATGAAGTGAAGAATGAACTCTCAGTGATGAGCCTTTCTGCATGTAATTTCTCTCCTTGAACTTAAAACAAAGCAAGTATCCACAAACAATTTAGTGTATTATATAAACTACCATATGCAAAATATAATACATTTATATTGCATCACTTCGCTTTATTTTATTTTGGGAATCGCCAGGTTTCCAAAAGTAACCAGTGCACACACAGATTCATGCAATAATGGATATGAGTGTCTAGAAACACGTATGTGTTTCTTACCGCTGAGATATTATGAGTCTTCCAAAGTGTACCGGGCAGGAGATGGGAAACTTCTGAAGTGCGGTTGTCATGAAGGTGCAGACATGGCAATAGAACTGACGCAGATATTGTTTCCCCCCAACAATGAATAAATGATAAATTCTGTTGCAAGATATTCAAATGTATATTAAGGTTACATTGTTGCTTTTAGTATTGCACTGAAATTGGTCAGAATTTGATTTTTTTGACAACCCACACAGCCTTGCTATTGGGAAAGTATATGTTTTCAGTTCCTACATGAATATAAATCTCCCATGGACACAGATGTGAAATGAAAGGAAATGAACAATAATTGCAAAGACCATTTGCAGGGGTGTTGTACATGAGTGCACATTTATGATGCTCAGACGTCTTTGCATTTGTAGTGCAGCTATAGGGAATCAGATGTGAAAGTGCTGGTTGCCACAGCTGAATCTGGGCACAAATTGTCCCCCAGGAGAAAAGCCAGAAATAAATCTGAGCAGATTGTCATGTCAGTATCCAGGTTTTAAAATGTGGTTGTATTCTGTTACAGAAAGTGATGTTGGCTACTCTGGGTGCAATGTGGGTTCAGCCCTGTCACTTTGGAAATATGAATTAAATTACTGACCCCAGCCAGAGGTCTGTTGTATCACCTGAACCACTGGCATGAATGGAGAAAAAGTTGGCTATATCTTGGTGCTCTGGTTGGGCTAATATGCACCTTACGTTACTGCCATGACCGTCTGCAGTGGAGACAAGGATCATTTGCAACCTGGTCCCTGAATAGTGCTTCAAACCTGTCATTACTATCAAATGGGATCCCATCACCTAGTGGCAGATTCAGATTGTGCTCCTAGGTGCGACGTCATCTGCCATCCCTGCAAACAGGTTTGAATGGAGGCTGAATAAACAGTTGACTTGCTTCCATTTTTGTGCAGACAAATCAGGATATATGTGCAATAAACAGCAATCCTAGTCCAGTATTCAGATGCAATCTGAATATTTGCCTTGCTAATTGTTTTCATTTCTGAACGTTCAGTGACAGTTGGAGGTGAAATCTTCTTGCCTGTGTGTGATCCCAGCTCTCACCTTTAAGGGGAGATGTTGATGCATCTTCTCCACATTTGGCAGGATAGGATGACAACAGAGACCACAGACCGCTGCACCTGGGGCAGGGCAGGAAAATGTTGGCTATGCATAGGTGCTTTTTCAGTGCAACTCACTCGTGTCTAGAGCTGAAGGGCCCGAAAATAACTTTCTCTACCCAAGAATATTAGCTGACACTCTGAGCATGTTTAGGCAAGTTGTGTGTTGCAGGTTCTACTCAGAGAAGACCTCTTGAAATGAAAAGGCTGAAGCTGAATGCAGCCCAAGACCATGTTTGCTGTCAAGCTGATGCCTGGATGGACTGCCTTTGGCACAGAAAGTTTGTCTAGGGCAGGGATAACCCACATATTTCCCTTTGGATGCTATGGGGCTGCATCTCCCGCCATCCCTGACAATGAGCTGATGGGAGCTGAGGTCCCTAAACAGCTGGATGTTTCCTTTTCTGTGTGTCTGCACTGCTGGATCAAGGAGGAGGAGGAGGATGGCATGGTAGCCGCTGGCGAGGCTCCACTCTGCGTGATGTGCCACCTCAGAGGTGCATGCAGAAGGCAGGGGTGCCCTGGGCAGGAAGAAAGGGGGAGCCGAGCGCAAGGAGTCTTGATTTTTTTTTTTTTAATATAAATGCTTTTGCATCTGCATCTAATCTTGCCCCTTTCTAAAATTCATTTATTGATGTGTGTTTTTATTTTTGCAAATCTACCAAATCATAAAATATAATAAAATCAATATTACATGTCTTTTTCAGGACTGTGGAGAGCATGTGCGTTGTGTCCTATTGGTGCAGTGATGGTGCCACACGCACTTCTTCTGACAGAAGATTCTATGAGGGGGACAACAAAAAATGGGGTGTCAAGAAGGCTCCCGAGGGGGAAAATGAGAAATGTCACTATTTTCCTCTGAGGAATGTTGGAGGATATGTGTGCTTTGTTTTCTGAAAGCCAGACTTCTCTCATCCATAGCTAGGAGAGAGTCCTGCAGAGCAACAGATGTGAGACTCTGATCATTGTACACTAGGCCACTTTCTATCCATGCAAAAGTCAGAGAATTCTGCTTCGCATGCTCACGTATTTCTAGATCCTTCACGAAACAGGCCAGAAACATGATCACCAGTCAAAGATGCAGACTTTTGTGTCAAGGAAAGTGAGAGGGAAATGGAAAGTGTAGAGTGACATTTCCCAGGTGCAACGTCATTTTCCCTCCCTGCAAACAGGTGTGAATGGAGGCCGAATAAACAGTTGACTTGGTTCAATTTTTTTGCAGACAAATCAGGGTGAATGTGCAATAAGCAGCAATCCTAGTCCAGTATTCTGATGCTCATGGCAGAGTCTCTTGGACTTTCCCACAATCTGCGACTTGATATTTTTCTTTTTAACTGGCATACCAAGGATTGGACCTTCCTTATGCAAATCACCCCCTTTGCTGCTAAGGGGGCCTCTGCCCAAGCCACTGGATGTGGACCTATTTGCATGAGAGGTCATTTCTCATTTCCAGGCGATTTAAGAGAGGAGGAGGAGGAGGAGGAGGAGGAAGGTGCAGCTAGATTGAGGAGCTGTTTGACTCTGGGACTCTCCCCTTTATAGATTTCAACTCTGCTTTTGATCTAATACCGAGGGACAGGCTCTGGGGAAAGCTAAGCACCGCAAATATAAACAAACGCCTACTGTATCTCATCCACAGTCTATATGAAAATACACGGATTCGGGTAAGGTGTGACCGACAGGGCCACCTATCCAAGGAAATCCAAATCCATCAGGGGGTCAGGCAAGGGTGTGTCCTTGCGCCTACTTTATTTAACTTCTATATCAACTCGCTAGTAGGACATATGGAGAAAGAAAATGCCCATCCCCCCAAATTGGCTGGTACGCCCTCCCGGTCCTTTTATATGCGGATGACACAGTTCTAATTTCTTTTTCTTGTGTTGGATTAAGAAAACTTTTGAGATCTTTCACCAAATACTGCAGCATCGAACAATTAACAATTAATTACAACAAATCCAAAGTTATGGTGTTCTCCAAAAAAAGGAGGAGGCACAAATGGAGAATAGACAACCGCTTAATAGAACAGGTAGCAACCTTTAAATACCTGGGTGTAACCTTCCAGGAAAGGGGCTCCTGGCGCTTTCAGATTAATAATACTATTGCAAATGCAGAAAGATCTACCAAAGCGTTAATAAGATTCTTCTATGGGAAAGGAGGCCAGTACATACCGGCAGCCTCCCAGGTCTTTGCTGCCAAAATACTACCACAATTGTTATATGGATCCCAGATCTGCAGTTTTAAAAACCTTACTCTCCTAGAGGCATTTCAAACTAAGTTTTTCCGCTGCCTGCTGGGGATCCCCTCTTGCGTATCCAACATAGCAGTCCGTTTGGAGGTTGGGCAAATTCCGATCAGTACCCGGATATGGATATTGAAGATCCATTACTGGCTAAAGCTTATTTTCTTCCCGGTTGGGCTGGCACCTTTGACCTTATTGGATACCTACCAATCCAGATGGAAGGCTACACTGCTGGAAAAGCTTAAAGGCTTGGGGATCCCACAGCAGACCCTGATAGCCACAGGCTTCGAGAAAGCTAGGACCACAATTCGCCAGCGTATCTGGGATGTAGAATTACAACGCCACATGAGTGAAATGATCAAACATCCTGCAATAAGGGACTATGGGAGAGGATTTCTGCAGCTAACTATCTGTCAGGTCTCCAGGTACCTAAATACAGACGGTCTTTTACCCTCGCCAGATTCAACGTTCTCCCTTCTGCCTTACTTCAGGGCAGATTTGAGGGTAAACCATACGCAGCGCGGGTCTGCCCCTGTGGCTCGTTGGAGGTTGAGACTGCTGCACATGTACTGTTGCGTTGTCGTTTCTATGAGGACATACGTTCGACTTTTATTGCTCCTGTTTTGCGGAAGTCCGGGAAGGAGTCGGAACACCATGGTTTGGAACCGCTGCTAGAGGACAAGAATCCTAAGACTACATTAAATGTAGCCAAATTCTGTGCGGCTGCAATTAGTCGCAGGAAGCAAGTGGTATCCCATGGTGACCAAACCCCCAAGTGTTGATAGCAGGGGCCATGCTAATAATTAATTTTAACTTTTTAATTAATAATAATTAATTTTAATTTTTTAATTAATAATAATTAATTTTAATTTTTTAATTAATAATAACTAATTTTAATTTTTTTTTTATATTTAAATGCTTGTTATACTTATATTGCCCTTTGTATTTTTTATATATATTTTTTATGATCTGTGATGTTGTGTGTGTTGGCGCTGGTCTGTGACCGTACTAATAAATTCATTCATTCATTCTGGGACTCTCCCTTCCTTTGACTTCACCATGGCCTGGCTCCTTCTTCTCTTCGCTGTTCTCAGCTTCTGCTCAGGTCTGGTTTTGGGTGGTTAATGGGATCAGGTTGGCTTGTGCTGAGATAATGGGAAAAAACCCAAACCCATTTATCTTGTCTAATTTACCATAAAAAACAATGTTTTCTGATCCTTATAAACATAGAAAATTTTGTATTTCTTTTTCCTTTTCTTTTTCCAAAGGTGTCATTTGACAGACTTAAACTCAGCCAGCCTCGGAGTCTGTGTCCCTGGGCCAAACTATGAAACTCTCCTGCTCTAGAAGTAGTGGTAGCTGGGAAAGCTTTGGCTGGTATCAACAGAAACCTGGACAGGCTCCTCGCTTTGTCATCTATGGTACCAGCACCCGGGGAGAAGGGATCCCAGATCGGTTCACTGGCTCTTCCTCTGGGAACACTTACTATTTAACCATCTCCAACACCCAGGCTGAAGATGAGGCAGTTTATTACTGTCTTGCTTGGGAAGGCAACAGTAAAACGTTTTACCGTGGTACAACCTGTTTGGATACTGAGAAAAAACCTTTCCTCTACCTCCTTACAGTGAGAAAACAAGAAGAACCCAAAAATATGACTAGTCATACTTGAGCGGTCTTTGTTTTTGACAGGAATGTGTGATGATATCAAGTTATTTAGTCACATTGATGCTATTAAGGAAATGATCTCCACCCATGAATGGCCTCCACATTTTTTGACAGGCAGTCTTGGGCAAAGCAAGACTCACCTGTCATGTGCAGCCTTGCTGGCATCCCCTAAGGAAAAGGCTGTGGGTGTGGACTGTGTTGTGAATAAGATTGTGCCAACAGATATCAGCAAAAAGCAAAATGACCCAAAGAGGGCAGGATGTGGTTCCTTGAAAACTGGAAATCATTTATCTAAATTTCATTTGGAATGACATGAATTCAAATGTGTACTTTAGATGAGTTCTGCTGAAATTATAGGTTTGATGAAAATCCTAGATTCAATAAACAACCATCTGAAAGCTCAGGGGTGGAGGGTGTTGCAGTCTAACAACATCTGGATGGAAACAAGATTCCCTCCAGGATTCTCTACTTTATCTTTGTGTTTTGCCAGGAGTAGGGGAGCTCTGTCCTCACCTTTCCATCCACACCGTCAACCCACCCATGGGCCAGCTGGGTTATCATCTAGTCAGGCCCCTGACAAAGCAGCATGCAGGTGGGGAACCATCATCCCATCACCATGGCCTCCTCTGAACCACCTTTGTACATATCAGAGCTTTAGACACAAGGGGGAGATGTTAGTTCTGTTTCTCTACATTTGACAGATTTGCACCTGCAGTAAAAAGTTAAACAGATGAGCATTTTATCTGGGTGTTCCTCATGCATGAAACTCAAGGGTCTGCACACAACTTGATCTACCTCAGAATACACTCAAATGACGAATGAGCTAAGCAGTCATCTTGAAGGGGGCCTGGTTCTGACTTTGTATTCCTCTCTCAGATCTGATCATTGGTGTTTAATGGCTTCAGCCCTTCTTTCTCTATCTGTAGGACAGGACACAAATCTCAGGCTCATGGGCAAGGTGTGGCCCTCCAGGCCTGTCTCTCTGGCCCTCAGGACTCTCCTCAAATTAAGCCCCCTTCCCAGGCTACTACACCCCTAAGAAGCCCTGCTCTGAGCCTTCCCAAAGTGCTTTTCCTGCCAGGAATATCTCCTTCGAATTTTATGGTGCCCTTTGCTTCCCTTGATGGAGAACAGAGAGAGGTTTGGATAGGTCTGGAAGGTGGTGTTACTGTCTTCATTTTGCTAAACTGGGCTGATTTTATGAAAAGGTCTCTCAAAATCTACACCCAGATGGAGCTGGCTTTGAGAACACATGAAACTGGTGTTAATCCACCTCTCCCTTGTGAGTCAGGGGGTGAACAAGGGATGCTGTACTGGCCCATCCCTCTGGCTGCTTTTGCAATTCTGGGGAGCACTTTTGCTGCAGCGCAAGGAGGAGCCTGGAGAATGAAGATATATTTGCCTTCAGGTTTTCCTGTGGAACTTCAGGACATAAATGAAACACACACATCCTCCCTCCAGACCAGGGCTGGGGGAAAAGGTATTCAGCACAAGGGCCACATTCCCCCTTTTAGGGGCCACCTACAAATGGTAAGCATACAGGAGTCATAAAGGGGGAGGACAGAGCAATCAATGTGAGACTCTTATCATTGCCCACTAGACCAATTTGCATCCATGCCAAAGTCAGATGCACATGTCTCTCCATCCTCTGCCCACGCAGGCCAGAAACAGAAGCACCATTCATGGATGCAGTCTAGGCAGACCAAAGCAATGGAGGAGGGCACAGAGCCATGTCAGTGAGAGGCGTGTCCTTGGGAAAGGGGGCATGTCCTGGGAAAAGGCCAAGGATCAGAGGGACTACCAGAAGTTTGGCCCAGAGTCCTGAGGTTCCTCACCCCTGTCGTTCACAAGGCAAATAAATTATGTCCTTGTTTTAAATCACCCACTTCAGGCAAAAAAATTTCTGTGGTCATTTGTCAGACATTCATCACATTTCCGCATGACGCCTCTAACAAAGCCAATGTATGCAGACCTATTTGCATGAGAGATCATTTCTCATTTCCAAGGGATTTAAGAGAGGAGGAGGAGGAGGAAGGTGCATCTAGATTGAAGAGCTGTTTGTCTCTGGGACTCTCCTTCCCTTTGACTTCACCATGGCCGGGCTCCTTCTTCTCTTCGCCCTTCTCAGCTACTGCTCAGGTCTGGTTCTGGGTGGTTAATGGGATTAGGTCGGCTTGTGCTGAGATAATGGGTCAAGGAACAAACCCATTTACCTCGTGTAATTTATCGTAGAAACACAAGGCTTTTCTGATCGTTATAAACACAGAAAATGATGCATAGTTTTTTTTCTTTTTCTTTTTGCAAAGGTGTCATTTCACAGACTGTAACTCAGCCAGCCTCGGAGTCTGTGTCCCTGGGCCAAACCATGAAGCTCTCCTGCTCTAGAAGTAGTGGTGGTACCTGGCTCAGCTTTGGCTGGTATCAACAGAAACCTGGACAGGCTCCTCGCTTTGTGTGGTATGGCACCAGTGACAGGGGAGAAGGGATCCCAGATCGGTTCACTGGTTCAGCCTCTGGGAACAATGGCTATTTAACCATCTCCAACATCCAAGTTGAAGATGAGGCAGTTTATTACTGTGGTGCCTGGGAGGTCACTGGTAGCTGGAAGTATCACAGTGATACAATCTGATAGGGAACTGAGACAAAAACCTTCACTCTTCCTCCCCAGAGCTAAGAATGGACTAACAGTCTGGGTCTCAAGTTCATTGATTCCAGAGGAACTTTTGAACTAAAGAGCTGAAAAGTTTGGTAAGGCTATTTGGTTTCAGTCACTTCTCAACCAAGATGATCAAGGGCCTGGAAACCAAGCCTTATGAAGAACAGTTGAAGGAGCTGGGTATGTTTAGCCTGGAAAAGATGCTTCTGAAGGGAGATACGATAGCCATCTTCAAATATCCCAAAGGCTGTCACATGGAAGAGGGATCAGGATTGTTTTCTCCTGCTCTGGAGGGTAGGACTCTAGAGGTTGTGGACTCTCCTTCCTTGGAGGGTTTTAAGCAGATGTTGGATGGTCATCTGTCATGGAAGCTTTAGCTGAGATTCCTGCATTTCAGGGGGCTGGACTAGATGACCTTTGGGGGTGTTCCAACTCTACAATTCTATGATTATCACAGGTCAATGTTCTTTGTTTGTTTCGGCAGTTGCATGGTTTCGGCAGTTGCTCCCAGTCCCCAATCTAGCTGCCGTGTTCTGGATTAATTGCAGTTTATGCGTCTATAACTTGGAGAGAGTCCTGCAGAGCAACAGATGTGAGACTCTGATCATTGCACGCTAGTCCACTTTCTATCCATGCAAAAGTCAGAGAATTCTGCCTCGCACACGGATCTCTTGATCCTTCATGAAGACAGGCCAGAAACATGATTCAAGGATTCAAGGATTGAGACTTTTGTGTAAAGGAGAGGGAATTGGAAAGTGTAGAATGACATTTCAAATGTTTCATTGGCTCTCCCTGCAAAAAGGTGTGAATGGAGGCCAAATAAACAGTTGACTCGGTTCAATTTTCTTGCAGACTAATCAGCATGAATGTGCAGTAAACAGCAATCCTGGTCCAGTATTCTGATGCTCATGGAGGATTCTCTTGAACTTTCCCACAATCTGCTACTTGATATTTTTCTCTTTAACTGGGATACCAAGGATTGGACCTTCCTTATGCAAATCACCCCCTTTGCCACTAAGCATGATGCCTCTGCCCAAGCCAATGGATGTGGACCTATTTGCATGAGAGATCATTTGTCATTTCCAGGGGATTTAAGAGAGGAGGAGGAGGAGGAAGGTGCAGCTAGATTTAGGAGCTGTTTGGGACTCTCCCTTCCTTTGACTTCACCATGGCTTGGCTCCTTCTTCTCTTCACACTTCTCAGCTACTGCTCAGGTCTGGTTCTGGGTGTTTAAAGGCTTGTGCTGAGATAACGGGGAGAGCCACAAACCCATTTATCTTGTGTAATTTACCCTACAACGTTTTTCTGATCTTTATAGCCGCAGAAAATGATGCATTTTTCTTTTTTCTTTTTGCAAAGGTGTCATTTCACAGACTTTAACTCAGCCAGCCTCGGAGTCTGTGTCCCTGGGCCAAACTCTGAAACTCTCCTGCTCTAGAAGTAGTGGTAGCTGGTATAGCTTTGGCTGGTATCAACAGAAACCTGGCCAGGCTCCTCGCTTTGTGTTGTATAGTACCAGCACCCGGGGAGAAGGGATCCCAGATCGGTTCACTGCCTCTATCTCTGGGAACACTAGCTATTTAACCATCTCCAGCATCCAGACTGAAGATGAGGCCTTTTATTACTGTGGGGCCTGGGAGTACACTGGTGGTAGCAAGTTCCACAGTGATACAATCTGATGGGGTACTGAGACAAAACCTTCACTCTTCCTCCCCAGAGCTAAAAATGAACTAACACTCTGGGGCTTAATTTCCTTGATTCCAGAGGAGCTTTTGAACTAAAGAGCTGAAAAGTTTGGTAAGGCCATTTGGTCTCAGTCGCTTCTCAACCAAGATGATCAAGGGCCGGGAAATCAAGCCTTATGAAGAACAGCTGAAGGAGCTGGGTATGTTTAGCCTGGAAAAGATGGGTCTGATGGGAGGTATGATAGCCATCTTCAAATATCCCAAAGGCTGTCACATGGAAGAGGGAACAGGATTGTTTTCTCCTGGTCTGGAGGGTAGGACTCTAGAGGTTGTGTACTCTCCTTTCTTGGAATGTTGTAAGCAGAGGTTGGATGGTCATCTATCATGCAAGTTTTAGCTAAGATTCCTGCATTGCAGGGGTTGGACTAGATGACCTTTGGGGGCGTTCCAATTGTACAATTCTATGATTCTCACAGGTCATCGTTCTTTGCTTGTGTCTTTCAAGGTGTCAGTTCACTGCACACTTTGACCCCGGCTGCCTCTGCGTCTTTGTCTATGGGCCAAGCCCAAACCATTCATGTGTTCTCCCTCTCTAAGAGTGGACACTGGGACAGCTTTTAAGGGTACTAACAGAAACCTGGGTCGCTTGTTGGCTTTATGTTTTATGATCTTTTCAGCTGGGGAGAAGGGATTCATTCAAGTGGGAAGCAAAACCTTTTCTTGAAACTGCAAATCCAGTCCTCCGAAAGGTACAGACTTGTCAGAGAAAGATTGTACATCTCTGCCCCAGGGACATGGCCACTGCTGGTGTGCACTCAGTTTTTGAGTTCCAATCCAAACATTTAAATACAATAGAAAATGCCTCATTTCCCGGTTTATTTAAGAAAGCAGAAGGCGAAGCTAGATCAGAGAGCTGTTTGCCTCTCAGGCTCACCCTACTTTTGACTTTCCCCATGGCCTGGATCCTTGTTCTCTTCGTGTTTCTCAATTATTGCTCAGGTCTGGTTGTGGAGGGTTAATGGGCTCAGCTTGGCTTGTGCAGGCATAAAGTGGCTGTCAAAAACAGTTATCTGCTCAGGTTTTGGCTGCAAATCCAGGTATTTCAACTGAAGCTCCTGGCCAAGTGTCCATCATTAGGGTACTCTGTTCTTTGCAGTGAGGTTTACAAAGGATGCTTCACAATGTTATGAATCTGAATATTTGCCTTGCAAATTGTTTCAATTTCTGAACGTTCAGTTACAGTTGCAGGTCAAATCTTCTTTCTTGTGTGTGATGCCTGCTCTTCCAGTTCTCACCTTTAAGGGGAGATGTTGATTCATCTTCTCAACGTTTGGCAGAATAGGATAACAACACAGATTGTTTCCTCCTGTTGCACCTGGGGCACGACAGGAAAATGTCTGCTATGCATTGTTCACTCCAAACCACTCATGTATAGAGCTCAAGGGCCCCCAAAACCCAAGAATATTACCTAAGACTCTAGGCATGCTTAGGCAAGTTGTGTGTAATGGGTTCGACTCAGAGAAGACCCATTGGAATTAAAAGTCTGAAGCTGAATGCAGTCCAAGACCATGTTTGCTGTCAGGCTGATGCCTGGATGGACTGCCTTTGGCACAGAAAGTTTGTCTAGGGCAGGGATAACCCACATATTTTCCTGTGGATGCTATGGGGCTGCATCTCCCGCCATCCCTGACAATGAGCTGTGCTTGAGGGAGCTGATGGGAGCTGAGGTCCCCAAACAGCTGGATGTTTCATTGTATGTGTGTCTGGACTGCTGGATCAAGGAGGAGGAGGAGGAGGAGGAGGATGGCATGGCTGCCGCTGCCAAGGCTCTGCTCTGCGTGATGTGCCACCTCTGAGGTGCAAACAGAAGGCAGGGCTGCCCTGGGCAGGAAGAAAGGGGGAGCCGAGCGCAAGGAGTCTGGTTTTTTTTTTTTTTAATATAAATGCTTTTGCATCTGCATCTAATCTTGCCCCTTTCTAAAATTCATTTATTGATGTGTGTTTTTATTTTTGCAAATCTACCAAATCATAAAATGTAATAAAATCAATATTACATGTTTTCTTCGGGATTGTGGAGAGCGTGTTTGTTGTGTCCTATTGGTGCAGTGATGGTGCCACACTCAATTCTTCTGAAAGAAGATTCTCTGTGGGGGGACAACAAAAAATGGGGTGTTGAGAAGGGTCCTGAGGGGGGGAAATGAGAAATGTTACTATTTTCCTCTGAGGAATGTTGGAGGAAATGTGTGCTTTGTGCCTTGTTTTCTGAAAGCCCCACATTCAATGCCAGACTTCTATCATCCATAGCTAGGAGAGAGTCCTGCAGAGCAACAGATGTGAGACTCTGATCATTGTACACTAGGCCACTTTCTATCCATGCAAAAGTCAGAGAATTCTGCCTCGCATGCTCACGTATTTCTTGATCCTTCAAAAGAGAGGCCAGAAACATGATCACCATTCAAAGAATGACTTTTGTGTCAAGGAAAGTGAGAGGGAAATGGAAAGTGTAGAGTCACATTTCCCAGGTGCAACGTCATTTTCTCTCCCTGCAAACAGGTGTGAATGGAGGCTGAATAAACAGTTGACTTGGTTCAAATTTCTTGCAGACAAATCAGGATGAATGTGCAATAAGCAGCAATGCTAGTCCAGTATTCTGATGCTCACGACAGTGTCTCTTGGACTTTCCCATAATCTGCTACTTGATCTTTTCCTTTTTAACTGGCATACCAAGGATAGGACCTTCCTTATGCAAATCACCCCCTTTGCCACTAAGCATGATGCCTCCGCCCAAGCCAAAGGATGTGGACCTATTTGCATGAGAGATCATTTCTCATTTCCAAGGGATTTAAGAGAGAAGGAGGAGGAGGAAGGTGCATCTAGATTGAGGAGCTGTTTGTCTCTGGGACTCCCCCTTCCTTTGACTTCACCATGGCTTGGCTCCTTCTTCTCTTCACCCTTCTCAGTTACTGCTCAGGTCTGTTTCTGGGTGGTTAATGGGATCAGGTTGTCCTGTGCAGGAATAATGGGTTGAGCAACAAACCCATTTTTCGTGTAATTTATCATAGAAACACAATGTTTTTCTGATGCATATATTTTTCTTTTTCTTTTTCCAAAGGTGTCATTTCACAGTCTGTAACTCAGCCAGCCTCGGAGTCTGTGTCCCTGGGCCAAACTCTGAAACTCTCCTGCTCTAGAAGTAGTGGTGGTGACTGGGGCAGCTTTCACTGGTATCAACAGAAACCAGGACAGGCTCCTCGCTTTGTGTGGTATGGCTCCAGCACCAGGGGAGAAGGGATCCCAGATCGGTTCACTGGCTCTGAATCTGGGGACACTGGCTCTTTAACCATCTCCAACAACCAGGCTGAAGATGAGGCTGTTTATTTCTGTGGTGCCTGGGACAGAACTGGTAGCAAGTTCCACAGTGATACAATCTGATGGGGAACTGAGACAAAAAGGCATTTGCTCTTTATGCAAAGAGAAAGTAACATGAACCACTCAAGAGTTTCATTGAGCCTGAAAGTGGCAGCCCAGGTGCAGACTTGAAATGGTCATGGAAGAAAGTCGATCTGGTATATGTGTTGGAAGAGGCTGGTGGGGCAAGAAAGAGTTTGTGTGCAGCTGCACTGATGTTAGTAGGGGACCATCGTTTCAAAGACTATCAACAGCAGTGTTAGAAACCGAGATATGAAAGCTAGGAGCTAAATAGCATCTTAAACCTAGGTTATGGGTGCAACAACAGAATGTCTAGGTGCACTTTTTAAATAACAAGTATATAACTCTGCATGATATGCCATCTCTGATGTGAAAGCAGAGGGCAGGGCCGCCCTGGGTAGGAAGAAAGGGGGAGAGGAGCGCAAGGAGCCTTGATTTATTAATATTATTATTGCTTTAGCAACCACATCTATCAATCCCAGGCTTCTCCCTGCTATAGCTAGGAGAGAGTCCTGCAGAGCAACAGATGTGAGACTTGGAAAGTTAGACCTACAAGCATTAAATTTTAGAGTGTGGAGTGCAGACATTCCAGAAACAAATTTTCCGTCCCTTCCGTGGGGACACTGGGACTGCAATTATTTATCAGGGAATAAGAATGATTAGCTTATTTGATTCCACTTCTGAGTCACATCCCACAACTTATCTCAAAGGGTTTTACAGTAAAAATAAAATAAAAATGAATGAAGGAGCAATGAAATCAGTCAAGAACAATTTCATATGTGAAAACTATTTTTTAAAATGATTCCATATCAAAGAGCTTTGCTCTGGGGTAAAACCTTCAAACCTCTGAATGTTCACTGTTTGGCTTGAATTTGCCTGGCATAACAGAATGGATCTCTGTCCCTGTCTCAAATACTCTGATGACTTCTAAGTTTCTGTTGTAGACAAGTGTTAAGTAGCAGAGAAATTCTGCTGAAGTGCTACTCAATCAGGAAGTCTCAAAAATAACTCAGTGCGGTTTGTGGTTTTTTTAAGTGAGTTTAGAACCAACCCATCAGAAGAGTTTGTGGTCTTCCACTCTCATCTAACACTCTGCCACATAATGGAGGCTCCAACATAATGAATTCACAGGGCCTGGTTTAGTTTTGATTTGTTTCTTTAAAAGCTTTCAGTGCTTATAGAACAAGTAAAATGAACAAGAACAATAAAGAACCAAGATCTAGGCTTGCATGCAGGAGAAAAGCAATTTAGCATCAATAGTAAAATGTCAGCTGAAACAGGAAAGTTCTTCAGGCACTTCCAAGATGACAAGAGGCTAAATATACTTATATTGGGAGAGAATTCTGAAGAGAGGGGGCTGCTGTGGAAAAGGCCCTGCTCCTTGCAGAACAGGGATGTTATTGGACTCCACATTCCATCAACCCAAGGCAGCATGGCCAATGCTCATGTGATGAACTCTGAGACTGTAGTCTTGTGAGATGATTGAATAAGAGTCTCCAACAGAAGGTTATTGCAGATCATAGCTCCAGGGGGTTAAAGTGGGATGATTGCCAGGGGTTAGCGAGCAGAGCAACAAGGGTCTCGACTCCTAGTTTTTGATGGATTTTGTATGTGAAGCATGCTGTCTTGTCTACCTTTGGCCTGTATGGGGAGGTGTTGGACAAGCATTCATAAAAATTAACTGTCAGAGTCCGACCACCACCTGCATCTCTGTAACAAATGAAGCAAGATGCTGCTCAGGAAACATGTGGTCAGGATTCCACAACACAACACACCGTATATGCATTCCCCATCAAAAGTTAGCTCTCTGAGCAAAATTGCAAACAAAAATGGGTATATTGAGAGCAATCTGCACACTGAGATAAGGATGAATTTTTGTGAGGATGTAATCCTTCATGTACAAACCGATGTGGCAATGGACAAACTGAACTTCAGACTGGAAAATGAGAAACTGTTATGAGCTTAAACTGATAGATTCTTCCATCCCTATTCTTGGTGCGGGGATTTGTGGCCCTTCAGATGTTACTGAACTACAGCTCCCATCAGCCCCTGCCAGGAGGGTCAATAGTTGAGGATGATGGGAATTGTAGTCCATCAACATCTAGAGGCTGACAGGTTCCCCACACTAAGAGGCTCAGGAAGGAAATTAGTTATCGGTAGCAGCCAATGAATTTCTGAAGATATTTGCATACGAGGAAACTTCCTGAGTTTGAGGGGTTTAAAGGATAATGGCACAACTCTCCCCTCCAGAAAGCTCTTTGCCAACCAAGCTGTGAATTCCTCACCATGGCCAAACTTTTGATGCTCCTTGTATTTCTTGCTCACCTTTTGGGTAGGTCATTTTTTAAAAAATGCCTAATTGGAAATCCTTCCCTGTTTCCCTTTTCTCAGTGTGACTAACTGACAGCCTTCTCTTAATGATCTTCCAATTCCACCTAATTTTTCTGACTGTTTTTTTTGTTCCAGGCTGTGATGCGGAGTTTACAATGACTCAGCCACCTTCTTTGTCAGCCTCCATCGGAGATACAGTCAAAATCTCCTGTAGGAGAAGCACTGAGAGTGTAGAGGATTATTTCAACTCCTGGTACCAGCAGAAGCCCAGCAGTGCTCCAAAACTGTTAATATATGGTGATGAGCATAGGGAGTCAGGGATCCCAGATAGATTCTCAGGCTCCCTTGACAGCTCTGCTAACTCTGCCATCTTAACCATCTCCAGCCTTCAAGCAGAAGATGAGGCTGATTATTACTGTCTGTCTTATGACAGCAGCGAGCAGCACAGTGACACAACCACATAGGGAAGTAAGACAAAAACCTCCTTGCAGACGATGGGCTTCATTTCGCCTTGACAGCAGCTGATGAATGCTACCGCCGTACCAAAAATAGTCTTCTTGTTTGAACCGTTCTCCATCACTGAACGAGAAAAGAAACTGCATTTTGAAATTGTGGAAGGGGAGCAAACTTTTTGGCAAAATTCCCGAGGTGGGATCCAATGGGACAAAAACCCCCACACGATTATAACACATTGAAAATGTCACGAGGATCTTTCCCATAGGGCAGTAGATGGCAGATCACTGTGTGTGTGAAATCCAGCTGGAGGAGGCCCTGAAGTGGTCTCTGTTTTCCTACCTCTCTCTCTCCAGGAATTCTTCCCCACCTGTTTATATACCAGTTCAGCAGGAACCCGTGTTCCAAAACCCTGCTCCACTCCTGTCACATCGTCTTCACCTCTTAGAAATGATGTGGAACCTGCCAATTCTCTTAATATATATATATATATATATATATATATATATATATATATATATATTACAGATTTCTTAGTTTACAAAAAAGATCTGCATTGTCTATTTTTTCAAGTTGCGTTTTCTACAGATCAGTTTCATTTGTTGTGAGACATTAGTGTTACAGTGTTAGGTTAGGAAGAAAAGAGGGGGAAGGCGGGGGGGGGGGAATGTTGAGCCTGGCATACCACCCGCTATTCCACCACACAGCACAAAACCTCCAGATAAAAACTTGGCAAGCCAAAGGTTTATGCCGCCCAGCAGACTTCCACAAAAATAACAAACCCATATCAACACAAGAAATACAAGACAGACTAGGGGACACCCAAATGTCTTGGCTTACGCACCACCAATTACATGCCCTCTTAAACAATCCAGTAGTAAAATCAGCAGCAACTAGGCCTTTGACAACCTTCAAAAACCTCCTCCCAACATGGTTATTCCAAAGTCCCCCCCCCCCCCAAAAAAAAGCAACATGAAAGGTCTGAAGCTTGCACTTCCTGGCAAATAGAAGGGGAAGAAATGGAGGCAGTGAGAGATTTTACTTTCTTGGGCTCCTTGATCACTGCAGTTGGTGACAGCTGTCACGGAATTAAAAGACTCCTGCTTCTTGAGAGAAAAGCAATGACAAACCTAGACAGCATCCTAAAAAGCAGAGGCATCACCTTGCCAGCAAAGGTCTGTATAGTTAAAGATATGGTTTTTCCAATAGTGATCTATGGAAGTGAAAGCTGGACCATAAAGAAGGCTGATCGCCGAAGAATTGATGCTTTTGAATTTTGATGCTGGAGGAGACTCTTGAAAGTCCCATGGACTGCAAGAAGATCAAACGTATCCATTCTTAAGGAAATCAGCCCTGAGTGCTCACTGGAAGGACAGATCCTGAAGCTGAGGCTCCAAGACTTTGGCCGTCTCATGAGATGAGAAGACTCCCTGGAAAAGACCCTGATGTTGGGAAAGATTGAGGGCACAAGGAGAAGGGGATGACAGAGGACGAGATGGCTGGACACTGATCTCGAAGCTACCAGCATGAGTTTGAGCAAACTGCGGGAGACAGCGGAAGACAGGAGTGCCTGGTGTGCTCTGGTCCATGGGGTCACAAAGAGTTGGACACGACTAAACGACTAAACAACAAAAGCTGAGTCCACAGTCAAGTTTCTGTTCTATATCTGCAAGATCTAAAAACCAGGCCATATCAATCAATTGTGTTTCCCGGAAAACCATGGTCTTACTCCAACTGCTTGAGCACTGAATATCAGCATTGGTTTTCATATTATATAACCTTCCTGTTCATGTTGAGCATAGCTATAGGATGACTGCTTTTCCAGATTTAACCTTTAAGGGGAGATGTTGGTCTATTTTTGGCAGATTGTTCTGAGAGCACCTGCTCCCTCTTGCACCTGTGATGTGAAGTGAAGCAGGAGAATGTTCACTAAGCATGGCTACATGTCTGATGCTTTCTGTTCACTCATGCTCAGATTGGCATGAATGCAGCAAATATGTCAGGTACAAGTACACCTTCGGCAGACAAAAAGAGTCAGGAAAGAATGTGCGTGAATAGATTAATTTCGTTTCCTCATTTATTTCCTTTTAAAAAAAAGTTTCATTCACTTTGGTTACTGTTCTCTGGAGTGCATTTGGTGTTCTGCTTGATCGTTTCCCCCTTGAGTGCATTAGTACAGCTCCATTGATAAAGAAGCTTAAATGTCTCGTCTTGTTAGAGTTTGGAGGAAGGAGTGCCCCCCCTTTTAGTGGAGTGGGTGCCTTTCATTTAGAAACTCCTGGGGCTTTCATGGTTAAAAAAAAGCCTATTGCACAAAGAATCAGATTGATTTCTCCATCCAGTTTGACCTCTGGTTCTGCCCACTCCTAGAACCTGCCCCCCAGAGGGTTTACCAGATGGGATTTCAAGGGATGGAAGTAGATATTTGGACCACATCTTGCTTCCAATTCATAGTAGAAGAAGGAGGAGGGGGAGGAGGAGGAGGAAAAGGAGGAGGAGAAGAAGGAGGAGGAGGAGGAGGAGGAGGAGGAGGAGGAGGAGGAGGAGAAGAAGAAGAAGAAGAAGAAGAAGAAGAAGAAGAAGAAGAAGAAGGAGGAGAAGAGCAACAACAACAACAACAACAACAACAACAACAACCACCACCCTTGTTGGCTGAGCACAGCTCTCCATTGATCCAGGAGCCACTCATAACTAAACACTCTTGTCAGAAGTTGTCTCTGTTTTCCAGGGACAGTCCCGGATTTACAGAAGCCATCTTGGTTTCTGATTTGATCCTAGAATGTCCCACTTTTCCTTATGACAACCTTATTTTCATTGGAGAAATATCGGAGGGTATAGAGTTATCTGACCTCTGAGCCATCTGAAGGCAGCTCTGTATTGGGAAGTTTTTAAAAATGCCTAATATTTTATGTTTTTATAGATGTTGGAAGCTCCTTGGAGTGACTGGAGCAACAGGTGGGCATGGTATAAATAGTAAAATTATTATTATTAATATTATTATTGAATAGGGTGTCCCTATTTTCATTGGATAAATGTTGGAGGGTATGCCTTCCCACTCTGATACTTCCCTGGGGGGGGGGGGTCCCCAGCTATAGTCTCCCACCATTCCTCCTCGTCTAGCTAGTGTGATGGCCTTGGATTCAGACTCGTAGGCCGAACCTGAGGGATCCCAGCCTGCACAGCAGTCCCCGCCTCCAGAACCAGCTGAGCGGGGGCTGGGGCTTGAGCCTGAAGGGTCCTCACCTGTGCCGGATCCTCAGGTGCAGGCACCAGCTGAGTCTGCTCTGGCTCCTGAGGTTAACCCTTGGGACCAGCACAGCCAGTCCCTGACATCATGACTCTTCACAAATCACACCCTTTCCTCCAAGGGGAACTTTCCAAGGGCTGCCTGCCAGTGGTGTGTGTGTGTGTGTGTGTGTGTACCAGAGGCAAAGCTGAGCAGATGTGACTCTTATTTTTGTACAACAGGTCACGCCCTTCATGCAAAACCTGTTCTGTGGTCATCTGAGAGAGCTTCATCACAGTTCTTCATAATGTCTCCAGAAAAGCCAATGGGTACAGATATATTTGCATGATAGATCATCCCTCAGCTCCTGGGGTATATAAGAGACCCCCTTCCCTCTTATAGATTAGAGAGCTGTTTGCCTCTGGGACTCACCTTCCTTTAGAATTTCACCATGGGCCAGATCCTTATCCTCTTCATTTTTCTCACTTACTTCTCAGGTATGGTTTATGTGGTCTAATGGGCTAGCAACAAAGCTATTTCTCTATCTAGCACAGAAACAGAATACGTTTGTGATATTAAGGAGCAAAGAATGATGCATCGGTTTTTCTTTTTCTTTCTGCAAAGGTGTCGCTTCACAGCCGACATTGACTCAGGCAGCCTCCGAGTCTGTCTCCCCGGGCCAAGCAATTAAACTCTCCTGTTCTAAAAGTAGCGGTGGAAGCTGGGGCAACTTTCACTGGTATCAACAGAAACCTGGCCAGGCTCCTCGCTTCGTGTTCTATCATACCAGCACCCGGGGAGAAGGGATCCCAGATCGGTTCACAGGTTCTTATTCAGGGAACACAGGCTATTTAACCATCACCAACATCCAGGCTGAAGATGAGGCCGTTTATTACTGTTGTGCTTATGAGAGCTCTGGTAGCGCCCAGTTCCACAGTGGTGCAATCTAATGGGGAACTGAGACAAAAACCTTCACTCCTCCTCTGTTGAGTGAAGAATTCAAAACAGCTCGAGCCTGAAAGTGACAGTTCTTCTCCCTGGGAAGGGACAGGCTTGAAGGACAGCAAAATGAAATAAGAGTTCATTAACAGAAATGCATTTGGCTTGGGTCTTACACATGCGGTGAAATTAAGTGCACCTGCACAATATTCCTGCCTAATCACACATTCTGGGTTGCTCAAGTAGGGAAGTGTGTATCTGGAATGGGTCCTGGCTCATAGAAAATTTCTTTATGGAAATCTACCATCATGCCTATTATCTGGGTGGGAATATAAAACAGACAGAGACTGATCTATTCAAACAGAAGCACCCAGAAGGTGATCTTTATTTACTGCTGCAGGACACCCCACGTGCCCTGTTGAAGAGAGAAGACGATAATACTTTACTATATAAATACATGAAACTACATAAAAGTACATTTCTATTGGTGAAGTAACAATACATGTGGAAAGATGCTCCAATTAAGTTCTTTTAATACCTCGCATGTTTATCTGCATATCTGCATGCTTACTCAAACAAACCTTTTAAAACTTGCTTTCTCTCTTTCTTTGAAACGGCATTCCTCTCTCTTTTTTTCAAATCACACCTCTGCCTTCTTTGGGTGTAACATACCGTCCAACTTTTTCAGACCCAAAACTGGGACGTGTGCCTTCTGGGATGTGCTCCCAGGTGAGTCATGTGACCCATGCCTCACTCTTGCCCCGAAAAAAAGCCCCTTTCCCAGAGAAAGATCTTGTGAGGGAAACCTTTTCCCTCCTAAATTGCAGCACTGCACACTGCAGGATTTCATTCCTTGCAAGAGAGCCTATAGAATGGGAAATCCCATTGGCGATAGTTCATAGCTCTACAGTGCCACCTGGTGCTGTATGTTTATGGCACATTTTTTAAATTATAATTGATGAAATGGAGGCAGTGAGAGATTTTACTTTCTTGGGCTCCATGATCACTGCAGATGGTGACAGCAGTCACAAAATTAAAAGATGCCTGCTTCTTGGGAGAAAAGCAATGACAAACCTAGACAGCATCCTAAAAAGCAGAGACGTCACTTTGCTGACAAAGGTCCTTTAAAGCTATGGTTTTCCCAGTAGTGATGTATGGAAGTGAGAGCTGGACCATAAAGAAGGCTGAAGAATTGATGCTTTTGAATTATGATGCTGGAGGAGACTCTTGAGAGTCCCATGGACTGCAAGAAGATCAAACCTATCCATTCTTAAGGAAATCAGCCCTGAGTGCTCACTGGAAGGACAGATTGTGAAGCTGAGGCTCCAATACTTTGGCCACCTCATGAGAAGAGAAGACTCCCTGGAAAAGACCCTGATGTTGGGAAAGATGGAGAGCACAAGGAGAAGGGGACGAAAGAGGACGAGATAGTTGGACAGTGATCTCAAAGCTACAAACATGAGTCTGACCAAACTGCGGGAGACAGTGGAAGACAGGAGTGCCTGGCGTGCTCTGGTCCATGGGGTCACAAAGAGTTGGACACGACTAAACGACTAAACAACAAAAGCTGAGTCCACAGTCAAGTTTCTGTTCTATATCTGCAAGATTTACAAACCAGGCCATATCAATCAAATGTGTTTCCCGGAAAACCATGGTCTTAATCCAACTGCTTGAGCACTGAATATCAGCATTGGTTTTCAAATTATATAACCTTCCTGTTCATGTTGAGCATAGCAATATGATGACTGCTTTTCCAGCTTTAACCTTTAAGGGGAGATGTTGGTCTATTTTTGGCAGATTAGTGTTTCTGAGAGCACCTGTTCCCGCTTGCACCTGCGATGTGAAGTGAAGCAGGAGAATGTTCACTAAGCATGGCTACATAATAATAATAATAATAATAATAATAATAATAATAATATTTTTTATACCCCGCCCTCCGCAGCCAAGGCCAGGCTCAGAGCGGCTTACAAGCAATAATAAAAACAAGATGAATGATTACAACTTAAAAACAAAAATAAAATACAACATTAAAATAATGGAACATTAAAATATTAAAATGTAGCCTCATCGCAGGAGGAGAAGGAAAAGAAAAAGAGAGGGAGGGAGGGAATCAAACTGGCTCCAAGCCAAAGGCCAGGCGGAACAACTCTGTCTTACAGGCCCTGCGGAAAGAAATCAGATCCTGCAGGACCCTGGTCTCATGAGGCAGAGCGTTCCACCAGGCCGGAGCCAGAGTTGAAAAGGCCCTGGCTCTGGTTGAAGCCAATCTAACTTCCTTAGGGCCTGGGACCACTAGGGAGTTGCTATTTATGGACCTTGAGGCTCTCCATGGGGCATACCGGGAGAGGCGGTCCCGTAGGTACGAGGGTCCTAGGCAAACTTATATTATATGGCAAAAGGTTGCCTTTCCAAAACTCCTGCTTGGTGTGCCAACATAAACGTGAAAGCAGGGGATATTTGCCGGGAAATATTGGAGGGTGTTAGGGGGCTCCATTGCTCAACAATTCTGACATGCAACTTCCATCTCCGCCTTTCCCAGTAGCTAGTTCTGTGGCTTAACGTGAGATTGGCAGAGAAGGTAAAGGGTCTGAGGAGCAGGACTGCCTGAGGGAATTATTAGGGACACATGAAGCACTCATCCTCCTGGCCCTCATATTTTCAGGCACATCCCTCAGTTCTTGCCTTGCTGGTCACCACAAAATAGGTCTTTCCCTATTAGTGTTATCTCAACTCTTATTATTGTGAGCGATGCTTCAGAAGCAAAATGCTTCTCTCAACCTAGGACAGCAGCCTTGCATCTTCTTATTAAATACTCTCCCTTATGCAAATGTCTTCTGTGTTCATTGGCAGGGAAAGAATGTCCCACCTCTGCAGATTGGCATTTCTAACAAAGCCAATGGGCATCCTTAGCTTTAAGTGAGAGACCTGCCAGCTTCAGGTCCTTTGGGGATTAAATAAAGAAGTGGAAAGGCTCCTGCCACTTATCAGCTTGCTTTCCAAAGCCCAACTTCTCTAGAGAGCTCACCATGGCCTGGGCGTTGTCCTTCCTTGTCCTTCTCGGCTATCTTTCAGGTAAGGGTGTAGAGGACTCACTCTCCATGGAGGCAGAGCCAATGACAACATTGTGCATTGATGAAAGGGCCTGTCTGATACTTGTGAGCACAGTAAACGAATCCGTGTCAATTATCCTTTTCCCAAAGGTGTCATTTCACAGCCTACTATGACCCAACCTGCCTCTGTGGCTGCACCCCCGAGACAAACTACTAAACTCCCCTGCACCGCCAGTGGAAGCGTGAGCTATATTCTCTGGATTCAGCAAAAACCTGGCCAGGCCCCTCGCTTTGTGCACTGTGATACTTGCAGCAGCAAAGGACAAGGGATCCCAGATCGGTTCACCGCTTCCCGCTCTGGAACCACAGGCTATTTGACCATCACCGGCACTGAGACTGAAGATGAGGCTGACTATTACTGTGTTGCTTGGTTCAGCAGTATGTGGCACAGTGCTAAAGTCTGATGGGGAACTGAGACAGAAACCTTCTCCCTCCCTCCAGTGCAGGGAGCTGAGAAATATTGCAGTGTTTGGTTTGATGTGTGAGTGCCGGGAGGCGGTTGGAGGATGGATGGCGGCCAACAGATTGAGGTTGCATCTTGATAAGACAGAAGTACTGTTTTGGGGGGACAGGGGCATAGCTGTCAACTTTTCCCTTTTTTTAAGGGAAATTCCCTCATTCCGAATAGGATTCCTTGCAAGAAAAGGGAAAAGTTGACAGCTATGGAAAGGGGGCAGGTGGGTGTGGAGGACTTCCTGGTCCTGAATGGGGTAACTGTGCCCCTGAAAGACCAAGTGCACAACCTGCAAGTCCTTTTGGACTCACAGCTGTCCATGGAGGCGAAGGTCAATTCTGTGTCCAGGGCTGCTGTCTATCAACTCCATCTGGTACGCACGCTGAGACCCTACTTGCCCACAGACTGTCTCGTCAGAGTGGTGCATGCTCTGGTTATCTCCCGCTTGGACTACTGCAATGCACTCTACATGGGCTACCTTTGAAGGTGATCCAGAAACTACAACTAATCCAGAATGCAGCAGCTAGACTGGTGACTGGGAGTGGCCACTGAGACCACATAACACAGGTCCTGAAAGACCCACATTGGCTCCCAGCACGCTTCCGAGCACAATTCAAAGAATTGGTGCTGACTTTTCAAGCCCTAAACGGCCTTGGCCCAGTAGACCTGAAGGAGCGTCTCCACTCCCATTGTTCTGCCCGGACACTGAGGTCCAGCTCCAAGGGCCTTCTGGTGGTTCCCTCACTGTGAGGTTACAGGGAAACAGGCAGAGGGCCTTCTCGGTAGTGGTGCCTGCCCTGTGGAATGCCCTCCCTTCAAATGTCATGGAAATAAACAACTACCAGACTTTTATTTAAAAGTCTCCCTGGTCTCGGATTCTGTCAGTCCTTTCTATCAATTCCATATGGTCCATCAACCTGGTGATCTTCTGTCCGAGGCTCTTAACTCTTTTCCATGTCCCTTCTGCAGATCTTCTTCATATTTATACATGCACTTTACTTTATCTTCTGCTGATCTTGTTCTTAATTTCCTTCCTTTGGCACTGAGGAGTAGATCTCGGGGAAACTCCAACCTAACAATGTCTTTATTCCTTCTCAACAGGTCAGCCCATTCTCCATAGTCAGAACTAAAGTCCAAAAGATATTTCAGAGCGTGTTTCAAAATCCCTCCAAAGCTAAAGGCCCCCACAACTCCAATCTCCCCCTGACCCAAATCCAAATCCCAAAAGCCAGAACATCCCTGCATAAGGGGATCTATCCAACTTTCCTTCTCCAATCCAAGTGGGACTCCATCCCTCCAAATCTGGCTTTCTCTAGATTCAATCGTAAAAGGCAACAGCTTATATTCATCAAATTGCCTCTGCAAGGCCGGGCTCTCTCCACTTGTATTACTTGGGATTCAACAACAGCTTCCTCCTTCGTCTTCTCCACAGCTTGCCATGTCAGAACAGATTCCTGAATCGATTCCTGAGTAGTTTCTGTATAAGTATTCACTTTTTGTCCCAAACCAGTCATTTTTTGTCCCAAATTGTCAATTTTAATAATCATCACATCCATCTTCTCATGAAGCTGTTCCAATAAAGCACTTGTCTTGCAAAATGCAATCACTAAGGCTTCTTCCGTCGACATTCTTGTCCAAGGTCAATCTCTGATTCTCACGGTCTTTAATCTCTGCAGCTGGAAAATTCCCCAGCTCCACTCCTGCAACAGTTTCAAAAGCTCCCTCTAGGGGAAACAATTTCTATTTGTATCCGTCCTTTTAAACGCAGATCCAGCAACAAAGTTAGTTTCGATTTTCAGTTACTTTTGCTCTTTTTTAAGTGCAAAAGGAAACAATGGAAACAATATATTTCTCTTGTTTAACTATCTGTCAACATACGTTTTATTCACAGTCAATGAACTTTCCCAAAACATCGATCTTACTGGCAGCCCGTTCCCAGGTTCAGAACGGTGGTGATTTATCTTTCTTCACTCTCTCTCCTGCAGGCTTAGGCGATCTAAAATTTCCCCCCTCTTCTCCTGCTTCCAAGGGGGGTTTAGTAATTTTAACCGATGGAGATTTAATCCTTTACAAAAGGCTTTCCAGACTTTAGCTTGCAAACGTCTTTGCTTCAATCTATTTACAAAAGAGGAAGGCGGACTTCCTGTTTGAAACCTTCCCGTTTCGGTACCAAATTAAAATGTTTAGAGATCCAATTTTCCGTTCTACTCACGGGTAGTTGTTTAAAGTCCAATTGTCCACAGGAAAAAGTCAGCGCTTTCCGGCAACAGCAATGCGGCTTCACTCCGTGAAAGAAGCAGTCGATTCGAAGCACCGCGCCGCTCACCCCACGTCGCTCCGGATCCCCGAAACCGGGTTTCCCCGCGAGTAGGGGAGGCGCAAAAGGTGCCAGCCAAATCCCACGTCCACAGGCTTCTCCCGCCTGTGGTTTTTAGTGGGTCTCCGCCTCGCCGTGGCGGTCAGACCCTGATTTCCACGGAGCGGATTCCGCCCGATCAGAGGAAATCCGCCATTGCCGGAGGCGCTAACCCGGAAGTCCCAACAACTACCAGACTTTTAGAAGGCATCTGAAGGCAGCCCTGTTTAGGGAAGTTTTTAATGTGTGATGTTTTATTCTGGTGGGAGCTGCCCAGAGTGGCTGGGGAAACCCAGGTGGATGGGCAGGGTATAAATAATAAATGATTATATTATTATTATTATTATTATTATTATTATTATTATTATTGATGTGTGCCTGAGTCTCTCTCAATAGTACTGCTGAATGGGGCCAAAATGGCATCTAATCCCAGCCCCTTCTCTGAGTTGTGCTCACCAAGCAACCACTCATGCACAGGGCAATGCGCACTGCAGGTGGCCACATATCATTGCAGCTGGATTTAAGAAAGGTGCCTGTAGAGCAAACAATAAGAGCACATTGTACAGCAAACATCTGCACATTGTTGAACTTTTTTTACATGTGGCACAGATGTTAAGATACAACAAAATCCCCCACACAGGAAGAATAAGGAGTGCTTCACTTGTAGTTCTAAAAATCATTTAATATGTCAACACGAATGGAAGATATTAATATTGTAGCTGTTGTATAAGGGATTATTATTTTGACCAGAATGTAATTGAAATTAATAAGATTTTGGAACACAGAAATAAAGAAAATCATCAAATCTAGCATGTGCAGGGGCACCCAAATTATATAATTTGCTGTTTGAAAATTGGTATTAGTAATTGTATTATAATTTGGTATTGTTATAACGAGGCTATTATTGATTGTAATTGAAAAATTAATAAAAATTATTATCAAAAAGATATAAAAAATCATAGCATAGTTCAGATGCAACAAAATGGTTGGAAGAAATTTAAAGACTATTTACAGAAATATTGCAAAATCAATGAATGTTAGAATGATGTTAGAATGAAGTTAAGTGGTTTAAGCAGCAATGTTATAAAGGTGTATGTAAAAATGGTCTGTTAACAGGTGAGAATCCAAAGTTATAACATATTAAATTAAAGGATTAAGAGAAAATAAAGAGGGAAAGAAATTGCTGAATTAACTAACTGAATTGGAATACAAAAAAGGGAGGTATGAGGAGGTCAGGGAAGCAAGGAAATGAATGTAAGGCATGGAAAGATTGATGTATTTTTTTAAAGTGCTTTTTATTCTTTTTTCTGTATTTTGTATTTTTCTTGTATTTTTACTTGTTCTTTTTCCTTCTTCTTTATTTATGTAATTCTTTTCTTTGAAACCTTAATAAATATCATTTTTTTTAAAAAAACAGATACAATAAAATCGCTCTATGAAGTTTGGTGCTGGTTAAAACTACCCCCATTTTCTTGCATGGATAGGCACAGTAATGCTCTTATTAATATCTGCAGGATTTAAATAAGCACTTCTTGCACTTCTCAGGTACTTCTCAGGTAAGGGTGTGAAGGTCTCATCTTTCTTTGGCATATTTCCCAACAGCAGAACTATTTATATTGTTCCTTGATCACCATGCCTGTCTGATATTTGTGAGCACCAAAAAATAAAAATAAAATCAAGGTCTTTTTCATAATATTTTTTATTAATTTTCAATCACAGTCCAATAATAGCCTCAGGAACGCTTTCCAAGGACACTGAATCTGCCAGCTGTCTCTCTCTTGGTGTTTCCTCTTCTAGCTGTTACTCACCCAGCATTTCCCAGCTTCCCCCTCTGTGCTATGCCCTTCTGCAAAGCACTGTTCTAAATCAATACTGCCCTCCTGTCCTTGGGAAGGTTCAGGAGAAGGGGGTGGGGGCGGCCAAATGGCTGACAGATGCCAAAGATGTGCTGCCTGTCGAATACGCCAGAAAACTCTTCCACGAAGTTTACTGTTGCTTAAAACCAGCCGTGGGGGACCCTGAATTGATGCGTCACAATCCTGTCCTGATGACATCACTGGGTTAACCTGGTAACAACATTAGTCTTAAAATATCTGCAAGATTTTATTAAAAACAAAACAAAAACTAGTCCTCATCAGCCAAAGGGGTTTGGTAATGGAATGAAGGGTTGTGCTGAAACTGCTGAGTATTTCTTGGATGGAATGGACCCTACTAGGGGTCAAGTTTGCTATTTCATATATATTTTTTCCTTTGGGCTCCAACCACCATCTGTATGTGGCCCCTGAAAGGTTCTCTGTGAGGGAATATGGCCCTGGGGTTTATTCTTCACTTGTGAACTAGAAGTTAGACCCAGATGTTGATACTGTGTCCTGTGCACAGGAAAGGGAGGCTTCAGCAGAAACCTCCTTGGCAACTTGAAATAATTTTGACTGGATTGGGATGTAGCCTGAGAAGAGGTGCTTGGGAGGATTATCAAGGACAGGGCCTGTTAAGACCCTTCCTCATTCTCTAATTCCTTTATTTCTTAAGTTTCCATCTTCCTTCCTTCCAATTGCTCTCTCTCAACACTTATTAGTGTGCATAAAGAGCTTATGTCTCTTAGCCTGGAACAGAACCAGGAACCTTCCCTCTTTGCTTCAAATAATCTTCCTCTTGCAAATGTATTCTCTGTTCATTGGCCAGGATACAACGTCGTGCCTCCTCAGAGGAGGAGTGGCTTTTCTAGCAAAGCCAATGGACACCAAGAACATAATATAACAGACCCTTCATTTATTTCCTGCAGTATTTAAGAAGGAAGGAGGAAATCTCCCTTCAGTTATCTGTTTCTTTTAGAGAGTCAGACTCCTCTAGGGAGCTCACCATGGCCTGGGCTCTGTCCTTCCTTGCACTTCTCAACTGTTTCTCAGGTAAGGGTATGTAGGACTCGCTTTCCATAGGTTTCTGAGTCCACAACGCCAATTATATCCTAAGTTTATCGTAGCACGCTTATAGTATTCATGAGCAAAACAAGTGAATCAAGGTAATTTCTTCTTCTTTCTTTTTGAAAAGGTGTCCTTTCTCAACACACAATGACTCAACCGGCTTCCGAGTCTGTGTCCCCAGCACAAACAGTTAAGCTCTCCTGCACTGCCAGCAGCAGCGTGAGCACTATTTACTGGTATCAACAGAGAGCTGGCCAGGCCCCTCGCTTTGTGCACTGTGATGGCTGCAGCAGGGGAACAGGGATCCCAGATCGGTTCACCGCTTCCCGCTCTGGAACCACAGGCTATTTGACCATCAGCAGCATCCAGGCTGCAGACGAGGCTAAGTATTACTGTGGGGCTTGGTTTAACAGTGGCAGCTTGCTGCACGGTGATTGTGTCTGATGGGGAACTGATACAAAAACCTTCAATCTTCCTCTTAATTTGGTCTGAATGCGTATGCGACAACAGCTGCACGGATGTTATTGGCACAAAAATGGAAAGATACAACAACGCCGACCAAGGAAGAATGGCAAGCCAAACTGCTGGAATATACTGAAATGGCAAAATGAACTGTGAGACTTAGGAACCAAGAAGAAAAGAACTTTTAAAAATAATGGGGAAAATTTATAATATACCTAAAAGATTATTGTAAGCAAATCCAAACATTAACTGGACTCTAAGAATCACTTGCAAAGTAAAAGAAGTTTATTGTTAATTTATTTATATGTAGGCTCCCCCTCAAAAAAAATAATAGTAGAAGGGTCCATGAAAGGGAGGGGGGAGTTATGAGATTCAGAGAATCTCATGAAATGAGTATATAAATGTTGATATAAATTTGTATTTGTAAAAACCAATAAAGATATTTCAAATACATATATATAAATTTGATCTGAATAGAACAGATGGATGGGACAGAAAAGACACGTGAGTGCACCCTTGTCTCCAGATCAGGATCATTCAGAGACCATTAATGCAGCAACTGATACACAATGTAGGTTGACAAGTGAATACCGTGGTACCTCGGGTTAAGAACTTAATTCATTCCAGAGGTCCGTTCTTAACCTGAAACTGTTCTTAACCTGAAGCACCACTTTAGCTAATGGGGCCTCCTGCTGCCGCCGTACAATTTCTGTTCTCATCCTGAAGCAAAGTTCTTAACCTGAAGCACTATTTCTGGGTTAGCGGAGTCTGTAACCTGAAGCGTATGTAACCTGGAAGCGTATGTAACCCGAGGTACCACTGTATTTGGATTTAATAAAGGTGTCTTCCAGCAAGATCGGAAGTGCCAGTAGCCTTTAAAAAAAGAAAAAGAAGAGCTATGTGACACAAGTAACTCAAATGTGCTGCTTGAGGTTTACAGCTGGTTAAACCCAGTTCAGGGTGAGACCCTTCCCCCATTATACAGTTTTTCTCCCCTCCCAATGTGCCCATCAAAAGCCACACAGTAGTTGGAGACAGAGCTAATGGCAACAGGCACCTATTCATTCTAGATTTCTCCCAGCCCTCCTTCCTCCTGAGTTCTAAACTCACAGTGCTGAGACTAAGGAAGAGGAGGAGGAAGCCAGGACCTCTCCCTTGACTAGATGTCAAGGATTGTGTCAGCTGCGTCCCATTGCTGACAGAGGGGGAGAGCGTGGAGATTAGGCAGGAATGCGGAAGGAGGGAGGAGCAGCCAAGTTGCAGTAGAAGCCTGAGATCCAAGAACATGGAGAAGGAAGGGGGGAGTTCCAGGGAGAAGACCCAGACTGACAGTTTAAGCTCAGACTCAGAGGGAGGGCTACTGGAAATAGCCTATCCCAAGACACGTAGGCTCGCAAGAATTAATGAGAGGCGTGAACTGGAAAGGAAGTGTAAGTGGGGCTTTAAAAGTGGGAAGAGGAAGGCGCGGAACTCGGCAACAGCTAATTTGGAAGCAGACGCTGAGTGACAGAGTTCCAGAGTGATTTGTGTGTTTTGAGCAATAAACCGGAGTTAATTGCTGCCGGAGTTGTCTCGCTTCTGTGGGAGAGACCCAAACATTACAGATTGTAAGCAAGAGGTGATAGGATGAATGCAGTTATAGGTTCAGGCACCAGAGGGAGCTCCCTTCCTTACTACTGCGCTGCACCAAGTATGACAAAGGTGACGTTCTGCCGTGCATGATTGTCAACTGTCTGTGTCTGGCAGACTGTGAAATCGTGACACCTGCATCCTTCTGATGTAAATCATGGGGGTTTGGCTTTTGCTGCCCAACTCCCCACGGGACTCTGAGTCCCCTAAGTTCATGATCGGTCAGAGAAGAATGGATGGAGGCTGGATCCAGTGGAAGGCAAGGCAGATATTTATTTTCCTGTTGCAACAGCATCCCCTTCACTTCCTCCAAGGAAGGGGAGACCCTGAACAAAAGTGTGCAGGAACCTTTAAAGACTTTTGACATTGCCCAGCCCCCCTTAGCCAAAGACCACCCCAAGATCATCATACATACATCATAGGAGGCGAGTCTACAGCAGAAATCCTGCCTGCCTGATAATAGTCTCTGATTGCATTACCTGGGCAGCCTGGTCATTCTTTTGTGATGGTAAATACTTTAATTCCTGAATCCAGGTCACAGCCTCACCCTATTCATACACAAATACGCCCTAAAGACAGGATTTGTAAGGGGAAAGACAATGGGAAGGCTTTCCCCATTTGCCTCCCTTACTGCAGAGGAATATTTGAGGTCATTGGGAGAGTCAAAATGGCTTCAGGATTGATCTCCTGTACTATTTCAGACACATGGTTCATATATTTAGATATGTGTGCATTTATTAATATTTATTCTTTATTTGAGGGACGTGGGTGGCACTGTGGGTTAAACCACAGAGCCTAGGACTTGCCAATCAGAAGGCCAGCAGTTCAAATCCCTGTGACAGGGTGAGCTCCCGTCGCTCAGTCCCAGCTCCTGCCCACCTAGCAGTTCGAAAGCACGTCAAAGTGCAAGTAGATAAATAGGTACCGCTCCAGCAGGAAGGTAAACGGCGTTTCCATGCACTGCTCTGGTACACCAGAAGCGGCTTAGTCATGCTGGCCACATGACCCGGAAGCTATACACCGGCTCCCTCAGCCAATAAAGCGAGATAAGCGCCGCAACCCCAGAGTTGGTCAGGGGTCCCTTTACCTTTACCTTTATTCTTTATTTGAGACCTTAAAATTCTTAGGTTGAGTTCACCCACCTAACTTCCATTCACAGGTCAATACATCTTGCAGATTTTGGAAACGGCTTCTGTTGCCTCCATGACAACCACTCTGCCCTCCTCAAAATATATTAAACTTTCTAAACATTATCCATTCTAAAACATTTCAGCAGCAGTGCTGCCACCGCCAACACAACCCAAACCTAAAGCAATACCCTAATTATCCAGCCTGGAATTGGTATATAGGAACTTGGGCGAAAAACAGTTAGCATCAAGTCCCAGTTGGTGGGCATTAAGTTGTATTATGAAAACCTTAATAACTGGCCCTGGGTTGTTTTCAACTAAAAACAACAGGCATTTTTGCCCTTTCTGGAGCTGTTTGCTTTGCAGAAATACTTTCATGGGCTTGCAACATGAACTGGCCATCTGCAATGCATGTTGATCAAACGTTCCTTCGGTGTTTTTGCCTGGTTGGAATGTGTCTCTATGTCGTATTAATGCCTCTCTCTTGCTTGGATGGAGGGCAGAAAAGTGTGTGGAGAAATTCGCCTGCTGTACAAAGGAACATGAAGTTGGTTTTTAATTTATTTTTGCTTTTTTTCACTTGTTTTTAACTTTCTATGACTATATCGTCTGGTTATATGTTATTATATTGTAAACTGCTGCAACATATTTTTGTGATACATCGGTATATAAATATAAGTAAATAAGTAAATAAATACATAAACACATAAACAAACAAACAAACAGATAAATAAATAAAAGCTCTGTCCTCTGTGGCCTCTGCTCCCCATCCTTGCTGGCACAAAAGACAATGTGTTTAATTATTATTTGATGATATTTAACTTTACTGTTTACTATTATAAAATAAATTAATTAATTTTATAATGAATGATTTTAGAGTGTTGTTTATGCTGTACCTTTGTACTGTTTTATTGTTGTTAGCCGCCCTGAGCCCGGCTTCGGCTGGGGAGGGCGGGATATAAATAAAATTTATTATTATTATTATTATTATTATTATTATTATTATTATTATTATATTCTAATAAATTATTGAATATTGCATTATGTGGTAGAGGTTGTTTATTTTACAGTTATGTTTTTATTATGACTTTTTGTATTGGAGCAGATGGTTATTAGGTGTGCGATCTTTGCTGCCTCTTTTGTTGTGTCTTCAGTTTGTAAGCCGCCTTGCGCATAGTAATATAGAAAGGTGATATATACATTTAAAGAGAATTTTTTTAAAAAGGAAATTAAAAAATGGATATAAGCATTTTTAACCCCTCCCCCCAATATAAAAACACTCTGTGGTGCAGTTTGGAAAAAGAAATCCAGTACATACTTTTGATTTTATAATAATAATAATAATAATAATAATAATTTTTATTTATACTCCACCCTCCCCAGCCAAGGCTGGGCTCAGGGTGGCAAACAAGCAACAATAGAAACAAGTTGAACAAATACAACTTAAAAACAAGATTAAAATACAACATTAAAATATTGAAACAGTAAAAATATTAAAATGCAGCCTCATCGCGGGGGGGGGGGGAAGAAAGAGGGGGAGGGAATCAAATTGATTTTGCTGTTCTTGAGCAAATGGAGGGGGTTCTTCCTGCCATGTTTGCAGCCAATCAGCAAGCAGCAGATTTGCATAGAAGGGCGGACCCAAATCCCGGAGCCGCTTAAGATGGGATGACAGGGTATGGACCGGATCCATCTTTCCTCAGGAAGCCAAGCGTTCCCAATCTCCCATCATGACTTGGACCGTTGTCCTTGTGCTTTTTTGGACTTATTGCTCAGGTGAGGGTTGAAGGTTTTCCATCTGCAGCTTTAAATAAATCAAGGCATGCCCTTTTCTGTTACTTTAATAAAAAACAAGATCAGCTTGCTCAGAACCCTACAAAACCAAGCCAGGTGTTTACTCTTTTCTCTGTTTCCAGGTATCACTTCATTGCCTGTGATGACTCAGGCTCCCTCCCAGTCTGTGACTCTGAGGAACACAGTGAGATTCACCTGCACTTTGAGCAGTGGATATGAGGGCTGGAGCATCGAGTGGTATCAGCAGAGAGAGGGACAGGTCCCTCGGCTTGTGGTGTATTCTGATAGCAACAGAGCCGGTGGGATCCCAGATCGGTTCTCTGGCTCCAAATCAGGCAGCGAGCGCTATCTGACCATCACTGGTGTCCAACCAGAGGATGAGGCCACATATTACTGTGGTGCAGGTGACAGCAGTGGGTTGGCACAGTGATGCAATGACAATAGGAACCGATACAAAAACCTCTGCTGAAGGAAGGAAGGAAAGCATTTGCTTTGTTTCAAGAAGCATTTCAGATCTTCTGAAACAAGAATAGGACACCACACTGCCCAATTGTGTGTCGAGGTCCCCAAGCCACCCCAAATAACTCACACATCACACAGAATTTTTGTTTAAGGTTTTGGGCATAATTTTGGCCAAAACTTTATTAAAATAGAAAAAATGTGAGTGGTTGCTTAGGCATTGGTTGCGACTATCTGCCCCCAGTGGGGACAGACTGACATTTCGCAAGCCTGCAAAAGTCAGAGAAGGGGAAGACATTTTGGGGATAGTGACGGAGCAGGGAACCTGCCCTCAGCCCTCCCCAACTGCAACCAGGGGCTCTTGCGTGGCCCTAGCCCCTTGACAGGGTTCGGACAAAAGCAAAAGTGAGCCCCTGTATTCCTTTAACGGAATCCCTTGCAGCAGCAGCAGCATTAGATGGGCAGGCACCGCCAATCCATGCCCCTCAACCAACCAAACCATAAACCAATGCCTAACCGCAACCTTACAAGTTGTGACGATTTGCTACGCAGTAGGCAAAAACCAAATGGCCCCAGCCAATCAGCCAGATGGACAAAATTCCTACCGGGCCCCTGCCCCAAGAGCAGACGACCCCATGACAGGCATACCAAGGTCAACGCGAACAACCCTAAATATAGGGGGGGGGGGACGGGCAATCCGATGCATGGAGCGAAAAGAAGAAGCTCTACGCTTCGTGCAGGGAGTTTTAACATTTCTGGCTGTCAGTCACAGAATGGCACCAACAACAAGGGAAGCCCAATCACAACAGTGGCCAATGATCAATTAGCCCACCCCATAACTTTGGAGTGTCTTGTTGGCCCCCACCGCAACACGTGCTCTCCATGAAGGAGAACATGCTTTATGGTGCTGGAGGAGACTCTTGAGAGTCCCATGGACTGCAAGAAGATCAAACCTATGCATTCTTAAGGAAATCAGCCCCGAGAGCTCACTGGAAGGAAAGATCCTGAAGCTGAGGCTCCAGTTCTTTTTCCACCTCATGAGAAGAGAAAACTCCCTGGAAAAGACCCTGATGTTGGGAAAGATGGAGGCCACAAGGAGAAGGGGACGACAGAGAACAAGATGGTTGGACAGTGTTCTCGAAGCTACCAGCATGAGTTTGACCAAAGTGCGGGAGGCAGTGGAAGACAGAAGTGCCTGGCGTGCTCTGGTCCATGGGGGTCACGAAGAGTCGGACATGACTCAACGACTAAACAACAACAACACTGCCCAAGGCAACCTGGAGAACAGCAACAACTGACAAAAGATTGACATGCAGTCGTACCTTGGAAGTCGAAAAGAATCCGTTCCAGAAGTCCATTTGACTTCTAAATCGTTTGAAAACCAAAGCTCGGTTTCTGATTGGAAGCTCCTGCCGCCAATCAGAAGCCATGGAACCCCCATCAAACATCCGGCTTCCAAAAGAACATTCGAAAACCAAAGCACTCACTTCCGGGTTTCAATCGTTCGGCAGCTGATTGTTCAGGAGCGAAGGCGCTCGGTATCCAAAGTACGGCTGTAATATATTACAATATATTACAGGAAGAAACACTACGGACAGAATAATTGCCACACACAGGAAGGATGGAGTTTGAATATTCCATCTGCAGGTGTAGAAATCGTTCAATGTGTCAATTCGAATGGAAGTCATTAAAACTCCAGTTGCGATATATTTGGACTGGAGTGTGATTGAAATTTATAAGGTTTTGGAATGCAGAAACAAATAATCAAACCATTAATTCTAGCATGGGGGGGTAGCTAAATTGTATAATTTGGCAAATCAATTATTGGTATTATTGATTGTATTATAATTTGGCATTGTTATAATGAGGCTATTATTGGATTGTTGTAATTGAAAACTAATAAAAATTATTACAAAAAACCAACAAGAAGAAGCATTTTTTCATAAAACTGATCACGGGAATTATGAAATGTGCAGCCTTTCCAAAGATAACCACATTGCCCTCATCTTTGCTAGGGATGGGATTATTTGAACAAGTCAGTTGTTGACTGATACACACAAATTCTCCCTCTTGTAATTCTTTTCTCCATCTTGATGAGAAACAAGATGTTTTCTCACTAGTTCCACACACAATGACCGCTCCCCGCATAAAACGGGGGATGACCTTTGCGTGGACGCGCACAGCCCCTGGATCTGGAGCGGCTCCATCAGCATAGGCTTGGCTTTGCCTTCCCTCAGGTGGGATACCTGGAGGTCTCCGTCTACCCCAGTCAGTTGTCCAATCCCACCTGGGGGAAGCGTTGCCAAGGAGATCAGGCCAGGTAGGGGAGGGATTACCTGTCCACACAATAGAGGGAGGATCTTACCTGGGAATCCTCACTTGGCTCCAGAGCTTCTCCCACCCTACCCACCCTCAGTTAATGCCTTATTTTGCAGGTTAACTTTTCTTCACAGGTTTTACAGGTTAACTTTTCTTCACAGGTATGCGGGCGCTGTTACATTAAGGTCGCTGTCAAAGGGCCGGAAAGGAATTTCCCTGCATTGGCAGGTTTCGCCTTTCCCGTAGCAAAGCGTCACAACTTTGGCGGTATCAGGCCTTGGGCGGAATCCTTTAGTCCATCTTCTTCTTTGCGGCAGCGATACCAGGGTTCCCCGTTAAAGGGGTTTCTGAAGGGAGGCTTTGATCGTACGCCGAAAGGTCATCATTGCTCTCCCCTGCGGCGGCGGCATAACGGGGACGGCTATCTCTGCTTGAACATATGTTCTCCAGAGCCGGCCCATCCCCCACACAAACACTGGATAACCCTGATGCTCCCTAGGTCCCCGGCTGGGGACTGGGGAGGGAGAACGCCCAATGCCTGAGCCAGGGTCTACCCACATTTGAAATTTACTAAAGTTGTGGCCAATTTAATCCCATAGCACGTTGTCATGAGTCGTTATTCCACATGACGGGGGGGGGCTGCTCGGGACCTGGGAACTCTGCCTGTCCACGCAAAAAGGAGCAATCCCCACACACAATATGCGTGATTATACATATAATCATACAGAAGATATTTTAGGCGGATTTGCATTCTACGTTTTCAAAAAGTAACAACCGCATAAGCAACACACAACAATGCATATAAATGTATCAACATATTTGCATGTTGAAACTTGTAAAATTATGCAGGAGAAATAAAGTACTGCAAAAGGTAGAAATGTTATTATTTATTTTCACTCCTCTCACATCCTGAATGGGGTGAGATATGAACTTGGTTTACTGACCTCAGTTACATTAAGTCAAGAGTCTCATTCTCATTCTCTTGGGAATTATAGGACTAGAATTACCTAAATGGTGTAGAAATTTATTCTTGTATGCTACCACAGCAGCAAAAATACAGTGGTGCCCCACAAGACGAATGCCTCGCAAGACGAAAAACTCGCTAGACGAAAGGGTTTTGCGTTTTTTGAGTCGTTCCGCAAGACGAATTTCCCTATGGGCTTGCTTTGCAAGACGAAACGTCTTGCGAGTTCTTGCGAGTTTGTTTCCTTTTTCTTAAAGCCGCTAAGCCGCTAAGCCGTTAATAGCCGCTAAGCCGCTAAGACGTTAATAGCCGCTAAGCCGTTAATAGCCACTAAGCCGTTAATAGCCGCTAAGCCGCTAATAGCCGCTAAGCCGCTAAGCTGCTAATAGCCGTGCTTCGCAAGACGAAAAAACCGCAAGACGAAGAGACTCGCGGAACGGATTAATTTCGTCTTGCGAGGCACCACTGTATTACTTGCCCAAAAATGGAAAGAAGAAGAAGTCCCAGTATAGGAAGAATGGATACAAAAACTTATGGAATATGCAGAAATGGTGAAACTTACCGGAAGAATAAGAAATCAAGATAACAAACTTTTTTTTATATATAAAAGAACGGAAATGGTTTATTGAATATTTAGAGATAAACTGTAAACTGATAAAAACACTGTCAGGTTTGTTGTAATAATCTGTAGCTGCATAAGAGTATATATTCAAAGAAGATAAATAAATGAGTAAGTTAAGTTAATTTGGATATGCAGAAGACACTAAAAATAAATTTAAGGAACCGCACAAAGATGGGGATGGAAGTCAAGTTTTAAAATGTCAAAAGGATTGTAAAATCAGTGAAAGGTATATATCTGAAAAGTAGAAATAATATTTCATTTTTTTTTTATTTTTAAAGAGTCATTCACACACACACGCACCGTCACTAGGAAATATCGTTTTAATAGGATTTTGTTGGAGCAGGCAGGTGAATTACCAGGTGCAGAATGCGTTAAACACTCTCCCTCCTGTCTCCAGATTCACCGGGACAAACTCCTCATTCTTTGAATTACTGTTAGGAAGAAAATAGGTGTCTCCCAAGTTTCCAAAATGACCCTCACCAAGTCCCCACTCAATCCTATTGCTGTGAGTGATGCCAACCATTTCCCTTGTCCCAGGACGATTCAGCATCCTTCCTCCTTCTTTTTAAAGTCTTTCCCTCATGCAAATGTCTTCTTTGTTCATTGGCTGGGAGGAGTGGGATTTCTCCAGAGCCAATGGGTGTCGATAGCTTTATAGGACAGAACCGTCATCTGACGTTTATTTCAAGGTTTAAGGAAGAAGCAAAAAGGTTCCAGCCAGTTCCTGTTTTGCTTTCTAAAATTAAACTTCTCTCAAGAGCTCACCATGGCCTGGGCTCTGTCCTGCCTTGCAATTCTTAGCTGCTTCTCAGGTAAGAGTTTGGAGGATGATTCCCTTTCCATTGGATTCTGGGCCAAATGCAAAACTATTTATATTGTGCACATATCATAGTGCCTGGCAGATATCTTTGAGAACAATGGTTGAATCTAGGTTTTACAATGTATTCCTTTTTCTTTTTATAAAGTTGTGATTTCACAGATTACTTTGATTCAACCTGCTTCTCAGTCTGCATCTCCTGGACAAACGGCAAAACTCTCCTGCACTCACACCAGCAGTCTGAGCAGTATTGGCTGGTATCAACAGAGACCTGGACAGGCCCCTCGCTATGTTCATCTTAATGGCTACGACCGGGGAGAAGGGATTCCAGATCGGTTCACTGCTTCCGTCTCTGGGAATAGTGGCTATTTAACAATCACTGACATCCAGCCTGAAGATGAGGCTGAATATTACTGTCTGGGTTGGTTTACCAGCGTGTTCCACAGTGATCAAATCTGATGGGGAACTGAGACAAAAACCTCTCTTCTTCTTTCAGTGCAGAACTCTGAGAAATGCTACAGAGCATTCTATCTGATCTGTGCCTTGAGCTTTTTGACTGAGAGAGCCAGGTGCAACATACTGCAGAGAACCTGGGGGTTGGCTTTCAGCGGCACAACTCCCCAAGGGACTATGAGTCCCCTAAGTCCATGATCAGTCAGAGGAGACTGGATGGAGGCAGGTTCCAGTCATAGCAAGGTAGATCTTTGTTTTTTCTGTTGCAACAGAGTCCCTGCCCTCTTGCAAGCAGGTGAGAGAGACCAAGACATTGCCCAACTCCTTGGCCAAAAACCACCCAAAAAGGATCACACATACATCACAAAAAGAAGCAGTCTAAGATTGAAAATTTGAGGTTGCGGCTTTTTCCTGTCTGCCAAGATACCTGACAATGTATTACTGATTGCAATACCTGGGTAGTGTGGCCATTCTTTTGAGATTGTAAATCCTTTGGTTCTCAAATCCAGTTCACAGACTGTCATGGAACTGCCATCAGTGTCCGAGGGAGAGAGCAAGCTCCAAAGGGATCCCAGAGAGCGTCCCGGGAGTGGGAGGGGCAGCCCATCTTCTGGGGAAGGGAATCAGCGTAGCTCCAGTGGAGAAGGGGGGCAGATGGGGGAATCGGCGAGACGGTCCCATGACTCCTTGCCGGGGACCAGCGGGGAGAGGAAGAGTCCTCCGCTGCCTACGCCCTCCTTGCGCAGAAGGCTTCCGCGCAGGGAGAGTAGGAGGAGACTGGGTGTCAAAGAGCTTCTTTGCTGGAAGAAGTTTAAGAAACGCCCACTGACGGATTCTGCCAGCGATTGAGACAGCCACGGGTGAGTGGCTGTCCGGACAGGAAAGGTTCACTCAGGCAACCCAGCCAGGTGTTGGGACAGGCTTACGCACGAGTAACCCCTAGAACCATTACACAGACCCATCCTATCCATACACAAATATGCCCTTAAGACAGGATTTAAAGGATTTGTAAGTGAAAGAACTATTGGAATAGTTTTCTCCAAGTTATCTCCTTCTGTAGAGAAAACATTTAGAGTAATTAGAAGAGCCAAGATGGCTTTGGGGGATGGTTTCTGTGTGCTAAAATAATGTGTTATTTTCTCAGGAAATATTTCCTAAATTTTGAAGTGGTTGACTAAAACCTTCAGTACCATGAACAGGGAAAGAGGTATTTGGCAAGCTTCCATGTTTACAGAAGAGTGTGAGTGATGCTACAGCTGTGAGTCCCCCCCCGCCCCCCCGCATCCAGAACTGAGCTAGAAGCCTTCTCTCTCATTTAAATATATTCCCCTTCATGCAAATATCTTCTCTGCTCTTGGGGTTGGATGGCATGCCCCGGCCCCTCCGAGGAACCGTGGCATTTCCCACAAAGCCCAATGGATGTCTATAGCTTTGCATAAGACTCCCTTCAGTTTCAGTTCCTAGGCAGATATAAAACTGGGCAGATATAAGAGAGGAAGGTTCCTACAAGTTTTCTGCTTATTTTACAAAGCCCAAATCCTCTTCGGAGCTTGGCATGGCCTGGGCTCTGTCCTTCCTTGCACTTCTCAGCTATTTCTCAGGTAAGGCTGTGGAGGGCTCCGCTTCATAGATTTCTGGGGCAATAAAACCAGCTCTATGGAACTTTGATCACGCAGCTTTTATGATGCTTCTGTGCAAACCAAATGAATCAATGCCATTTTTCTTTCTTTCTGCTAAGGTGTCATTTCTCAACATACTCTGATTCAACCTGCCTCTGAGTCTGTGTCCCCGGGACAAACTTCTAAACTCCCTTGCACTGCCAACACTACTCCCAGTGGTACCTATGTTGCCTGGTATCAACAGAGACCTGGTCAGGCCCCTCGCTATGTGCATGGTAATAGCGACAGCAGGGGGGAAGGGATCCCTGATCATTTCACTGCTTCCCTCTCTGGGAATATGGGCTATTTAACCATCACCAACACTCAGGCTGAAGATGAGGCTGACTATTACTGTGGGGCTTGGTTCAGCAGCATGCTGCACAGTGCTAAAATCTGACGGGGAGCTAAAACAAAAACTCCCAATCTTCTTCCTTCGCAGCAGGGAGTTGCGAACCATTAGATAGATTCATTTAATCTGAATTTGATCCCTTTAATCTTCCTTTTTTATTTCTTTTTATATATAATTTTAATTAAATTTTCTGTTTTACAATTTGAAAAACTCATTTTACATCCTTAAGATATCAGTGACTTCCCTTCTTTTCTTTCCATGGTTCATTTTACATATCATAAATCCCTACATATTTTAGGTAAACTAAACCATTCAGTACTCCATTATTGCATCCATCAAAAGCTGTTTACACTGTTGAATTTATCTTAATGTTGCCAGTCTCTTCAGTTGTGCACAATTATTTCCCATATATTCAATAAACATTTTCCAATCTTCTTTAAATGTATGTTCTTCTTGTTCTCTTATTGTATATGTTAAGTCTGCAAGTTGTACATATTCTGTCAACTTACATTGCCATCCTTCTTTGCTTGGGACCTCACTCATTTTCCATTTGGGGGCTAACAAAGCACAAGCCGCAGTAGTGGCATGCATAAATAACCTTTTTTGAGACCTGGGAATTTCAGTCTGAATTATCCACCACAGAAAGGACTCTGGTTATTGGAGGAAAGCACTTTTAAACATTTTTTCAATTCATTATGGATCATTTCCCAATACCCCTTTACCCTTTTACAAGTCCACCACATATGAATAATCTTTGCATCCTAGAGATTAAGGGAACAGGAATGAGATCGTTATTTCAGTTCGATCCCACCCTCCCTCCCAAAGCAAAAAGGGAAATCAAAAGTTTGCAAGTCTATAAGACCACAAGTAGAGACTTGTTGGATCAGGTCAAAATGTATATCCAAGATTAAAAAACCAGTCTACATCAGCCAAATAATCTTTGCATCCTAGAGATTAAGGGAACAGGAATGAGATGGCCTCCCATCCCTTCTCTAGGTTGAGTTCGCACACAAACCCCTATTTTCCATGCACAGATCAATACATCTTGCAGATTTAGCTATTTCAGTTCAATACCACCCTCCCTCCCAAAGCAAAAAGGGAAATGAAAAGTTTGCAGGTCTATAAGACCACAAGTAGAGATTTGTTGGATCAGGTCAAAGGCCCATCTAGTCCAACATGCTGTTCTCACAAAGAGCCAGCCAGATGACTATGGGATGCTTGCAAGCGGGACCTGAGAGTGACAGGGACTCTCTTCACTGGGGATTCCAAGCAGCTGTTACTGGGAGGCAAATTTATTCCAACGCTGGAGGCAGAGTGCTGTGCGTTATGGAATAACTCTCACGGTGGTCTCATGTGCTACATAGTTAAGATAGCAGAAAATCACTCTAGGAAGTCCATGACATGGTAATATCACTAAGTCGAGATTCATACTGATGCCCTGATGACATCACTGGCAAGACATAGGAGCAGTATCACAAAATGTATATCCAAGATTAAAAAACGAGTCTACATCAGCCAAAAATATTCTAGAAAAGCTTCTTCTTACTCAAGTCCTTAAAAGAGCGGTGATAGAGCACCAGTAAAGAACGTTATTCATATTACACCATTAGTTTGGGTGTTCTACAAAGCCTATAGGTATAGGATGACTGCTATTTCACATTTAACCTTTAGGGGAAGATATTGGTCCACTTTTCTAACTCTGGGCAGAAGAGGGGATGTGAGAGACCTCCAGGGCACCTGGCACCTGTGGTGTGAATTGAAGCAGGAGAATCTTCACGGCACATGGGCCCATTCAAAGTGCTTTGTGATCAGCCATGCTCAGCGTTGGGATGAAATTGAGATGTAGATGCATTGCATTCCATCATTTGTTTTTAGGTTAGAATATGTTTCGTCCCCTTTGGTTCCTGTTTGTTCAAAATGCATTTGTCCGTTTCTTTGATGGCTTTTCTGTTCAGCCCACTGCGGCAACGATTACGAAAGAAGTGTCATTTTCCTTGGGAGGAGTGGAGTGTGTCCCTGTCCAGGATTTGGTGCTTTTCAGGTGCTTCAGCACTTAGCCTCGATCCAGGTGCTTTCCAGAGAGTAAATTCCCCTACTTCACTCATTTGCCAAAGATGCTTCTGAGCTGCGCCACTGACAGAAGGAACCCCAGAATATATTGCGTCCAAAGCAACTAACATTTTAAGCATGGGTGGGGAACTGCAGGCTGTGGTGGTCACATAATAAACTTAAATGAACTTCCTATCCAGCCGTCAGAATTCTCCCTAGGCTACACCTCTCACCAAATGTGCTGTGATGGCCTGGGATTCGGAGTCGGATGCTGAACCTGAGGGATCCCAGCTTGCACAGGATTCCCCGCCTCCCGAACCAGCTGAGCCGGGGCTGGGGCATGAGCCTGAAGGGCCCTCACCTGTGCTGGATCCTCAGGTGCAGGCACCAGCTGAGTCTGCTCTGGCTCCTGAGGACCTATTGCCTGCAGGTGCTCCACTCTCAGCCCCGTCAGAGGAAGCTGAGGTTTCTTCTGGGTCCGGTAACCCTCCAGTCTCTCCTGAGCTGCAGAGGCTCAGGGCAGAGAGGTGGAGGGAACTAAGTTCCCGCAGGAGGAGTGCTCACCTCCAGGCCAGGAGAGGTGAGTCACCTGTGGACCGGGGCCACCCTATGCCTAGGGGCAGATAATAGCCAGCCAGCCCCAGTCCCAAGTTGCGAAGCAACATTGTTGGTCTCCAGTTCCTGCCTGAACCCTGCCCTGCACCCTGCCTCAGCTTTTACGCACTGCCTTCATATTGCTCCTTCGACCTCGGACTGGACTAGGACATCGTCTCTCGATCTACCCATGGGACCAGCATACCTGCCCTATGTCCTAAAGCAGAGGTTTTCAATCTTTTTGAGTCCACAACTCCCTTGACCAGCTACGTTCTTCCTGTGGCACCCCTGTGGGACTCAGGAGCCCATCTATGTCACCTCTTGCCGGCTGAGCTGGCCGCCCTACAACTCTTTTCAAACACCTTCCTTTTTAGTGTGTTCCCTCAGCCTCCTCTCCTCACCCCTCTCACTGGGAATCCTCTGGGCAACAGCCGCTTCTACCCCTGGTCTCTGAGCTTCCACCCCCTTCCATGCCACAAAAAGAGGTGCCTCCTCACACTGTCCCACAGGAGCCTGGGAATCACCCCCTGGCCAGCCCCAGAGGCACCATTCACCTGGGGAGCTTGTACCCAGGGCTGTTGCAACAAACAGCTGTGCAAGCCTTTGGGAGGCAGAGATGTGAGAGGGCATCAGAGTAAGGAGGGAAGGAAAGGGGCAGAGGCCAGCGTTGCCCATGGCGCCCTGACCATCATTCAAGGCACCTCAGGGTGCCACTGCACACTGCTTGAAAACCACTGCATTTGAGGATCTGAGAGACCACCTGAGCCCCCCACCCCTGCAATGTGAAATGAAACAGGTGAATCTTCACTGCTGTTTCCTGTTCAATTATACTCATTTCCTTTATAATTTGATGTTTTAGAATAGTTTCATTCACTTTGATTCATTCATCTGTCACTCCATTTGCTCATTTGCTTGATGTGTTGAGCTCATTGCAATGGACTTGGCAAAACCAGCTTAATTTTCTTGGGACGGGGTGTGTGGGGTGTGTGTGTGTGTGTGTGTGTGTGTGTGTGTAGTCAGCCTGGTTCCAGCTCCTCCTCCACATCAAGATCACCTCATCTCTTCTTTTTAAATAATCTCTCTCATGCAAACGTCTTCTCTGATCATTGGCTGAGAGGAGTGGAATTTCTCCAGAGTCAATGGGTGTCAATAACTTTATATGACAGATCCTTCATCTGAAGCTCCTTGCAGGGTTTAAGGAAGAAGGAAAAAAGGTTCCAACTAGTTACCATTTTGCTTTTCAAAGTCAAACTTCTCTTGAGAGCTCACCATGGCCTGGGATCTGTCCTTCATTGCAATTCTTAGCTGTTTCTCAGGTAAGAGTTTAGAAGACTCAATTTTCCATTGGATTCTGAGCCAACCACAAAACTATTTATATTGTGCACATATCATACAGCCTGGCAGATATTTGGGAGCACAATGAATCAATCTAGGTTTTACAATGCATTTCTTTTTCTTTTTATAAAGTTGTGATTTCACAGATTACTTTGATTCAACCTGCTTCTCATTCTGCATCTCCTGGACAAACGGCAAAACTCTCCTGCACTTACACCAGCAGTCTGAGCTATATTGGCTGGTATCAACAGAGACCTGGACAGGCCCCTCGCTATGTGCATTTTAATGGCTACGATCGGGGTGAAGGGATTCCAGATCGGTTCACTGCTTCTGTCTCTGGGAATAGTGGCTATTTAACAATCACTGACATCCAGCCTGAAGATGAGGCTGAATATTACTGTCTGGGTTCGGTTTGACACAGCTGTGTTCCACAGTGATCAAATCTGATGGGGAACTGAGACAAAAACCTCTCTTCTTCTTTCAGTGCAGAACTCTGAGAAATGCTACAGAGCATTCTATCTGATCTGTGCCTTGAGCTCTTTGAACAATAGAGCCAGGTGCAATATACTGCAGAGAACCTGGGGGTTGGCTTTCAACTGCACAACTCCCCAAGGGACTATGAGTCCCCTACACCCATGATCAGTCAGAGGAGAATGGATAAGTCAGGATCCAGTGATAGCAAGGCAGATCTTTGTTTTTTCTGTTGCAACAGAGTCCACAGCAGCAGTGGAGGAAGAGGCTCCGGTGCCTGGGGCAGCACACCCAGGGGCGGGGCAAGCCGCCCATAGCGGTGGGCGAGGGTAAGGCAAGCTGCCCATAGCACCACGGGGCCTCCAGAGTCTGCCTGCCTCCTCCCACTCCGCCACCCTACAGCTGGGGGGGAGGCAGTGGCTGGGCCGTTTGGGCAGTGTGGAGCCTGTGCGCACCCAAGCCACTGTCTCTCTCTCTCTCTCCAAGGAGAGAAGCGTGGCTTGGGCATGTTGCAGGCCCCGCGGTGAGTGCTGCCCGGCATTTTGTCACACCCCCCCCGTGGTGATACCTGGGGCCGTCCGCATCCACCACTCACCCCTTCCTCCACCCCGGTCCCCAGCCTCTTGCAAGGAGGTGAGAGAGACCAAGACATTGCCCAACTCCTTGGCCAAAAACCACCCAAAAAGGATCATACATACATCACAGAAAGAGGCGGAAAGTTGAGGTTGTGGCTTTTTCCTGTCTGCCAACATACCTGATAATGTATTACTGATTGCAATACCTGGGCAGTGTGGCCCTTCTTTTGAGATGGTAACTCCTTTGGTTCTCAAATCCAGTTCACAGACCCATCCTATCCATACACAAATATGCCTTTAATACAGGATTTAAAGGGTTTGTGAGTGAAAGAACCATTGGAATAGTTTTCTCCAACATATCTCCTTCTGTAGAGTAATTAGAGTAATTAGAAGAGCCAAGATGGCTTTTGGGGATGGTTCTGTGTGCTAAAATAATGTGTTATTTTCTCAGGAAATATTTCCTAAATTTTGAAGTGGTTGACTAAACCCTTCAGTACCATGAACAGGGAAAGAGGTGTTTGGCAAGCTTCCACATTTCCGGTACAGAAGAGGGTGAGGGATGCTACAGCTGTGGGATTTTTGCCCTCATCCAGAACTGAGCTAGAAGCCTTCTCTCTCATTTAAATATATTCCCCTTCATGCAAATATCTTCTCTGCTCTTTGGCTAGGATAGAATGCCCCGCCCCCTCAGAGGAAAAGTGGCATTTCCCACAAAGCCCAATGGACGTCTATAGCTTTGTATAAGACTCCCTTCGGTTTCAGTTCTGAAATATACCGTATTTTTCGCTTTATAAGACGCACCAGGCCACAAGACCCACCTAGTTTTTGGAGGAGGAAAACAAGAAAAAAAATATTCTGAATCTCAGAAGCCAGAACACCAAGAGGGATCACTGCGCAGTGAAAGCAGCGATCTCTCTTGCTGTTCTGGCTTCTGGGATAGCCGTGCAGCCTGCATTCGCTCCATAAGACGCACACACATTTCCCCTTACTTTTTAGGAGGGAAAAAGTGAGTCTTATAGAGCAAAAAATACGGTACTTGGAGTGGAGAGTGGATTTCATTCTCTTTATTCTGCTCATAGTGGTGAGGAGGAATGAAAGTTCCCCCAAAATATCTGCTTTATATACATTATTTACACAATGGGCCGCACATGATTGGCTAATTCTGGGATTCTCCTGTAGGCCAATCAGGTTGTGGATTCACTTTCACCTGGAGCTGGATTGGGTGGCTCCTGCGGGCCAGTCATACTGCTGCATTGTTCTAGGACCAATCAGACTGCTGCATTTTGGATCCTATTCAACTCAGTACATAGCAAGCTCCTAGGCAGATATAAGAATAAACTGGGCAGATATAAGAGAGGAAGGTTCCTACAAGTTTTCTGCTTATTTTACGAAGCCTAACTCGTCTTCGGAGCTTGGCATGGCCTGGGCTCTGTCCTTCCTTGCACTTCTCAGCTATTTCTCAGGTAAGGCTGTGGAGGGCTCCTCTTCATAGATTTCTGGGGCAATAAAACCAGCTCTATGGAACTTTGATCACGCAGCTTTTATGATGCTTCAGTGCAAACCAAATGAATCAATGCCATTTTTCTTTCTTTCTGCTAAGGTTTCTCAACATACTCTGATTCAACCTGCCTCTGAGTCTGTGTCCCCGGGACAAACTTCTAAACTCCCTTGCACTGCCAACACTACTCCCAGTGGCACCTATGTTGCCTGGTATGAACAGAGACCTGGTCAGGCCCCTCGCTATGTGCATGGTAATAGCGACAGCAGGGGGGAAGGGATCCCAGATCGATTCACTGCTTCCCTCTCTGGGAATACAGGCTATTTAACCATCACCAACACTCAGGCTGAAGATGAGGCTGACTATTACTGTGGGGCTTGGATCAGCAGCATGTGGCACAGTGCTAAAATCTGACGGGGAGCTAAAACAAAAACTCCCAATCTTCTTCCTTCGCAGCAGGGAGTTGCCAACGATTAGATAGATTCATTTAATCTGAATTTGATCCCTTTAATCTTCCTTTTTTATTTCTTTTTATATATAATTCTTATTAAATTTTCTGTTTTACAATTTGAAAAACTCATTTTACATCCTTAAGATATCAATGACATCCCTTCTTTTCTTTCCATGGTTCATTTTACATATCATAAATCCCTACATATTTTAGGTAAACTAAACCATTCAGTACTCCATTATTGCATCCATCAAAAGCTGTTTACACTGTTGAATTTATCTTAATGTTTCCAGAGTTTTCAGTTGTGCACGATAATTTCCCATATATTCAATGAACTGTGGGGGTGCAATAGAAAAACGGCACCCTTGTGCAAGATTGTGCAAGAGGAAACATCTGCTGACTTGTTCCCCCCACACGCCTGGGTCACTGTCGCTGCCTAACCGCAAGGCTGTCATGCTGTCTGGAGTTATGTCCTGGTAGAGAATAGTTATTCTGAGAAATGCAAACCCTAGCTGTTTTCCACCCGAGTGCTACACGTGTATATGCAACATGATGTAATGTGCGCAAGGCTAATAAACATGCAAGGCTGCTGGGGGACAGAGCTCACTCCTTGCTTAGACCTTCACCCATGACTCTTCGTTATTTTCCTCCGCACCTGGTGGGCTGGTTCCCCGACAAATGGTGCCTCGTGTGAGGCCTGAACGGCTTCCAGGACGCGTGCTGTCAAAGACGGTCCTCCCTGCTACTCACCCGCCCGGCTGTGGCTCAAGGCGCCTCTCATCTTCGGATCCCCGGTGAGTAGCTATTTTTCTATTTTTATCATGGGTTCTGCGCTCTCCAACCCTCAGAAACAATTTTTAAAAGACATGCAGCACCTCCTTCGGGAAAATAAACAGCAAGTACCTGAAGGTGATCTAATTGCATTGATTCTGGCAATAGATGAACATTGTCCATGGTTCCCTGAGGACGGGACATGGGAAATTCCAGCATGGAACAGCATTGGCGACCACTTTCATGGCCATGGCCGCATAAATCTTCACGTCCTTAGTGCCTGGGCTAAAGTCCGTGGCTGCATGGCAACTCTTACGCCCAAAAACATCCTCTTGGCTTCGTTGCAACCACAACAAAAAAACAGTCCTGAATATGCCTTTTATATATCCGGCTGCACAGCTTCTACCACCACCACGGCCTCCGCCACGACCACCAGATTATCAGCCTCCGCCGACGCCACGGGGGACTGCAATTAACCACGCAGCCCCCCTCTTAGGACTTTCATCTGGCACGCCAGTGGCTAAAGTCATACTGCTCCTCTGCGGATGCCACAACTCCTACAGATACCCCTTAATTGCTGCTGCAATGCCTCTCACAGCTCAGCGCCCTACATTAAAAATGACACTGGGTGGACGTGAGGTAGAGGGGGTTCTGGATACAGGGGCAGACGTTACTGTGATTGCTAAACAAGACTGGCCTCCCGAATGGCCCACGAAGGCACCTGCCCAAGTTTTGGGTGTCGGGGGAGAAACGCCAGCCTGTCAAAGCCTCCACCCAATTGATATCCTTGTGGCTGCGAAGCACATATCAGTGGAATTATTAAGAGACCTTACATCTGCTCTCACAGATTTTGGACTGTGTATTGCCCCAGATAAGGTTCAGCAAACTTTGCCTATGTTATATCTTGGACATAAATTGACACAACAAGCTGCTATTCCGGTTGTTCCCCAATTGTCTTTTCCTGCCCGCCTACGGCTGGTTGACCTTCAACAACTTTTGGGACACCTGAATTGGATTAAGAATTACCTTAATCTGCCTACTAGCACCTTGTCACCATTGTTTTCTGCCTTACAAGGACACAAACTACCCGGAGAAGTCATCCCAGTTACAGAAGAAATGCTACAAGCCTTACAACAGGTTAATGCTTTATTAAGAGACCGAATGGTGGATCGCATAGACACTCTGCACAATGTGCAGTTATCCTTGGCAATTTTTCCACACCTTTGCTGCCTACAGCCATTCTCTACTCACAGAAATCGGCTGCCCCTCGAGTGTCAACATTGTGGAATGGATACACCTTCCGCATACTCCACCGCGTAACATTTATTCCTCTCCAGCGGCTGTAATGGATTTGGTAATTAAAGGGCGCGCTCGAGCAAAAGCCCTCTCTGGACTGGACGTTGAAAAATTTACTTGCCTTTTCACTCACAGAAACACAACACCTGATTTCCACCTCCGTGGCTACTCAAGTAGCACTTGTGGATTTTGGGAACCATCACGCATAATCCCCCCTCTGATCCACGCTTGGCTTTTCTTTCTCAAACTGTCTATACTTTAAAAACTGCTCTCTCTCCGACCCCCATCCCCTCTGCCCTTACCCTTTTCACTGATGGGTCAAAAACGCGGGGGTGGTGGCATGGGAGGAGGGTGGAAAATGGAAAACTGAATTTACTGAGCAGCAGAGGTCCGCCCAGCGGGCTGAACTTGCTGCTGTAATCCTTGCCTTTCAACTCTTTCCTGACAAACCTTTTAATTTGCTTGTTGATACACAATATGTGTATCGCCTTCTGTCTTCCCTGCCTGTTTCTTATATCACGCCTGCATTAGATGCTGATTTGTTTGTTCTTTTTTCTACCTTGCAGTATATTATTCAAGAACGCCGTCATCCTTTTTATGTTGCACACCTTCGTTCCCACACCAATCACCCAGGGTTTTTGGCTCAGGGAAATGCCGTGGCAGACGCTGCACTGCGATCTGAAGTGTTTTCCTTGTTTTCTGACCCTATTCTCTCATTCTACCTTTCACCAGCCTGCTAAAGTTTTGGCAAAGATGTTTAAAATCCCTATTGCACAGGCACGAGACATTGTCTCTCAATGTCCTACCTGTTCTAAGGCTCCAACCATGATTCCCTTTGATGCGGTGAACCCTAGGGGTACTGTGCTGGTCCCGGGGGTAAGGTACCTTGGGTGTAGCAGAGTCCACACGAAGAGGGGCAAGGTCCGAGGCAGAGAGCCGGGCGGGGAACAGGAATGCTGGAACAGGAGGCTGTGCAGGGAACAGGAACACCGGATGGTCGGGAACAGGAGGCCGAGCAGGGAACAGGAGTACCGGATAGTCAGGAACAGGAAGCCGAGCAGGGATCAGGAACACAGGAAGGTCCGAAGCCAACAACGACGTTGCTCCCGCAACCTGGGGCCGGGCTGACTGGGCTTTTATCCTCTTCTAAGGCCAGGGGCGGTCCCGGTCCCCAGGAGCCCCGCCTCCTCTGGCCTTAAGGCGAGCACTCCTCCTGGGGGCAACCAGTTCCCTTCGCCTCTCTGCCCTAAGCCTCTGCAGATCAGGAGAGGCCGAAGGGTTACTGGGCCCTGGAGGAGGCTCACCTGTGGCCACTGAGTCATCAAGCCCCTCTGGGGCCCGAAGGGCTTCACCTGGGGCCAGCTCCTGATGCACTGCCACAGGTGCAGGCTCTTCAGCATCAAGGCCTTGCCCCAGTTCAGCCGGCCCTGGAGGCGGGGACTCCTGTGCAGGCCGGGATTCCTCTGTTTCATCCTCCGAATCGGAATCCCAGGCCATCACACCATCCCCTCCCAGGCCCCCTCAACCGAGGGTCCGGACCCGGCTTGCCGGGATACGTCGCATGGAACTCTCGGAGGCAGGCAGGTGCATGGACATTGGCCGCTGGTTCCCAGGAACGGTCCTCCGGTCCGTACCCCTTCCAGTCAATGAGATACTGCAGCTTTCCCTGCGGTATCGGGAGTCCAGGATGCGTTCCACCTCGTACTCAGGCTCTCCCCGAACCAACACTGGCTGCGGTCGGGGACGGTTCTGGTGGAACTCGTCGGGTGGGGCCACCGGACTCAAAAGGGACCTGTGGAAGACCGGGTGAACCTTCAGGGTTGCGGGTAACCGGAGACGGAATGCCACAGGAGAGATTTGGTCTACGATAGGGAACGGGCCGGTGAAGCGGGCGTCCAACTTCCGCGAAGGTCGAGAGGGGTGGAGGTGGCGAGTGGAGAGCCAAACCAGGTCACCGACGCGAAGGTCCGGCCCCACCTGGCGGTGGCGGTCGGCCTGGGCTTTGTACGCTTCCTTGGCCTGGTGCAGTTGCTCCACCAAAAGCTGTTGCTGGGACTGGAGCTCTTGAAGCCACTCCGTCACCGCCGGGACCGCGGATGCCGGCAGCACCTCTGGAAACAGCCGTGGATGATAACCATAACTGGCCTGGAACGGGGTCTGCTGGGTGGACGCATTCACCGCGTTGTTATAGGCGAACTCCGCCAATGCCAGGTGGTCGACCCAGTCATCCTGCTGGTAGCTGCAGTAACACCGGAGGTACTGCTCCAGCACCGCGCTCGCCCGCTCCGCCTGGCCATCGGTCTGTGGGTGGTAGGCTGACGAGAGGCAGACCTCTGTCCCGAGGGTCTGGTGTAATGCTCGCCAGAACCGGGATGTGAACTGAACGCCCCGGTCGGACACCACGCGCTCAGGTAGTCCATGCAGGCGGAAGACATGCTGAAGGTACAGCTGAGCAGTTTCCTTGGCTGTGGGTACAGATGGACAGGGAGCGCAGTGCACCATCTTGGTGAAATGGTCGGAGAAAACCAGAAGGCAGGTACAGCCACGAGACGAGGGTAAGTCCACTACAAAGTCCAACGAAACTGTGTGCCAAGGGCGCGGTGGAACTGGCAATGGCTGAAGTAGGCCGGGGGTCGCCCGGTAGGCCCCTTGGCGCGTCGGCAGACATCACAACCAGCAACGTAGCGAGCCACGTCAGCCTTCAGGCGGGGCCACCAAAACTCACGACTGACCAGATGGGTGGTCCGATACCGTCCAAAGTGCCCCGCTGCCGGGGCATCATGGGCCATCCGGAGAACCTCCAGCCGCAGTGGCCCTGGCGGGATGTACAGACGACCGTGGTGCAGCAGGAGGCCCTGATGCAGGACCAGCCCCGGATACTGTGGGCTGGACCCTTCAGCCAGCTCCCGGAGTCGGTCCTGGGCCCAAGCGTCGACCCGCTGCTGTTCCCGCACCCGAACCTGCAGTGGCTGCGCCTCCTGGGTGGCCAGGAATGCGGCCGGAGGTAGGATCGTGGCGGGTTCTGCTTGCTGTACCGTGTCTGCGTTGTCTTCAGGTTTCCGGGACAGGGCATCCGCCTTCAGATTCTGAGAGCTAGGGATGTAGCGGATCCGAAACTGGAACCGGGAAAAGAACAACGCCCACCGGATCTGTCTTTGGTTCAGCTTGCGGGTGGTCTGGAGGTACTTCCAGGTTCCGGTGGTCGGTTCTTACCTCCACCGGATGTCGTGCCCCTCAAGATGGTGGCGCCAGACCTCAAAGGCTACCTTGATGGCCAGTAGTTCCCGCTCCCACACAGTATAGTTACGCTCCGCTGGTAGGAGCTGGCGGGAATAGAAGGCACAGGGTAAGAGTGGCGCTTCGGGCCCAATCTGTTGAGACAAGACGGCACCGAGAGCCGTACTGGAGGCGTCGGTCTCCACCACAAAGGGTCGAGAGGGGTCAGGATGTTGTAAGATTGGTGCCCTCTGGAAACAGGCCTTCAACCCCTGAAACGCCTCCTCTGCCTCCTTGTCCCAGGAAAACGGCGTCTTTGGGCGCAGTAGCCGGGTCAACGGGGTGGTGCGATGAGCATAATCAGCGATGAAGGTCCGGTAGTAATTGGCGAACCCCAGGAAACGTTGTAGGTCCTTGCGGTTCCGGGGTGCCGCCCATTCTTGAACCGCTGTCACCTTCCCCGGGTCCATTTGCACCCCATCCGGAGAGAGCCGGTGACCAAGGAAGTCCACAGTCCGCTGATGGAACTCGCACTTGCTGAGCTTTGCGTACAAACGGTGCTCACGCAAGCGCTGCAGCACGGTCCGGACATGTCCCTCATGGCGAGCCGGGTCACGGGAGTAAATCAGTATGTCATCCAAATACACCACCACGTACTTGTCTAACAAGTCCTGAAACACGTGGTTGATGTAGCGTTGGAACACAGCAGGCGCGTTGCACAACCCGAAAGGCATAACCAAATATTCGAACTGCCCGTACCGGGTCCCAAACGCTGTCTTCCACTCATCCCCGGCTCGGATCCGAATCAAGTTGTAGGCCCCCCGGAGGTCCAGCTTGGTGAACACCTGTGCCCCTTGCACCCGCTCCAGCAGCTCCGAGATAAGGGGCAAGGGGTATCGGTCTGGGACGGTAATTTTGTTCAAGGCTCGGTAATCATGGCAAGGGCGGAGTTCCCCACATTTCTTCTTAACGAAAAGCACTGGTGCCGCGGTAGGCGAGGTGGACGGCCTAATGAACCCACGCTCCAGGTTCTTGCGCAAGAAGTCCTGCAAAGCCTCGCGCTCTGGCTCTGTTAGAGAATATAAGCGACTCACTGGTAGAGGCGCTCCGGGTTGGAGGTCTATGCCGCAGTCAGAAGGCCGATGCGGCGGCAGCTGGTCTGCCCCCGTTCCTCGAACACGTCCTGGTAGTCCTGATACACGGCTGGGAGCGTGGGTGCTGCCTCCTCTGAGGGCGCGGCCGCCAGCGTCCCGGATTGAGCATGGGAACATGGGTCTGGGAAGTGCACGGTCCGTTTGACCCAGTGAATCTGAACGTTGTGGGCTTCCAGCCAGTCCATCCCGAGCACCAGGGGGAAGCGGGGCATAGAGGCAATGTCCAAAGTTCGCAACTCCCGGTGCTGCTGGAAACACAGGACCAGGGGCTGGGTCTCCTGAGTAACGGCACCTGAACACAGAAGTCGTCCGTCAATCGCTTCCACCTGGACCGGTACTGGCTTGTTCCGAAGTGGCACCTGATGATGGGCGGCAAAAGCAGCGTCCATATAAGAGCGGGTTGCCCCTGAATCCACCAAAGCATGGGTGGGGATCCAGGGCCCACCTGGAGGGTATAAACGCACCGGAACCATAAGATGTTGCGAGTCCATTGATGCAGGCCCATTCTGCGCGGTTTGGGACCCCCGGCAGCTAGGGCCATCAGCTACTGGGGTTGGCGGCTTCTGCGGCTGGCGTTTCTCAGGGCAAGACCGAGCGAAGTGTCCACTTCCGCCACAGTAAAGACAGAGATTTCCCCCCGACGCCGCGCCTTCTCTGCGGGGGGAAAGGCGTGGCCGCACTGCCCCGAGCTGCATAGGCTCCTCCGTTAAATCAGTTGTGACCGTGGGGCTGCCGGAAAAAGCTGGTGCCGTGAACTGGAAGTGTCGGCGACCCCGGGCCTGACGACGATCCTCCAACCGGTCGTCTATTTGTAGACTCCGTTGAATGAGAGTGTCTAGCGTGGTGGGGCGTTCCATTGTGGCCAACTGGTCCAGTACCTCGTCCGAAAGCCCTTCGAGATACTGGTCCCGCAGTGCCGAATCATTCCAGGTCAAGTCCTGTGCCAACAGCCGAAACTCCGTGGTATATGCGGCCACCGTGGACTTGCCCTGTTTCAAACGCCGAATCGCCCGGTTGGCTTGACTCCCTTTCTGGGGGTTGCCGAACGCGGCCTCCAAACGATTGCAAAACCCCGTATAGTCTGCCAGCAAGGGGGAGTCTTGCCTGAGTAGCGGCAACGCCCACTTGGCCGCCTGGTCCTTTAACAAACTAATCAAAAAGTGCACCTTGGTGCGGTCGTCAGGAAAGTTCCGGGCTCGCCCCTGAATATACAGCTTGGCCTGGGCCAGGAACATGGGAAAGCTGGCCGGGGCTCCATCAAATTTCTCAGGCAAAGCCACTGGGTACTTGCCAGGAGCCGGGCGTCGGCCCCAGGAGCCGGTAGGGCTTCCAAGCGTTGTTGAAGTGCCACAACCGCGTCACTGAGCTGCTGCACGGTGTGAGTCAAGGCCTGGTTCTTCTGGGCCAAAGCCACCAGTGCAGCCGCCTGGTCAGCCATGGCCTCTGGCTCTTCCCGAACGCACCCCTACGAAGGGGGAGTGCGGGTTTGGCGGGAGCAAACTGTGCTGGTCCCGGGGTAAGGTACCTTGGGTGTAGCAGAGTCCACACGAAGAGGGGCAAGGTCCGAGGCAGAGAGCCGGGCGGGGAACAGGAATGCTGGAACAGGAGGCTGTGCAGGGAACAGGAACACCGGATGGTCGGGAACAGGAGGCCGAGCAGGGAACAGGAGTACCGGATAGTCAGGAACAGGAAGCCGAGCAGGGATCAGGAACACAGGAAGGTCCGAGCCAACAACGACGTTGCTCCCGCAACCTGGGGCCGGGCTGACTGGGCTTTTATCCTCTTCTAAGGCCAGGGGCGGTCCCGGTCCCCAGGAGCCCCGCCTCCTCTGGCCTTAAGGCGAGCACTCCTCCTGGGGGCAACCAGTTCCCTTCGCCTCTCTGCCCTAAGCCTCTGCAGATCAGGAGAGGCCGAAGGGTTACTGGGCCCTGGAGGAGGCTCACCTGTGGCCACTGAGTCATCAAGCCCCTCTGGGGCCCGAAGGGCTTCACCTGGGGCCAGCTCCTGATGCACTGCCACAGGTGCAGGCTCTTCAGCATCAAGGCCTTGCCCCAGTTCAGCCGGCCCTGGAGGCGGGGACTCCTGTGCAGGCCGGGATTCCTCTGTTTCATCCTCCGAATCGGAATCCCAGGCCATCACAGGTACGTCCCCTCTTGCGGTTTGGCAGATGGATGTTACTCACACCCCTCTGCTCGCCCCATTCTCAAAAGTTCACTTGACAGTGGACACCTCATCTGGATTTATCTGGGCCACCCCATTGAAGGGTGAGACCGCTCGTCACGTCATTCAGCACACCCTGCGCTGTTTTGCTGTGATGGGTAAGCCACAAAGCATTAAAACGGATAATGGCCCAGCCTATATTTCCTCTCAGTTCTCATCCTTTTTGTGATTTATGGAATGTGAAATTAATCCATGGTTTGCCTTTTAATTCAACAGGACAGGCGATTGTGGAGAGGGTGCACTTGACCTTCAAGACACTGCTGTCCAAACAACTTGGAGGTCGAAATGCCCCCTCCGCCGAGATTCCTTCAATCGTGCATACTGTTTTATTCACTCTTAACCATCTTTTGTATCCCCATAATAGGGAATATACACCGGCTGAGATTCATTTTCGAAAAGCAGAGCCTTTGGCTCGGCCTCTTGTATCTTACAGACAGCTACCTGATCCAACATGGCATGGTCCTGTGCCACTCATCTCCTGGGGACGCGGCTACGCGGCAGTGGACCTGGATGGACGGCCCACCTGGTTACCAGCGCGCTGTGTGCGACCCTGGCGAGCTTCTGCCTCGGAATGAAATTTATGACTCTGATTAAATAATAAAAAAGGAGGGCATGTGGGGGTGCAATAGAAAAACGGCACCCTTGTGCAAGATTGTGCAAGAGGAAACATCTGCTGACTTGTTCCCCCCACACGCCTGGGTCACTGTCGCTGCCTAACCGCAAGGCTGTCATGCTGTCTGGAGTTATGTCCTGGTAGAGAATAGTTATTCTGAGAAATGCAAACCCTAGCTGTTTTCCACCCGAGTGCTACACGTGTATATGCAACATGATGTAATGTGCGCAAGGCTAATAAACATGCAAGGCTGCTGGGGGACAGAGCTCACTCCTTGCTTAGACCTTCACCCATGACTCTTCGTTATTTTCCTCCGCACCTGGTGGGCTGGTTCCCCGACAATGAACATTTTCCAATCTTCTTTAAATGTATGTTCTTCTTGTTCTCTTATTGTATATGTTAAGTCTGCGAGTTGTGCATATTCTGTCAACTTACATTGCCATCCTTCTTTGTTTGGGACCTCACTCATTTTCCATTTGGGGGCTAACAAAGCACAAGCCGCAGTAGTGGCATACATAAATAACCTTTTTTGAGACCTGGGAATTTCAGTCTGAATTATCCACCACAGAAAGGACTCTGGTTATTGGAGGAAAGCACTTTTAAACATTTTTTCAATTCATTATGGATCATTTCCCAATACCCCTTTACCCTTTTACAAGTCCACCACATCTGAATAATCTTTGCATCCTAGAGATTAAGGGAACAGGAATGAGATTGCCTCCCGTCCTTTCTCTAGGTTGAGTTCGCACACAAACCCCTATTTTCCATGCACAGATCAATACATCTTGAGATTTAGCTATTACAGTTCAATACCACCCTCCCTCCCAAAGCAAAAAGGGAAATGAAAAGTTTGCAGGTCTATAAGACCACAAGTAGAGATTTGTTGGATCAGGTCAAAGGCCCATCTAGTCCAACATGCTGTTCTCACAAAGAGCCAGCCAGATGACTATGGGATGCTTGCAAGCGGGACCTGAGAGTGACAGGGACTCTCTTCACTGGGGATTCCAAGCAGCTGTTACTGGGAGGCAAATTTATTCCAACGTTGGAGGCAAAGTGCTGTGCGTTATGGAATAACTCTCACGGTGGTCTCATGTGCTACATAGTTAAGATAGCAGAAAATCACTCTAGGAATTCCATGACATGGTAATATCACCGAGTCGAGATTCATACTGATGCCCTGATGACATCACTGGCAAGACATAGGAGCAGTATCACAAAACGTATATCCAAGATTAAAAAACGAGTCTACATCAGCCAAAAATATTCTAGAAAAGCTTCTTCTTACTCAAGTCCTTAAACCACAAACTTGACATGAGCCAACAGTGTGACGCGGCAGCTAAAAAGCCAATGCAATTCTGGGCTGCATCAATAGGAGTATAGCATCTAGATCAAGGGAAGTAATAGTGCCACTGTATTCTGCTCTGGTCAGACCTCACCTGGAGTACTGTGTCCAGTTCTGGGCACCACAGTTCAAGAAGGACATTGACAAACTGGAACATGTCCAGAGGAGGGCAACCAAAATGGTCAAAGGCCTGGAAACGATGCCTTATGAGGAACGGCTAAGGGAGCTGGGCATGTTTAGCCTGGAGAAGAGGAGGTTAAGGGGTGATATGATAGCCATGTTCAAATATATAAAAGGATGTCACATAGAGGAGGGAGAAAGGTTGTTTTCTGCTGCTCCAGAGAAGCGGACACGGAGCAATGGATCCAAACTACAAGAAAGAAGATTCCACCTAAACATTAGGAAGAACTTCCTGACAGTAAGAGCTGTTCGACAGTGGAATTTGCTGCCAAGGAGTGTGGTGGAGTCTCCTTCTTTGGAGGTCTTTAAGCAGAGGCTTGACAACCATATGTCAGGAGTGCTCTGATGGTGTTTCCTGCTTGGCAGGGGGTTGGACTCGATGGCCCTTGTGGTCTCTTCCAACTCTATGATTCTATGATTCTATGATTCTAAGAGCGGTGATAGAGCACCAGTAAAGAACGTTATTCATATTACACCATTAGTTTGGGTGTTCTACAAAGCCTATAGGTATAGGATGACTGCTATTTCACATTTAACCTTTAGGGGAAGATATTGGTCCACTTTTCTAACTCTGGGCAGAAGAGGGGATGTGAGAGACCTCCAGGGCACCTGGCACCTGTGGTGTGAATTGAAGCAGGAGAATCTTCACGGCGCATGGGCCCATTCAAAGTGCTTTCTGATCAGCCATGCTCAGCGTTGGGATGAAATTGAGATGTAGATACATTGCATTCCATCATTTGTTCTTAGGTTAGAATATGTTTGGAAGTTCCGTCCCCTTTGGTTCCTGTTTGTTCAAAATGCATTTGTCCGTTTCCTTGATGGCTTTTCTGTTCAGCCCACCGTGGCAACGATTACGAAAGAAGCGTCATTTTCCTTGGGAGCAGTGGAGTGTGTCCCTGTCCAGGATTTGGTGCTTTTCAGGTGCTTCAGCACTTAGCCTCGATCCAGGTGCTTTCCAGAGAGTAAATTCCCCTACTTCACTCATTTGCCAAAGATGCTTCTGAGCTGCGCCACTGACAGAAAGAACCCCAGGAGATATTGTGTCCAAAGCAACTAACATTTTAAGCATGGGTGGGGAACTGCAGGCTGTGGTGGTCACATAGTAAACTTAAGTGAACTTCCTATCCAGCCGTCAGAATTCTCCCTAGGCTACACCTCTCACCAAATCTGCTGTGATGGCCTGGGATTCGGAGTCGGATGCTGAACCTGAGGGATCCCAGCTTGCACAGGATTCCCCGCCTCCAGAACCAGCTGAGCCGGGGCTGGGGCATGAGCCTGAAGGGCCCTCACCTGTGCTGGATCCTCAGGTGCAGGCACCAGCTGAGTCTGCTCTGGCTCCTGAGGACCTATTGCCTGCAGGTGCTTCACTCTCAGCCCCATCAGGGGAAGCTGAGGTTGCCTCCGGGTCCGGTAACCCTCCAGCCTCTACTGAGCTGCAGAGGCTTAGGGCACAGAGGTGGAGGGAACTAAGTTCCCGCAGGAGGAGTGCTCACCTCCAGGCCAGGAGAGGCGAGTCACCTGTGGACCGGGGCCGCCCTATGCCTAGGGGCAGATAAAAGCCAGCCAGCCCCAGTCCCAAGTTGCAAAGCAACATTGTTGGTCGCCAGTTCCTGCCTGAACCCTGCCCTGCACCCTGCCTCAGCTTTTACGCACTGCCTTCATATTGCTCCTTCGACCTCGGACTGGACTAGCACCTCGTCTCTTGATCTACCCATGGGACCAGCATACCAGCCCTATGTCCTAAAGCAGAGATTTTCAATCTTTTTGAGTCCACAACTCCCTTGACCAGCTACGTTCTTCCTGTGGCACCCCTGTGGGACTCAGGAGCCCATCTACGTCACCTCTTGCCGGCTGAGCTGGCCGCCCTTCAACTCTTTTCAAACACCTTCCTTTTTAGTGTGTTCCCTCAGCCTCCTCTCCTCACCCCTCTCATTGGGAATCCTCTGGGCAGCCACCACTGCTACCCCTGGTCGCTGAGCTTCCCCCCCCCATGCCACAAAGAGAGGTGCCTCCTCACACTGTCCCACAGGGACTTGGGAATCACCCCCTGGCCAGCCCCAGAGGCACCATTCACCTGGGGAGCTTGTACCCAGGGCTGTTGCAACAAACAGCTGTGCAAGCCTTTGGGAGGCAGAGATGTGAGAGGGCATCAGAGTAAGGAGGGAAGGAAAGAGGGGCAGAGGCCAGCGTTGCCCATGGCGACCTGACCATCATTCAAGGCATCCCAGGTTGCCACTGCACACTGCTTGAAAACCACTGCATTTGAGGATCTGAGAGACCACCTGAGCCCCCACCCCTGCAATGTGAAATGAAACAGGTGAATCTTCACTGCTGTTTCCTGTTCAATTATACTCATTTCCTTTATAATTTGATGTTTTAGAATAGTTTCATTCACTTTGATTCATTCATCTGTCACTCCATTTGCTCATTTGCTTGATGTGTTGAGCGCATTGCAATAGCCTTGGCAAAACCAGCTTAATTTTCTTGGAACGGTGTTTTTGTGTGTGTGTGTGTGTGTGTGTGTGTGTGTGTGTGTAGTCAGCCTGGTTCCAGCTCCTCCTCCACATCAAGATCACCTCATCTCTTCTTTTTAAATAATCTCTCTCATGCAAATGTCTTCTCTGATCATTGGCTGAGAGGAGTGGAATTTCTCCAGAGTCAATGGGTGTCAATAGCTTTATATGACAGATCCTTCATCTGAAGCTCCTTGCAGGGTTTAAGGAAGAAGCAAAAAAGGTTCCAACTAGTTACCATTTTGCTTTTCAAAGTCAAACTTCTCTTGAGAGCTCACCATGGCCTGGGCTTTGTCCTTCCTTGCAATTCTTAGCTGTTTCTCAGGTAAGAGTTTGGAGGATTCCCTTTCCGTTGGATTCTGGGCCAAACACAAAACTATTTATATTGTGCACATATCATACAGCCTGGCAGATATTTGGGAGCATAATGGATCGAATCTAGGTTTTACAATGTATTCCTTTTTCTTTTATAAAGTTGTGATTTCACAGGTTACTTTGATTCAACCTGCTTCTCAGTCTGCATCTCCTGGACAAACGGCAAAACTCTCCTGCACTCACACCAGCAGTCTGAGCAGTATTGGCTGGTATCAACAGAGACCTGGACAGGCCCCTCGCTATGTGCATCATAATCGCTACAACCGGGGAGAAGGGATCCCAGATCGGTTCACTGCTTCCGTCTCTGGGAATAGTGGCTATTTAACCATCACTAACATGAAGCCTGAAGATGAGGCTGACTATTACTGTGGGGGTTGGTTTAGCAATAAGTTCCACAGTGATCAAATCTGATGGGGAACTGAGACAAAAACCTCTCTTCTTCTTTCAGTGCAGGGAGCTGAGAACTGCTACAGAGTGTTTTATTTGATCGTGTCTTGAGCTCTTTGAACAAGAGATCCAGGTGCAAGATATTGTAGAGAAACTGGGGGTTGACATTTTGCTGCTCAACTCCCCAAGGGACTATGAGTCCCCTAAGTCCATGATCAGACAAAGGAGAATGGATAGAGGCAGGATCCAGTGATAGCAAGGCAGATATATATTTTTCTGTGAGCAGTGGAGCGTGTCAATATCCAGTCTTTGGTGCTTTTCAGGTGTTTCAGCCCTTAGCCTTCATCCAGTTGCTTTCCAGAGAGTAAATTCCCCTACTTCACTCATTTGCCAAAAATGCTTTTGAGCTGCGTCACTGGCAGAAAGAACCCCGGAAGATATTGTGTCCAAGGCAACTAACATTGTAAGCATGGGTTGGGAACCGCAGGCTGGGGGTGGTCACATAGTAGACTTAAATGGCCTCCCTATCCAGCTGTCAGAATTTTCCAGTGCTAGATTTATGTATAGGCTAAGTAGGCTGAAGCCTGGGGCCTCTAAATCTAGGGTTGCGAAGAGCAAGGCGCATGGTGCACAGGCTGGTCCCTCCGATTCCAATAAAGACAAACAGAGGAATCAGCTGTGATAAACAGAACTTTTGAAATCAAAAGCCGAAGTTGAAAACTGCCTATGACAGTGCATGGGAGAGGTCAACTACGAATGACACCAGATTCAGGTGGAAGGCCATTTTGATCTGCCATAGTCATAATAAATAACAAGATGAAAAAATCTTTTTTAATAATTCCAGTGGCACCTTAAAGATCAACTCAATATAAGTTTTCAAGGTATGAGCTTTTGTCTGTAATACACACTTCGTCAAATACTTCAGCCTTATAACTGTTGAAGACTGTTATGGCCAGTAGGTTCCACAGGGCAGGGCAAGGAATTCTTAAAGGGATAGATGACCAAAATTAGCTTCTAATTGCATTCTATACAAGATCTTAAAGTAGCTGTCTTATTGCTGAAGAATTTTAGAAATACACTTGAAAGAGAAGTTGCTGAATTACAACTCATTACCAAACTAAAAACTATGGAGAGACCTGGTCTGAATGGAGATATTGGATTCATGTCCCATTATACATACTAAAGCTAAATTACTGGAATTATTAAAAAAGATCTTTTCCTATTTCACCTTGTTATTTGTGCCGAATGACACCTGCACACAAACAAGCAACTTCCTTGGGCAGACGTCTGCTCCCAGGTTGCTAACTAATGCTTTTCAAGTCTCCCGCTGCATTTTTTATTTATGAGAGAATTTCTAACTTCCTTTCTTCCAAGGATTCCAGGGAGCTTACATTATAATATAACACAAGAATAAAACCGATCCAACATTGCTTATACAAAACAGATAAAAGCAGAGCACACTCCATGAACCAGCTGGACTTTCATCTGCAGCAGCAGCAACAAAATTCCCTTCACCTTCCTGTGCACCCAAAAATTCCTGGCAAACAGGTTCGTTTGCACAGGATAGCAATGCAGATGCTGTTGGAATCCAACTCCCATCGGCATAGCCAGCGGTCAGAGATGATGGGAGTTGGGCCAACAACATCTGGAAGGCACCAAGTTGGGGACGGCTGCTACAAGCCTCTTTTCTGGGTCTCTTTTGGCAGCGGGGGTAGCAAAATTAAGGAGGTGCTGGCAGAAACACAGCGCTGCTGACAAACCTGCCTGAGAAAGTGGTCTGCCGCAGTCTCCCCTCTCCCCAAATTGCAAACCCAGTACTTCATGTGAGGGCAGGACACTCAGGTCCAGCAACTATGAAACTCAGGGCTAGCCAGCAGGGCTCAATTTGATGCCATAGGGCATCAGAGGAGGGAGGGAAGGAAAGAGGGACAGAGGCCAGCGTTGCCCGCAGCAACCTGACCATCATTCAAGGCATCCTAGGGTGTCACTGCGCACGGGTTGAAAACCACTGCATTCGATGATCTGAGAGACCACCTGAGCTCCCCACCCCTGCAATGTGAAATGAAACAGGTGAATCTTCACTGCTGTTTCCTGTTCAGTTATTTATATTTTTTTATGTTTTAGAGTAGTTTCATTCACTTTGATTCATTCATCTGTCACTCCATTTGCTCATTTGCTTGATGTGTTGAGCTCATTGCAATGGCCTTGGCAAAACCAGCTTAATTTTCTTGGGGTTGGAGGAGAGTCAGCCTGGTTCCAGCTCCTTCTCCGCATCAAGATCACCTCATCTCTTCTTTTTAAATCATCTCTCTCATGCAAATATCTTCTCTGATCATTGGCTGAGCTACAACATCCCACCTTTTTAGAGGAGTCACATTAGCAGCCAAGTCAGTGGGCATTCAAATTTACATGACCAACCCTTCATCTTTAGCTCTTGGGAGATTTAAGGAAGAAGCAGGAAGGTTTCTGACACTTCTCTGTTTCTTTTAGAAAGTCAAACCCTTCTAGAGTCTTCACCATGGTCTGGGCTCTGTCCTTCCTTGCACTTCTCAGCTACTTCTCAGGTAAGAATTTGGAGAAGTCCTTTCCCATTAGAAACCAGAGAAACTATTTATACCGTGAATTTTATTATTGTGCCTCTCTGATATTTGTGAACGTAATAAGTGAACCAAGTTCATTCCCAAAAGTTTTTACGTTTGTAAAAAACAACAACCCAGAAGCTTTTCTTTTGGGAATTATAGACAAAGAACTACATAAAATCTATGGAAATTTATTTATGTATGCAGATACGGCAGCAGGAATGCTACTCGACCCAAAAATGCAAAGATACAAAAACTTACGGAATATGCAGAAATGGCAAAACTTACCAGAAGAATAAGAAATCAATATGACACATTTTTTTATATAAAAGAATAGAAATGGTTTATTGGATATTTACAGATAAATTATAAACAGATAAAAACATTGGCAGGATTATTGTAACAACCTGCAATTTCATAAGAGTATATCTTTATATAGATAATTAAATAAATTTGGATATGCAGATGATATTAAAAAATAAATTTAAGGAACTGTAGAAGGAGGGGGAAGGAAGTCAAACTTTGAAATGTTAAAATGATTGTAGAATTAATTAAATGTATACATTTGAAAAGTATAAATAAAAACTAAAAAAAAAACTAAAACAAGTTCATTTCTCCCCTTTTCCCCCAAAGGAGTCATTTCACAACCTTCTGTGACTCAACCTGCCTCTGAGTCTGTGTCTCCGGGACAAACAGCTAAACTTTCCTGCACAGCCAGTGGCAGTACAACCATGTACTGGTATCAACAGAAACCCGGACAAGTCCCTCGCTATTTGCACTGTGATGGATGCAGCAGCAGGGGACCAGGGATCCCAAATCGGTTCACTGCTTCCCGCTCTGGAACCGCGGGCCACTTAAGCATCACCAACCTTGAGAGCGAAGATGAGGCTGTTTATTACTGTGCTGTTTGGTTAAGCAGCTCGTTCCACTGTAGTAAATTCTTATGGGGAACTGCGACAAAAACCTCTCTTCCTCTTTGACACCTTGAATTGCTGCAGCTCTTAATGTGATCTGGGCCTGGGGCTCTTTGAAAGATAGAGCTGGAAGGGAGGAGAAAAGACCGTGGTCTCCGTCCCTTCTCCATGTTGTGGTCACCCATCCACTTTCCAAGCATAGAGGGATACACACTGAATGTGGGCTAAAATGGTGCAATTGGTAGAACATGAGACTCTCTTTTTATAATAACTTTTAAAATTCATTTTCACTTTTAACAATTATCATCATACGTAAATCGTAATCACTTTCCAAATAGGATTCTCAGAATCCCAGAACTTCCTTCCATGTTTTCCCTAGATATTCTTTTCAAACTGCATCATATCATATGCTCCATATGTTCTTAAAACTCAGTTTTTATCATAGTTCTCGCTTCATTGCAAGCGTGTGTTTTTTTTAAAAAATCATGCCAGTGTTTTGAATTATTTACAGTGTTTTTTCACATAACTTATAAAATTTCTCCATTATTAAATTTATTGTTCTCTTGATCCATGATTTTCCTGGTCATTTTCGCCATTTCAGCATAGTCCATCATCTTTATCAACCATTCTTCTTTTGTAGGTAGTTTGTCCTCCTTCCATCTTTGAGCAGGTAGAGTGTGAGACGCTTAATCCCTCACTCTCTTTAAAAATAAATAAATATTTATTTGGTTTTTCAAATTAAAATTTTACAGTCACATGTTCAGCTTACAACATAAAAACAAGATTCCAAGTAATCTCTTGGACTTCCCTCCTCCCCTTTGTTGGTCCTGTTGTTAATCGTTTCCTCCTGCACCTTTTACGATAATCCAAAATCTTTTACCTCTCCGTTGTATCCAAAATTCACCATTAAAGTACAAGTCTTATTCCAATCCTACTAACGATTTTAACTGTTTACAACGGTCTTTAAGGTAAGTTGCAAATTTTCCCCATTCGTTATTAAAATTTTGGTCTTTCTTCCTGATTTCTGATTCTTCCGGTCATTTCGGCCATTTCACCATAATCTATCAACTTGATCTGGCATTCTTCCCTGGTAAAAACTTTATCTTCTTTCCATCTCTGGGCTAGAGACTCTTAATCTCAAGGTTGTGGGTTTGAGCCCCACATTGGGCAAAAGATTCCTGCACTGCAGGGGGTTAAAAACTTCCCTAAACAGGCTGCCTTCAGATGTCTTCTAAAAGTCAGATAGTTGTTTATTTCCTTGACATCTGCTGGGAGGGCATTCCACAGGGTGGGCACCACTACCAAGAAGGCCCTCTGCCTGGTTCCCTGTAACCTCACTTCTTGCAGCAAGGGAACCACCAGTAGGCCCTCGGTGCTGGACCTCAGTGTCCAAGCTGAACGATGGGGGTGGAGATGCTCCTTCGGGTATACTGGGCCGAGGACGCTTAGGGCTTTAAAGGTCAGCACCAACACTTTGAATTGTGCTCAGAAACGTACTGGGAGCCAATGTAGGTCTTTCAAGACCGGTGTTATGTGGTCTCGCCGGCCACTCCCAGTCACCCAGGTTGCCAATTTATTAACCAAGTGTGCCTGCAAAGTGAAACACTTCATTAATTTTCCCAGCATGGGAGATGCCGTTTCAAAGGTAGAATGTTGCCTCCTGTACAAAGAGTTAGGTCCATTATTCCATGTGCTTTTGCTTCTGCCTCTGCCCACCACAAGGACAAGGCCTGCAAAATGTTTTCCAGGGAAGAATGTGCCCCTGAGTAAGGTTCCCCATCCCTGATCTAGAGCAGTGTTTCTCAAGCTTATTCTGACCATGGTCCCCTTCCAACCTTGTTTTCTTCCTGTGCCGCCCCTCCCCGTCCTACCATTAAAAGGTAGCTATTCTGTTTTATTTATAATTTTTATTTATTTATAATTTTTATAATTACTGTGGTATTTTGGTTGTCGAACTTAATCCATTCTGGGAGTCCATTCGACTCCCAAAACCATTCGAAAACCAAGGCGCAGCTTCCGATTGGCTTCAGGAGCTTCCTGCACTCACTTGGGAGCCATGAAACCCACGTTGGACGTTTGGCTTCCGAAAAATGTTCACAAACTGGAACACTTACTTCTGGGTTTCTGGTGTTTGCGGCCGATTTCTTTGGGAGCCAAGCCATTTGACAGCCAAGGTACCACTGCATATAAATTATAGAATTTCACCTGTGGCCCTCTTGAAATATCCTGGGGGACCATATGGCCCCCGGTTGAGAAATACCAATCTAGAGGGTAGATTCAGACACTTGGACAGTGTTCTCTGCACAAAAATGAGAGGTACTCTCACTTTGCCCAAGTAACTCTCCCGTTGTGGTTTCCTACATATGCAGCACATCTTTGCCACATGCCAACATTTTCAATCATTTCAATGTGAGTTCTTGCTGGGGTGGTTTGTTCTGCAGGCACTTTTCTTTAATCCACTTGCCATGAGATTTGGAAACCTGCAGTGCGTACCGAGCTCACTGGGTGATCTTGATGAGGAGGAGAAGATTCAGTCAGATGCCATTTTAGTTCCATCCGGCTCTATCCTTGAAAGAGCTTCAGGCATAAATTTAGCTCCGTACTAAATCTGAACGCCCTGTTCAGGAGGAAGAGTGAAGGTTTTTGTCTCAGTTCCCCATTAGACTTTATCACAGTGTAACTTATTGCTAAACCAAGACCCACAGTAGTAATCAGCCTCGTCGTCAGCCTGGATGTTGGTGATGGTTAAATAGCCCATATTCCCAGAGATGGAAGCAGTGAATCGATCAGGGATCCCTTCTCCCCTGGGACAACTATTACACTGCACATAGCGAGGGGCTTGGCCAGGTTTCTGCTGATACCAGGAAATAGTGTCACGACTACTGCTGGCGATGCAGGGGAGTTTAGCGGTTTTTCCTGTGGATACAGACTCAGACGCAGGTTGAGTCAATGTATTCTGTGAAATGACACCTTTGGAAGATGGAAAAATGAAAGGAAAACAATTAACCTTGTTTGTGCTTCCAAATCTCTAACGGGTCCTATGATTGATGCACAGTATTGATTTGTTGTTGACACAGAATCCATGGGAAAGGGAGTCCTCCACACTCTTACCTGAGAAGTAGCTGAGAAGTGCAAGGAAGCAGAGAGTCCATGCCATGGTGAGCTCTCTAGAGGCTTCTGACTTTGTCATAGAAACAGACCACTGACAGCAGGCTTCCTGCTTCTCTCTTTGATCCCCCAGGAACTGCAGATTGAGGGTCTGTCATATAAAGTTATTGATGCCCATTCCTAGAAATGCCTCACCTCCTCTGAGGAGGCAGGATATTCCAGGCCAGCCAATTACCAAAGAAGACATTTGCATGAGGGAGGGGATTTAAAAGGAAGAGTGGAGGCTTCTGGCTTTGTCTGGGGATAACAGAAATATGCATTTAATCTTTGCATTTCTGAAAGAATGGAGAGGAACACATTTGGTTCCCTAGAACAAAGAAAATGGAACAAGGAAAATGGAACAAAGAAAATTGGAGTCCAGGAGAAATATTATAACTGTGGTGTAGTCTGGGGCAACTTCATACTGTGGTGCCTATGATCAACAACACAGTTTGGAGTACACGAAGCACATATTTTAATTAGTATTTGTTCCTCTTTTCTCCTATCTTTGTATATACCTGTCAGGGATTGGACTGAAGGGGACAAGGTGGAGGAGGAATGGTGGAGATGCCCCCCCCTTCTCCTGAAGCTTCCAGGGAAGAGGAAAGCAGTATTGAATTACAGCAGGGGTTTGAGGAAGGTCACAACTCAGAGACAGGCAAACAGAACAGTTGGGAGAGTTGGGAGGTGTTGGGAGAAGAGGTAGGGCAGACTGGGAGAGAGAGAGAGAGCAGTCAGCTGACATGTTATCACTGGAGAGTATTTCTGACCCCCCTTCTCCCAGAACCTGGCGGTCATTGAGGGTGCAAGAGCAAAGGACTCAGAGACCCCAGTTGGCCACCGTAAGGGGAAGTGCTTTTGCTAGGAAGGGAGGGGGAAGGAGCTCAATTGGGGCAACGCCATCAACAGAGACAGACTGTGTTCCTTGCCTCCTGCTGTTATGATTTAATAAACTCATTAGTAAGAACTCCTCTTTGTGTTCTCTGCTTCTTGCTTCCCCAAAGCTTGACAATACTCTGCAGACCAGGCTCCTGGCTTTGTCCTGGGATGACAGAAATATGCAGCCAGATCGCTTCTCCCTGGTTGTAGCCTGTGCTGGTCCCGTGGGTTACCCGAGAGGCGAGGTCCAAGTCCTGTTCGTGGTCAAAGGTACAATGAGGAGGCAGTCCGTAGTAGCTGAAGCTGGGTGCAGGGCAGGGAGCCGGGTGAAGTCAGGAACAGGCTTGCAAGCAGGGAGCCAGGGCAGGTCAGGAGCTCAGGCAGGTAAGCAGGACAGGGTTCAGGCAGGAACTAGCAACCAACAACATTGCTCCCACAATTTGGGACTGGGGCTGGCTGGCTTTTATCCACCCCGAGGCATAGGGTGGCCACGATCCTCAGGTGACTCGCCTCTCCTGGCCTGGAGGCGAGCACTCCTCCTGCGGGAACTTAGTTCCCTCCGCCTCTCTGCCCTGAGCCTCTGCAGCTCAGGAGAGGCTGGAGGGTTACTGGACCCAGAGGCAACCTCAGCTTCCCCTGACGGGGCTGAGAGTGGAGCACCTGCAGGCAATGGGTCCTCCATCACCTCAGGAGCCAGAGCAGACTCAGCTGGTGCCTGCACCTGAGGATCCAGCACAGGTGAGGACCCTTCGGGCTCAAGCCCCAGCCCCGGCTCAGCTGGTTCTGGAGGCGGGGAATCCTGTGCAGGCTGGGATCCCTCAGGTTCAGCATCCAAGTCCATATCCTAGGCCATCCCATAGCCATTCTTCTCCATATGGTGAGGGGCCTGTCCAGGTCTCTGTTGATATCAGCCAACAGTGTAGATAGTACTGCTGTAGGTGCAGGAGAGTTTAGCTGGTTGACCCAGAGCCACAGATGTGGAGGGTTGGACTAGATGACTCTCAAGGTCCCTTCCAGCTCTATAAATCTATGATTCTATGAATACATATGGCAGATGGCCAAATCCCATTCGAGTCCATTAAAGATGGGTGCCTGCAGAGCAGATAAATTCAAGTGAGATCATATGTTGACACGACAGAAGAACTTTTAGTTTTTCAGATAGTCCATGTTATTTTCCCCATTCTTAATTAAAAGTTCTTTCTTCTTGGTTTCTTATTCTTCCAGTAAGTTTTGCCTTTTCATCGTAGTCCATTAGTTTTTTTCTGCCATTCTTCCTTGGATGGGACTGTATCTTCTTTTGATTTCTGAGCAAACGTCATCCGGGCAGCTGTTGTTGCATACATAAACAGTTTTTTTCTGGTCCCTGGGTATCTCTGCACCTAATATTCCTAAAAGAAAAGCTTCTGGGTTTTTTGTGGGTTTTTTTTAGTAAAAGTTATCTTCAACATTTCCCCTCAACTCATTATAAGTAATAATGTCATATACCTACACAAATTACTTGGCTTCTATTCTTCATTGAGCAAAAATAATTGTTATGTACAATTCAAAAGGTACCCTTGCGATGCCAGAGCGAAGCAAAGAATGTCATGCCACCATGATGATATATAATGACATGAAAAGGATGCTTAAAATAACGTTTGTAAAAAACAACAAACAGAAGCTTTTCTTTTGGGAATTATAGGGACAGAAGTACCTAAACTGCATAGAAACTTATTCATGTATGCTACTACAGAGGGAAGAATGTTACTCGCTCAAAAATAGAAATAAGTGGAAGTCCCAGAAAAGGAAGAATGGATACAAAAACTTATGGAATATACAGAAATGGCAAAACTTACTGGAATAATAATAATAATAATAATAAATTTTATTTATACCCCGCCTTTCCCAGCCAAGACCGGGCTCAGGGCAGCTAACAATCAATAATAAAAACAAGTTGATTAAAATACAACTTAAAAAACAAGATTAAATACAACATTAAAACAATAAAATGCAGCCTCTTCATAGGAGGAGAAAGGAAAAAAGAAAGAGGGGGAGGGAATAAGAAATCAAGATAACAATTTTTAAAATAAAAGAATGGAAATGGTTTGTTGAATAGTTACAGATAAACTATAAACAGATAAAAACATTGGCAGGATTATTGTAACAACCTGCAGTTTTATAAGAGTATATATTTGAAGAAGATGAATAAATGAGCAAACTAAGTTAATCTGGATATGCAGAAGATGTTAAAAACAAATTTAAGGAACTGCAGAAAGAGGGGGAAGGAAGTCAAGTGTTGAAAAGTCAAAATGATTGTAAAATTAGTGAAATGTATAAGATTCGTGAAATGTATAAACTTGAAAAGTATATATATAAAATTAAATGTATTTATCTTGTACACAGGCTTATGCGATGCCTGCTATTCCAGATTTAACACTGAGGGGGAGATGTTGGTCTATTTCTCCCATGTTCTGCAGACGAGGGGACCTTAGATGCCCCCTGAGGCCCCCACACCTGTGGTGTGAAGTGAAGCAGGAGATTCTACACACTGTGGGTGAGTACATGTCTGGGGCTTCCTGTTCTCTGCTGCTCACAGTTAGGTTGCTATAAAAAATGCCGCACGTATACCTTTGCAAGACAACAGAGATGGAATAAACTCCATGGATGGGAAAAGTCAGGGAAAAGTAATTGCTTTCCTTTCTTCATTAGTTTCCTTTTTAAAAAACATTAATTCACTTTGGTTTCCATTTTTTCAGCTGCGTTTGTTCAATTGTTTTTCCATGGAGTACATCACTGACTCCATGGCAAAGCAAGCTTAGTGTCAGGAGTCCAGGAGCCCTGTGTTGATAACACAGCGAGCGAGTCATAATTAGCTGGAAGATTGATTGCAATACAAACAATTAGCCTCAGAGGCCTAACCTCACGTTCAATGCTTATGAATCAGTTGACCCTTCTGAGGAGTGCTTCCGGGTCCAGCAGAATATCCTGAACCTATGACCCTTCCATTTCCAGCTTTGCTTTCTATCTAAGACCTTTCCCATATGTCTGCTCCTTGGGCTAATTAACTCTCCTTCTGGTGAGGAACTGATTTCCCTCATGCCTTCCAAAATTGCCTGTGTTTCCTGAGAGAGTTGGTTTCTCTCTAGCACGCTCTCTGCATTCCGGCCATTCTCAAAGCGAGGGGGAGTTGATAGACGACTATTTGCAGCTGCCTGGGAAAAATGCGAGTCTCGCTCTTGTTGGCTGCTTCTTAACTCATACTCTGCTCTTATACCTTGGGCAGAAGTGTTCATGACACTTAGCTTCCTTTGCTTTGTGGGGGAAACGCCCCCCAGTCTACTCTTTGGGGAATGTGGGATGCATGACATCCCATAGTTAAAGTAAAGGTAAAGGGACCCCTGACCATTAGGTCCAGTCGTGACCGACTCTGGGGTTGCGGCGCTTTATTGGCTGAGGGAGCAGGCGTACAGTTTCCGGGTCATGTGGCCAGCATGACTAAGCCACTTCTGGAGAACCAGAGCAGCACACGAAAATGCCGTTTACCTTCCCACTGGAGCGGTACCTATTTATCTACTTGCACTTTGATATGCTTTCGGACTGCTAGGTTGGCAGGAGATGGGACCGAGCAACGGGAGCTCACCCCGTCGTGGGGATTCAAACCGCCGACCTTCTAATCTGCAAGTCCTAGGCTCTGTGGTTTAACCCACAGCGCCACCTGCGTCCCTATCCCATAGTTACATTGCTGAAAAACTCTGCATGTGGCCCAGTTGACAAGATTTGCTGAGTTGTTGAGATGCCATAAAATGCCTCCGCAATGTTCATCCCGCATTAAAAAGCAGATGAACAGAGAACATGGATTTATTCTTCACAGTCCTGTTCTGAAGACACAACTGGGGACCCCAGAGGTCATAAAGCCAGATATTTGACAAACATTGCGAGAATCTGACATCCATTCTTCTGGGGCGTGATAGTGACAAGGTCTACATGGGGTGACTTGTCCTTTTACACATGGAAAGATGAGAAGGGTACTTCTGTGTTTCCATACAACATGCATGCATGCCAGCCATAGGCCTCTTTTGTCTCTTAATTACATTGCAGACACCAGATTACTTACATCTTTTAGGAGGAAAAGTGGGATATAACTTTAATTGTAAATAAAGTTAATATTGGGGGGTGGGAGGGACGGGACTTAAGACATACTCCCTAACAGGTAAAGATGTTCTGGAAAGGCCACATCTTAGTCAAGTGCCTAAGAGTGGCGCTGGGCACTAATAAACTTCACCACATTGCTTGTGCTTCTTGTTCAGTCATTCTCAGCTGCCTGGGAGATAGATTCATGTCATTTCCCCATTCATTTTAGTTTTTGAAGCTTTTCTCAATTTGGTTTCCATTCATCAGTACCATTCCTTTGTTTGAATGGTGTTTTCTTTTTACTGAGCACATTACTATGGCTGTTACAAAACAAGCTTCATTTTCTTTGCTGGAGGGGCAAAATGTGTCCCCCTCTCGTCTGGACTACGGGGGGGGGGAGCAAATATTTAATTGGAGCTGCCTTCCTCCCTGCCAGTCCTCTGATTCTTCAGTATTTGGGGTATTGTTAACAGGAAAATAGCTGTTCCTCGGATTTACACACAAACACCTTATTTGTTGGGACGCGGGTGGCGCTGTGGGTTAAACCACAGAGCCTAGGACTTGCCGATCAGAAGGTTGGCGGTTTAAATCCCCGCGACGGGGTGAGCTCCCATTGCTCGGTCCCTGCTTCTGCCGACCTAGCAGTTCGAAAGCACGTCAAAGTGCAAGTAGATAAATAGGTACTGCTCTGGCGGGAAGGTAAACAGCGTTTCCGTGCGCTGCTCTGGTTCACCAGAAGCGGCTTAGTCCTGCTGGCCACATGACCCGGAAGCTGTACGCCGGCTCCCTCGGCCAATAAAGCGAGATGAGCACTGCAACCCCAGAGTCGGCCACGACTGGACCTAATGGTCAGGGTCCCTTTACCTTTACCTTTAACAGGAAAATAGCTGTTCCTCAGATTTACACACAAACACCTTATTTGTTCCATCTCTACTCTTAGTTCTGTGTGATGCTTCAGAAGCTACATATTGCTCCCACACCAGGAAAAGCCAGGAGCCTTCCTGCTTCTTTGAAAAATAACCTCTCTCATGCAAACGCCATCTCTCTTTATTGACAGAACTAGAATGCCCCACCTCCTCAGAGGAAGATTGGCATTTCTAGCAAAGCCAATGGGTGCCGATCCTTTTATATGACAGAAACGCCACCTGCAGTTCTGAGGGGATTTAAAAGAGAAGCAGGGAGATCCGTGCCAGTGATCTGTTTCTCGAGAGAGATTCCAGTTCCTCTAGAGAGCTCATCATGGCCTGGGCTCTATCCTTCCTTGCACTTCTCAGCTACTTTTCAGGTAAGAATGTAGAGGACTCCCTTTCCACCGGCCTCTAGCCCATTGCAGAACTATTTATATTGTGTTTTTATCATGGTGCCAGCCTGATATTTGGAGCAGAAGGAATGAATCGAGGTCATTTTATTCTTTTTTCTTTTCCACAAAGGTGTCGTTTCACAGCATACTCTGACTCAGCCTGCCTCTGAAACTGTGTCCCTGGGGCAAACGGCTAAACTCTCCTGTACGTCCAGTGATGGTCGCAGCAGCAGCTATGTTGCCTTTTTTCAGCAGAGACCTGGACAGGCCCCTCGCTATGTGCAGTACGTCGGCAGCAACAGGGGGGAAGGCATCCCGGATCGATTCACTGCTTCCTTCTCTGGAAACACTGGCTTTTTAACCATCACTGACATCCAGCCTGAAGATGAGGCTGTCTATTACTGTGGGGCTTGGTTTAACAGCTATAGCTTGTTGCACGGTGATCAAGTCTGATGAGGAACTGAGACAAAAACCTTCCGTCTTCCTCTGTCATAGAAGGGAGTTGAGAATATATATTAATTTGATCTGTTCCTGAAGTTGGTTTTTGTTTTTTGGGGAATGACGTAGGTGAAGGAAACAAAAATTGCACTGCTCCCATCAGTTCTCTACGTTGAGGTCAGCCCCACCTTCCATGCACAAATCACCACACCCTACTACCACTTTACATATTTAATTTCCATTCTGCCCTTCCACCCAAAGCAAAAAGAAAAGAAAGAAATGGAAGGTCACAAGCCAATAGGACCACAAGAAAAGTCTTACTGGATCAGGTGAAAGTCCCCTCTAGTTCACTATCTCGTTTTCACAGGAACTGGCCAGATGGTTGTGGTTATTATTATTAATTGAATTTATATAAGTACTAGGAGCCTGCAAGCAGGACCTGAGTGGACAGTAATTCTCCCCTCTTGCAATTCCACACCAGACAGCATTTGTTCGGAGGCAACTTTTATTTGGAGACAAATTTCTTTCAACTTTGGAGGTAGAACATCAGACCCTCCAAGTGTCCCTATTTTCCAGGGGCAGTCCTGGATTTATAGAAGCTGCCTCAGTTTCTGATTTGATCCCAGAATGTCCTGCTTTTCCTTAGGACGTCTCTGTTTTAATCAAAGGAATGTTGGTGGGTATGCTGTTATGCAATCCCTGAGCCAAGGAGATCAGTAACTACACAACCTTTAGAAGACATATGAAGGCAGCCCTGGAGAAAGTTTTTTTTAAAAATGTATAATGTTCTATTGTGTTTTATATATGTTGGAAGCTACCCAGAGTTGCTGTGGCAACCCAGTCAGATGGGCAGAGTAATCATCATTGTCACCACCCCCATCATCAACATATTGGCCCAAATATAAGCCACAGTTTCCCCCCCAATTTCTAATCTGGAAAAGTTAAACTGCAGCTTATATTCACAGCCTTACAATAAATGAAGGGGGAAGGTTGCTGGCAAAGTGGCTTCCTGGGGGGTGGGGTGAGGGAGCCATGCCACTTTTAACTAATCCAGAATGTGGCAGCTAGACTGGTGACTGGGAGCGGCTGCCGATACCATATAACACCAGTCTTGAAAGACCTGCATTGGCTCCCAGTACGTTTCCAAGCACAATTCAAAGTGTTGGTGATGAGCTTTAAAGCCGTAAACGGCCTCGGCCATGTATACCTGAAGGAGCATCTCCACCCCCCATTGTTCTGCCCGGACACTGAGGTCCAGAGCCAAGGGCCTTCTGGCGGTTCCCTCACTGCAAGAAGTGAGGTTACAGGTGTTAACGGAGGAATCCGAGGGCTCCCTTGGGCAAAAAACAAAGACACCAACCAGGACAATTTGGAGCAAAACAGCAGCCTGTAGGCTTGGCCTTTATTGGAATCTGTCGCAACAGGACTCCCACCCACAACAAGATGAAGCAAGATGGAAGCCCAGAACAAAAGAAGTCCCCAACTTTTATTAGTTGCTAATCCCCCAAACTACACCCCTAAGACTATATCACAACTACATGACGAAAAGGAGGGGTTGAGGGAGGAGTTGTGGAGGTAACCTGAGTATCTTGTCACCTGGCTGGTTCCTCCTTTTCCCCATGAGTCATTTCCAGAGGACAAAGGGGAGTTGGCAGTTTCCTGCCCCCAGAGGGAAGATCTGATCATTGTCCTTTGTTTCAGTCCATGTTGAATCCACTCCCATATGCAAGTCCTTTGTGACAATGATGGTCTTCTGTCTGGGACCATCAAGGTTGGCATGCCAACTAGGTAGGGCTCCTGAGTATGTGTTGGTACGCTTAAGGGATTATGGCCATCCTGTATCAAACCATCCCCCTTTGATAGTCCTTTCTTCATGGAGCAAAATAAAAGTGGACCGGTGTAAATCTGATGTACGGTTGATTTACTATGAATTTATAACAGAAATGTCGCGTATGTCGTGAGTGTGTTGTGTTTGTACAAACTGAATAATATGGGGGGTGGGGGGTGGTTCCTGCAACACAGGGAACCAGACAGAGGGCCTTCTCAGTAGTGTCGCCCGCACTGTGGAACACCCTCCCACCAGATGTCAAAGAGGAAAACAACTACCAGACTTTTAGAAGACATCTGAAGGCAGTCCTGTTTAGGGAAGCTTTTAATGTTTAATAGACTATTGTATTTTAATATTTTGTTGGAAGCCGCCCACAGTGGTACCTCGAGTTACATACGCTTCAGGTTACAGACTCCGCTAACCCAGAAATAGTACCTTGGGTTAAGAACTTTGCTTCAGGATGAGAACAGAAATAGCGCGGTGGTGGCACGGCAGCAGCGGGAGGCCCCATTAGCTAAAGTGGTGCTTCAGGTTAAGAACAGTTTCAGGTTAAGAACAGACCTCCCGAACGAATTAAGTTCTTAACCCGAGGTACCACTGTATTATTATTACTGGCAGAATATTGCAGAGTTCTAGCCCTATCCAGAACTCTCCCTCATGCAAATATCTTGTCTTCATTGGCTGGTCTAGAATGTCACACCTCCTCAGAAGAGGTGTGGCGTTTCTTGCAAAGTCAATGCGTCAATAGGCATCTATTGCTATATATATGAGACCCTTCCTCTTCAGTTCCTGAGGGGATCTAAAATAGCAGAAGGAAGGTTCCTGGCAGTTCACTGTTTATTTGAGGAACCCCAACACCTTTTGAGAGCTCACCATGGCCTGGCCTCTGTCCTTCTTTGCACTTCTCACCTATTTGTCAGGTAAGGATGTGAAGGACTCCCCTTACATAGGTTTCTGGGCAAACAACACCAACCACACAGTGCTTTTATTATATTTGTGAGCAAAATAAGTGAATCGATGTCTTCTTCTTTTTCTTTGTGCAAAAGGTGTCCTTTGTCAACATACAATGACTCAACTTGCCTCTGAGTCTGTGTCTCCAGGACTGATGGCTAAACTCTCTTGTACAGCCAGCGATAGTCACAGTGGCACCTATATTTTCTGGTATCAACAGAAACCTAGGCAGGCTCCTCGCTTTGTGCATGTTAATGGTGGCAGCAGGGGAGAAGGGATCCCCGATCGATTCACTGCTTCTGCCACCGGAACCAATGGCTATTTAACCATCACCAACATCCAGGCTGAAGATGAAGCTGTCTATTACTGTGCAGCTTGGTTTAACAGCTATAACGTGTTGCACAGTGATCAAATCTTATGGGGAACTGAGACAAAAAAACCTTTACTCTTCCTCATTCACAGCTCTGAAGACACCACTGAGCAGACAAAGCAACAGTACTCTTAAATGTAAGGCTGTATTACTGAAATGCTCTCTATTTGAGACTACCCTTGTGACTAGTCCGGGAGCTGCAGGTGGTGTTAAACAGTTGTTCCTGGGGGACGATGTCCCAAAGGGCAGTTCTGGGAAGGGAAACTGATTGTGAACAACAACTTAAATATTCCATGTCAGACAAAGGTGTTCTGGAAAAGCCTATTCTCACTCAAATATAACAACAACAACAACAACAACAACAACAACAACAACTTATTTATACCCCGCCCATCTGACCACCTGGACCATCTGGACCACCCCAGTCACTCTGGGCAGCTTCCAACAGAACATTAAAAACACAATAAAAGACCAAACATTAAAAACTTCCCTAAACAGGGCTGCCTTCAGATGTCTTTTAAAAGTCAGATAGTTGTTCATTTCCTTGACATCTGATGGAAGGGCATTCCACAGGGCGGGCGCCTCTACCGAGAAGGCCCTCTGCCTGGTTCCCTGTAACTTCACTTCTTGCAGTGAGGGACCGCCAGAAGGCCCTCGGAGCTGGACCTCATTGTCACGGCTGAACGATGGAGGTGAAGACTGTCAGCATCGCCCTTGAGCCAGTGCCACCAACTGGACTCATCCACTTCAGCCCCGACTGGGCTAGGCGAGCTGGGTAGCACTTCCAGAGACCACCTTCTGCACAGGAACAGGTCAAAGTGCTGTGGACTCACAGCTTAGAGTTGTGAGCACCGGATTCACTCCCACAAGAAGACAGTCGTCGCACAGCAGAGTACAGCAGACTCTAGCAGAGTATATAAACAACTCGGAGAGCAGCTCTGTAGAATATCTTCTTTATTCTATCTACAACTATTATACAACTATATACAGAGCTAAATAGGTCTAAGCATAAATAAATGAATGCTGCACTGCACTGAGTGTCTGCAGCTGCTCTTAGCAGCAACCTTATCTCTACACACAATCTCTAACACTCACTCTCTCTCTCTCTCTCCCCGACACTGACTGACTGACTGACTGACTCGGTGCTGGAGTAGAATAAGTAGAGAGCAGAACACGCCTCCTCCTCTCTGGAGAATCAGCAGACTCCTCAGGAGATTCTTGGATGTGGGAGGGCTGAAATCTCCTCAAAGACGCTCCTTGGGCTGAGGCCCAAGATTAATGCTGGAGCGGTGATAAAGAGCATTAGGTCTCCTTTTACACACCATGAGTGTTCATGCTGCTATACATAACTTATCTACTTGCACGGGCGTGCTTTCGAACTGCTAGGTTGGCATAAGCTGGGACAGAGCAACAGGAGCTCACTCCGTCATGGGGATTCAAACCACCGACTTTCTGATCGGCAAGCCCAAGAGGCTCAGTGGTTTAGGTACTGCTGCAGCGGGAAGGTAAACAACATTTCCATGCACAATACCAGCTATTCTAGAGTTCACCCTTAGGGGGCTGTGTTGCTCAATTTCTCCCACATTTGGTACGTTAGAGGATTCGAGAGATGGCCTGTGCCCCGGCACCTGTGATGTGAAGTGAAGCAGAAGACTCCCATTCATGGCTCCTTTTCTGGCGCTTCCTGTTCAGTCATGTTCAGTTTACTGGGAGATGTGTGCAGACAGATTCATTTCATTTCCCCATTCGTTCTATTTTTTGAAGTTTTGACCGTTTCTCTCACCTGGGTTTCCATTTATTGGCACTCTGTCTGTTCAAATTGTTTGATTGGTTTTCTGTTGAGCTCACTACAATGGCTGTCACAAAGCAAGCTTACTTTTATCTGAGATGAAAAATGTGTCCTTCTCTAGCATGGAACGCAGAAAAAACAACTACCTTTACCTGCAGCTCTCAGCCCCAGCCCCTCCTATTGACTCTTTAGTATTTGGATTACTAAAGCGTGTTCTCATTAATAGAGAGCACGTGTTGCGGTGGGGTCTGTAAGGCCACCCCTCTGTTGCTGGGTGGGTTAGTTTGGATGACCATCCGCAGTGATTGGGCGATTGGGTTGTTGGGCAATTTTTTGTGTTGCCATTTAGGGGGTTGGACCAAAGGTTATAAAATGAAGTCACGCAGCTCTGACTAGGCACTTTTGCTGTGTGCATCGGATCACCCGCCCAACCTCCCTAATTTTAGGAATCTTGATTGATCTTGCTATGCCTGTCATGGGGTCGCCTGCTTTTGGGGCAGGGGCCTGGTAGGAATTTTGTCCAATTGGCTGATTGGCTGGTGCCATTTGGTTTTTGCCTACTGCGTACCAAATCGTCACAACTTGTAAGGTTGCGGTTAGGCATTGGTCAAAAAATTGATTGGTGGAGGGGTAAGTGTTGGTGGTGCTTGCCCCTCCAATGCTGCTGCGGAAAGGGAATTCCGTTAAAGGAATCCAGGGGCTTGCCATTCTTTCGTCCGTACCCCTGAAGGGGGCTTAGGGCCATGCTAGCCTCAGGGAACATGAGGGGGGGGGTGAGGGTCTGGTGCCCGGCTCCATGCTCTCCCCAATATTGTTTTCCCTTACTGGCTTTCACTGGAATCTGGAAGTCAGTTCTGTCCCTAGGCGTGGGGACAGATAGTCATAACCAATGCCTAAGCAACCACTCACATTTATGTATTTTAATAAAGTTGTGGCCAAAATTATGCCAAAAACCTTAAACAAAAATTATGTGTGAAGTGTGAATCATTTGGGGGTGGATTGGAGGACCTCGACATGCAAAGGTAAAAGGTAAAGGACCCCTGAACGGTTAAGTCCAGTCAAAGGCAACTATGAGGTTGCGGCACTGGGAGAGAGCAACTATTAACAGGAAAGTAGACAGTCCCCACATTTACACACACACGTTCACATTTCCTCTTTTCCTATTCTTATTCATAAACTCCCATTCCAGGGCAAAGCCATGACCCTTCCATCGTCTTCTTTTAAAACTCTCCTTTATGCAAATATATTCTCTGCTCACTGGCTGAGCTAAAATGTCCCGCCTTCTCAGAAGAGGAGAAGAGGCATTTCTGGCAAAGCCAGCGAGGGTCAACATCTTTATAGGACAGCTCCTTCCTCTTCAGTTCCTGCGGGGTATAGAAGGAAACAGGAAGGTCCCTGCTGCTTAACCTTTTTGTTGAGAAAGCCCAAGTCATTTAGAGAGCTTAACATGGCCTGGGCTCTGTCTTTCCTTGCACTTCTTGGCTATTTCTCAGGTAAGGATGTGGAAGATTCCCTTTCCATAGGCTTCTGGGCAAATTAGCACCAACTGCAGTTTGCCTTTATCATACTGCTTTTAGGATGTTTGTGAGAAAATCCTGTGAATCAATATCTTCTCTTTCTTTCTTTTTCTTTTTGCAAAGGTGTCATTTCTCAACACACTGTGACTCAACCTACATCGGAGTCTTTGTCCCCAGGACAAACAGCTAAATTCTCTTGCACTGCCAGCAGCCGTCCCAGCAGCGGCTATATTCACTGGTATCAACAGAAAGCTGGGCAGGCCCCTCGCTTTGTGCATGTTAATGGTGGCAGCAGGGGAGAAGGGATCCCTGATCGATTCACCGCTTCTGTCTCTGGGAATACTGGCTATTTAACCATCACCAACCTCCAGGCTGACGATGAGGCTGTCTATTACTGTGGGGCTTGGTTTAACAGCTATAGCTTGTGGCACAGTGATCAAGTCTTATGGGGAACTGAGACAAAAACCTTCCACCTTCCTCCTTCACATCTGGCAGCTTAGAATCACTAGAGATATGTCATGGAATTCTACTCAGTATTGATCCAGAGCTGATTCCAACATACCTGTATAGTTAGCAGAGTAAAAACGTAAACACATTGCAGGATTCCCAAAAAATTAGACCAGAGGCTACGAAAATTTCATCCAGCAGAGCTTTACTGCTACTGGTATTGTGCATTAAGCAGAGTTATATGAGGCTGGATATATCCCCCATGGACCTCTGCTTTTCAGACACAGGACAAGTGTGGATAAACCCCTAGTCCAGCATGCTGTTCTCACATGAACCAGCCAAATTATTATGGACCTGACTGCAACAGCACTCTCCCAGCCATTTTTATTTGGAAGCATACATCTTCCAACAGTAGCGAAAGAACAGTGTGCATTAATGAACTGCTCTGTTTTTTTTAATTTTATTTCACAAGATTTATATACACCTCTTGATTATAATGAAGCCTCAAAGTGGTTCACAAAATCAATGAAATTATCTGCAATAAACTGTTTTGAACTCCTATTCAAAACTTTCAGAAACAATTGAAATCAACAATAAGCTAAAAAGAGATTAAAACCCGTATTAGCATTCAACGCAAAAAGGCTTGCCTAAACAAAAATATTTTCAACAGGTAACAAAATAATAATAATAATAATAATAATAATAATAATAATAATAATTTATTATTTATACCCCGCCCATCTGGCTGGGTTTCCCCAGCCACTCTGGGCGGCTTCCACAGAGACCAAAAATACACTAAAATGTCACACATTAAAAACTTCCCTGAACAGGGCAGCCTTAAGATGTCTTCTGAATGTCAGGTAGTTGTTTATTGCTTTGACATCTGATGAGAGGGCGTTCCACAAGGCGGGCACCACTACCGAGAAGGCCCTCTGCCTGGTTCCCTGTAGCTTTGCTTCTCGCAATGAGGGAACTGCCAGAAGGCCCTTGGCGCTGGACCTCAGTGTCCGGGCAGAACGATGGGGGTGGAGATGCTCCTTCAGATATACTGGGCCGAGGCTGTTTAGGGCTTTAAAGGTCAACACCAACACTTTGAATTGTGCTCGGAAACGTACTGGGAGCCAATGTAGGTCTTTCAAGGCCGGTGTTATGTGGTCTCGGCGGCCGCTCCCAGTCACCAGACTAGCTGCCGCATTCTGGATTAGCTGTAGTTTCCGGGTCACCTTCAAAGGTAGCCCCACGAAGAGCGCATTGCAGTAGTCCAAACAGGAGATAACTAGAGCATGCACCACTCTGGCGAGACAGTCCGCGGGCAGGTAAGGTCTCAGCCTGCGTACCAGGTGGAGTTGGTAGACAGCTGCCCTGGATACAGAATTGACCTGTGCCCAAAACAGTGCAATGAAGGCACTGCCTGATGGTAATAGGCAGGGAATTCCAAAGTTTTGGTGCTGCCACATGAAAAAAAGATATTTTTTCCAAATGCATAAGTATTAGTTGGCACCTGAGATTAAAGATTAGGATTAAAGAAGTTTAAGGAAATGGAAATTTGGTACTTAAGAGGTAAAATTTTAATGCTATATTACATTAAGATTAAAGATTAGGATTAAAGAAGTCTAAGGAAATGGAAATTTGGTACTTAAGAGGTAAAATTTTGATGTTATATTACATTAAGATTAAAGATTGGGATTAAAAAAGTGGAAAAGAAATTGCTGGACAAATAATTTGGACTGGAATACAAGGAGGTATGAGGAAGTCCAGAAAATAAGTAAATTCAAAAACGGAAATGAAAAGGTGATATTGTTTTTAATTGCTCTGTTTCTTTTTTTGCTTTTTGTTTTTTGTGTTTCTCTTCTTTTTTTGGATTATGTATCGTGTATTTGTGTATTTCTTTTTTATGTTTTTCTGTCTAACTTTTTATTGAAACCTTAATAAAAATCATTTATATATATAAAAAAAGTATTAGTTGGCACCTGTAACAGCGCTGATTTTGCAGGGTTGAGTGGGCGTACATGGGGAAAGGCATTCTGCAGTGTGCATGCATGATGTCAGCATGTCACACAGCACGCACGCATGTCATGTGCATGTTGTATGGCCACGGTCCCCTCAATGGCAGGGGCAAGCAGTCCGAGAGTCATCTCTGAAGACGACACAGAACCTTGCCGTAGTGTATATGCCAAAACCATCAAAATCTTAACAAACACAGAACAATACACGGTAACCTCCATCGCTTGGTCTGTTGACCACAAATGAAAAGATACATTTTATGTATGATATATAAAAGGAGGAGGTTGCCCAATGTCCCTGCTGTTATTTATATTAATATTAGAAGTGCTGGTTTGGGTAAACACTTACAACTAAGAAAATAAGCATAAAGGTTAAGATGTAATAACTTGGAAAATATGTATACACGATGTATGAAGTTGTAAGTGGGACAGGGGGAGGGGAGGGGGGTTAAATATACTCTCTGTTCCTGTTTTTGAAAACGCAAATAATCATAATAATAAAGAGACATGTTAACAGCAGTACTGGTCTGCAGTACTTTGTATATACAAGACAGGAGGAAAAAAGGAACAAATACTAATTAAAATATGCGCTTCGTGCACTCCAAAATGTGTTGTTGGCGATAGGCACCGTTCATCATTTGTATGATCTATAAAGTCACCCCAGACTGTGTCAAAGTTATAATATTTTTCCTGGACTTTTGCAACCTTCAATTTTCTTTGTTCTAAGGGAACCAAATGTGCCCAATCTTTCAGAAATGCAAAGATTAAATACACTCTGGCTGCACATTTCCGTCATCCCAGGACAAAGCCAGGAGCCTCCACTCTTCTTTTTAAGTCCCCTCCCTCATGCAAATGTCTCCTGTGATCATTGGCTGGCCTGGAATCTCCTGCCTCCTCAGAGGAGGTGAGGCATTTCTAGGAAACCCAATGGGCATCAATAACTTTATATGACAGACCCTCAATCTGCAGTTCCTGGGGGACCTAAGAGAGAAGCAGGAAGCCTGCTGCCGGTGGTCTGTTTCTTTGACAAAGTCGGAAGCCTCTAGAGAGCTCGCCATGGCTTGGACTCTCTGCTCCCTTGCACTTCTCAGCTACTTTTCAGGTAAGAGTGTGGAGGACTCCCTTTCCCTCAGATTCTGGCTCAACAACAAATCAATACTGTGCATTAATCATAGGACCCGTTAGAGATTTGGAAGCACAAACAAGGTTAATTGTTTTCCTTTCATTTTTCCATCTTCCAAAGGTGTCATTTCACAGTCTACATTGACTCAACCTGTGTCTGAGTCTGTATCCCCAGGAAACATGGCTAAACTCCCTTGCACCGCCAGCAGTAGTCGTAGCACTATTGAGTGGTATCAACAGAGACCTGCTCAGGCCCCTCGCTATGTGCATTATAATGGTGGCAGCAGGGGAGAAGGCATCCCTGATCGATTCACTGCTTCCGTCTCTGGGAATATGGGCTATTTAACCATCACCAACGTCCAGGCTGAAGATGAGGCTGATTACTACTGTGGGGATTGGTTTAGCAATGAGTTACACTGTGATCAATTCTAATGGGGAACTGAGACAAAAACCTTTACTCTTCCTGCTGAAGAGGGCGTTCAGATTTGGTACGGAGCTAAATTTATGCCTGAAGCTCTTTCAAGGATAGAGCCAGATGGAACTAAAATGGCATTTGACTGAATCTTCTTCTCCACATGAAGATCACCCAGTGACCTCAGTACACACTGCAGGTTGCCAAATCTCATGGCAAGCGGATTAAAGAAAGGTGCCTGCAGAACAAACCACCCCGGCAAGAACTCACATTCAAGTGGTTGAAAATGTTGGTATGTGTTAAAGATGACCACAACATTGCTGGACAAAGCCAGCAGGGCCTTATTTTATCAACTTGCACTGACCAGACACAGCAGAATCACTATTACTAAAAGATAAGAGGAAGATCTTGGCCATATCAGGCAGGCATGCTGTGGAAAATCAGGGTCTTACTTAAATGTGTGAAGAAGTATGTAGTGGTGAAGCACTAAGAATGAAAATGAGTTTTCACATAATACTCCATTAGGGTTCATGTTGTATGTAGCTTATATGATGGCTGCTATCTCTGATTTTATCTTCAGGGGGAGATGTTGGTCCACTTCTCACAAACTGGGCAAAATGAGGATCTGAGAGCAACCCCCACACCTGTGATGTGAAATGAAGCATCTCCACCATGCATGGCTCCATCTGTAGTGCTTCCTCTTCAGTCCTGCTCAGAGTTTGGTTGGCATTCCGATGTTTGGGGTGGAGGAGTGTTTTCCCCCTCTGCTCTGGACCCCAGGAAAAATGCTAATCTATTTCTGGAGCTCCCCTGCTGCCTCACCAAGTCTTTGGTGTTTGGATTACTGTTCACAGGAAAACAGGATCTTCCCGGTTTTCCAGAACCTGCCTTAGTTCCCTCTCTACTCTATTTACACCATTTTAGTCTCATTTCTGAACTACGCCAGGATCCTTCCCCCCTCTTCTTTTTAAATACCCCCACTCGTTTCAATATCTTCTCTGATCATTGGGTGGGCTAGAAGGTCAGAGGAGGAGTGGCATTTCTAGCAAAGCCAATGGGCACCAGTAGCTTTCCAAGACAGTAACGTCACCTGCAGTTCCTGGTGGGATTTCAGAAAAAACCCCAGAAGATCCTTGCACCTTATCTGTTCCTTTGAGAAAGGCAGGCTCCTCTAGAATGGGTCTGAGCTCTGGGCTTCCTTGCACTTCTCAGCTACATCTCAGGTAAAGATGCAGGTGACTCTTCAGGTTTCTGGGTCCACAACACCCGTTATATTCTGCATGTATCATTGCGCTTTGAGGCTATTTGTTAGCAAAATCGATGACTCAAGCTCTTCTTCTTCTTTTCATTTCCTCCCCAAAGGTGCCATTTCTCAACATACAATGACTCAACCTGCGTCAGGGACAGGGCTCACTGAGGAGGGATGGTGGGAGCCTCGCCCTCCCCCTGCTCCTGCTCCAGATCCTGAATCTTCCCAGGAGCTTGAGGAAAGTATAGATTTGGAACAGTGGTTTGCAGAGGGGCATAGTTCAGAAGGCAGAAGCTGGGAAACACTGGATGGTGAACAGCTAGGAGAAGAAACTCTGGAAGCGAGAGGGTTAATAGAGTCACAGTCTCTGGACAGCCTTCCTCCACCGCTCTCCCCAAAATTGAGAAGAGCCCAGAAAGTGGCCTTTGACTGGACTTAACTGTCCAGGGGTCCTTACCTTACTTCACTTATTTGCCCTGAATGCCTCCCTAGGCACATGGAATCCTGGGAGATGTAGTTTCAAAAACACCTATCATCTACATTCTAGAGGGTGGGTGGAGAAACTCAGGCTGGAAGTGGTCAAATATGACTCTCCAGTCCTCTCTTATCAGGCCCTCAGAATTCTTGCAGGGCCACACATCTCTCCAGGACACAGACCACGCCATGTCTGCTCCTTGACCTGAAATGTTTTTGCCAGGCTGAAATGTGTCCTTGAGCTGTGAGCCTGTGATAATACTGATTGGAATATAGGAGTGTTGGGGAGTGTGTTGAAACCTTTATGTTTTGCATGGCTGGAATGCATCCAATTCTACCAGTGCCTTGTTCAAATTCACTATTCCATCTACTTTTGCTTCTGGCTCCACCAAGCACTTCTGAAAAAGTAGCTTCTGAAACGTTCCTAGGGAGAAAATGCTGTCCTGAGAATTGTCCCCCACTCTTGAGCTAGAGGATAGTGTCAGATTCTGAGACGGGTGAGGGAGGCCTTCAACAGATACCACTAAGGCCTCAATAAGTTTGGTGGGGTTGCAGAAAGGCCAGAGCTAGTTGGAAGGATTATCCAGATCAAGACCTGTTAAGCTTTCTCCCTCCTGGCCCCTCATCCACCAGGGCAAATTCCTCAGTCTTCTGTTAAGAGGAAAACAGTGGTTTCTCAAGTTCCCCCCATATGTTCACTCCCTATTCCTATTGCTGCAAACATTGCCACTGAAAGTTCATATTTCTGTCATCCCAGGACAAAGCCAGGAGTGTCTCCTCTTTCAAATACTCTTTCTTATGCAAATGTGAACTGTCTTCTCTGTTCATTGGCTGACTTGGAATGTCCTGCCTCCACAGGGGCATTTCTAGCAAAGCCAATAGGCTTTAAGCGACATGCCTTTCATCTTTGGGTCCTGGAGGATATAAGAAAGGAGCAGTATGGTCCCTGCCAGTTCTCTGTTTCTTTGAGAAAGTCAGTCTGCTCTAGATAGCTCACCATGGCCTGGTTTCTGTCCTTCATTGCATTTCTCAGCTACTTCTCTGGTAAGGATGTAGAGGACTCGCTTTCCATAGATCTAATTCCCAACAACAAAACTATTTATATTGTACGTAGATCTTAGTGCCTGTCTGATATATTTAAGCACCCTAAGTGAATCGAGACAATGGTTTTCATTTCTTTTTTACACAGGTGTCATTTCACAGTCTCCTATGACTCAAGCAGCCTCTGAGTCTGTGTCCGTTGGACAAACCATTAAGCTTTCCTGCACCCCCAATGGTAAAGTGAGCTACATTGCTTGGTATCAACAGAGACCTGGACTGGGCCCTCGCTATGTGCACCAAAATGGCCAAAACCGAGGTGAGGGCATCCCGGATCGATTCACCGCTTCCCTCTCTGGGAATGTTGGCTATTTAACCATCACCAGCACTCAGGCTGAAGATGAGGCTGCTTATTATTGTGGCACATGGTATAGCAGCATTAATGCGTTCCACAGTGCTCAAATCTAATGGGGAACTGAGACAAAAACCTTCTCTCTTCCTCCTTCAGAGCTAGGAGTTCAGATTTGCTACAGAGCTTCATTTGATCTTTACATGGGACTCTTTGAATAGTAGAGATGACAGATCCTCAAGGTGCCCCTATTTTCCCGGGACAGTCTGGGATTTACAGAAGGCGTCCTGGTGTCTGATCTGATCCCTGAATGTCCTGCTTTCCCTTAGGATGTCTCTATTTCCATCAGGGTATGTTATGCAACCCCCCAGTCATGGAAATAAGTAACTATACAGCCTTTAGAAGACCTCTAAAGGCAGTCTTGTACAGGGAAGTTTTTTAATGTCCAATGTTTTATTCTGTTTTTATATATGTTTTATTATTATTTAATAATAATAATAATAATAATAATAACAACAATTATTGAAGCTGAGTCAGAAAACAACATATTAGTTAAATAACAATATTAAAGATGAGTATTACAAATTACAATATAAATAAGAATATAATAAACATAAGAAATGACGAACACTGGTGGAAGGAAGTCACGTAGGAGTAACATTTATGTTTGCATTTTTATATTGTCGGTATTTGAATGATTGTAGTTGTAATGTTGTGTGTGCATTGTATTTATTATTATTATTATTATTATTAATATTGAATAGGACAATCCTATTTTTTTCAGAGAAATGTTGGAGGGCATATGAGAGGAACTGCAACTCATTCCAGTCCTTTATGCAGATCAAAAATCACTCATCCAACAAGTGGACATAGATCAATGCACATTGCAGGTTTCAAATTTTTACTCCAAGTCCATTCAAGGTATCTGCTGAGCAAAGTCCTCCATCAACATCATCCATTGCTGAAAATTTTTACATTTGGCACAGATGCCAGAGGTGCTGCATGTTTAAGATACCAGGAAAAAAACACTCCATGAAACTTGTGGCAGTTTAAACTCAGAATTTATGCTTTGTTTTACTGCCCTAATGATATGACTAGCCAGACACAGTAACATAACACTAAAATATCTGCAATTATATATATCTCCACATTCCTCGCTGTTCTAAGATGTTCCACACAGAAAAAACACATTTTCACTAGGTTGAAATGTGTCATTGGAAGGTAAAGGTAAAGGTACCCCTGACCGTTAGGTCCAGTCGTGGACGACTCTGGGGTTTCAGCGCTCATCTCGCTTTATTGGCTGAGGGAGCCGGAGTACAGCTTCCAGGTCATGTGGCCAGCATGACTAAGCCGCTTCTGGCAAACCAGGGCAGCGCACGGAAATGCCGTTTACCTTCCCGCCAGAGCGGTACCTATTTATCTACTTGCACTTTGACGTGCTTTCGAACTGCTAGGTTGGCAGGAGCAGGGACTGAAAACCGGGAGGGGATTTGAACTGCCAACCTTCTGATCGGCAAGCCCTAGGCTCAGTGGTTTATTTTTATTTTTTTATAATAATATTTATTAGTTTTCCCACAAATTGAACACAACACTACAAAAAACCAAAAAAGAAAAAAACATACAATAATACAATACAATACAAAAAACAAAACAAAAAAACCCTGCAAAACACTAACCTACAACTAACAAAACAAAACAAAAACCATTTAAAACACAGTCCAATTTCAATATCTTATCTTTCTTTCACTAATTTCCACGACCTCCTCACACCTCCCTTTTTGTATTCCACTTCTATTAATTGTTTCAGCAATTCCTTTCCATCTTCCTCTGTTTTCTATCCTATAATTGTCTTAACACATTCTAACCTTATTTTTCCCTTTAATGCTCTAATAATCTATTTAAACTTAATTCCTTATAACATTTCTACTAAAGTCATATAACTTCCTTCCAACATCTTTCTAACATTCATTAATTTTACAGTATTTCTGTAAATAGTCTTTAAATTTTTTACAGTCTTCTTCCACCGACTCTTCTCCCTGGTCTCGGATTCTGCCAGTCATTTCCGCCAATTCCATGTAGTCCATCAACTTCATCTGCCATTCTTCCCTGGTGGGTAAATCTTGTGTCTTCCAATATTTCACGATGAGTATTCTTGCTGCTGTTGTTGCATACATAAAGAAAGTTCTATCCTTCTTTAACACCAATTGGCCAACCATGCCCAGGAGAAAGGCCTCTGGTTTCTTAAGGAAGGTATATTTAAATACCTTTTTCATTTCATTATAAATCATCTCCCAGAATGCCTTAATCCTTGGGCATGTCCACCAAAGGTGAAAGAATGTACCTTCAGTCTCTTTACATTTCCAACATTTGTTATCGGGCAAATGGTAGATTTTTTGAAGCTTAACTGGTGCCATGTACCACCTATAAATCATTTTCATTAAGTTTTCTCTTAAGGCATTACATGCCGTAAATTTCATACCTGTGGTCCATAACCGTTCCCAGTCAGCCATCATTATGTTATGTCCAACATCTTGTGCCCATTTAATCATAGCTGATTTCACCGTTTCATCCTGAGTGTTCCATTTCAACAGCAAGTTATACATTCTTGACAAGTTCTTAGTTTTTGGATCTAACAATTCTGTTTCCAATTTTGATTTTTCCACCTGGAAACCAACTTTTTTGTCCAATTTGTATGCCTCCATTATTTGATAGTAATGGAGCCAATCTCACACTTTGTTTTTCAATTTTTCAAAGCTCTGCAATTTTATTCTCTTTCCATCTTGTTCCAGAATTTCCCAATATTTCGGCCTAGGCTCAGTGGTTTACACCACAGTGCCACCCGTGTCCCTCCATTGGAAGGTAAGCTCTTGGTTAATGGAATGAAGGGCTGTTGGGGAGTGTGTTGGAACCATGGAATCTTGCATGGATGGAATGTACCCTACTGTGCAAAGATCAGGGGTGAAGGAAGGTGTCGTGACACCCAGGGCAGGCGTCGCTATGTAGGGCCAGGATCCCTCCATCGCCACCGCACCCACGAATGGAGGATCCTCTGTTCGCAGCTGCAGCCGTGAGCAGAGGATCCCGGCACCGTCCATACAGCACTGGAGTGGCGCCGGCAGCAAACTGCTATACAGCGCATGTTCGGCGTCTCTATGTACAGTGCATGCGTGCGACGCCGCACATGCACTGTACTTAGCGGTTTGCCGCCGGCGCCGGGATCCTGTGCTCGGGGCTGCAGCTGCGAACAGAGAATCCTCCACATGCAGCTGCGGCGGAGCGATGGCTGCTTGCGCCGCCGCGAGCCCCCGCGGGGTGATTTCTTGTCAACCCCTCAGACATGGAACCCAGGGCGTACTGCCCCCATGCCGTGACACCACTGGCAAAGATAAGGGTCAGACTCACTAATCCATCTACTTTTGTTTCCCTCCCTACATGCAGCCCCTGAAAACTTCCTCCTGTTGAATGTAGCTGTAGGAATTACCCCCTGATCCTGAGCTAGACGGCAGACTAAGATGCTGGGGTGGTATCCTGTGCACAGGAGAGGGAAGCTTTCAACGGAGACTTGAAATAACTTTAAATAATAACTTTAAATAAGTTTGATGGTGATGGGGAAAAGGCCTGAGAAGAGGAGCTGGCGGGAGGGATCCTCAGGGACAGGACTGTTTACATGTTCCCTTCCTCTCCCATCGTTCTCAGGGACAGATTTATCTGTCTTGGATTACTGTTTAGAGAGAGAGATGGGTTATTTCCCAAGATTGGAAAATGTTTATTGAATATATGGGGGGGGGGGGATTGTGTACACTTGAAAACGTTGGCGGCATTAAGATAAATTCAACAGTGTAAATAAGTTTTGATGGATCTAATAATGTAATATTGAATGGTTTAGTTTATGTAAAATATGCAGGGTTTTATGTTATGCAAAACAAGTCATGGAAAGAGAAGAAGTCCTTGATATTTTTAGAAATGAATATTCTAAAATGTAAAAGAGAAAATTTAATTAAAATTATTAAAAGATATTTCCCAAGTTTCCATCTCACACCCACCCTGGCCTGATTTGTTTTCTCGAGATTCTTATTCCAGTGATCAATGCTTCACAAATTTCATATTTCCCTCATCCCAGCACAAAGCCGAGAACCTTTCCTCTTCTTTTTATATACTCTTCCTCATGCAAATATCTTCTTTGTTCATTGGCTGAGATAGATTGTCTCACCTCCTCAGAGGAGGAGTGGCTTTTTAGCAAAGCCAATGGGCACCAATAGCTTTATATGACAGGACCTTTGTCTCCAGTTCCTGGGGAGATTTAGGACAGAAGCAGGAAGGCTCATCCAGGTACCCTTTGCTTTTAGAAAGTCAAACCATGCTCACCAAAGCCTGGACTCTGTCCTTCCTTGCACTTTTCAGCTACTTCTCAGGTAAGGATGTGGAGGACTCACACTCCTCAGGACTCAGAACAACAAACAGATGCTATGCATTTATCATAGTGCTTCCTTCATATCTGGAAGCAGAAGCAAGATTAAATGTTTTCCTTTCATTTTTCCATCTTCCAAAGGTGTGATTTCACAGGATACGATGACTCAACCTCCCTCTCAGTCTGTGTCACCAGGAGAAACCACTAAACTCTCCTGCATCGCCAGCAGCAATCGTGGCTATATTTACTGGTATCAGCAGAGACCTGGACAAGCCCCTCGCTATGTGCAGTGTAATGGTTGCAGCAGAGGAACAGGGATACCTGATCGATTCACTGCTTCCCTCTCTGGGAATATGGGCTATTTAACCATAACCAACACCCAGGCTGACGATGAGGCTGTTTATTATTGTGGGGATTGGTTCAGCAATGTGTTACACGGTGATCAAGTCTGATGGGGAAATGAAACAAAAACATTCATGTTTCCTCCTTCAGAGCAAGGAGTTTAGATTCACCACAGAGCTCTCTTCATTCTGAGCCTGGAGCCTTTTCAATAGCAGGGTTGGATAGAACCAAAATGACATCTGATTCCAGCCCCTTCTCCACATCAATATGACCCAGCAAGCAATTGCTTTTAAAATGCTTTGTTCCATCACTTGTTGTTGCCTTGGGGTCCTTAGAGCAGGAAAGATGGAATAAGTTTAATAAATAAATAAATAAATACCTGAAATACTTAAAATTTAAAGAGTAAGCCATTATCAGGCAAAAACGTTTGGAAATCCGAGTCTTACTCAAAGGCCTGAAGGAGTAGCACTGGGCCACTGACAAACAACATCTGATTTCCTATTAGGTACCATTAGTGTTCATGTAATTAGCTGATATGATGCCTGCTATTCCAGCTTTAGACATTAGGGGGGGATGTCGGTCCACTTTCCCCCCACATTCAGCAGATATGGGGATGTCAGAGGCTATCTGCACCCCCTAAAACTGTGACGTGAAGTGAAGTTCACTACGTGTGCCTAAATGTCTGGTGCTTCCAGTTCAGCTATGCTCTGAGTTAGTGTCATATGAAGAAATGTGGTGACTTCTTAACAGTTATAAAAGGTGAAGGACCCCTGGAGGGTTAAGTCCAGTCAAAGGTGACTATGGGGTTGCGGTGCCCATCTCACTTTAAGGCTGAGGGAGCCGGCATTTGTCCACAGACAGCTTTCCAGGTCATGTGGCCAGCAGGACTAAACCGCTTCTGGCGCAACAGAAAACCGTGACAGAAGCCAGAGCGCACGGAAACGCCGTTTACCGTATTTTTCGCTTTGTAAGATGCACCAGACCACAAGACGCACCCAGTTTTTGGTTCTGGCTTCTGGGATAGCTGTGCAGCCTGCATTCACTCCATAAGATGCACACACATTTCCCCTTACTTTTTAGGAGGGAAAAATTGAGTCTTATAGAGCAAAAAATACGGTACTTTCCCACCACAGTGGTACCTATTTATCTACTTGCATTGGCGTGCTTTCAAACTGCTAGGTTGGCAGGAGCTGGGACAGAGCAATGGGAGCTCACCACTGTTGCATGGATTCGAACTGCCAACCTTCTGATCTGCAAACCCAAGAGGCTCAGTGGTTTAGACCACAGCGCCACCCATGTCCCCATACAGTTATACCTTCTGGTGGCAAAGAGAGATGGAACAATATTTATGAATGTGCATTGGGTATGAATTCACTTTTGTTTCCTTTCACTGGAGCTGCATTTGTTCATTGTTTTTTGTTCATTTTTGTTCATTGTTTTCCACTGAGTTTGTTGTTTTTAACTGTCTTTTGGGGGCGCAGCGGGTGTCTTCCCCTAAAAACTTTGGGAAATGTGTTGTTCCAGGCATGCATAAGCCCTTAGCTTTGATTCAGGTGTCCTTGAATTGCAAATCCCAAGGGCCTTTCTCCTCCTTTTAAAAAATAAGCATCTCTGCTCATTGGCTGGCCTAGAATATCACTCCTCCTTCAAGGAGGCGGGGCATCTCAAGTGAAGCCAATGGGCATCAATGGCTTTACATGACAGATCCTTTTTCAACTTTGGTTCCTGCGGGATTTAAGGAAGAAGATTGAGTCTCATTGCTACCCTTTTGCTCCAGAGAGGCAAACTCATCTCACCATGTGCAAATCTCTGTGTTTCCTTGCTCTCCTCAGTTACTTCTCAGGTAAGTGTGTAGTGAATTCACTTTCACAGCAGCCCAAAGGTCAGAAAACTAGCCTAGCTGTATTGTGCTATTGCCCTACGACTGGACCGTAGCACCTAAAAGATTTTCCCATCACTTCCAATGGACCTCTGTGCTCTGCAGGACAGGGACTCCAGCTGGTCTGTATACATAGGAACAGGGTCTTCCGTGTGGTGGCACCTAAACTTTGAATTTCCCTCCTGCTAAATATTAAGGGCCATCTCAGTTGTCTGCTTGATCTCCCTCTTCCAACAAGCCTTTCTGTCTGTGCTAGATAGATAGACTTTGTGCATGTGTATGAAATTGTTTTAACTGTTTGGATATGAATTTCTAAAGTGGTTTTTATCGCTGCTGGTTTTTTTAATTGTTAAATCACTTTGAGACACCGTATTGGCCTGAATATAAGCCTCACTCCCCCCCCCCCCCCAATTCCAACCGTGAAAAGTTAAAGTGCGACTTAAATTCACGACCTTACAAAAATGGGCTTTTACGATATCGCTGCTGAAACAGACATATGGTAAAATGGAACAGGTGTGAGTGCCTGCAGAATTTTAAAGGAGCGGCTTATATTTGGGCCAATATGGTATGTTATAGGAATTGGTGTGCAAATGGAAGGAAATAAACAAATACCTGCTTTTCTGATATTCGGCAGCACATAAAATATATTGAGCTTATATTATTTGTGTTTGTTTGTTTGTTTGTTTGTTTGTTTGTTGCAAAGGGGTCATTTCCCAGTCACCTTGGACTCAGCCCACCTCCGAGTCTATATCCCCAGGACAAACGGCTAAACTCTCTTGCACCGTCAGTGGTACCGTGAATACTATTTACTGGTATCAACAGAGATCTGGACAAGTCCCTCGCTATGTGCATTATGCTGGCGGCAGCAGGGGAGAAGGGATTCCCAGTCGTTTCACGGCTTCTGTCTCTGGGAATGTTGGCTATTTAACAATCAGTAACATTCAGGCTGAAGATGAAGCAGTTTACTATTGTAACATGTGGTCTAGCAGTGCCAGCTCGTTGCACCGTGAAAAATTCTGATGGGGAACCGAGACAAAAACTGTCTAACGGAGGATAAAGGATCATTTGTTTTGCACCTGAACAAGACTAGTTGGGACCTCACTCGTTTTCCATTTAGGGGCTAACAAAACACGGGCTGCAGTAGTAGTCTACATAAATAACCTTTTCTGACACCGTGGAATGTTAGTCTGTATTATCCCCGACAGAAAGGACTCTGGGGGTTGTTTTTTTTGGGGGGGAAGTATTTAAAACATTTCCCCCCCCCAATTCATTATGGATAATTTCTCAGTACTCTTTTACCCTTTTACAAGTCCACCACATATGAAAGAAGAAGAATTGGCCATTTAACCATCACTAATGTCCAACCTGAAGGCGAGGCTAACTATGACTCTTCAATGCGCTATAGTATCGGCAGCTTGTTTCACCGTGATACTTTCTCCTGAGGAAGTGGGACAAAACCTTCCCCAGGGAAGGAAGCCGGAGCTACAGCAGAGCTTAAATTGATCTGTGCCTAATGCTGTTTGAGTCACACCATACCATCCAACTTTTTCAGGTCTAAAACCAGGATACACAATATGGCCACTGCAATATCACGTGAAAAAATTTGATGTTTCTTTTTTCTGGAACACTTGGTGGGTATGTCATAGGCCACATTCACTCCATACATGTAAAGCACTATGATACCACTTTAAACAGTCACAGCTTTCCCCCATAGAATTCTGGGAGCTGTACTTTGTTAAACATGCCAAGGGTTGCTAGGAAACACTAATTCCCCTCATAGAGCTATAATTTTCAGAGGTTTTTTTAAAACTCTGTCAATCCCTCATTCCAGGGAACTCTGTATAATTGTAGCTCTGTGAGGGGAATCAGGGTCTCTTATCAACTCCAACATGAAAATAAAAAACAAACACAAAGCACATTTGCCAAGGTTCTCATGAATTTGAATTTGATCCTTCTATATAAACAACAAGCCCGCAACTTACATAGCAGTTACACTCTGGGGATCACGCCTAAAGCCAAAATCACATACAGTGGTACCTTGGGTTAACAACTTAATTAGTTCTGGAGGTCTGTTCTTAACCTGAAACTGTTCTTAACCTGAAGCACCACTTTAGCTAATGGGGCCTCCCGCTGCCGCCACACGATTTCTATTCTCATCCTGAAGCAAAGTTCTTAACCTGAAGCACTATTTCTGGGTTAGCGGAGTCTGTAACCTGAAGTGTATGTAACATGAAGCGTATGTAACCTGAAGCATATGTAACCCGAGGTACCACTGTATAGTAGTCAAAGTACATTGGTTGCAATGGTGGGTGGGACTGCCAAAGTCATTTTTCCCGGATCCCCTTTTCCCTTATCCCTGTTACCACCCTCTTTTCCAGTTTTTTAAAAAAATATTTTTGCCACACATATAAATCTGGATGTGCGTGAGCTAAAGGTGTGTTTGTTGCAGGCTTGCTTCCTTACAAATTGTGCAATTGGGGTCTTGCTAATTTTTGGTAAACCTCTCTGTTGCCTGTTATCCCAGCTTTCCCCTGTAGGGGGACATGTCAGCCCTTTCTCCCCCAATTTTTGCAGAAATCTATTATATCAGACACCACCTGTACACCCTGATACTCTGCTGTGAAGTGAAGCAGAAGCACGTTTGGCAGACGTGAGCAACTCTGTCAGAGGCTTCCTGTTCACTCACAGATCAACTGCCCATTGGCATTTTCCTTTGCATGGGACTGGGACTTTGTACTGGCCCTGCCTCCTGTACATCCTGCCTCAATGGATGGTCTTGCCTTTCAGCTCTTACGATCCACATGGATTTAGAACATGTTTTAGAAAAGTACCACAATCGTGGATTCTGAAAACTTAAAGATGAGGAATTAAGGTTCTGGGTCCCAACTAAAGACAAATGGCAACTGAAACTGATGGAATATGCGCAGCTTGCAGTCTTAGCATATAGAATAAGAGAACAAGAAGAACCTACGTTTAGAGAAGATTGGGAAACATTTACTGTATATATGGGACATAACTGTGTACAGCTGAAAACACTGGCAGCATTAAAATAAATTCAACAGTGTAAATAAGTTTTGATGGATGGAGTATGGGAATACTGAATGGTATGCTTTTCGTAAAATATACAGGGATTTATGGCACGTAAAATGAACCATGGAAGGAGAAGATGGGAAGTCGTGGATATCTAAAGGATGTGAAACTGAGTACTTTAAATTGTAAAACAGAAAATTTAATAAATTCATTAGAATGAAAGAAAAAGAAAAGAAGCAGCTAGCAGAACGAAACAGAAATGCCTCTAAAAAGGCGTGGCTGGCTCACACTCTGAAGAGAAGCCCTCCATGCTGCAAAGCGTGTTCTCCTTCATGGAGAGCACGTGTTGCGGTGTGGGCCGACAGGACACTCCAAAGTTGTGGGGCGGGCTAATTGATCGTTGGCCACTGGTGTGATTGGGCTTCCCTTGTCGTTGGGAAGAAGTTAATGTTGCCATTTGTTGATTGACAGCCTGAAATGCTAAAACTCCTTGCACGAGGCTAGACCTTCCTCTTTTTGCCCGTGCATCAGATTGCCCGTCCCCCCCCCTCCCTAGAATTAGGGTTGTTCGCTTTGACCTTGCTATGCCTGTCATGGGGTCGTCTGCTCTTGGGGCAGGGGCCCGGTAGGAATTTTGTCCATCTGGCTGATTGGCTGGGGCCATTTGGTTTTTGCCTACTGTGTAGCAAATCGTCACAATTTGTAAGGTTGCGGTTAGGTATTTGTTTATGGCTTGGTTGGTTGAGGGGCATGGATTGGCTGTGCCTGCCCCTCTAATGCTGCTGCTGCTGCGAGGGATTCCGTTAGAGGAATCAGGGGCTCACTATTGCTTTTGTCCACCCTAGCAAGGGGCTTGGGCCATGCAAAAGCCCCTGGTTGCATTTGGGGAGGGCTGAGGGCAGGTTCCCTGCTCCGTCGCTACCCCCAAGTGTATTCCCCTTTTCTGACTTTCACAGGCCTGCGGAATGTCAGTCTGTCCCCCATGGGGGGGGCAGATAGTCGCCACCAATGCCTAAGCAACCACTCACATTTTTGTATTTTAATAAAGTTGTGGCCAAAATTATGCCAAAAACCTTAAACAAAAATTCCTGTGTGATGTGTGAGTTATTGGGGTGGCCCTGGGGACCTCGACACGCAATGTTTGGTTGCAGGGGACACGTATATGTAGATACGGAGACCTTCTGCAAATTCACTCTAGCTTCTAGCCAATGAGGAAGAGCCAGCAGATTTGCATGAGAGACCCATTCTGGGTATTTGAGAGGGAGCGAGCCTTGGAGAACAGCAACGGGCACCCTTTGACCTCAGGACCCTGGACAGCACAGACAGGATGGAGTGGCCCTTGCTCCTTTTCACCTTCTTTACTTGCTGCTCAGGTGAAGAAAACCTTTCCTTCATGCTCTTGTCCTCTACAGAGGAAGGAAGGAAGCGATCTCATATTTGGTGAAACATTGGTCTATCGAGCTTAGGGTTGCCTGCACTGACTGGCAGGGTTTCTGTTCTGTGCCGTGCCTGGCGCTGTCAGTATACAGAAAGCAGATGCTTGACCACTAACCTGTTCCCCTCCCACATTATTCTGGTCTGATTCATTGGTTTACTAGCGTTACAGCAAACAAACACTTATTGCTTGCTTCACAAATCTCCATTTCTCACCTCTGCAGGGTCCTTCGCCCAGGTCACCCTGACGCAATCGGCTACTCAGTCTGCATCCCTGGAAGGTACAGTTCAAATCTCTTGCACAATCAGCAGTGGCTACCAGTTTGGAGGTTTCTTTTGGTATCAACAAAAAGCAGGAAAGAGCCCAAGTTTTATCCTGTTGCGGAACATAGTAAAAGACAAGACAGATTTTGGACCGGAGTTCTCCAGCCGCTTCTCTCCTTCCAATGATGCCCCAAAGAAAGTGGCCAATTTAACCATCACCAACGTGCAGGCAAATGATGAGGCTGACTATTACTGTGTTACTTGGTCTGGAGACAAGTCACACAGTGATAAAACCAGAAGGGGAACCTGACTCAAAAGTGCTTCCCTTTTCTCTGTGTTGATAGTTTCTCATTGTCAAAGTAATTATTCCCAGATCCCCTTTTCCCTTCTCCCCATTTCCACCGTCTTTTTCAGTTTTTAAAAATCTTTTTGCCAAGAATAAAGCTGAATGTGTGTGAGCTAAATATGTGTGTTTCTTGCGGCATGCTTACTTACAAATTGTGCAGTTTGGGTCTTGTTGATTTTTGGAGAACCTCTCTGTTGCCTGTTATCCCTGCTTTCCCCTGGAGGGGGAGATGTCAGCCCTTTCTCCCCCAATTTTTGCAGAAATCTATTATATCAGACATCACCTGTACACCCTGATACTCTGCTGTGAAGTGAAGCAGAAGCACGTTTGGCAGACGTGAGCAACACTGTCAGACGCTTCCTGTTCACTCACAGATCAACTACCCATTGGCATTTTCCTTTGCATGGGACTGGGACTTTGTACTGGCCCTGCCTCCTGTACATCCTGCCTCAATGGATGGTCTTGCCTTTCAGCTCTTACGATCCACATGGATTTAGGCTATGTTTTAGAAAAGTACCACAATCACTGTGGATTCTGAAAACTTCAAGATGAAGAATTAAGGTTCTAGGTCCCAAATAAAGACAAATGGCAACTGGAACTGATGGAACATGCGCTGCTTACAGACTTAGCATAAGAGAACAAGAAGAACATACGTTTAGAGAAGATTGGGAAACATTTAGTGTATATGGGACAGAACTGTGCACAGCTGAAAACACTGGCAGCATTAAGATCAATTCAACAGTGTAAATAAGTTTTGATGGATGCAATAGGGAATACTGAATGGTATGCTTTTTGTAAAATACAGGGATTTATGGTACGTAAAATGAACCATGGAAAGAGGAGATGGGACGTCATGGATATCTAAAGGATGTGAAAAGGAGTACTTTAAATTGTAAAACAGAAAATTCAATAAGTTAATTAGAAAGAAAGAAAAAGAAAAGAAGCAGCGAGCAGAATGAAACAGAAATGCCTTAAAAAGGCGTGGCTGGCTCGTACTCTGAAGAGAAGCCCTCTATGCTCCAATGTTTGGTTGCAGGAGACACTTATATGTAGATACGGAGACCTTCTGCAAGTTCACTCTAGCTTCTAGCCAATGAGGAAGAGCCAGCAGATTTGCATGAGAGACTCATTCTGGGTATTTCAGAGGGAGTGAGCGCTGGAGAATAGCAATGGGCACCCCTTGACCTCAGGACCCGGGACAGCACAGACAGGATGGAGTGGCCCTTGCTCCTTTTCACCTTCTTTACTTGCTGCTCAGGTGAAGAAAACCTTTCCTTCATGCTCTTGTCCTCTACAGAGGAAGGAAGGAAGCTATCTCATATTTGGTGGAACATTTCTCTATCGAGCTTAGGGTTGCCTGCACTGACTGGCAGGGTTTCTGTTCTGTGCCGTGCCTGGCGCTGTCAGTATACAGAAAGCAGATGCTAGACAACTAAATTGTGCCCTTTCCCCATTATTCTGGTCTGATTCATTGGTTTACTTGTGTTGCAGCAAACAAACACTTATTGCTTCCTTCACAAATCTCCATTTCTCACCTATGCAGGGTCCTTCGCCCAGTTCACCCTGACACAGTTGGCTACTCAGTCTGCATCCCTGGAAGGTACAGTTCAAATCTCTTGCACAATTAGCAGTGGCTACAGCTATGGAAGTTTCAGGTGGTATCAACAAAAAGCAGGAAGGAGCCCAAGTTTTATCCTGCGGCGGGACATAAACCAAGACAAAACAGATTTTGGACCGGAGTTCTCCAGCCGCTTCTCTCCTTCCAATGATGCCCCAAAGAAAGTGGCCAATTTAACCATCACCAAAGTGCAGGCAAAGGATGAGGCAGACTATTACTGTGTTACTTGGTCTGGAGACAAGTCACACAGTGATAAAACCAGAAGGGGAACCTGACTCAAAAGTGCTTCCCTTTTCTCTGTGTTGATGGACTCACATTGCCAAAGTAATTTTTCCCAGACTCCCTTTCCCCTTCCCGTTTCCACCCTCCTTTTCATTTTTAAAAAATCTTTTTACCAAGCATAAAGCTGAATGTGTGAGAGCTAAATATGTGTGTTTCTTGCGGGATGCTTACTTACAAATTGTTCAGTCTGGGTCTTGTTGATTTTTGGTAAACCTCTCTGTTGCCTGTTATCCCAGCTTTCCCCTGTAGGGGGAGGACAGAGAAAAGGGGAAGATGTTGGGATGATGCCAGGGAGATAAAGTCCATCATGGCCCCCAAGCCGTGTGCCGGACGATCCATCGACCTCCCGTAGGCACGCAGTATCAGCAATTAGCGACATGAGTTTCTAGAAGATTTCTTGCCACATTCCAGAGCTCATGCACACTCTATCAGCAGATAATGCACAGCCAAAAGTTGCACTCAGGAGAGCATTATTTACAAGTTTATTCAGCGTTGATCAGAACACAGAAAAACATGACTGCCTGCTTTAGTGTCTACGACACAGAGAGAAAACGAAAGCAACAGAAAACATAAACATCCTGTGAACAGGAAATACGCAGACTCTGACTCACAAAGCCTGCTCCCTTTTAAGGTGGAACGGAAATATCCTAACATCCTCCCCCTTTCCGTGTAACCTGTAGTACCTGTGGTTCAACCCAATTGCAACCTTTGTACGTAAACCTTAAGTTGTTCTCTGTTAACAACCTTAGACAACAGATCAGCAGGAATTTCATTTCCTGGCATGTAGGACACCTGAATGAGTCCTTTCTGAATACACTCTCTTGCACGATGTAGCTTAATCTGCAAGTACTTGGTCCTTTGCTTGCAACTCTCCGAGTTCAGCAAAGCCAAACACGATCTATTGTCTTGATACACTTGTACAGGACATTTCACAGAAACTCTGATGTCCTTAAACAGTTGCATCAACCATTCACAATCCATGAGTGAAAATGACAGAGCATTGAGTTCTGCTTCACAGGAACTTAGGCTCACTGTCGTCTGCTTTTTGCACAACCAGTCAAACAGGCAGTGGTTGTACATGTAGCATACTCCAGAAGTGCTTGTACCATCCGTGGTGTCACTTCCAAAACTTGCATCTGCAAAGATTTCAAGACCTCCAGTCTTCTGACTGGTGAACCTCAGCCTGTAGTGCAAAGTCCCTTTCAAATAGCGGGCTATGCGCTTCAGAGCTTTCCAATCCTGAACAGTAGGATTGTTGGCATGTCTGCTAAGCAGGTTACAGCTTACAGCTATGTCAGGTCTTGAGCATCTAGCAATGAAATTCAACTTGCCTAGAATGCATCTGTACAGCGTTGTGTCAGAAAACGCTTCAGCAGTACTGTCTACCTGGTAACCTGTCACCATCGGTGTGTCTGCTGGGTTTGCATCAACCAAATTCAACCTGGTTAATACATCAGCAATTTTCTGTGTTTGGTGTACCAGAAAATTACCTGCTTGGTCCCTCTCCACCTGCAGAGAAAGATAGTTGGATACCTCACCAAGATCCTTCATGTCAAAGTGCTCCTTCAGCTGAGCTAGGGTGCTTTGGTACAAAGCCTGATTCTTCCAAAACATCAGAAGATCATCAACAAAACATAAACAATACAGTTTGTTTTGCCCCTCCTCCTTGACAAACACACATGGATCAGCTTTGCCCTGGTGAAAACCTAGAGAAAGCAATGTCTCAGTGAGCTTTGTGTTCCAACACCTGGCACTCTGCTTGAGACCATATAAGGATTTCCGCAGTTTACAGACCATTCCCTTCTGTATCTGCATCCCGTCAGGTGGAAGCATAAACAGCTCCTCCTCCAAAATCCCGTACAAAAATGCTGTATTAATGTCATGATGGGAAACATGCAGTTTCTCCTCCGCAGCAATCTTGAGCATCAGCCGAATGCTCTCATATTTGACTGTGGGAGAGTAGGTCTCGTGGTAATCCTGTCCTGGTACCTGTGAAAAACCTCTGGCAACCAATCTGGCTTTGTGTCTGACAACCTTGCCATTCTGGTCTGTCTTGGCCTTGAAGACCCATTTGCTGCCAACCAGTCTCATCCCTGGGACTACCGGTACCAACTCCCAAGTTTGGTTCCTGTTCAAGGAATCAACTTCAGCCTTCATGGCATTAAGCCAAGGCTCAGCATCTTTAGAGGTTAACTCCTGAACCTCTTTGAAGCTTGAAGGTTCCCACACCTTCTCTGAGCTACTAAGAACAGCAGTTGCTGTCTTAGCAAACTCATCAGCAAATCTCTTTGGAGGTCTGCCCTTCGTGGCTCTCTCAGATCTGCGTACTAGACGCAAGTCTTCTGGACTCATCTCCTCCTTCTTAGGAGAAAAGTGACCAATGGTGAACAGTGGTTCTTCCAGTTCATTGTCAGACGCATCAGATGGTCTGACTGAGGCCTTTGCGCTCTTGTAGTCTGCTGTGTCATCACTGTCACTGACACCAGCAGCAGCGCCGCCCACTGAACTGGAATCCGAACTCTGATCATCATCATCATCATCATCCTCAGCAGCTTCCTCAGCTTTAGCTGCTTCTTTGACATCACCTTCATCCTCCTCTGGGTAACTCTGGAAAATTCCCACATTTCCCCCCCACTTAGGATTGTACTCAACACTCTTTGTGAACTTAATGGACTTAGAGTCAGTCATCCACACCCTGTATGCACCTTTTCGTACCCCATGAACAAACCATGTGCCCCACGCTTCCCAAGCTTGTTGCTCTGTGGGGTGTGTACCCACATGTCAGAACCAAAGATTCTCATGTGCTTGATGTTGGGTTTCTTACCAAACATCTTCTCATAGGGAGTACAACCAATAGGTGATGACAATCTGCGATTATAAGTGTAAACAAAATTCGACAGAGCCTCCCCCCAAAACTTATCAGGGAGATTGGCATCATGCAACAATGTTTTCATTCCTTGCAGCAACGTTTGATTTGCTCGCTCCGCAAGCCCATTCATCCATGGCGATCTAGGCGTTGACAAGTCATGCTGGATTCCCTTCTCAGTCAGGAAAGCTTCAAACTGCTGAGAAGTGAACTCCCGCCTCGATCAGTAAACAGACAGCCAATACGTTTACCGTGAACATTCTCCAACCAAGCACAGAATGCCTTGAACTTAGGAAACGCTTGCGATTTCTGCTCGAGCATAAACACATGAATGTACCTGGAAAAAGAATCAATTAGAACCATGAAGTACCTTGCTCCACCCAAAGAGGGCGCAAGTGGACCAACCAGGTCTGCGTGCACTAGCTGGTAGGGTTTGGAAGCCTGCCTGCTAGACTCCTTGCCTTTTGGAGCAACCTTCACCTTGTTCTCTGCACAAGATACACATTTCATGTGAAACTTACAGGGTTTGATGTTCAAACCCTCAACCATCTCTGGCATCTTGGCCAGTGCCTTCCAAGAGAGGTGACAAAACCTTCTGTGTGCATCGTGAATGCATCCTGCATGAAGAACTTTGTTAGTTTGTGCAACACAACAAGAATCAACATTAGACACAACAGCACCAATGTCATCATAAGTTATACAGAACAAGCCATCCATAAACTTTGCATGCAAAATGTCCTCTTTGCCTTTTCTGATGACACAGACGCTCCTCTTGAAGGAAATCTCAAAACCACGCCCAGTCAGCTGTGGGACACTGAGCAAATTGTCTGCAGCGCCTGGAACATACAGTACATCTTTGATGGTCGTGTGCAGACTTGCCAGTTTCACAGTCCCTTCTCCTGCGATTCGCAACGTCTTTCCGTCAGCCAGGTGGATCTCACCTTCTTGAGGTTTGAAGGAGATAAATAGGTGGCGGTCCTTTGAGACATGGCGGGTACAGCCTGAATCAACAACAAACCTGGCTTTGGCCTTTGGAGCAGCCTTTGCAGCAAGCAAAACCTTGTTTTCCACCGGCGTGGGCTTTTGCAGCTTGCCCCCCTGCTCCTTGCCATCAGACTTGCCTTTAGCCTTTGGTGAAGCTGTGCCAGCAAACAAAACCTTGTTTTCCACAGGCGTGGGCTTTTGCAGCTTGCCCCCCTGCTCCTGGCCATCAGACTTGCCTTTAGCCTTTGGTGAAGCTGTGCCAGTAAACAAAGCCTTGTTTTCCTCTGGCGTGGGCTCTTCACCCTCCCTCTGCTTCTGGCCATCTGCAGGCATCTGCCTCTGTTTACCTTTTGCCCTTCCGGCCTCTGCAAAGGCGATGACCTTGGCTCCCATGAGAAACAGAGCTCTCAGCTGCCGACTCCTTGGCTCCCCCTGGAGGCTGGAATGCTGCCTGGGATGACGTGACAGTCAGCTCCCCCTGGAGCTTGCAACCGGTGCCCTCGGCATCCCTGCATTCACTCGCATTCTGGGAAACAGCCAGGACCTCCGATGCAGTCAAACTCTGGGCTGGGATGACTGGCAGGTGGGCTATCTTCAAAGCATTCCACATCTTACGTGCAGTGACGTAGCCAGCTAATGTTTTAATTTCCTCCAGAGAGACGGACAAGACTATTACGTCAATGGCTTTCGAATTTTCGGCCTTCCATTTATCTGTCAGAGGAACTGGAGGGGCCTCACACACAGTATGCCACACTCCAAACTGATGCAGCAAACTCTCACACCATTTTGCCCAGGTCTGATAGTTGTGCCGATTTAACTTTGGGCACTCAGCAGCTTCAGAAGCTTGGAAAAACTCCATTCCAGCTTTTTATTTGAGCCGTGAGTCTTATTCACTTCAGAGACGTCTTATCTCGGCAGCTCATTAATCACGAAACCTTTGGCGCGGCTTCCAGATCAATCAGGCTGACGGAGTTCAAAGAGACTTTGCCGCGGCAACGAAAAGCCTCACTTTCGCTTTTCCTCCACATACCTTTCAGCAGTCCGTCGCAGTCTTACTCTCCTGTAACTGCTGTGAATCTGGGCCCGAAACCTGTTGTTGGGATGATGCCAGG